AGCCCCGTTGTGTGAAGGTCAACTCTACTCCTCGAAGAAATTTCTGTACGAAGCGCTGGAAGATTATTCGGTAGCCCATAACTTCGGTTTTAGGGTTTCAAAAAGTAGGCCAAATAGAGCCCAGGCTATATGCATGAGTCACCATGAGCGACGTAAACCAGCTTGCAAGTGGCGGTGTGAGTATTCAACAGATGGCGCGGGTGGGTTTTGGCGGGTTGATAAACTGTCCCTCCCAACATCTCATAGTTGCTCATCGGTTGATCGGGACCGCTACGTGAAGCACACAACAAATAAAGTAGCTTATCTGCAGCGTCATCATGGGAACCTTGTTCACGCCGCTCCACAAGGACCTACAAGGATCAGATTGCGTCGACCGGCGGTCCTGACATCAATTATCATCAATCTTGGAGGTGAGTAATATGAACATTCTTTTGTGGTTCCCAACATTCCTTCTCATCCGAGAACCATCTTGAAATGTACATGATTATCCAAACAATGTCCCTCATGTTCCAACTACATGACTAAACTACCTAATGCGTTGTCACCAATCGTCGCAGGCTCAAGGAAAAGATGTTAAAGGAGCGGTTTGGAGATTGGAAAACTTCCTTTCGATACATCCCTCGCGTGTTGGAACGTTTCAGGGCGATTGATCGTGAAGCGACGCTTGACCTTGTGACGAAGGATCACGCTTTCTTCCGTGCTTTTGCCGCCCCTTCGGCATCAAAAACTGCCCTTAGGTTCTGCCGACCGGTCATTGGTATGGATGGCACGTTTCTCATTCGGGCACAGAGAGCTACGCTCTTGGTTGCAGCTGCTAAGGATGGCAATAACCAGCTTGTTCCACTCGCGTACGGCCTATGCGAGAGTGAGAATAAAGACAGTTGGAAGTGGTTTTGTGAGAACCTTTTGAAGCATTTTCCATCCTGGCCAACCACCCAGAACGCCTCCCTCATTAGTGACCGTGACAAGGGGTTGATTCCTGCTGTTAAAGAAGTGTTCCCATCCGAGCTTCCCCACTACTTTTGCAGCTGGCATTTGGAGCAAAATGTACTAAAGTTTGGCCCCAACGCCTCTGACCTCTTCCAGAAACTCGCAAACTGCCACACCAAGGCGAAGTTTGGGAAACTCGTGAGGAGATGTCGGGAGCAGTGCACTACAATGGCAAACTATCTTTTTGGGGTTGAAGAAGGCCGTGCGCAACAGACCGGTAACCGACGCGGAACCAACCAGCCAGCTAGCGTGCCAGAGTCAGGAGATGAGTTTAGGAGCATGAATAGTGCCGCTAAAAGGGCAAGAAGGGCGAGGATGGAGATGCGGCGGCAAAGACGGCGTCAAAGCAGGGGAGAGCAGCAGCATGCAACGCGTGAATCTCCCCACACAGATCGTGATGCCAACCCCAAAACGGCAACAAATGATACCACCAACCACACCCTTCCCTCCATGCCTCCATCCCCGGCTGCCGACATACGTGATTCATCGGCTCGAGAAACCGCACCACCATTTGTGCTCCCTTCTTTCACAGACGATAACCAGGGAGATCAGCCGGCACCTTTGGACGATAATCCACCAGAAACAGATGCCACACCAGAAGTGTTCAATGACCAGTTCGAGGTAGAGGACGGGAGTCAAATCAGCTGCGGGGAGGGTTCCGGGGATGAGGCGTGTATGGATAATGGCCAGAGCTCACATTCGAACGCTACAGGGACAAATCCAACGCTATCCAATGCAGCTGCGCAACAAGCAGCCAAGATGCGCCAACGGCGGAAGGAGATTCTTAGGGGGAAACGGGATGCAAGGGTTCGAAATGCCAGGGGCTTCGACACCAGGGCAACAACCGACCCACAGTTGCCTACGCAAGAAAGCCAAACGCAACGTCATCCACCACTTCAGCAACGTGTTACCCCTCGCATGGATCGGCGCAACGAAGCAGCACGGTGTGCGGACGTCATCGGCGATCCAGAGACGGGGTTGAGTGGGATGGGCAATGAGGATGCTCGGCAAGGGGCCGGGGACCAGATGGAGGAAGGTGCGGGTATCATTGTTCGCACGGGACAGGATGGACCGAGGTACAAGAGGAAGAAGAAAATTATTGTCTTCATCAAGCAATGGGCACGGTGTTATGCCCCCACATGTCGTTTTGGCATCTACAGCAGCCAAATGGTGGAGTCCATAAACAACGCTATCAAGAAGATCCGTATACTGCCCGTGTCGTACGTAATGGCCGGCATGTGGGATTGGATGTCAAAGATCTACTCGGACGGGCAACGAAAGTCTTCAAACTGCGCAGCATGTATTGACGGTCGAGGGTGAGAAGCGGTTTGGCTGAAGAAGAACCGAAGCCGTGGTTATAGGGTCACACGCAACGGCCCAAGCAAGGCTATGGTTCGAAACAAGGGGTCGCTTCTGGATCAACGTCCTTTATCCTTCAACAATGATGTGGGAGAGAGAATGTGCGAGTGCAAAAACTGGCAGGAGTATCGTTTCCCATGCTCACATGCGTTTGCACACTTACGAGAAAGGGTAATGGATCCTATTCCCTTGATTTCCAGGTATTGGAAGGCTGACAACTGGAGAAGGACTTACGGGTCTCTCATCCCATATTCGTGTGTAGACACGGTTATTGCTGAAACCGAGCCAGTTGAGGAGGGAGTTCGTGATGCCCCTGTTTTTGTGCAGAGAGGAGCAGGGCGGCCACAATCAAATCGAAGGCGTGAAGCCCCTAAAAAGAGATACAAGTGTGGCGACTCTGGGTCGACTGATCATACCAGGAAGAAGTGTAAGGGGAAATATGGGGGGTCAGGGGTGTATCACGTGGCAAACTAGTAGTAAGCGGAAAAGATTAATTGCGAACTATTGACTACTGCATAAGAGTCTTAGGGAATGTGGTACGTTGCATGCTATTTGCTACTAGGAGAATATAGGCAACGATTTGCCATAAGATAACCAGTTGAAGATATATGAAACTCCATATGACCGGTCATAAACATTACTGCCCTTGACCAGTTACATTCACACGTGCAAACGAACGGTCGTATACAAACGCACAAATTACGGGTCACATACATACGCGCATATGACCGGTCATATACTCTTGCGCACATGCGCGGTCACAAACTATTGCGCATATGACCGGTCATATACTCACGCGCATAATACAGGTTAAAAACATACGAGCATACGACCGGATCATTGACGCGGGTTTAAGGGTTTGATGTTACCGGTCGAGCTAAACGTTACGTGCCAAGTACGGATACATATAAGTTTAACAATGATGATAACTATGAACATAAGTAGTGCTTGTTATGGTCTAATTTCCATTATACAATTTTGCAACACGAAATTTGGTTCAGTACACAAAGGAATATGCGCATCAATGTATCAAAATGTCATGATATTGTATACAAGGATGAATCAATGTTGTAGTGCACAGTAACTAGCAAGACGACTGCCTCAATTTGATAGTGATTATTAAAGGTTCCCATAAATCGTAACACCACATCATAAGCATACAACAACCCAGGACAGCCCATGTAACACACCCACTTGTAATATTTTGCCAACGAGTTACAATACTTTCAAGAAAGGAATGGTGGTTTGACTAAGGTTGGTTGGGGTATGCAAACCTCACCTTTATTTTTTTACCACAAATACATTCACAAAACCACGCTTCCATTTTTAGGCCCCCTAATTTTAAGAAACTTCAGTGATATTAATTGCTGGTGTCATTTAGTAACACCATAAACTGGGCCCATACACATGAACATGGTATGCATCAACCGTGCTAAGAAAACGTCCAGATTTGTGTTGGGGTAGCCCAGATGGGGTACAACCCAAAAGTATTGTTAGTACTTGTACCCACATTTCATCCGGTGCATTCATTCCAGACTATTATTCTGACAATGCAATGGTTGCAAACCACAGTTGCAACCACATTAGGTAACAATTTTGATACGTGTAGGTGTAACCATCACGACCGGACCGTTCATGAGTGACACACACAACCTTCGCTCTCTCTTATTTGTTTCTAGCGTTGTTCGAGTTCGTGACACATCCAAGATGTCTAGAGTCCACATTGCTTGGATTGTGACCATTTTAACACTCATGAGTCATGCTTCCTAAACATTATCGTTGTGCAACATGATAATATATTGAATTAGGTTATATGTATTGCACATATTCATGTATCGTTAGCCGACCATATATGGCGCGTTGACAAGGCGCTCTAAAAAGCGTATTACACTTAATGATCGGCGATGTAAGACGTGCAAAAGACCGGTCATGCACGCACGCGGTTTTTGCTGGTCTTATTGCACGCGTATATGACCGGCCATTTACCGGGTGCCTTTCATTGGTCTATGTTAGTGCCGAAGATGGTTGCAATCACATCCTCGAGTGGACTTCTCAAGAGATGCGTGTTTTCTCTGTGTGTGAGTCGAACTGTCAAAACATTTTTTCGCACGTAACCGCGCAACCATGAGGTCCGAGCCGGTAGTTTATTAGTCGAGATTGAAATGAAAGATTCGCAGCACAACAAGATCGCACACGAAATCCAGTTACCTTCGAATTGATCGCGAGCTACATAAATGATCCGCACGAGGTTTCTAACCTAAACCACGGCGTGGTTAACCCATCAGTTACTGATCGATCATATTACAGCCATCAAGTCACAAAGCACTGACAATTAGGGCTTGCGGTAGATTAGTGACACTACTATAACTCATTGGTCTTAGGTCGGGACGACTCTACCTAGCATCACCTCGTACTTACGTGACTCTATTGCGGACGGGGAGTTGGAAAGCGTTACTATGTCAGGTCGTGCCGCTCGTGGTAGGAAAGCCACAAAGAACACCCGTGATGACACACCGGCGGGGAAACTCACGCGAAAACAGGAAAATATGTCACATCCCGACGTAGATTCAGGCGACGATGACGGGCTTCGTCGGAGCGATAGGCTGAAGTCGGCGCATGCACACCCTTCGTCTACCAAAGAGCAGTGCGCCATGCCTCTTGAGTTAGTGGTATTGAACAAGGTGGCCCCTCACGATTACGGCGTGGAGCCCCCTTTTGATACGCCGTTGGTAGACTCTCCGCCGGATGACCTTATCGCAAAAATCACGGCAGATGTTAAAATCCCACTTCTCAATACTCATGATAAGTCTAGAGCTACTGCGGTCAAGTTAAAGCATCCGTTTTTTCCAACCAATGCGATTCGCGATCATCACGGAATGACGGCAATTATCACGATGGCCGACGCTCTACACATCACCGATAAACAGCCGATCACGCAACCTCTGATAGATTTCCATAACATGTGAGTGTCATACCGCATAGTTTTTGCATCAGTTGCCGGAGTTGTTGGGTCATTATCACGATGGCCGGTGTTGTTGCCATACCCTTGCCTCTTGATTCTAACGCAAACGTCTCTCTCTTGCTTGTGCTCTATTCAATGGCTGTGTCAACGCAGAGTGCTCAACATCCGCCGGCCCAAGTTGAGCAACGGCAAGACGTGGCTAGCATTGGACAGTCAGAGTTACGATTACTTCTGTTCACGAGGCAAGATCGCCAGAGGAGACACGGGACAGTCGATCTTCAGCTACGACTATCTTGCCATGCCAATCTATGGCGGGTAAGTGGCAGTATCATGATGCGTTTGTCTTGCCTACACGCTAATGTCTTCTGCCGTTGTAATGTCTAAGCAGTGACAACTATTGTGTTATGTACGGATGATGCAGATTACATTTCAGTGTGATTATTGTCGTCAACCCTGGAGTTGTGGCTCTCCCCCTCGACGAGGACAGCACCACAGAGCCTGCGTGGTTGCTGCTGTATGACTCCCTCGGGATGCATGCTGCGGGGGGTAATGCTTTCAAGAGCATGACCAAGTAAGCTTTCGTCAGTGGTTGCGTACACCCATTCCCATACAATCACTTAGACATAACACTGCTGGCTTATGTTTCATTTAACCAAACCCTAATCGGTTTTTTTTTCTTCACAAATTGGACCTTGTCATAGCTTGCTTGGCATGGCCTTCGAGAAGGAGCATGAAAACCGCACGATAGAAGAGTTGAAGGCGAGGCTTGGGCGATTCAAGCCACAGGTCATGCAGGTGCGTTGACCGGTAGAACGCTCGTGTACCTCCTCGCGTTATGCATGTTCAGCCTACAGATTGTTGCAGTTTGTTACAGTCTGCATGGTGCGCCTGTGGCATAGTACATTGTACATACCACCCTATAACAAGTGATGATTGTGTACTCTATAGTTTGTTCTTATTTACTCTACATGGGGCGTTCGTGTTTTGCAGGCATGGCAGATGCCTCTGCAGCAGAACGATTATGACTGTGGCATCTTCGTATGCCAGTACATTCAAGCGCTAGTGGAGGCGTGCTTCGATGGTGCTGAGAATGGGGTGCGGTTCAGCATGAGCCCACTAGCATACCGACGTGGGTTACGAGAGGATGTGTGCGCCCTTGCAGAAGGACGACTGATAGGCGAGCTAACGGCAGCTGGGCATGAGATCCCTCCTGGCAATGAGATTAGGAAACCACATGAGCCGGAGGTGATTGGTGATGAGGTGGAGGATAGAGAGTGGAGAGCGAAGATGGCAGATCGGATGCATAGGCTGGAGGTTCGCAGTGAGAGTCAGGCAGTGGCCATTGCCAAGCTCGAGAGGCAATTGCGTGAGCTGATGCTTTCCTGTACTCCACAGCCTGGCGTTGGCGGTGACGCTGCAGGGGACGGGCATGGTGATGTGGGAGGTGATGATGGACGAGGTGAACCTGCACATGTGGAAGTCATGGCTGGGGACAATGCTGGCACCCGTGACATCATGAGAGGTGCACATGTTGAAGGTCCTGGGGCTGACGCTGAGACGGGTGAAGGTGGGAAGGTCGGTATGCGTGACGGCGTTGGGGAGGGTGATATGGCTGACGGTGCGACGAATGACAATGAGAAAGTGGGGGTGCGGGTTGAAGATGCCGGAGGCTTGTTGGGTACTACGGATGGTAACAAAGGTGCTAGAGAGGCCGTGGGTACTGGGCAAGGTGTGACAGCATCGAATGTGGATGTGGATTTGGTGTCAGCATACAGCACGGGGACTGAGACGACGAGTCGCAACACTGCGCGTGGTCGAGCTCCTAGCTCAGGTTATACTGGTGTGAGCAGACGGGAAGGTAAGTGGGCGGCACGACTGTGCGTAGATAGCGTTGAAAACAAGTGGCTTGCGTTGGGACGGTATACCGAGACCTTGGATGCCGCAAAAGCATTTGCGGCAGCCGCCCACATCTGCCGACCGTCTCTCTCCAGCTCTAAGATGGTGGAGTTGAGTGTGGAGGAGAGGAGGTGCTTGGAGGGTCTGACGTCGCAAGGGGTTGAGAGGATAGTGGAGGCCAAGCGGTGGGCAGAGTGGAGGAAATGGCGTACAGTGCTCAGCAGCCTCCCTGAGCCTTCCACCCTAGCACCAGCAGGAGTTCACACACATGCTCCACCTCCCTTTTCCCTCCAGCACCCTGGAGCCACGTTTGGCAACTACCACCCGCCAGCCGCCGCCTTCGCGGGACACGCCGGTGGAACCACAGGACCTGGTGGATGGCAGCCATACACCCAGAGCCACCCTCCTCCCAACCTCCATTTTCCATCCCAGCAGTTCGCATTCAACCAAATACCTATCCATCCATTCAGCCATGTGCAAGCACCTATCTCCGTACACCCAGCCCCTTCAGTACACATTGCTCCCAACCCTGCAGGCAATACCGCTGCACAGAACACTGCACCCCATCCGCATGTCCAATCCACACCACCAGCCGTTGCACCTGGCACGGCACATCCAGTAACAGACCCACAAGCCCTACAAATTCCGCCCTCTGAGCAAACTGCTCAGGCCAGGGTAGCTGGCATGACGGAATCACAGCACAGCTTGAGCATGTCGACTTCACCCAACAATCCCAACCCCCCTTCTCACGGCTCCGCACTGGCAAGCGAACCGGCACAAGGTGAGATGTGTGGTTGTGTCAGAGTAGTGCTTATCCAAAGCCCGTATTTTCTCTCACAATGCATTAAACCTTTGAACTTGTTTGCTGAACGTGTGCAGGGGCAGCGGACGACATCATCGATGCGTTCCTCGGTCAAGCAACGCAATAATTGTCGTGACTTATGATCAATATGAAATTGCGTGATCCGTAAACATGAAATTGTGGTGGTTAAATCATTGTGGACATGCGTAGAGCTTGACATGCCTGGAGGCTTAGCCTAATAACCCTTTGCCTCCGACTGCTACATGAAAGGTACTCACATTACTGAGGAAAGTAGCTAAAACACCGGGATAATATGTTTATGGAATTAATAAACAAGTGTTATATGAACCCCACAGCAGACACATTGTTGATCATCACATATGCGCGCTCATATAAGTTAATGCGCGGTCTTATGAAACCAATATTATGACCGTTGTATACGATTGGACGCGCAAAATGCCCCACGCATGAAAGTGACCAATCGCGCGCGGTCATTTAAAGTCGCTCACGTTGATGGCCGTGCATTTCCGTATTTGGTCGGGGAATCATATAATTGTGCTCCGATTGGTCATTCTTTTTACCAAATTTGACCGCCATATGACAGTTCGCATATAACAGACCAATCAGACGCACTCTGAAAGTGGTCGCGCATATGGACAGCCGTGCAATTGAGTATATGATCGGGGAATCAAATTACTGTGCGCGGATTGGTCACGATTTGGACCGACACTGAGCGCGATTGTTCGCCAACATGACCGTGTTTGTTTTTGTCGTGTATCTGAATAGTGACGTGGCCGCCCTCGCGCACGTCACCTGGGCTAAACTTGAAAATAGTACGCCACGTTTTCGCGGGAAGAGACACGTTCGGCGGAACAATTTCGGGGCTACGGAACCCAAAACGGGTAATGTGACGGGGAAAAAAAAAGCAGCAGGGAAACTTCTGGCAAGACCACTCGAGCAATTATCATCGAATTGTAGGACCACGCGAGCAATTCCAGGCCACGTGTGCAACGGCAAATCACCAAACAAGGGTCTAGATAAATTCTCTTGGAGAGTCGAGATTGAACCTCAACTGGATACTGTACAAGTTTAGGCAGGATCAACTTATGAAATGTTTTTCAGGTGAAAGATTATTGAAGTTGTGTATCTAATTGCTAAGCCAGTGCATTATCAGTCAAGTCTGGGTGTATACCATATTAGTGTACAAAAGAAAACATGCAAAAACACCAACACATGCATTGATCATCAAGCCAACCACCAAGCAGGTCACTACAAGGAGAGATTTCAAGAGACCCACTGGCATGCCACTAGCCGTTTCATCTCATCTCATTTGATGATACTACCGCACCGCCATGTGTGTGACGTGTCATCTTATCTTGTGTCAAAGCGTCAACCTACACTCGGCCCCATACCAAAGCATGTTTGTTTTTGGCTCACGTCTGTATCTCGTCTCATGTCAAAGCATCACCCTGCACTTGGCACATCCACCACCACCTCTTCACCACCACCCGCTTCATCTCTCCGTTCCTTCCCTTCACTTCCTTCCAGCACCGCAATCTCCTCCCCTCTCCGCCTCCCACTCCCACTCCGCCTCCCGCCCCCACTCACACTCCTCGGCACGCCACTGCTATCCACACTCTCGTCCCCGGCTCCACCTGCCATATAACCATCCGGCATTCTCCCAAGCTCCACTATCTGATCCGCAATCCTCCCTCCTTCGTCATCTGTCAGTCGTGTTGCTTCTACTAAATCATATTCTGACTGCCTCTTATTGACTGGTGATCTGCCGGACAGGCCGGGGGAACTGAGACGAGACGACCCGTGGTGGTGGGGAGAGTTTCGCTTTGAACCTTGCCCTGGGGAGCCTTTCCATGAGCCTACTGGGGAGGCTCGGCGAGACCCTGGCATGGAGGCTGGGGAGGTTCGGCGGGAGTTGGGTCGGGAGGTGCGGTTATGCATGGCAGGAAGAATGGGGGCTTCTGATTCGTCAACTGCTGCTGCTAGGTCTGTCACACTCGTTCCTCCCGCCTCCAGCCCCCCTACCCCCCCTCCTCCTAGCCCTCCCGCTCTTCCTGATCCTACTCGAGGCACTGGTACTAAATTGACTGCTACTCCTGCTACACCTGCAGCCGCCGCCACCGCTGCTGCTGTTCCTGCCGGCACTGCAGCAGCAGCAGGGTCTGACGGCGTCGAATTGTACTGAGCATACGGGGCATAGGGGACCAAACCATTCATGTACGGCACCCCGTTTCCGTTCCTCTGCGCGTCGTCATGCGCGTGCCCGTTGGTATTCGCCGTTGGTATCAGAGCACGGTTGGAAGAGGAGGCAGGGTCGGTAACGGGAGGTACGGCGGGGGGAGGTTCGGGGGCGTCGGCTCGGAAGTTGTGGCGGGAGGGAGGGATGGGCGAGCAGAGCACGGAGCGCCAATTGCGCAGGCAGCCACGGTTGTAGGGATTGGCTTTCTTCTCATAGCGCGCTCGAAAGTTCTCATATGTGGTCTGATGAAGGGCGGGGGGGGGGGGGGGGGAATGGGAAACGGAAGAAAAGGGGAAACAGCAACTATCTCAGTCTCTTTTTGGGGTGAGGGTTGGTCCTTCTTCTTGTACCGTGCACATACATAGTGAGTGGAGAGGAAGAGAGAATGATGTTGACCTGTGCTGAAGTGACCTTGTCAAGTCCAGCAGTGTGTTCTTTGGCGGTAAATCCAAATAACCCCTTAACAAAGAAGAAATTAATCGATTCAAACAGCACACCTGGTTGCGCTAGATGAGGAAGGAGTGGAAACCTGTGAGTCCCCCAACGAACCACACCATGATGAACGTGTATACCATCAGCACCGCCGCCATGTACCCCTTTCCCAGCGGTTAACCGCTAAAGGAGGGGAAATAGCAGCCCACCACAAGCCACACACCTGGTTGCGCGAGATGAGGAAGGAATGGAAGCCCGTCAGCCCGCCAACGAACCACACCATGATAAACGTGTATACCATCAGCACCGCCGCCATGTACCCCTTTCCCAGCGCCTCTAAAAGGGATATGCTCTCTCCGCTGGCGCCCGGGTAGGAGTTGTCTACGAGGAGTTTGATGTAGAAGGCTGAGAGGGTGAAGACGAAGATGCAGAGCAGCGTGGTGGTGGTGACGAAGAGGAAAAAGAAGGGGTAGTTGCGCTGGCGGAGTGGTGGGGGAATGGGGAGAGGGAGAGAAAGGGAGGAGAGGGAGAGAAAGGGAGGAGAGGGAGAGAAAGGGAGGAGAGGGAGAGAAAGGGAGGAGAAGTATGGGTAGGAGGGAGGGTTACGGGGGAGAAGGGGGAGTAATTGCTTGTGGCTTGGGATAACACGAAGTCAAGAGGAGTCTGCCTTGGAAAAATGGAGGTAAGAATTCTGCATGTCAGCAGTGACGCGCATGATGGGGTGAGACCGTGAGAGAGACAGCTGTGATCACAGCAGTGACATTATTCGCTGTGCATCCCCTCACCCTCACCCTCACCCTCACCCTCCCGGCACACCGTCCATGATTCGCTCTCCTCCATCTGCCCTAAGCCTGAAATCCCCGGACCTGAAAGATTCTCCCCTCACTCTCACCCTCCCCCCCCCCCCCCCCCCCCCTTCTGTTCCCAAGCCACCCATGGTTCGCTCTCCCCAACCACTGTAACCGTCAAATCCAGCAAACTCCAAATCCCAAACCCTGAATCCAATCCCCAGCCACGGCACGGCTCACCCTGCCAATGCACTGCCCCACCCATGGCTCACCCAGCCAATGCACTGCCCCAACCATGGCTCACCCCGCCCCACCTTAAAGCCCAACAACACCCATGGCTCACCCTGCCAATGCACTGCCCCACCCATGGCTCACCCGGCCAATGCACTGCCCCAACCATGGCTCACCCCGCCCCACCTTAAAGCCCAACAACACCCGTGGCTCACCCTGCCAATGCACTGCCCCACCCTCAACTCACCCGGCCAATGCACTGCCCCACCCACGGGCAGTGGTGGTCGAATTTCTCGATGCAGTTGTCGCATATGCTGCAGTGGGAGCATCTGGGCGGCCTGGTTTGTCGTCATTCAGGTGGAGGGAGGGAGGGACGGAGGGAGGGAGGGGAGGGAAAGGGATGGGACAGTAGGATTGAAGGCGATGAAAAGGTTATTCGGCTCATTTAAGGCACATCAAAGCACTCCTTCTTCAACATCAAAGCTCCTCAAAACACTCAAAGCACCTACCGGTGCAACAGGCAATGTGTTGCAGGTAATTGACTGACAAAATCATCACCACATCTTCTGCTCTTGCTTCAAGTCGCCTCAAGCCCAAGACATGCACCCATTGAGTATAGAGCGTTCCATGCACCCACTTTTGTTATGTTTTAAGTCTCAAAGCACCCACCGGTGATTGACTTTGACCGTGTGCCTGTTCACCACCACCTCTTTTGCTTGTGCTGTGAGCCCCTTCAAGGCAGGCACGCACAAGAACACAGAGCACACAACAGACTCTCCAGCCCAACCACCCACTAATACAGCAGGTTCTCACCGGTACAGCAGGTTCTCACCGGTACAGCAGGTTCTCACCGGTACAGCAGGTTCTCACCGGTACAGCAGGTTCTCACCGGTACAGCAGGTTCTCACCGGTACAGCAGGTTCTCACCGGTACAGCAGGTTCTCACCGGTACAGCAGGTTCTCACCGGTACAGCAGGTTCTCACCGGTACAGCAGGTTCTCACCGGTACAGCAGGTTCTCACCGGTACAGCAGGTTCTCACCGGTACAGCAGGTTCTCACCGGTACAGCAGGTTCTCACCGGTACAGCAGGTTCTCACCTGTACAGCAGGTTCTCACCGGTACAGCAGGTTCTCACCGGTACAGCAGGTTCTCACCGGTACAGCAGGTTCTCACCGGTACAGCAGGTTCTCACCGGTACAGCAGGCAGGTGTCGCAGTATTTCACTTTGACCGTATGCCCATTCACCACCACCTCCTTGGCCCGCAGTGTGCGGCTGAGCCCCTTCGAGTGAAGCACACACAAGAGCACAGAACATACATCAGAATCTCCAACACACCCACCAACCCACCGGTACAGCAGGCAGGTGTCGCAGTATTTCACTTTGACCGTATGGCCGTTCACCACCACCTCCTTGGCCCGTGCTGTGAGTCCGCTAAGGGCAAGCACACACAAAAGCACAGAGCACACAGTGTACCCTCCAACCCACCCACCGGTACAGCAGGCACGTGTCGCAGTATTTCACTTTGACCGTATGGCCGTTCACCACCACCTCCTTGGATAGCAGTGTGAAGCTGAGCCCCTTCGAGGGACGCACACACAAGATCACAGAACATATAACAGACTCTCCAACATACCCACCCACCCACCGGTACAGCAGGCACGTGTCACAGTATTTCACTTTGACCGTGTGGCCGTTCACCACCACCTCCTTGGCTCGTGGCAGCTTCTTCGGCGCCCCTCCCGCTCCCTGCTCCCCCGCCTCCTCATCTGGCTGTGGTGGCACGAGGTTGCGAGGTACGATGCCCGGGTCCCTGCTCGCTGTCACGAGCAGGATGAAAAGATTCTGGCGAAGGGAGTTGAAGAGGGGGGGAGGGGGGGGGTAAGGGAATAAGGGCGAAGTTGGCGTCGTCTCCTCTCCTCATCTGGCTGTGGTGGCATCGAGTTGTACGATGCCATGGTCCCTCCTGCTCGCTCTCACAAGCAGGATGAAGAGATTCTGAGGGAGCGAGGGGGGATGCGGAAGGGAAAACGAGGGGAGGGGGTGGGAGGGAGGAAATGAGATAGTAAGATCACCTCCCCTCCTCATCTGGCTGTGGTGGCACGAGATTGTGAGGTACGATGCCGGGATCCCTGCTTGCTGTCACGAGCAGGATGAAAAGATTCTGAGGGAGCAACGGGGACAAGGCGGACGCGGGGAAGGAGGCGGGGAGGGTGGGGAGGTTGTGGTATTTGTGTGGTACACCGAGGGAGAGAGGTAGAGGAGGGGGGGGGGGGGGGAGAAGAGAAGGGGAGGGAGGGGCTTTTGTAAGGGGCCTTTCAAAAAGGGGGCGGGGAGGGTGGGGTGGTTGTGGTATTTGTGTGGTACTCTGAGGGAGAGAGGTAGAGGCGGGGGGGGGACAGCTGGAAACGGGCAGAGACGAAGAGGAAATTTCTCTTGGAAGCTTGATGATGTAAGGACTTTGGTGGAGAGGGGGGGGAGGGCGGGAAGGAGGGGAGGGAAGGGAGGTAGGGGAGAAAAGGGAGGGGACAGAGGGGAGGGTAGGGAGGTGGGGACGTGGGTTTTACTGGGAGAAATTTGTACGGGAGGAAGGACCCAAGCCCTAGAGCATGTACATACCTTCGAGAAGGAAGGAACCAAACACGTACGTACCTTCGAGGAGGAAGGAACCAAACACGTACGTACCTTCGAGGGTATTGCATGTACCTACTTAAGGGTCCTGCTTAATGAGACCGAAAATTTGAGGGCTTATGAGAAAGGCTTATGAACCAAAAATGCGTACCCAGATGACGAAGCAGATAGAAACGGGGAGCACAGCGATGCCTCCTGGAAGCTTCCCCGCGTAGGGTGCAGCAACGAAGATGCAGAAGAGTGTGCCGGGCACGAGGATGAGGACGAAGGAGATGACCAGCGAACGTACGTCCGGGCCGAAGATGAAACGCCCCCAGCACAAGAAACGCTGGGGAAGCGTACGGGTGGGGAGGGGGCGGGGGGGAAAGAGAAGGGGAGGATGGGAGAATGGGAGAGGGGAAAGTGGGGATGGTAGGGGCGAGGGGGAATGAGAGGCGGATGGGGAAAGTCGGGGTGGGTGAGGAGGGGGAGGGACGCGCAAGGGGAGGGAAAAGAGGGGGGAGACGGAAGAGGGTGTGGAGAAGGAGGGTGGGAGCCTGGGAGGTAAATTGGACAGGAACAAGCTGGCCACTGTGGCTTGTCCCGGGTTGCATGAATACATGAATGCATGGGAGCATGGGTGCATGGCTGCATGGTGCAAGGGTGCACGGGTGCATGGGTGCATGAATGCGTGAATGCATGACGGCATGGTTGCATGGGTGCATGGGTGCATGAATGCATGAGTGCATAGGTGCAAGGCTGCATCGGAGGACGAATGGATGGGGGGATGGGAGAGGCTGCATGGGTGCATGGGTGCGTGGATGCATGCATGGCAGCAAGGGTGTATGGGTGCATGGACGCATGGTACATGGCCACACGGCTGCATGACTGCATGGCTGCATAATTGTATGTGAGCATCGCTGCATGGCTGCAGGGTGCATGGCTGTACGGTGAAAGGCTGCAGGGTGCATGGGTACATGGCTGGAAGGGCGATGCATGCTTACATTGCTGCCTTTCCACGCCTGGTAAACCTTCGTCATGCTGACGTCCGACAGAGCCGTTGCTGACGCAGGCCTGACGTCATTCTACCCCGTTCCCTCCGCCTCCAATCGAATCAAACCACGTAGTCCCACAACCTGCTTCTCAGACTTCGAACCCTAACTCAGTCTTGTATCGGATGTTGTCTCGACTTCACTTCAACAAATATGTAGAACTGCGCGAGTCGATGTCGTGTCGATGGATTTCCTCGATAATACTACAAGGTGCCGGGCGAGAAGGCCGAAAAAGATCAGCTTCTTACTGTTTGGTCTATAGATGTATTCGTGAAAATTAGCTTGATCTATTAGAACGCGACTTCTACTTTATACAATAATATTGAAAAACACTGATTCGCACGGCACTGCTCCTAAAAAGCCTGAAAGGTTAGCGGCGTTTGCGGAACGAGTCGTCGACAAACGCGTACGGAATGTTGCAGGACCCAAAGACTGCAACGTCAGAACTAAACCAGTCAGTTTATAGAGACGGAAAAGAGCCCGAATCTGTCGAAGCTAACATTAGGGCGTGACAAACAGGGTAGTCAGAGCCAAGTCGTGAGAGTGCAGCAGGCATCTACACTCGAGTCGTTAATACGAGTAAAATGTCACGATTCGTGCCGAAGCCAGACGTAGAAACTACACAGCGATGCAACGGCTCTCTAGAGCTCTATGGAATGACAGCGACGTGAGGATACTATTTACTATTTAGGGCGTGTAACTTTTTCTCTTTTTGACAGTACGTACCCCACACGAAATTGGTATCCGGATCTCGTCAAAACCCGCATGATCTGCAATTCGATAACGAGCTTTGACGGTACGTACCGTGAGCGGGATACCCTTTTCGCATACGGTCCGTACGGAAAAAGTTACACGCCCTTAGCTGGTGTTGTGTTCACTGGGAGGGAACTGGGCGGTGTAGAACCACTGGTGGTAAGATGCGTACGCGTTTTTGCGCAAAAGCTGTTTCGTTTGAGTTTGATGCTTGTGTCTGTTTGGGGGACACTCGCGTCACGGGAGGTCAGGGTGGTACGAAATGGTAGTTCGCGGTTCGTTGTGGTCTCGAGGTCGTACGATTGGGGGTTGTGAGCTGAGAATCTCGAGGTTGGAAATTGGACGTCGTGCAATCGCTCGCCACCGTACTTAGCAGACGCTATTAATCTCTCAACCCTACGGAACCGCGTTGAGACTCCCTTTTCCAATTGCATGGAGTGGTAGTGATTCTGTGCGGTGTGGGCTGCGTCGTCGATGGAGTTCCACAAAATGGTTTGAATCAATCATTCAACGACCTCGGCATGTGCTCTAATATTTACTGTGAAATGGGGTTTGTCACAGTAAGGATTCCTGCCTTATCGAATACAAATTCCTCGGTCGCTGACACCACTCGAAGCGCCTTGCACCAAAAGCTGGAACGGTCATGCGAACTGTGCGACGCGCATTTTCCTGACCTGAATGCTGGTTACAGCAACAGCAGATTTCGCTCTGCGGCGTCAGCGCGTTTCGGCCCCACCCCCACTGCCCCTTTCCATCCTGCTACTTCCCGCAACCCCAAATTGCCCGCGGGATTCCCTATTGGCCTGGTTTTGCTTCCGCTCCTCCTGGCTCCCCCATAGGCGGAGAGATCACCCGAAACCAGCGCGAATTGATTGGCGACAGCATCGGATGAATGACGGGCGACATCTCAAACCAGACGAGATGACTTGTCGAGCCGCTTCGTACAACTGTCGATGGCAGACTGTCGCGCGCAGCCACACCTCCTGACCGCAACTTTCGGTTTGGTTTCGAAAGTCAAGTTCGATTCACCGCAATTAACTACGATCAAACGCTTTTTTTCCAGAAGAACCAGCTCGCAACTTTGCCAATATAGCCTTGATTCCCAAGCAGCAGACTTGATTGGTTGGCTCACAAGCGAAGCTCAAGCAGTAGCAAGCACAGTCGAGCTTTCCTGTCAGTGAGCTCAACAAAGAGTGCCAATTGTGCTTTCGCCCCAGCTCGTTTGTTCCCCTCCGCCTTTACTTCTCTGCTACGTCAAACTGGTTAGCTGCTATACCCCCCCGCGCATTCCCCATGTTCCAACTTTGATACCCCTCCCGCGCAGCTGCTGCGACTCCTCAAATTTGTCACTGCAAGACTTGTCTCCGAATCCCTCGGTTCTGTCTGATCCATCGGTTCTATCAGGACTAATACCGCCTGCCTCTTGCGACCTGCATGCCGCGGGTGCAGCCTCGTAGCGTGTCCTGGAAAGCATTTATCATTCCTCCCTGACTTGTTAGTTTCTTCTTCCACAAACACCGCTCGTACGGGCCAGTTCAAGAAAGCACCTGCTCGATCAGAATTTGAACTGCCGAGAAACAGTGTTCCAGCTCCGAGCCTTACGGGTTTCGCCGCTCGTTCTTACCGAATTCATATCTGCGTGTAGCTGCAGCTCCGTATTACACTCGCAGCACAGCAGGCAGCCACAGCGGCAACTCCGTACAACCTTTTACCGCAGAAAGAAACCCTCGCAGCCCTCGCAACCCTCAACTCTCCCGCAGCCCTCGCAGCGCAGCTCGCAGGCGTCGCAGCGGGTCGCCATGGCGAAGCCGCAGAAGTCGCTCAAGGGCAACATCTCGGAGATGTCGAAAAGCTTTCTGCGATTCGTCAACATCGTCATCGTCCTCGGCGCAATCTCCACCATCGCGCTGCAGTTCGTTATAAGGTCCTCGCCTACACTCACAGGCTGGGCATTCATCCTCCTCGGCATCCTCGTTATAATCTCGGGGCTTTTCGGTACAATTTCGTCCGGCCAAGCGGGATGCTTCAACTGCCACATGTTCTGCCTGGCCGTAAGCTCCGCCGGGTTATGCGCGTCGTTTCTCTGCACGTTCCTGCTTTTCAACAACACCGTCGATGCGGTTGATCCGACGATGTCCACAGAGGCAGTCGGCGAGCAGTACGTGCGAATCGTCGGCGCGCTATACTTCGTCCTCTTCGCCGCGCAGATGGTCGTTCTGCTGCTCGCGACCATGATCCACGTGTGCGGGTTCATTGACTATAACGAGGATCTCGAAGCGGTGGCTACGGCGAAGCTCGTCGCGAAGATGCAGCGCGAGGAGGAGGCGGAGCGGCGCGCGAACGCGGAGGCGGCTAGCGCCGCGGCTTCCTCGAAGCACCAGCTGTCGGATAAGATCAAGGGCAAGTACAAGCAGTGGACGCATGGCGAAGCGGCGCCTGCCATGTCGGATTATGACATGGAGGCTTCGCAGATGAGCGGAAGCAGAGGGTACCACGCCTGAAATGAAGTGCTTGTTTCCTGCCGTAGGCCTATGATTCTGATATTTACTCTTCAAGTCCTAGAAATATGGAGAGTCCTCTTAGATTCTCCTTGCCGTGCTTGCACAACTAACGTGCAAGGACCTATATTTTTAGTGGCATGATGTTGTCTGCAAGGAATTATGTCAACATTGGTACTTGGTGGCTAAGTTGCCACCATCAACCTGAGTGCAATATCACCTGGTTTCTGCATGCCATCTAGTCTACCTGAGGATATCATGCCACATGACTACCGTATGTGTTTCATTAATCCCATGCTGCCTGCTCTCTCCTCGACTTCTTGGCACCTTTGGAGGAGTCCTGACTGATTTGGAGGAGTTGAAAGCCTCTAGCGTGACACCTTTCCAGGTAGTAGGAAGGAAAGGAGTATATTGGATGACAAGGCTTCCATGCTTCCAAGCTTCCAATGCCTGATAATTCTCAAGGCAAAACTACCAGGTGGAGAGTCTGATAAGAGATAAGCTCAAAGATCTCTACGCCCTAGCTGCCTGCATCCTTGCTTGTGCTTCAGTATTTGTATAAGGTGGTTGGCAACAATCTCAGAAATTAAGCCATAGGCTGGGGGGGGGCCTTTTAGGCGAAAAAAATTATAAGAAATGCGAAATGCTAAGGACTGCACATATCAGTGCTATCTTCTGCGTAGGAGACTAGGGGAGTCAGCATCATGTGCTACCTCTTGGATGACGTGAAACCCTACTGCCGATCCAACTCTTCCCATCCATCACAGGTTTGCGTTTCCACGACGAAATCAAGCTTTGAGACGCCCCCAAACCCCAGAAGGGGTGAAAACCTAATCCCGGTTCTTCTCTTCATCCATCAGAGATTTGCGTCCCCATGAGGAAATTAGCGACCCCCACACGCGTTGCCCCCATGCTGCATCTGCCTGCAACACCCGGGCTGTTGGTGAGACAGGTTTCTTCTCAGAGGGTTGCCCTGCTTGCTTGGTGCCCTGATGATGGAAGTGGGAAGATCAAGGGGGGTTGTAAAGGTCTGAAATGGTCAATTTTTTAGCAGGGATGGGGAAGGGGCGCGTGTGGGGGGGAGGAGAGGTTTCATCGGAATTGTGGCAGACATGGATAATTGAAAGAGGGAAAGAGTTCCGCAATCCCCACGTGTGCTTCCCGTGCACTGCACGTGCCGGCATAACCCAGCTCCGAGCATTGAGTGTGTGGAAGCCATGAGGGATTGACACTGCTGAGATGATGAGCTGCAACAGGCAAGGGAGGATCTGCACCCCTGCGTGGGAAGACTACCCCACCACCCCCTTCCTCCAAGTCACTGTCCCCAGGCCGTATTTGCTTGGAGGCCTCGGAACTGTCACCAGGCCAAACTCTTCTCAAAGGGGCGGCCTTGATTCTTTATCAATGGCCAGTCGTGTGAGAGTAAGAAGGTTGTGTACGGGTTTTTTCTGAGGGAGATTGAGCTGGCAGCACGGGGGAGGCGGATGGCAGGTAACATTGGAAGGACGGAGTTGGGCTGACGGCACATGGGAGAATGTGAGACAACAAGGGGGTGAGATTGTGTTGGAAGCTGGGGAGGGGTTTAGGAACCGAAGCTGGGAACTGTTTCTGAAAACCTCAAAACTGCACGCGTGGTATTCCTGAGAGTGGGCGAGCAATCTCGGCCCTTCCAAACATCCTGGCCGTCACGAGCATAGGAAAATTCTGGAGAAAAACGGTGGCTCCAAGATCGTCCTTTTCGTTTTCAACTTCGCCCGCCCATTTTCACAAAAGGCACGCTCGAGGGCCAACGCCTCACCTCTTTTGCGTCTGGTTCCGGAGGGGAAGCCTCAGCACTCGTGTCTTCCTTCGAAACGACTGCCTTCTCCTCCCTAGCCTTCTTCTCGGCCTTCTCCTCCGCCTGCTCGCCGCTTCCCCTCTCCGCCTGTGCGGCGGGCGCTACAACCTCCTCCGCCAGCTCATTGCATGCAGCCGCCTCTGCCTTCTCCCCGTCCGCTTCCTGCAAACCGTTGGTGACAGTGGATCGCTCGGTCTTAGGCGGCCGTGACTGACAGTGCCTAGACTGGAGCCACATCTGAGACAGCTCAGTTGTACGGGACTCTAAAAACCGCTCGGTTGTAGGGTTGCCGCGACACTGTTTCAACTATCGATCGAACTCTAGACGTTCGTCAGTTCGGTATTTCTCTGACATTCGACGTGCTTCCACTTCTCGGCCCCAGTAAAAGATTTAAATGAGCCCTAACAGCAAGGAACACCAACCCTGAATACCGTACCTTCGCTGACGTATTCGCGCTTGCGAGCTCCGCCTCTTGAAACTCCGGAGCGGGCGCTACCGCGGCTGCCTTCACTGCGCCAGCGTCCGCCGTCCGGGGAAGAGGGGGAAGCTCCTCATTGTCCCAAGGGAGGTGCAGAAGCTGCTTTCCCTTGGCGTTAGAGACCACGGCTGTCTTATTCGGGCCTGGTTGCCACACGATATCTCCATTCTCTGTCACCATAATGATCTTGAACTCGATCCGTGACCCCGCAGGCAACACCTGACAAAAACGAAGGGGGGATTGACAATTAGGTTGGGCACAATTTGTTTGGTCGCTGAGACTAATTTCGAGTGATCATGTTCGTAGGTTCAGCTCGAGGTCACTAGGATTTAAGATTACTGACGGGAATTTAACACTGGGGGTTGAAATGGATGGAAGAACAGAGGTGTGAGAGAGGAAAGCAACTCACAGTTTGCGCCGACCAGACGTGGCCAGGCGACCATTCCATCTGAAGCGCTCTGCTCGGATCCCATTGGCCGAGTTCCGGCGCTCCTCCCACCACTCCGAAGGCCTGACCGAATCCGCATTCCCTGACCAGCGTGATCTGCACCATCACTCCCTTGGCGGAGTCCGCTGCATTTTCCGCAGTTGCACCTACAGCAACTGCAGCCAGGGGAGAATGAGTTGACAATAGAAGGAATCAGAAGGTATGGGATAGAAATTGAGCAGAGGAGGGATGGAAGGGGTAGCAAGCTGGTGTAAGGAACGGTGCTGAGTCAGCATACCTGCTGGTATTCTCTGGCAGCGGATCTGATCTGTTGCCTGCAAGACAGGAACCCACCGGGATAAGAAGGAACGTTTAGTCAGATTACACAGAATGCCGCTATTCCATAAACGATGATAACCAGCCGACTGTCGACATACCAGCTGTAGCTTGAACCGTTGCAGCACAGTCTTAGTTTCTGATTGTAGGGAGAAGGAGGACGCTGGAACGCTTGTTCTCAAGGGCACAGCAGCGTTTCGTAGTCTGGCTGTGGCTGAATGGCATCTGGGAAGAGACAAGCCTGGAGTCTCCATTTTAATGATTATGCGCGATAACACCATCTGCACAATGAGGAGAAACCGTCAATAAATGGATTACAGTCACCCGAAACGGCCGACCTGGTTAAGCACTCAGGTGCATGCAAGTGAGGGTGAAGCTGGGGACTGATTACGGTAGCACTAACGGAATTTGGCTAAGGATGTGGGAAAAGGGATGCTTGTAGCACTAACGGGCTAGGGAAAGCTGGACATTTGTGTGAGCACATTCATGCAAGGGAGAGGTGGAGCAGAAGGATCAGCAACAATCTTGGGGCTTCGTTCGCAAAAGGTCTTTGTTATGGGCTCGGCGGTGAGTTACGAATTAGCGAAGAGTGTAACGTGTCGCTGGCTTTAGTTGGGAAAAACTGATCTCGAGAAAAAGGACGACACGCTGGACTGCCAGTGCCAGGTGTCGACTCTCCGACCAAGCATCGGCTCATGCCACGTGTAGTCATAACCTTGCCTCCATATCGAAGGGTGCTACTGTCGGGTGCGCAATCTCCGCCATAAACAATCAATTTTGCTTAGTGGCGCCACGTTCCTGGTCCCGTATCGATCCCCTCGGGATTTGGGGGAGCCCTGTCAGCCCTCCTGAGAAGCTGGAATGCAAAGAAGTATCTGGAAGTTCAGTTTTTTTCCAGTTTATTGTTAGTGTTAGAAGTGTTAGAAAACATTTTCGTAGGTGTAGACACATTAGGTGAAAACACTTTTGACACGGCCTGACACAACACCTGAACAAGCCTTGATGTAGGAATTCAAATGTAGGCGGGAAAGAGTACGCGACTCGAATCCTGCAGTGCTTTGGCATGGTCAACGGCTTCGCTCCCCTCCCGAACAGACGGGCGGAGGCCTGGCGCGCTTCGTGCCTTCCATACGGGCGCCAACCTGCATGCCCCCAACCGGTCCTGGTTTCAACCTGATTCTCGGGCAGCACGTTAGTTGGAATTGACGGACTCGGTCTTATCGTCAAGTTCAAATCGACGCTCCAGAATTAACGAGCAGCATCTTGGTCTCAGAACCAAACGACTTCCGTCTCGACGCAAGCATGTGGCGATCTTTCCAAGCTTCGTCGGCTCTGCACCAATCAGCCTAGCTACCCATCCGTCCGTCCAACGTGATCCGTCAGCAATCAATCCTCCACGAACTTCGTCATTTCTCTCTCCAAGGCCAGAACAAGTCGCGTTTTCAGTAGACCGACCCCCTCGTTGATGCATAGAGACTGACTCGCTCAGCAGTCCGAACTTCGCGGAAAATATTATTCTCTGTTAGCAGGCAAGACCATTAAGCAGGCTCTCTTGTCGTAGTTCCGTTCTTGGACATGTCGATAGCTGCGTAGTTTTCCCGTAGACAAAGTGATAGTCGTCGGATTACATTATATTACAAGTTTAGACGCTTATGTTGCCAATGGAGTGGGGAGAGGTAGACGAGGGTCCCGATTCTATATCCGAAACTCCCGGTCACTCCTCTCCAGGAGCAACCGCGGAGTCTAGTCTAAGGAGGGAAAACATTGTAGCAACCGAATTTGTTGATATTAGTAGTCGTTCCGACTTCCCTACCAGCGCAATTCAGGGCCTGAATGAATCTCCAGCCAAGAGCTCCATTTATGCAGATGCGGTTTCTGAACCCGAGACACTAGACTTAATTCACCCGGAAGACTCGGAACAGGAAACCCTCGGAAGCCGGGAACCTGCGGAAGAAGAGTGGGACGGAAGAGTGAAGAAAGGAGCGAAGAAGGAAAACGTCAAACAGTACGAAAGCGTGGAGGAAGCGGGGAATCAGGAGCAGTTTTACCAGGCGGAGAGCGAGTCGGAGGTAGCTTGGCTGGATGGTTTTGCGGAATCAGTAGACTCGTCGGGTCTATTCTCCAACCTCACTGACGACCGCGCGGACGAGTCCCAGGAGGCGACGTCGGCGCTGTCCGCGCCGTCGGCCGTGGAACTCCCGCAGACGGGGGGTGGATTAACGGCTATGAGGCTATCGAACGAGGGTAGCGATACGGTGACTGAGGATAGAAGAGCGGGTTTGATAGCTGAGGCAGTCGATGTCGTGTGTCAGGAGAATGTGCAGGAGAAGGTAGAGGAGAAAACGCAGGATATAGTAGAGGAGGAAACGCAGGATATGGTAGAGGAGGAAACGCAAGAGAATATAGAGAAGACGCAGGAGGAGGTGCATGAGAATGTGCTGGAGGAAGTGCAGGATACATTGCAGGAGAAGCCAATAGAAGTCCAAGTGGAGGCAATGACGAGCCACGAGGTGGAGAGTGGCGAGAAGCTGGTGGTTCAAGGGATGCCTGCTGCTGAAGAAACGCCCGCGGGTGAAGAGACACCTGCGAGTCAAGAAATGATGGAGGTTTCCTCTGGGGTGGTAATGTCTTCGCACCGACCTCCTCAAACTAGTGACGACAAACAGCAGCAGGCAGAGCAGCAGCAGCAGCAGCAGCAGGCGCAGCAGGAGCAGGAGCAGCAGACTCCTCCAGTAAATCTCGAGGGGAATTCAGAGGAGGAATTGCTGGAGCAGAGACGTCAGGTCAAGGCAGAAGCTTCGGAGAAGTCACCGCAGACGACTTCCGTGGCTCTCGACGTCAGGAGCACGCAGCAGACACAGCAGACGGCTCCTAAGGAGCTCGTGAAACACTCGGAAGAACCGCCAGTGGCGGCACAACCAGCACAGCAGGAAGTGAAAGTAAGAGAAGTAGCGGGAACTGCGGAAGCGACTACGGAAGCATGGCGTCAGAAGAGTACTCTGATACGTGAGCTCGAGAGCACGCAGCAGCAGGAACAGAAGCAGGAGCAGGAGCAGGAGCAGCCGCCACAGCAGCAGGAGAAGCAGCGGCAGCAAGCTATCCCGGAGAATGCGGCGCTGGAGAAGCACGCGCAGTCGACACGTGAAGAGCGGCCGGAGAGGCCGGCTCGAATCGCTGCGAAGCAGCACGAGCAAGCGACGCTCGGTACGCAGCAGCAGGCGAGAACAGAGAAGCCACTTGCGGACGCGAACGCGCACGCGCACGCGCAGGACAGCATAAGTGCGAAGTTTTTCCCGGAGCAGAAACCGGGAGCAGGGAAGCTACGTGCAGCTGCGGACACGGAGGAGGAAAGCACTACGGAGCTGTTGCTTCCGTTAGGATTCTGATTGCTCTGATACGGCGACGAAGCCGCTTGTAACGGGCAGTAATCAAGCGGGAATAACAGAGCCGGCTTTGTTCTTTGATGCTCCGCAAAACCCGCCGCGTTCCACGGTGAGCGTCCAGGAAAAGGCTAGCAGCTCGCTGTTGACGCCGTACGCTCCCGAGAAGCCTCTTGTAACGGTCGGCAAGCAGCTTGTAACACCGCAGAGTGCGGCGGAACATGCGGAACGTACCCAGCTGCACCTGCTATCCCGAGATGCTACCCCGGAACGATTCGGACGTTCCCAGATCTCCCAGCCCTCGCACATCAGCCACGCCTCCCACACCGCCCACTCCGCCCACTCCGCCCACTCCGCGCACTCCGCCCACTCCGCCCACTCCGCCCAACCTGTGATCACCTTAGCTTCCCATATCACCCAGTTCACCCAGACCACCCAAGCAATCCAAGCTAACCCCATGATCGCCCAGGCGGCTAGTCCCATGGTTTCCCAAGCTAGCCCTCAGCGGTTCGGATGGACGCCACGGCCCAAGCCCGCACGCAGCGCGTCCCCGGACCCCTCGGATTTCGCCGATTTCCGACGTCCGTCAGAAGTTAACGGTTTCCGTCGATCCGTGGAGGTGACGTCGTCCGTCAGGGCGTCTGGAGATTTGCCGGCTCCGTCGTGGAGGAACGGCGGTTCGGATGGTGACGGGTGTTCTTTTATCGGGGGGCTTGTACGCGCCCCGAGCGAACGGACATTTGGGTTCGCGCCGCCAGAGCCGAGGAGAATGAGCCTTCCCGGAAACTACCGGCCGGAAAGTTACCGGCCGCAGGAGACTTACCGGCCACAGGAGGCGCTTTCGCCGGCGCGGAACGACGGGCCGGCTATTGGGTGGGTGGCCCGGCCGCGGGGGGCGAGGGGGAGTTTGGACGGGGGAAGCGGAGGAGGTGCGGGCGGAGCGGAAAGGCGTGCGCGGGGTGTTGCAAGCAGCGGTGAAGGAAGGGGAAGGATGTATGGCGGAAGCGCAAGCGCAAGCACGGAAGGGAGGTTCGGATTCGGCGCAGGCGGAGGGGAGATCCGCGGAGGGTTTTCCGCGGAAGGGAGGAGCGCGTATTACCCCGACGCGAAGGCAGGGGCGTACGGCGCTGGGGGAGCATATGGCGCAGCAGGGGAAGGCATCGGCGCGGGGGTCAGCGCGGGGTTCAGCGCGGGCGGCGGAAGCAGCGGAATTAGCGGAGGGGCGGAGTTCAGCAGCAGTGCGCTGATTGGTGCTGCGCATGGGCCGCAGCCTGTGACTGTAGCGGTGAACATTCGACCGCTTATATCGAGGGAGCTTACAACGAGGTGTATGGAGTGCGTCACTGTTCCCCCTGGAGGCGCGCCGCAGGTGTGTATGGGCGGTGGTGAGGGATAAGCGTGCAGAACAATTCGGTGCAGAGCGGTGGAGAATGGCGAGACGGCAAGAAGTGTGTGGTGGTTGGAGTGCTGCTTGATTGGTTTTCGACAGCCAGTGCCGGAGTGGTTCACCAGGCTTTTGAGTAAACTCAAAAGTCAGCTGATTGGTTCTCGACAGCCAGTACCCGAGTGGTTCACCAGATGTGTAGTGGGGACGGTGGTCGACCCATGCCTTCTTGTCGCTAACCTTTCGTTCTGCGCCCCTCCCCCATCCTTTTCCTTGACATCCCCCATCCTTCTCCTCGACATCACAGGTCCGGGTGCTACCGGATTGGCTATTCACGTACGAGTATGTGTATGGGGGCGGCGGCGGACGCCCCATGTCGTCTGCTCCCATACCCTTACACATTTCGCCTCTGGCCCCTCTTCCCCTCCCCGCCCCTTCCCGTTACTCCCGCTCATCACAGGTCCGGGTGCTACCGGATTGGCTATTCACGTACGACCATGTGTACGGGGGCGGCGGCGGTCGCCCCATGTCGTATCTGTTTGGCGACTGCATCGAGCCGCTCGTGCTGGGGCTGTTCGAGGGGTATAACGCTACGGTGTTTGCTTACGGGCAGGTAAGGGAGCGGAGATGAACAAGGGGAAGGTGTTCGCATGTTCGCATGGGCAGTGTTCGCATACTCCAGTGGTCGCTCCACGTCGCTGCTGTTTGGCGACTGCATCGAGCCGCTGGTGCTGGGGCTGTTCGAAGGGTACAACGCTAAGGTTTTTGCTTACGGGCAGGTGAGTTGAAGAGGAGGACAAGGTACGTGCTGGTAGTAGAGTCCACTCAAAGACCGTGCTGGGGCTGTTCGAAGGGTACAACGCTACGGTGTTTGCTTATGGGCAGGTGAGAATTGAAGGAGAGAAGTGGCGGGTGAGAGGAAAGAGAACACGGATTGTAGGGGCTGGCAAGACGTACACATGGGCACAGCAGGGCACAGCAGCAGCAGGCACCGCTGCGGGCATGGTTTCATTGCCATGTCCAACCCATTGCGCTCACTATCCTGCCTTACTTCCTCCCTCCACAGACGGGATCAGGCAAGACCTACACCATGGGCACAGCGGGGCACAGCAGCATGTACCGTGGCTCGCACAGCAGTACGACCACACGCCTGGGTACAATGCCACGACAGTTCCATTTCGCTCACTATCCTTGTACCTAACTCCTCACCCCTCCACAGACGGGATCAGGCAAGACCTACACCATGGGCACAGCGGGGCACAGCAGCATGTACTGTGGCTCGCACAGCAATACAGAAGGCAGCGTGAGTGGCCGCTTCCCCCGCTGGTGCGCTCCCCTCTTCTCCTCTCTCAGCGTGACTCCTTGCTCTCCCTTTTCCTGCTCTCCCCTCTTCTCCTCTCTGCCCCTCCTTACTCCCCCCCACCTCCCTCCCCCCACCCAGACCGGGTCAGGGAAAACCTATACCATGGGCACGGCAGTGCAGGGCGGCATGTACGGGGACGTGGACGGCAGCGGGCCGTCCGCAGTGGAGAAGGAGGGCGGCGTGACTCGGCGCGTAGTGGACACGCTGTTCACGCGCGTGGAGCAGCTGAGTGGCTTGGCGCGCTTCCAGATCCGAGTGGCGCTCATAGAGGTGAGAGGTGGGGAAACGGAAGGGAAGAGGGATGGGGAGGGAGTGGGGAGGGAGTGGGGAGGGGGTGGGGGAGGGGGTGGGGGAGGGGACTGCAGCTGTGGAATTGACAAATCTAGGGGGCAGGATGAGGGGCAGGATGAGGGGCAGGATGAGGGGCGAACATATACCCATGCTCTGCTGCATCAAGAGCCATCATGAGCAGCGGGCCGAGCATAGCCACCCTGCATCCTCCCACCCTCCTGCCCTGCCTCCCTCCCTGTCCACCCACGCTCTGCCACCATATATAGATCCACAAGGATGGCATCCGTGACCTGCTGTAGCTTTCAAGCCTGGGCGCTGGCGGAGGGGCGAGCATTTACCCGCAGTCTGCTGCCTCGCGAGCCATCATGAGCAGCGGGCCGAGCCGGCAGCCAATCAGCCTCTGACCTCCCACACTCCCCTGCCTCCCCACGCTCTGCCATCCCCCAGATCCACAAGGACGACATTCGAGACCTGCTGGAGCTCACCAGTCTGGGGGCAGGCGGAGGGGCGAGCATGTACCCGCACTCTGCTGTCTCGCGAGCCATCATGAGCACCGGGCCGAGCCGGCAGCCAATCAGCATCCGCGAGACGGCGGGCGGCATCACCCTGGCGGGGGTGACGGAGCAGGTGGTGCACTCGAGGGAGGAGGCGATCGCGTGCCTTGAGGATGGGCTGTTGTTTCGAGCCACTGGGGGACACAACCTGAATGCAAGATCCAGGTGAGCCTTGCTCATAACTGGGGGGCATGAAAGACCGGAACTCCTGGCGGGGGTGACGGAACAGGTGGTGCACTCGCGGGAGGAGGCGATTGCGTGTGTGGAGGATGGGCTGTTGTTTCGAGCCCCTGGAGGGCACAACCTCAATGCATGGTCCAGGTGAGACGCTCTTATGTGTTTCCCCTGGTTGAAGCGCCTATAACAACGCTTTGACGAGTTCAGGCGCCTAAAATATTGACTGGACGACAGGCGGCATCACCCTGACGGAGCAGGTAGTGCACTCGCGGGAGGAGGCGATTGCTTGCCTTGAGGATGGGCTGTTGTTTCGAGCCCCTGGGAGACACAACCTCAATGCACGATCCAGGTGAGGTTCTCTCTTCTCTTGTGGGGTTTTCTTTTTGAAGCTCCTCGAAAGTGGCCTCAACCAGTTGAGGGCGCCTAAAAAATGTACTGGGCGGCATCAGCCTGGCTTGGGTGACGGAGCAGGTGGTGAACTCGAGGGAGGAGGCGATTGCATGAATGTCTCCCTTTTTCTCTCGGCAAGCTTTTCCCACCCTTTCCCCACGCTTTCCCCTCACCCTTTCCCCACCCTTCCCGTATCTGCAGCCGTTCTCACGCCATCTTCACCATCTTTATTGACCAGTTCCGCCCCCGCGGAGGGGGAATGGGCGCACGGGGAGGCGGAGGGGGAAGGGGGCGCGCGGACGAGGAGCATCTGTGCGCCAAGATGCATCTGGTGGACTTGGCTGGGTCGGAGCGCATCAAGAGGACGCATGCTGAGGGGGTCAGGATGCAGGAAGGTGAGACGCGGGTGCAATGGATGGGTGTGTGGAAAGGGGGAAAGGTGTGTGGAAGGTGTGTGGAAGAGTCAAGAGGTGGAATGGCGTCAAGAGGTGATTTGGTGAGGTGGCAAGGGCAGGAGGACGAGGAGCATCTGTGCGCCAAGATGCATCTGGTGGACCTGGCTGGGTCGGAGCGCATCAAGAGGACGCATGCTGAGGGCGTGCGCATGCTGAGGGCGTGCGCATGCTGAGGGCGTGCGCATGCTGAGGGCGTGCGCATGCTGAGGGCGTGCGCATGCTGAGGGCGTGCGCATGCTGAGGGCGTGCGCATGCTGAGGGCGTGCGCATGCTGAGGGCGTGCGCATGCTGAGGGCGTGCGCATGCTGAGGGCGTGCGCATGCTGAGGGCGTGCGCATGCTGAGGGCGTGCGCATGCTGAGGGGGTGCGCATGCTGAGGGCGTGCGCATGCTGAGGGCGTGCGCATGCTGAGGGCGTGCGCATGCAGGAAGGTGAGATGCGGGAAGCAGGGCGGCCGCAGGGCGGGCGCAGGGCGGGCGCAGGGGTAGATTTGTAGTTGGGGACATGTTGGGTCAAGAGGACGCATGCTGGGCAACGTCAGCAGCGAGGTCAAGTATACCTTTCCCACTAAGCCTCATTGGGCCTCCGCCCATCCCCCTCACAGGCATCCACATCAACCGAGGATTACTGGCACTCGGGAATGTTATCAGCGCCCTCAGCAGCAAGGATAAGCATGATCGTTGCAAGCAACCCACCCCAACAACCCAACCCTTTCCCCCATCGATCCCCATTCCCCCATCCCTCCTCATTCCCCATCCCCCTCACAGGCATCCACATCAACCGGGGATTACTGGCACTCGGTAATGTTATCAGCGCCCTCAGCAACCCACCCCAACAACCCAACCCTTTCCCCCATCCCTCTCCCAGGTATCCATATCAACCGAGGCCTGCTGGCACTGGGGAATGTTATCAGCGCCCTCAGCAGCAAGGATAAAGACGACCGGCGCAAGAGGGAGGGCAAGGGCGGGTGGCCGTCCGGCCCCACGCATGTGCCGTACCGCGACAGCAAGCTGACAAGGCTGCTACAGGACTCGCTGGGCGGCAACAGCCGGACTGTTATGATTGGTGAGTGTAGCGACCAGAGTGTGGGTTCACGTGCATGTGCATGAAGAAGTGTTTTGAGACGTCTCAAACCACCAAAGGTTCACGTGCATGTGCATGAAGAAGTGTTTTGAGACGTCTCAAAGCACCAGAGGTTCACGTGCATGTGCATGAAGAAGTGTTTTGAGACGTCTCAAAGCACCAGAGGTTCACGTGCATGTGCATGAAGAAGTGTTTTGAGACGTCTCAAAGCACCAGAGGTTCACGTGCATGTGCATGAAGAAGTGTTTTGAGACGTCTCAAAGCACCAGAGGTTCACGTGCATGTGCATGAAGAAGTGTTTTGAGACGTCTCAAAGCACCAGAGGTTCACGTGCATGTGCATGAAGAAGTGTTTTGAGATGTCTCAAAGCACCAGAGGTTCACGTGCATGTGCATGAAGAAGTGTTTTGAGACGTCTCAAAGCACCAGAGGTTCACGTGCATGTGCATGAAGAAGTGTTTTGAGACGTCTCAAAGCACCAGAGGTTCACGTGCATGTGCATGAAGAAGTGTTTTGAGACGTCTCAAAGCACCAGAGGTTCACGTGCATGTGCATGAAGAAGTGTTTTGAGACGTCTCAAAGCACCAGAGGTTCACGTGCATGTGCATGAAGAAGTGTTTTGAGACGTCTCAAAGCACCAGAGGTTCACGTGCATGTGCATGAAGAAGTGTTTTGAGACGTCTCAAAGCACCAGAGGTTCACGTGCATGTGCATGAAGAAGTGTTTTGAGACGTCTCAAAGCACCAGAGGTTCACGTGCATGTGCATGAAGAAGTGTTTTGAGACGTCTCAAAGCACCAGAGGTTCACGTGCATGTGCATGAAGAAGTGTTTTGAGACGTCTCAAAGCACCAGAGGTTCACGTGCATGTGCATGAAGAAGTGTTTTGAGACGTCTCAAAGCACCAGAGGTTCACGTGCATGTGCATGAAGAAGTGTTTTGAGACGTCTCAAAGCACCAGAGGTTCACGTGCATGTGCATGAAGAAGTGTTTTGAGACGTCTCAAAGCACCAGAGTGTGGGTTCACGTGCTTAGGCTTGCCAAAAGAGCAGTGTGCATGTATGCCCTCTGCCCTCTGCCGTCTGCCCTCTGCCGTCTGCCCTCTGCCGTCTGCCCTCTGCCCAGCGCGTGTTAATTGGGACCATCAACACTCAGCTGATCTCGCTGTATCCGACTGAGCACGCGCATGTATCCCCCTCTTGTCCCTTCTTGTTTCTCCGTGTCTCTCTCTGACCGAGCAGCGTGTGTGAGTCCATCAGACAGCAGCATAGACGAGACAATAAACACGCTCAAGTACGCCAACCGAGCGCGCAACATCTGCAACAAGCCCACCGTCAACCGCTTGGGGGAGATAAATGCCTCTCTGTGACCCAACTCATTCCTTCCTCTACTCTGTGTGTGCTTCCATGTGTGTGATTGTTTGTGTGCGGGCGTACCCTCTGCCCTTCTGCCCTCTGCCCTGCCAACAGCGTGTGTGAGTCCATCAGACAGCAACATAGACGAGACAATAAACACACTCAAGTACGCCAACCGAGCGCGCAACATCTGCAACAAGCCCACCGTCAACCGCCTCGGAGAAATCGACGCGGAGGAGGTCCGCCGGCTGCGCCAGCAAATCAGCCTGCTACAGTCCGAACTCGCCCGCGCCTCCTCCGCCGCCTCTGCCGCCCACAATGATGACGAGCTACAGCAGCTGCAGCAGCGTGTTGATTGGCTGGAGTCGAGCAACGGGAAGCTGAGGCAGGGATTAGCTGAAGCTCAGCAGGCGTTATCGGTGCAAGAGCAAAAGGCGGCTGATGCTGAGGGGACTTGTGTGAGGTTAAGGAGGGAAATGGCGGCGGCGATTACGGCGCTGGATCAGGAACGGTCCGAGGCTGCGCTGCTCCGGCGCCGAGCCGAGGAGGGTGGTTCGGCGGGGGAGGGTGGGAGGGGAGGGGTGGATTCGGCGGAGGTGGCGAGGCTGAGGGAGAGGGTTGCCGAAGCTGAGGCGAAGGCTCGGAGGGAGGCGGAGAGGGCGGAGGAGGTGGAGGTCCGGGCCGAGGCGGAGAGGCAGCGAGCCGACGGAGCTGAGGAGGAGGCTCGGCAGGCTGTGGTTCGGGCGGAGGAGGCCGAAGCTCTGGCTTGGGAACTGAAGGTGCAGGCAGCTGCAGCTACGGCCCGAGCCGAATCAGACTCGGGGAACCTTGCCGAAGCTCAGGCTGGGTGGGAGAAGCAGATGGATTCGCTACGTGAAGCTGCTGCTGCTGAAGGGGTGAAACGGGCTGTGTTGGAAGCAAGGCTAGAGCAGATTCAGGAGGAGTGTGAGGGGTTGAGGAGGAGGGTGGAGGAGGAGAGAGTGAGGGCGAAGAGCGCTGAAGCTGCTCTTGCAGTGGAGAGAGGGAGAGGGGAGAGGGATGTGGAGGTGGGGCGGTTGACAGCTGAGGTTGAAGTGACTAAACTGCAAGCGGAGGTGAGTATATTGAAGGAGCAGGCTGCAGCAGAAGCAGGGAGAGCAGCGGAAGCAGCAGCAGCGGCAAAAGAAGCGAGGGAAGATTTGCAGGTGTTTAGACAAGACGTGCATGTGCTGTCGCAGCGTTTATCCAGTGCTGAGGATGCTCTTAAAGAGGAAGAAGCAAAGTCTATGGAGCTTGAGTTAGAAGTGGCAAGGCTGAAGGCGGATCTGGCTGCTGCCGAGGCTGTAACTGGTGTGGCTAAAAAGAGGGTGGACGAAGCCGAGGCTGAGGTTCGGCGGGCCCGAGCCGAAGGCGCGGAGGCTCGGGTGAGAGGGGCGGGCTCGGCGGGATGGAGGTGGAGTGAGGATGAGGAGGAGGAAGAGGAAGAGGATGAGGAGGAGAGAGAGAGGGAAGGGGAGGGAGGAAGGGAAGAAGTGAGGTTGTTATTGGGGAGTGTGGGGAAGCTTGCAAAGGAGTTGGGGATTGAGTGGGGAGGGGGAGAGGAGGGACAAGAGGGTATGCCTGGGGAAGAGGGGGAGGAGGCGGAGGAGGGGAGAGGGGTGCGGGGGGATGGTGTGAGGTGTGAAGCAGGAGGGAGGAACCGGGGAGGAGTATCGAGCCATGGGGATTTGGTTCGGGTGCTGGACGAGGTTCGGCGCAGGCTCGGTCTCTCAGGAGACAGTTCAGCTGGTGCAGGCTCGGCAGGCCAGGAGAATGAAGCGAGGGGCGAAGAGAGAATGGAGGGAGGGGAGGGAGAGGAGCAAAAGGGTGGAAAAGAGGGAAGGAAGAGCAGCAGCGGGGAGGATGAGGATGAGAAGGTGTGGGTGGAAGAAGTTAGGAAGGCCCTCACTGCAGCTCACGAGCAGGATATGAAGGAGGTCAAGAAAGAGATAGAGGCACTGGAGAACAGAGTGGGAGAAGCTAAGAGAGACGCTGAAGACGCGCGGTTGCAGCTGGTGCAGGCTCGGAATAGGCTGCAGGAGGCTCGGGAAGAGGCGGAGCAGGCTCGGAGGCAGTCGGAGGAGGCTCGGGGGGAGCTGGAGGAGGTTCGGGCGAAGGCTGAGTGGGGCGAGAAGGGGAGAGAGGTGCTAGAGAGGGAGGTGGAGGAGGGGAGAGAGAAGGTGAATGAAATGGTCAAGGAGATGGAAAGAGTTTTGAGTGAGGTGAAAATGGGGAAGGGGAGAGAGGAGGAGGCAGAGAGGAGGAGGGTAGAGGTGGAGAGGGAGATGGAGAGGGTGAGAGAGCGGTTGGAAGCGGTGGAGGGAGAAAGAGAGGCACTGAGAGCGGTGGCTGAGGAGGCTGAGAGGGAGAAGGAGGAGGTGGAGAGGAGGAGGGGAGATATGGAGAGGAGGGAAATGGAAATGGAGGAGAAGGTGGAGGAAGCAGAGAGGAGGGTAGAGGGGTTGCAGAAGGAGTCAGAGGAGCAGAGGCGCGAGGTGGCAGTGAGGGAGGAGGAGATTGAGGAGATGAGGCAGGAGCTAAGGACAAAGGAGGAGGAGGTAGAGGAGCAGAAGCGTGAGATAAGGGCGAAGGAGGAGGAGGTGATGGAGAGGCAAGTAGCGGCAGAGCAGCAGGCAGCTATGGAGGCGGAGCAAGCTGAGAAGATGGCGGTGAGTGTATGAGCGGTGTTCCATTGATGAGAGGGGCGCGTGTGTGTGAGAGGGGTGTGTGTGAGAGGGGTGTGTGTGAGAGGGGTGTGTGTGAGAGGGATGTGTGTGAGAGGGGTGTGTGTGAGAGGGGTGTGTGTGTGAGGGGTGTGTGTGTGTGTGTAAGGGATGTGTGAGGGAGGAGCTGCTGGGGGAGTTGTCAGCTGACTACACTTGGGACCGTGCGCCACCTTATCCCGTCCCTTCCCCGTCCCTGTCCCCCCCCATCCTCCATCCCTCCCCACCATTCCCGGTTCCCCATTTTTCCAGGCGCAACTGCCTCCCCTGCTAGGCATGCTTGAATCAGCCACGTTCCTGGCAGTGCCGTCAGAGGAGCTGCTAGGGGAAATCTCAGCTAAGCACCCGCAGCTTCCTCACCTTATCCCACCACGTCCCATGTGCCCCCTCCGTCATCTCTCCCTCTCACCAGGCACAACTGCAATCCCTGCTGGGCCTGCTTGAATCAGCCACATTCCTGGCACTGCCATCAGAGGAGTTACTGGGGGAGCTGTCAGCCAAGTATCCTCAGCTGGAGCACCTGTTGCTGCTCATGGACGCCCAAGGCATGGCGGGAATGCCCCTGGGTGGTGCTGCTACTGGTGGTGGTGCTGCTGCTGCTGCTGCTGGTGATGATGGGCCTGGCATGGGGTCGGACATGGGCCTGTCAGGTGCTAGTTCCCCGTCTGCATCACCCTACCGCTACACTGTGTCTCACCTTTCCTCCTCACACACTCACTCCCCCGTCTCTGGGCCTCTAGAGGGGCCGGAGGGGGCGGAGGAGGGTGAGAAGGGCGTGGGTGGTGAGGAGGGTAGTGGTGATGGTGATGGGGAGATGCAAGTAGCGCTTTTGGATGGGCAACTGAAGGAGGAGGAGAAACTTGCTTTGGTGCCAGCAGCAGCAGCAGCAGAGGGAGAAGTGATGCTAAGGAGTGGTGGCACTATCGAGGAGGAGAGTGGCCAGCTCGCTATAGTGCCAGCACCTGCAGACGAAGCGCTGTATCTGGTTACAACCGCCAGTGGTAACCACCTTGATGGGTCTTCGCCCACAGAGGTGCTTTTGTCTTCGTGTGGGAGGAGGGCTGGAAGGGTGAAGAGAGGGGAGAGGAAGGAGTGTGAGGAGAGTGAGGAGGGGGAGGAGAGGGAGGAGAAAGAGGTAGTTTCCGTAGTGGAGGTGTTTGGAAGTCCAGATGATGTTGTGAGGGAGAGGAAGGGGAGGAGGGGAAGGAAGGGGAGAAGGAGAGGGGACAGGGAGGAAGAGGAGGAGGAGGAGGAGGAGCAGAGAGGTTCGGAAATGAGTGCAGGGCTGAGCCTGCAAAAGTGGGTTCCTGAAACGGCTGCAGCAGAAGAGGATGCTGATGATGCTAGTGGCGGTGGGGAGGGTGGTGGTGGGGATGGTGGGTGCTTAGAAGGCGCCCCTACTCCCACTGCGGATGCACTGAATAGCATGGATGGCGTGGGTGGCGTGGGTAACGTGGGTGTTGGGAATGGGGAGGAGCAAGGCACTGGAGGTGCTAAGGTGCGAAGAAGCAGTAGTAGCAGCAGTGGAGGTAAGGTACCAAGGAGCAGTTCACAGCGCAGCAAGCCTCTATTCTACATCACCCCGGATCACCCTGACTCACACGATGCTGCATCAAAGGATGCATCAAGAGCAGCAGAGACGGCGGCGGCAGCAGCAGCAGCAGCAGCAGCAGCAGCAGGAGGAGGAGAAGGAGAGGAGGCTGCAAGGGATGACGAGGCATGGGGAGCAAGTGGGGAGGGAGACAGACTGGCTAGGTTCAATCGGGTCAAGAGCAGAGCAGGAGCTAGGGCATCTTGCATGAGTATGAGATCGGCAAAGTCAGCCGGTAAGGAATCATCCTCTCCTCCCTTAAAGCCCACGTCGAGAGCCAACCTGCCTGACCACGCCCCTCCTGCTGCTGCTCTAGCAGCTGGCGCTCTTGCAAACCCGGCTATGCTTGCTGCTGCTGGCGGCTCTGCTGCTGCTGTTGCTGCGGCGGTTGCTTCTGCTGCGGCTGTGGCTGGGAACGGGCGCAGGGGGGAGGAAGCGGAGGAGAATGACGTAGGGGGGGTGATGCAGAATGCATCTCCTCTCATGGCTCCTCGAGTCTCATGCATGCCTATTGGCTTCGTTAGGTCGCCACGGGGTAGCAGCAGTGGTGGCAGCACTCACGGCGGCGGTGGGGAAGGCAGTGGAACTGGGGGTGGCAGCGGCAGCGGCGTTGGTGGCGGTGGCAGTGGTAGTAGTAGCAGATCCCATTCGTTTGCAGGGGCTGTGTTGGGGAACCTAGCCCTGACTCACGGGCTCAGAAGGACGTTCAGACGGAAGCTCAAGGGGGAAGCCATGGCGGGAGCAGCCGTGGGGGCAGCGTTGGTGGTGGTGATGTTGGGGAGGTTGATGTTCCTGGCGGTGGTGGTAACCGCATGCGTAACCAGACTGGCCACGTGCAAAATGCAGGCCCTCTTTCCCCGAGGGGATACGGAGGGTGGGGGGGAGCGGGGGGAGGAGGAGGGGGAGGGGGAGGGGGAGGGGGAGGGGGAGCCATGTCGCCCTTTCATTCCAGCCAGGGGGGAAGCCCCATGCATCGTAGCGGCATGAACAGTCCCATGCATCGTAGCGGGATGAACAGCCCCATGCATGGTGCTGTTGCTGGTGGGGGAGGGATGAGCCCGTGGAGAGGGGCCGGCAGTGAGCAGGGGTCACCGATGGTAGTCAGAAAATCCCGGGGTTCACCACATGCGCATGGGGTGGGGGGTGGTCATGCAGGAGCACACAGGCATGGGTATGGGGGTGCGAGCCCATTGGCTGGAGCACATGGCATGGGCATGGGTGTGGGCACGGGCAGTCCTGGGGGGGTGGAGTTGAGTCCTGAGTCCACCAAGAGAAGAGGCCTGGCTGCCATGTTCAAGAAGTTGCAGACCATGCCCCCAAAGCGATAGACGGTTTGCCCTGATAAGAGCTGTGTCAATAGTGGGTAGGTTTTTATAGTGTATATCTATTGGATTGTTTGGCTTAGGAGTATGTACATTCTTTAGGGTCGTATCTAGTGGATAAAACACATTACCAAGATGGGACATGCACTTCATCTACATGAATGAGTGACCCTGCCCTACATGGTTTCCACGCCATAATGCTCATTGCGCCAAAAAAACCATGGGGCGACTGGAGAAGTGGGGTATCGATCCCCATACCTCTCGCATGCTAAGCGAGCGCTCTACCATCTGAGCTACATCCCCGTTGACTACTTGCAAATATTAATATAGATTTAAAATGATTTTGTTACGCTGCGAATCGCAGCCACACACTCGAGGTTTTTGTTGCAATTGTCAGTGCCACCTGGCGAGCTGCGTGTTGCACGAAGGAGACACACACGGAACGAAACCCAAGAGATTAGAGGTTGACTGGCGGACACGACATGAGATGACACGACAACACCAGATCCGACGCACCCAGGCCGTTCGTTCGTTCGCAGTGTTGCTGTTCGTTGATTTTCCCTCTCGCACAGTGGCACGATACGGCACTGTAAACTGTGTCCCGTTACCCGTCCCGTTGCATTTCTGGCTCCAAGTGCCATTTTGGTCCTTTCAACCATTTGCCACTTTTCAAATCTCCTGTCATCCCATCTCATCCCGTTTCACCACTTTCTCTTCCCATCTCTCTTTCTCCAACCATCTCGTGGTGTTGTGTGGTATGGAATAGGTCTTCTTTCCTCCACTTGCTTTCATCCATCACCTGCCGCAAGAGCGAGGGAATTGCTGTTCAGTGTGTCAAGTCGTCGAATTGCCTCGGTAATTTTCGTTCAGTCGCAAGCCTCGGCTTGGAGCACCTTGCTCTCCGCGCGCCGCTCTCCCCAGTGCGGGGTAACCAGTCGTTGCGACGCGTACAAACGTCGCATAACTCGTCTGCGACGACTCTCCACTCCGTCGCTGCCAAGCTGCTGGGTGCTAAGCGCGCCGTCGTCATCGCGTTGGACGCTATGGCGTCTGTTCAATCAGCAGCCTCGCTAGTGGCGTCCCCGTTTAGAATACCATTCGCCGTATCCCGCATTCATAGCCCGCGAAATATTTCTGCGAACTCTAAATCCAACGGTTACCCTAGCCCGGCTAAAGGTGGTCGGTCACGCGAAACCGCGCCGCGATCTGCTCCCTCACCCTCCTCCTCCTCCTTTTCCTCTCCCCGTCGATTAAATACTGCAAGTGCTAATCCCATCCTGACGCCTTATCCACGTCAGCCCGCTCCGTGCCGCGCAGCAGTCACTGATAGGTCCAGAACAGGCAGCGGAGACGTATACAGCGCGAATGGCGCAGCGGAAGGATCCGCGGGGGGTCCGCGGAAGCTGCGCGTGGGGGAGATGGCGGCGGACATGAAGCGCATCCGCGCGCAGATGGAGGAGGATGAACAGGTACCGCGCTGTTCTCCCGTGTACTGTCCGCGTTTTCTTCCCCGTTTACTCTCTTTCCCTCCCCAACCTCCCCAACTTCCCCGTTCGTTCTCTCCTCCTACCCTCAACCATTTTGTCACGGCCTCCTTCCTCCTTCCCCCCAACATCTCCGTTCCCTCTCCCCTCCCCTCCCTCCCTCCCTCCCTCCCTCCCTCCCTCCCCCCCCTTCCCCCCTCTCCTCCTATGTTCTTTCCTGCTTCATCTGCTTTCCCTAATAATTGTCTTCTTTCTCTCATTGGCTCTCATTGGCTCTCATTCCCTTCTCTCTCCGTCGACCTCCCTGCCTCCCTTTCCCTTCATCCCCGCCTTCCCCCCCCCCCCCCCCTTACCCTGCGTCCCCCTTTTCCCCGCCCACCCTGGCTCTGTCAGGTCGCGTCGCTCATGCGGGGATTGCGCGGGCAGAACCTCCGCGACGAGCAGTTCGCAGATGCTGACGTCACTATGCGGCTCGTGGAGTTCGACACCGGGAAAGGCGGCGAGGAGGCGCTTCCGCTAGTCTACGACCCGGATTTAATCGCAACTTACTGGCAGAAGCGGCCCGGCGCGATCTTCAGCCGAATCGTGCAGCTTCTCGCTGTATCGGGGGATTTTTTAACGAAGGTCGCGGCGGACATAGTCACGAAGCGGCTGAAGGAGAACGAGGTGAAACGCGCGATGGAGTTAAGAGAAATAGTGACGTCCTTAGGTCCGGCGTATATTAAGCTCGGTCAGGCGCTGAGTATCCGGCCCGATATCCTGTCGCCCGCTGCAATGGTGGAGCTACAGAAACTGTGCGATAAAGTCCCGTCGTTTGATAACGATGTCGCGATGGCTCTTATGGAGGATGAGCTTGGGTTGCCCCCGTCGGAGGTGTTTTCAGAACTTAGCCCTGCACCGATTGCAGCAGCGTCACTCGGGCAGGTTTACAAGGGTAAACTCAGATCTACTGGTGAAGCCGTGGCGGTGAAAGTTCAGCGGCCGTATGTGCTGGAGACGGTCACGATTGATCTGTACATCATCCGACGGCTGGGACTGGCTCTCCGTGGCATTCCCCAGATTGCGACGGACGTAGTGGGATTGGTTGACGAGTGGGCCGCGCGATTTTTCGAGGAGCTGGATTACGTCAACGAAGCTCGCAACGCGGAACTTTTCGCCGAGTCGATGGCGAAGGACCTTCCCCAGGTCGTGGTTCCGAAGGCCTTCATGGAGTACACCTCTCGGCGAGTGCTGGTAACTCAATGGATCGAAGGCGAAAAGCTTTCGCAGAGCACTGCAGACGACGTGGGTTCGCTCGTCAACGTCGGTGTTATCTGCTACTTGAAGCAGCTACTCGACACGGGATTATTCCACGCCGATCCGCATCCCGGGAACCTAATTCGAACACCAGACGGGAAGCTATGCGTGCTCGATTTCGGCCTGATGACGCGGATCACCGACACGCAGAAGTACGGCATGATCGAGGCGATCGCGCATCTGATCCACCGCGATTACCCCGCTATCGTCGAAGATTTCGTCCTCCTGGATTTTATTCCCGAGGGCGTGAATCTGAATCCGATCATGCCGGTTCTCGCGCGCGTTTTCGACCAGGCGTTGGAGGGCGGCGGCGCGAAGGGGATTAATTTCCAGGAGCTCGCAGCTGATCTCGCGCAGATCACGTTCGAGTACCCCTTCCGCATCCCGCCGTACTTCGCGCTGATCATCCGCGCGATAGGCGTCCTCGAGGGGATCGCGTTAGTGGGCGACCCGGAGTTCGCTATAGTCGACGCGGCTTATCCGTACATCGCGCAGCGGCTTCTAACGGATCCGTCCCCGCGCCTGCGCGCCGCGCTAAGATACACCATCTATGGGCGGTCCGGGGTGTTCGATGCGGACCGCTTTATCGATGTTATGGAGGCGTTCGAGACGTTCGCGGCTAATGCCAAGTCAGGGCGGGGCGCGCAATTCGCGGACTGGGGGGCGGACGCGGGTGGGGAAGGGGAAGTGGTGGAGGTAATCTCTACAGATGGTGCTACTGGTGAGGTCAATGGAGTTGCGACTGTGACTGTTAACGGGAGTGCTTCTAACGGTGCAGGTTCAACAAGCACTGCCCTCCCTTCCTCCTCCTCCTCCCAGCCCTCCCCTCTCTTCCCTCCCTCCTTCCTCCCTTCCTCCCCTTTCGAATCTCTCTTCCCCACCACCGCCCTCGTCTTCCCGGAAGCTTCCCTCCAGCTGTCAGAAGCTGAGCTCAGCAACACAGGCAACGCCCGGGCGGCACTGGCCTTCATCCTCTCCCCCCGCGGCGCCTTCTTCCGAGATTTCATTCTCGACGAGGTGGTGAAGGGCGTGGATGCGCTGGCGCGAGAGCAGATCGCGTCGCTGCTGAACGTCTTATCGAACCCCACGTCACCGAGCGCAACTGCTGTGATTAGGAACACGCCCTTGGCGGGAGCGCTGCCGCTGCTCATGCTGCTGCCGCCGCTACCGGGGCAGCAGCAGGTGCAGGAGCTGGTGCATGCGGTAACCCCACGCGTTACGGACGAGGATCGGGCGGTGCTGGAGAATCTGAGAAAGGTTGTGGCTTTCCTCAGCCGTGGAAGTGATAGCAGCAGTAACAGCAGCAGTGGTTATACCACGGAGGATGAAGCAATGTGGGCTGTGGATGGGAGAGTGAACCCCCAGCAGCAGTCTCAGCAAGGGCCATTGTTGTCAGTGCTAAGGGATCAAATGGCTGCAGTGGCGCTGTCTCAGGAGCTGGGTTCTCTGCTTCCCAGCGTTGCTGTGCAGATTGTTCCTGAAGTAGCGAGCCGGCTGTCGTCTCGAGTGACTGCTAGGTTTATTCGAGATGTGTTTCTGGATGCTTGACGGGCCGTTGTTCATGCGCATGCATGTTCTTCGAGCCTATATTGTCCTTGTACCGTATTTGCTATGCTTGCTTTTTATATACTGTAGTCTCCCGGATATAGGTCCCTCCCGAGAAAAAAGACCCCCGGGACTTAAGAACGGTACTGGGACTCTTAATATGGAGCATATGTGAGAGGACCCCCCCTGTGCCTGTAATCATTCTAAAGCTCGTGCCCCAAATTGCGGGGCGCGAGAGTCAAGTTTTTAAAACTTGATGAAGTGGAGTGTCCAAGCTTTTGAAAATCACGCACCTGCAATTTGGGACTTCCGGAGACAGACCCACTCACCAGGGGGAAAGACGAGGGTTGGCTGAGTCTCGCGAAAAAAACGAACCTAGACGAAATTGGAGACCCTCGCCAAAGCCCACGCCAGAAAAACTCCCTCTGGTCATCTTTTAGAAGCATGAACAATTTGGGCTGTCAGCTTTAAGACCCCCTTTTCTGTTTACAGCTGTTGGAAATGAATTGCGTGTCAGCTTTTCGAGGCACAGAATCCGAATTTTGACACGTCATTTGTGATAGACTCGAGTTCTGACACACTAACCGCGTCAGATACAAAATCTGACGCTTCTGACGAGCCGCGCGCACGAATTTCGCGCACGCGGGGTGTTTTTCGCTTTGAACGCGGGGTGTTTTGAATAAGACTCCCCCCCCCCCCCCCCCCCCCCCCCTCCAAATTCAAGTGTACACCCCTAAATCGCATAAATGCACTTGATTATTAAGTGTACTCGGGACTCTTACAACTCGTGCCGATTAAATGTTCACCCTAGTCATTTTGCCTCTATTTTAGGAAAGTCCCCCGGGTCTTATATCCGGGAGAATACGGTAGCTGTTATGGGAGGGTTTACGACGTGTTGCGACCCACACGGATCGGGTCGGCCGACCCCTGATCCCGAATTTTGAGGAAGGCTGCGTCGCGGGTCCACCCGACCAGGTCGGGTCAACCAGGCCGACCAGACCCAACCCAACCAACCTGGAGCAGGTAACCTGAGCCTGCGAACTCTATCTGTTCTCGCGCGGAGGTCGCCAGTATCTCGCCTAAGAATATGATACCCGGTAGTATCGCCCAGCCCACCATCCACCTGCGCAGCAATTGCTTTCACTTTACGTCGAATTGGCAGGGAAAGCAACGGGTCGCCTTTGGGTTGGGTTGGGTCGGGTCGGGGCTACCCGACATGGTCGACCTGACCCAACCCGACCCTGTTGGGTCGCAACAAGTCGTAAATGAGGACGTGGTGCAGATCGGGCCGATCTGAGTCTGGTTGCCTCGATCCCGCGATCAGTAGTTTCCGAGAAGGTCCAACTGGTACTTTTGGGCAATCGGGGGCAGTCTGTCGATCTGAATCGAGATCCGGATCGATTGCGATCGATCGCCTCGATCTGATGCAATCTAAATCGATTGCAATCGATAGATTGGAGAGTTGGAGATTATGCACGTTCTGTAACCACCGTCGCCAAGGTTCGCTTCTGCTAGCCGCTACAGAACATCTCGCGACAGTCGAATTTTCCAGACTGAACCTCTGGACCAATCAACACTACCCAATCAAAATGAAAGACGCCTACATGTTCCATTCGAACTTTCAAGACTGCACCTCTGGGGCTACCTTGTAATTGCGCGAGACAGACGGTCTCTTGGTTTCGCCAACTTCGAGCTGGAAGGGACGTACAACTAGCCTGGAAGGCGCGGTCGAAATTCCGCCTTGTTTCTAAGAAAAACATGCGTGAGATCGCGTGGCGCGAAGGGCGATCGATGATTGCGTCAGATCGGGTCAATCACACCCGATTGATTGCGATCTGATCCAATTGACCACTGATTGCGTGGGATCGAGGCGATCTGCACCACGTCCTAACGGAATGCTACACTATAGCACTGAGTGATACGTACATCACTCGCATAGCCTTTACCATGATTGATTTTGTTCGGTTTCGAGAGGTTCCACAGTTTCTCCCATCTTTGCGTCACATATGACGCCAAACCTCACCGCAACTGCCGAAGCTGCTGCACTGCTCGTTCGCACTGTATTCCGAAACTATGGGCCGGATAAGGCTGCAATTTGCTGCTGAAAACCACGTTGTATGCTTGTCACGTGCTGAAAACGATTTCTATTGGCTTTGAGACCACGTGCTCGGCGAGGTGCCTACATCATCTTCCAAATCAGCTGGAATGGCCACGGCAGCATGCTGACGTGTAATGTACAAAGTGCTCCTACAGTTCGTTTTGGTTCGGACTTATTTGGGGTTTGTGCGTGTGGGGTGCGTGAACCCAAATCTCCGGCGGAGTCCGTTGGGCATTGGGCGGCAAACTGCTAGGCTGATTCGTTGTCAGATAGATTTTCCAGAAGTTTCACAGATACAGTAGTCTCGAACACACGCGCTGGCAGAGCATCACTGCAGGCTTCCCCGCCACTTCCAATTGCAGTATTTGCCTACATACTTAGCTGAACAAAACTGTCAAGAAAGCAGGGTACGTAACGCAAATTTCCTCAACTCCCTTGCACATCTATGCAGCACATCTACCCCTGAAGCTTTCCCCTTTCCCCGAATGTCTCGGATACTTCGCATGCTAGGGCCCTGAATCGTTCGAACCGCGTGCATTACTGTAACAAACTGACCTGATCGCAACGGAGTCCTTTTTCTGCCCTCCCGATTGAAAAGTTGATCAAACCTGTTGTCACGCTCGTTAGGTGACTCCGATCATGATCCTTTCCAGCGCATCATTTGGGGTTTTCCCATCCCGCCCCCGCGATCACGGGAATGTATCTCGATCACGTCGTTTCCCTTCCGTTCACTACACCCCCCGACCATTCCCCGCACCATGATCAATTCCGCACTTCCCGCCAACTCCTCCCCTCGGTCTCCGGGCATGTTCAGCACAGCACGGCATCAATGCAGTTCCACTTTCACTACAGTACAGCCCCGCCAGATGTAACAACACGCGGAACAAATATCCCCATTGCGCCTAATCTCCATAACCCCAAACTCCCCCCCTTCCGCCTTGCTTTTCCCCTCCCGTCCCGCCATGACCCGCACCCGCCTCCGCCACCTTCCCCCAACCGAAACAGTTTAGTACAGAGCAGTATATTCCTTTCCCCCTGTTCTATTTTTGCGATCACCCGCCTTTCCCCGCTGATCCGCTCCGCCGTGCTCCGCCCTCCTTCCTCTTCCTCCACTTCTCCAAGTCACACCAGCCAAACCCTCGATAACTCCTCCCTGGCTGTTAGTATCCTCCATCGGTGTTCTAGCTATCTAGTTTCCTCGTTCACGTGAAGGAATCTCTCGCCGATGTCCTAAGAACGCCCGTCTCCCCACGTCGCCTGCTCGGTCATATTATTTCTCTTATATCACATAGATAAAAAAGAGTATCTGCTGCGGGTGTAGCTTTAGATTCCCTCCTTCTGAAGCTCGCACCCGTGGCTTTCAACGCGAGTCAGCTTCGCACGATGCCGGGCGGCCAGGGTGCGGCAGTAATCTCCCCTAACAATCCTTCCATTGGCCCGGGCCAGTTCGCCTCTCTCTGCTCCTCTGATGGAGATAACTGGGATAACTTGAAACCCAAGGTATTATCGAAAATACCCCCGAAATAGACGGGACATTTCCCGAAATATGGCTTTTATACCCCCCGGTCTCATCAGTAGGTCGAGCGAAGTCACTTCTCCGCAATCCGCGATTGCGGCTCGGTATCTGTCGTCCAGCTTTCCGACGTTTCTACACTCCCCCTGCTTTCCGGTACCAGGTCTGCCTCAAACGCGGACGAGCGACGCATGCGAATGCGACGGACCCAGATGCGACGGATTCGTCGTCGGGCGACGAGAGCTGCGGCACGCACTGGGTCAAGACCGCTCGCGTTAAAACCGATCCTGAGGTAATTCCGAGCCTGAAGCTGTCCCGAACGTGCCGTAATCCCTAGCTTGAGGTGATTCCGAGCCTGCGGTAAGCTGCATTCTGCATTGCGATAAGCAGAGCGGCCCGATCCTCGTCCCGATATCAGCCCTTGTTGCGACTTATTTTCTAACGCGGACCTCTACTCCCTCTCCGCCGCAGGCTGCGGCGCGCGGTGCTCGTGGCGCGGATTCCGGAAGCGAAGGCGCAACCGAAAGCTGCCTTCCCTCTTCCTCCGCAGCCTTTCCCTTCTCCCCCCCCGCGGGGATCTCCCCCTTCTCCGCTTCCGCCTCCCCTTTTTCCGCCACCGATACCCGATCTTTCCCCCTTGACCCTACACTTGCAATGCCGGCCCCGTTCTTTCCGCCGTCGTACCCGTCTCCGTTCTTCGCGCCGCACTTACCGCCGCATTTGCCGCCGCACATGCCCGCTTGCCCGAAGCAACTCGCCAAGTGGCAGAAGCAGGCCTCCGTTCCCGTCCCCGTGTCTTCCGCCGCAATGCGCGCCGCCCATCGCGGCGACAAGCTCCCCCCACCGCCTGGTACGATGCCAATGGCAATGCTCGGGGGTCCTTGCTCCCAGTATCCCATGCCCGTGAGTTACGGCGGACCTTACGGCGGGTTTTACGGGCCGGCAGATATGGCAGCTGCAGGAGGCAGTTCCGCTCAAGCTGGTGCCGCTCCTGCGGCGGCGGCGGCGGCAGCGGCGAGAACAGCGGGGTGGAACGGCGTTTCCGCTCGACCCAATCTGCCCTCCGCCCCGTCCGCCCCGTCCGCCCCCTCCGCCCCGTCCGCCCTGTCCGCCCCTTCCGCTTCCGCCCGTCCTTCCCCTCAGCCTGCTCCCGCCGCTCCGTCCGCTTCCAGCCCTTTCTCTCCTCGCGACGCCATTTCTCCTCCTTCCGCTTCCTCCCCTCCTTCCGCTTCTTCCGCCCGTTCCGCCCTGTCCGCGCCCTCCGCCCCCCCTCCATCCGCCGCTCTCGGACCCGCACACCCTCCTCCCCGCGCGTCTTCCGCGGGTCCTCCTACATCCGTCCCCCGCGCTCCCGCTGGTGTTTCCGCTGGTGCAGCTCCCTCGGGCGCAGCTTCCCCCGCGGGCGTGCAGGGCGCGCGGAACTTCCCGCACATGTACTGGCGGGTCGCGCCGCCGTCAGCTGCCGCTGCTGCGACTATGCCGATGGGCTACTTGACGGCCATGCCCGGAATGGCCGGCAGTTCTGCCGGCCAGAGCCTGCCGGCGCAGTATGGAGCCCTGTACGCGGTAGAAGCTTCCCCGTTTCTTCCATTCGGGCCGCATGAGGGGGCTTTTGCCTTTGCGCCGATTATGGGCGCGGGGGGTTTGGCGCATGAACAGGGAGGAGCGGAGATGGCGGGGATGGGGAGCCTACCGCAGGGGATGGGGGTAGTCGGGGCAGTGGCGGGGATGGGGACGACGGGAATGGGGGGCATGGGGGGAATGGCGGGCATGGGGGCCATGGCGGGGATGGCGGGCATGGGGGGCATGGCGGGCATGGGGGGCATGGCGGGGATGGCGGGCATGGGGGGCATGGCGGGGATGGGGGGAATGGCCGGCATGGTGGGGATGGGGGGAGTTGAGATGGGGAGCATGGGGGGTTTGCAAGGGTTTCCTAAGGTGCAGGGCATGCAAGGCATGCAAGGGATACAAGGAGTGCAGGGACAACAAGGGGTGCAAGGCATGCAGGGAATGCAGCGAGTGCAGAGCATGGCAGGCATGCAAGAGTTACAGGAGATGCAGAGGCAGCAAGCTGTGCCAGGGCCGCATGGGATACAAGGCATGCAGCAGAGATTGCAAGGGATGCAAGGCATGCAAGGCATGCAAGGGGTGCAAGGGGTGCAAGGACTACAGGACTTGCAAGCCACGCAGGGCATGCCAGGCATGCAGGGAATGCAGGGAATGCAAGGGATGCAAGCGTTTCAAGTGATGTCTTCGTTGCATGGCATGCAAACGCTACAGGGCATGCAAGCAATGCACGGGATGCAGGGCATGCAAGGCATGCAGGGCGTGCAGGGGTTGCAGGCAATGCAGGGGAAGGAGAAGCAGCACGGGAAGCTGAAGCGGGGCGAGGGCAAGGACAAGGCGGCTCACCGGTACCGCGGCGTGAGGCAGCGACCCTGGGGCAAAGTAAGTTTTTTTTTTTTTTTTTTTTTTTTTTTTGGGTGTTAAACGTAAATGAAATCATGCGCAATAACAACAGGGCGGAGAGAAAAGAGCAAAGGTCAAGAGAAGCTGTTCTCACCTTAAATCTCATCCCTCTCTCTCCCTACCCTTATACCCCTCTCCCCATATTCTCCTCTCTGTTACTGTCACAGTGGGCAGCTGAGATCAGAGACCCAGCGAGGGGAGTGCGGCTGTGGCTGGGTACATACGACACAGCAGAGGACGCTGCGAGGGCCTATGATGCCTCTTCCTCACGTGCTCCCCTCTCTCCCTCTCCCCCACTCTTTTTCTCTCTCCCTCTCTCCCTCTCCTCCAGTGGGCGGCTGAGATCAGAGACCCAGCGAGGGGAGTGCGGCTGTGGCTGGGTACATACGACACAGCAGAGGACGCTGCGAGGGCCTATGATGCCGCCGCCCGAACCATCCGGGGCGCCGACGCCCAGACAAACTTCGCCGACCCAAACCCCCCCGCTGCTGCTGGCGCTTCTGCTGCTGCTGGTGATAGTGGTGCTGGTGGTGGTGTTGCTGCTGGTGCTGGTGGTGATTATGGGTCTGTAGCTGGTGGTGGTGGCGTTGCTGGTTCTGGTGGTGGTGGTGTTGCTGCTGGTGCTGGTGGTACAGGGTCTGTAGCTGGTGGTGGTGGCGTTGCTGGTTCTGTTGCTGGTGGTACTCCTCCTGGCACCAGCAGTGGTGCTACTGCAGCTGGTGATGTTGCTGGTGCCACAACTGCTGCTACTGCAACTGCTGCTACAGCTGCTGCTACAACTGCTGCCACTGCTACAGCTGCCTGCATCAACGGCATGTCTCCATTTCTGCGCACCAAGAGGAACAGCAAGGCGCACAAGTACATGCAGGAGTACTGCAGTGACACCGAGAGGTGAGCCCTCAATAATGCATGTTTGTGTGTGTACTGAAAGCTACAGTAAGGCACAGTAACTTGTGTGTTTGTCATAAGAGGAACAGCAAGGCGCATAAGTACATGCAGGAGTTTTGCAGTGACACCGAGAGGTGAGCATCGATCCCCACCTCTGTATTTCGTGGGTCTGGCTTCTAGGACGACCTGTTTCAAGGACTTGTTTCTATTTGAAATCCCGAACCCACGGCTGCTTTCCTGTTCTGATCTTTCTGCTCCTTGGCCCCTAACCTTTGTTTCTCCCAGACTTTTTCCTCCGTATCGTGTTTCCAGTTTTGCAAGCGAAGTGGCATCGGAGCTGTCAGATTGCAACAAGCTGCTACCCTCAGGAGGAGCTTCAGGTGCCTCAGGTGTTTCATGTGCTTCAGGTGCCATTCCTGCCTCAGGTGCCATTCCTTCTTCAGGTCTCATCCCCACTGTTCCTAGCACAACCTACACCGACAAAAAACCTGCCACTGCTGCTGCTGCTGCCGCTGCCGCTGCTGCTGCTGCTGCCGCTGCAGCCAATCCTGGTTCACGACTCCTTGAAAAGGCAGAGAGAACGGAGGGCAATGGTAACAGTAACGTCGATGTGCTTATAGATCTGCCGGCTCAATTCACTGACATGTCTGCGTGCCTGCTGTTTTCAAGCTCTGGCCCTGACGTTGTTGCTTCAGGTGCAGCTTCAGGTGCTGCTGATCCAGGGCCTGCCACTGTTGTTGGTGTTCCCGCTGTATACGGCGATGCTTCAGGCGGGCCAGGTGCTCTGGCTGCTTATGGTCTAGGTGCACGTGAGCAAGGTGCATTGGCCATAGAAATGAAGCTAGAGCCATGCCAAGATATTGATGGTGATGCTGCATGTCAAGATGCTGATCCTGGCATGTGGGCTTTGGACATGCCTCTATATATAGAGGCTGGTGATGATGGCATGGATAGCATTCTATGGTGAATGGATAGGGATTGTGACAAGCTTTTACGGTACTGTGTATGTTTTATTGCCCTGTACGATTTCGTTTGTGGGTCTCCAAAAATGTCGCTGACGTTCGCTCCTCAGCTGCCCCTAGAAGCTTGGTTGTGCGGTTTCCTGTGCAGACACGACATGACCCTGTCTGTGTTCGTGTTCGTCAAACTTTCCCCCCTTCCTCCCCCTTCTTCGTGCGGAGTGTACTGGTCAAGTGTTCCTTTCGGTGTCGCTCGCCACACCACCACCACCCGCCCTTCCCCCACAACCACAAACCACGAATTCCTCCGCTCCATCCGCACATGAAGTTCGTGTGCATCAGTCAGCTCAAGAAAAAACCCAATTTTTGCTCAGATTTTTCCATACCAGCCGCCGCCACACATCAGGGGGAGGGGGTTTGTTTCCGCTGGTCTCTGAGCCGAGCCTACCGAAGTGGTTCGTAACTCCGCTGCAATCTTTGGCCGTCAGTTCCATCATCGAGCACCACCCAAACCTAGCAAGCACCACCCACGTACAAACCCAGAACTCCCCCACCTGGCGCGGGGAACCACCGCGCGCGGGAAAACACCAGCGCGGGCAAACCATCCTGCCCTCCATCGTCCCGTCCCGTCCGTCTCTTTCCTCCCTTCCACCTCTCCCTTTCGCCCTTGCTCCCGCCTCGTCAAATCCCAGGGTTTCATGAATCAGAATATTCAGTCAGCCTGCCTTTCTGATTGGTTTGGGCATGAATGAACCTGAACCTACTCTAGACTGCACGTGACTAACTAGGTTTTTCTGTTGACGCGATCAGTGTGTGTGAAGTGAAGTGCATTCGCTCATTGCTCGATCAATGGTCCCTCAAAACCAGTGAGGCAGGATTCCGAACCCTAATTTTCCAGCTTCTGACCTTCATACGAGTGTTCATTAACTACGAGTAAGCTCATGTAGAACGGTTTCATCACTTGACAAAGCTGCCCATGGTCATGTTAACGACTTGTAGACTGCTAGCCAGTTTCTGAAAATTTCCCGACGATCTCTTGAAAGGGCTGTCCATGGCTATGGTAACAACTGGTAGAATACCAGCTGGTTGTTGAGGATTCTCCGAGAACAACTAATCTCCTGGCAGGGCTGTCCATGGCTATGGTAACAACTGGTAGAATGCCTTCTTCCGATCACACTGCCGTCCCTGAACCTTGGTCGTCTCGCCCTTCCGCTTCAGGTAACTGCTTCTCGCGTGCAACTTTTGAGACGTCTCAAAAGTCGCTTCAGGTAACTGCTTCTCCCGTGCATGTGCATGGCCAGCATAACGAGACGATCGCCGGTTAGAAGTTCCACCCGCTTCTCAGAACCTGCGCCGTCTGAGAAGCTAATGAAATACGTGAGGTTTTACGATCATCATGTGTGTCGTTTTATCCTTTCAGGACCTCTGCCTGGCGCGATGCGTGCATCTGCTGCACCCAGACCGGCTCCAAATCGTTCGTATAGCCAGGGACTTTCGCGGTGTCCCGTTAATAGGTCACACACCGCCATCCACGGAATCCCGGAGCTCTCCACGTCTCCTTCCTTCGAGGTCGGTAGCAGTCTCAGCCTTCTCTCGCATGCTTCGATTTGACATTTTCCGTTGTCACTCTTTCGATTCGCTTTTTCTTCGTCCAACTCCAAAATTTTCCGTTTTGTCCCTGTGAAAGCAGATAAGCTCTTACTCATATCAGTTTTATCCTCAGCTTGCGTATTCCCGGGCTTCGCTCCCGCTTCCTCAATACCACCCGCTTCCACGTTCCCACCCGTTTATAGGAGGCCTCGCTACTTATAGGTGAGGCCATGACTTTCGATCGCACGCACTGGCACCCGCACGCTCTCGGCTCCTCCGCTTCCGTTCCCGAACTCTCCACGTGGCATCCCGAGAATCACGGGGTCGGCGCTAATGCCGCCTCGAACAGCCGGTTCGCCTCGTACGCACTCAATCCGGATTATGAAGGCTCGGCTCCTGCCCGAGCCAGGCCAGGCTCGGGCCGAACCTGGAGCCTCATGGAGGAGGTAGAAAGGTCGGAGGACGACGCGGAACACGCGTCCGGCGGTGGTTCGTGGGACAGCGGGCGGAGAGCGCGACCAGATTACTGTATTATAGGGTTGCCTATAGAAGGTAGAAGAAGTACAAGCGGAGCAGTGATGGGGTATGCTGGAAAAGTAGAGTACGGTGGGGGGAGCAGCAGTTGCGGTCAACTGTCTGGGGTTCAGGAATCTGCGCCTCTGGATAGTCACAAAAGCAATAGCAACAGCTTGAACAACGGCAGCAGCAGCAGCAATGCTCAATTTGGCCATACAGGATTCGTGTTCACGGCCCGTCGGCCAGAAGAGCTCGCAGGGCTAGAATCTCGGACTGGGCTTGCGAGCAGGGCGCACAGGCGACAGGCCAAAGGGTGGGGTTCCATCTCGTTAGGCAGCCCCGCAGCAGCACTAGGAGGAGCAGGAGGAGCAGGAGGAGCAGGAGGAGCGGGAGGAGCGGGAGGAGCAGGAGGAGCAGGAGCAGCAGGAGGCGGAGGGATGCAGGCGGAGCGTGTGGGAGTGAGCGAGGGAGGCGGGTTGGGGCGGGGAGCGGGCGAGGCGAGGTCTCTGCCACTGCGGTGGGCGGGGGACAGGTTGTTAGAAACGGTCCGCGAGCATGAGAGCTATGTGCATAGACCCTCGTTCGGCGCAGCTGGTGTTGAATCGGGTGATGTGAAGCCTGCTGACGCCAAGGCCGGTAACGCCGAGGCGCAGAGGCCTTGGTTTCCTGGAGCAGCTGGAGAGACGATTCCCGTGGGAGGCGGAGAAGGGCCGTTTTTTGGAACTTCTGCTGCGAGTGGAGGGCTGTTTTCGGCGCAAGGCGGAGAGCTTTTTTCGGGGCTTCCAGTGCAGGAGCAGCCGCGCTGGGCGCTTCCGGATTCGGAGATGGGATGGGGGGACGCGGGGGGCGCTGGGGCGGAGGAAGCGGGGAGGGCGGGAGGCGGAAGAGGGGAAGGCGGGGCGGGGGTGCGGGACGACGGGGCGGACGTGGAATTCGCTGATTGGCTGATGGTTCCTGGGGAAGGGGACGAGGCGATTCCGGGTGACGTGCTAGGAGGAGGTGGTCAGTGCGGGCCTAATAGTAATACCCGTGTGGCAGACGGTCATGGAAAGGGGCAGTTAGTAGATGGTGTTGATGCTCGTCATGCTAGTGCTGTTCCTGCTGGTGATGCTTCTATCGGGGATGTTTCTATTGGGGATGCTTCTGGTGGTGAGGCTTCTGGTGGTGCTGTTTCTGGCGTTGCGGAGTGCACAGCAGAGGGAGCGCGAGACCCGAGTGCGCAGGACGGGGAAGCTTGTATGGGGGATGGAGGGTCAACTCAGGAAGGGGAGGGAGCCTTAAGGCAAGCAGGGGGTACGGAGTGGAGAGTAGAGCGAGAGGGAGACGTTCTGTCGGCTTGCCCTAGCCTGCCTGACGACCTCGCCTGGTGCTCCTGGCCGGGCTGTGAAGACGTGGCTACTGCTCGTCGCGCTGTGCAAGGTGTTGTTGGTGCTGGTGGTTTGGTATCTGACGTGGACAGAGGTCAAGCGCCGTTGTGCCGCGGGCACCAGGCACTGACGTCAGACAAGCGCGTGAGGGGCGGGTGCCTCATGAGCGTGCTACAGTCAGGCGCAGCTGCGGAGGAGCTGGCTCAAGCAGGCCACGAGGATGCGGATGTAGCGGGGATGGGGCACCAGGCACTCACATCAGAGAATCGTGTGAGGGGCGGGTGCCTCATGAGCGTGCTACAGCCAGGCACAGCTGTGGAGGAGCTGGCTCAAGCAGGCCACGAGGAGGGGAACTTTGCTAATGGTAATGGTGATCGTGATGACGACGATCGTGACGATGATGGTGATGATGGTGATGATGGTGATGATGATGTGGCCGATGGTGGTGCTGACGTGGCAGCCTTAGAGCTCAATACGGACACAGATGTTGATTTCAGTGCCTTTGCTGCGCCGTTTGCATCTGGCCCGTTCGCTGCTAGTCCGTTTCTCAGCGGGTTTAACGGATTCGGCCACCCTGGGGGGCACATGCTACTTGAGGAGCCTGCGTTTGACCTTGACTTTGCAGCCTTCTGGGGGTTTGGGACAGCGCCTGAAGACGCCGCTGGGGTGACTGCAGTGGGTGTGACTGTACCGAGCATTCCAGTAGCGGAGGGAGGAGTAGCGGAAGCAGCAGGGGCTGGAGGGAAGGGCGCGGGGGCGGAGCTTTTAGATGAAGTGAAGGAGGCAGAAGCAGAGGGAGCCGCGGCAGGGTCAGCAGGGGATGGAGATGGGGCAGGGGAAGGGGAAGGGGAGGGGGAAGGGGAGGGGGAAGGGGAGGGGGAAGGGGAGGGGGAAGGGGAGAATGAGGAGGTGGTGGAGGGAGCGGAAGCAGGGGGAACAGCAGGGCTGGGCGGGGAAGAAGGGGAAGCAATGGACTGTGATATGATGTTCATGTCGTGGGGTATGCCCCTCATGCCCCCTGCCCAGCAGCCCAAGGCCTCAACCCAGCAGAAAAAGCCTCTGGCTGGCCAGGTCAAGAGTAAATCCTCCCAGGAGAAAGCACAGGTTGGTAAGCAGGTCAAGGCAGAGCAGGCTCAGGGCAAGGTAAATCGCGTGCAGGTGCAGCCCAAGGTCCCACAGGTGGATATTCAGGTGTCAGCGCAGGTGCCCGATCCAGCTGCTGGGACTCTCGCTGGTGCCAGTGCTGCTGGTGGTGATGGTGGTACTGCTGCTGCCAGTGCTGGTGGTGGTGGTGCTGCTGCTGCTTCTAGTGCTGGTGGTGGCGGCAGCTGTGTGGGTGCAGCACCTACTGCGGACGAGCAGCCCCTGAAGCAGGATCGGCCAGGGAAGCCAAGCAGGCCTGCTGCTCCAGGTACATTCTGCCCTTCCCTGCTTTCCGCGTGAGATGAGTCGATTTTTGAGTCGACTCAAAAATCTGCTCCAGGTACATTCTGCCCTTCCCTGCTTTCCCCGCTGCCCCCCCCACCCATTCCCCCTTCCGCTGCCTCTCTACATTTTCCATCTTCCCTTGCCGCCACCCCCTACCCCTTCCCGTTGTTCTACTTTTTTTCTTCATCCGTGTCTTCTTCTGAACCTGTTTCTCGCCTCTGCTGTTTCGCTGCCATGTCACCTCGTGTTTCACCCTCCCCTTGTTTCCTCCCTTTCATCCCCTCTCTGCTTCAGATATTTCAACGCAAAAAAGAACAGCTCAATCTACCACTGAGCCTCGCCCTTCCACCAGCAGTCCCATGCCCTCCCCTTCCAACTGCTCCCACACACCCCCTCTCCCCTCCCACTCCTTGGGCACCCTCCCCCTGTCGCGCACCTCCCCACCTCTGCACCGCTCTACATCCGCCTCCACCCCTCACCCGTCAGCCTCAGCAGCACTGACTGTCAGCGGTCCCTTGAAAAGAACCGCCACACACGCAGCCCCGTCTTCTGCCCGCTCTATACCCTCTAAGAGGCTCTCCAGTTCTCGTTATAAGGGACCCGGTGTGTCTCCGTCCCCTCCTGGGAGTTCCAGTGTGTTCTCCCATCTGTCCACGTCAGCACCGCCTACCACAGCTTTCCCACCTCACATGTATACAATGCCGTCTGTAGTGCATCCGTCTGTAGCGCATCCGTCCTTAGCGCATCACTCCTTAGCGAATCGCTCTCTTGGCATGAGCATGGGTATGGGCATGGGCATGGGGAGTGTTAGTGCCACTCACCACGGGGCCTATGGCGCTGCGGCTGGCGGTTATGCCCCTTCCGGAGGTTTCTTGGCTGCTGGAGCTGCTGCTGCTGGTGCTGGTGCTGGTGCTGGTGCTGGTGCTGGTGCTGGTCCGGTGGCTCCTTCTGGCGGGTACAATGCACATATGGCCCTTCACCGGCATCCCCATGCTCCTTCCAGCTTCCACGGCTTGTCATATCTCGCCCACTCGCCTCCAACCGCTGCCCACTCCTTCCTCTCCCACTCGCCCCCCACGCCACACTCCTTCCACCACCACTACCACCCAAGCCACTCCCTGCCTTCTATTCATAACGAGCAAATGCAAGGGATGCTACAGGAAAAGGGCCGCCGAATCCGCCCCCGTGCCGACCCAGCTGCCACTATCGGGTTTGCTTGTGAAGGGGCTGTTTCTGCTCCCAAGGCTGCTGGTGCGGCAGCTGCTGCTGCAGGTTCGGCGGGCGAGGGGCTTGGTTCCACTGAACTTGGTTCGAAGGGACTTGGCCCTCGAATCAACTCTTCTGCTAGTCTCTGTACTGGCGGTGCCTCTTTGCCTAAGGACAAGGGGAAGGGTTTACCTGGAGACGGTAGAATAGGGGGAGGTGGGTCAGAGAAACGGGCTGGGCTGCATGTGGTGCAGAGTGTGTTTGAGAATTCTCAAAAACACCCTTCAGCATCTGGGCTGCATGTGGTGCAGGGCGGCGGAGAAACAGTGGGAGAGGGAGGGGCTGTTATAGGGGGAGCAGACTCTGCAGCAGCAGCAGCAACTGCAGTAGCAGGGACCACATCAGAAGCTGCACTTGCAGCACCTGGTGATATGAACCGTATTCCACCCATGGTGCTGGTGCCTCCGTCCATGCGTGGTGACGAAGATGCTTGTATGGGGGATGCGTCTGGGGCAGCCGGGAGTGGTGGTGGTGCTGTCAGTAGAGCTGTGAGCATGCAGGTGGAGGGGGAGGTGGAGAAAGGGAAGGGGGGTGAAGGGACAGAACAAGGGGCTGCGACAACTGCTGCTGGTGATGGTGGCGGTGCTGCTGGCGGCAGCAGCAGTGCGGGTGGTAGTTCCACCACTGCTACTGCTGCTGCTGCTGCTGCTGCTACTACTGCAGCTACAGCTGCTACTACTACCGGTGCTGCCGCTGCGAGCAGTGCAGTAGGTCTAGGGGTTCGCAGTGGGGGCAGTAGCAGTAGCAGCAGCAGCGGCAGCCAGAGAAAAGCTCTCCAACCCCCTGCGTTGCACCCCATAAAAGCATCCCCGATTGCAGTGCCCGCCCCTGGAAAGAAAGCTCAGGGAGGAGGTGTATCAGCAGCAGCACGCTCAATACAGCAGCAGCAGCTGAAGTCAAGGCAGCAACTGGCAGCATCAGCACCAGCAGCACCTGTGGGATCTGTCATAATGAGCTCTTCATTTTCCCCTACTACCCCCTCCCCTCTCACTCACCAACAAGGTCCCTACGGCTTCCCTTCGTCTGCCAGCGTAACCCCTGGAGCAAGTTTTCTGCCAGGGTCTCTAGGAGCAACAGGGGCAATGTCAGGTGGGTTTTCAGGTGTTCGGCCAGGTGTTTTCTCAGGTGGTTTCTTCCATGGGGGGGTTCCTGGGTCTGTTGCTGCACCTGAGCGCATGCACTTGATGATGGCCGGTGGGCCTGGAGCTGTGCGCCAGATTTCTCCTGGGATGGGTCAGGTGGTTGGTCAGGTGCCTGCAACAATGGTCCAGGTGCCAGGTGGAATGATATCTGAAGTTTCACCTGGAGGCACACCTTCCCTGCGCCAGGCACACCCTATGCACCACCCGTTCCACCCACACATCCCACACCATCCTCAGCACCACATGGTGGGATTCGCTCCTGCAGGTGCAGCAGGGATTTCAGGCGGGAGAGTGGGCATGTATGGGATGGGAGGGGGCAGCATGAGTGTTAGCATGAGCAGTGGGGGTAGCAGCATGGGTGGCCTGGCAGGCACAGGGGGGCAGGCAGGGGGTGCCAGGACAGGCGGGGTGGGAGGAGGGGCAGGAGGAGCAGCGGCAGGAGGAGGTGGAGGAGTGGGCGTGGGAGGAGTGGGAGGAGGAGTGGGGGCAGGGGGTGTGAGTGCGGAGCTCATAGTGAAGAGGAAGAGGGGGAGGCAGAAGAAGGTTCCTTCTAAAATCGGCCCCTGTGGGGCCACCACCAATCTGCGCCCTCTCGCCCCGAGAAACGCTGCTGGTGGTGGTGCCACTGCCGCTGCTGCTGGTGCTAGTGCTGGTGCTGGCAGTGGTTCTGGGTCTGCTGGTGCTGCTGCAGGGGTGACTGGGAGAGGAGGAGCAGGAGTGGGCGGAGCAGGAGGAGCAGGGGCGGGGATTGGGCATGGAGCTGCTACAGCTGCTGCTACAGCCGCAGGCATGGCTGTAGCAGGATCAGCATTTCCCCCTGGTTCCTCTGCTCCATTCGGTCTGCAGAGGATGATTATGGTACCTGCCACTGCCGCCCACATCCCTGCCACCCACATCCCTGCCGCCCAAATCCCTGCCGCCCCGCAGCCGTCGTTTTTGTCACACTTGCCAGGAGCACACCACTATCCCATGCCTGTGCACCCGCCCATCCACTTGAACGGGGGCATCATGGGCGTGGGCAGTGCTGCCGCCCTGCCACCCCATACATCCCAAAAATAGTGCCTAAAAATTAGTGGTGAGTGCAGCAGGTGGGGGCATCATGGGCGTGCTGCTGCCCTGCCTCCCCATACAGCCCAATAATAGCACTTAAACATAGTGGTGACTGCAGCAGGTGGGGGCATCATGGGCGTGGGCATCATGGGCGTGGGCATCATGGGCGTGGGCATTATGGGCGTGGGCATCATGGGCGTGCGCATCATGGGCGTGGGCATCATGGGCGTGGGCATCATGGGCGTGGGCATCATGGGCGTGGGCGGGCAGTGCTGCTGCTGCCCACTTCCTGATGCCTGCGCACCCGCCCATCCATTTCAAAGGTGGGTCATGGGCGTGAGCAGCGCTGCCGCCCTGCCGCCCTGCCGCCCTGCCGCCCTGCCGCCCCATACAACCGGGACAGGGGCTGCTGTTTGTGAGGCGCCTAAAGACGAGGGGTCACTGCAGCAGGTGGGGCCCTCATGGGCGTGGGCGGGCAGTGCTGCTGTCCTTCCACCCCATATGGCACCGTTTCCCTTCCAAAGCAGCAGCTTCAGGCTCTGGCGGCAGGAGGGGCGGCAGGAAGGGCTGGCAGGCGGGACGGCTGCAGGCGGGACGGCAGGCGGGACGGCAGGAGGAGTGGCGGCAGGAGGGGCGGCAGCAAGGGCGGCAGGAGGGGCAGCAGGAGGGGCGGGGGAAATGGTGACATGAGTGGGAGGGAAAGGAGGGGGTAGTAACAGTGGTGGTGGGAGCAGAGGGCAGGGGAGAAGAGCGGTGACTGTAGCAGGTGGATCTGCAGCTGGAGCAGGTGGATCTGCAGCTGAAGCAGTTGGATCTGCGGCTGTAGCAGCAGGGACAGGGGCTGCTGTAACTGGGGCAGCTTGGGGGGTTGTAGCTGGAGGGTCTGCGATTGTAGCAGCCTGCTCTTGAGCCGGCTCAAAAATAGACTCCTCACATCCGGTTGCAGCAGCAGGGGGGGGGGAGAGGGGGGGGGAGAGGGGGGGGGAGAGGGGGGGGGGGGGGGGGGGGTTTGGGGGGGGGAAAGGGGGAGGGGGGGGGGGGGGGGGGGTGAAGCAAGGAGCACAAGCAGCTTCACAAGGAGCCTCTTAAAATGGCTCATCAGGCCAGCGGCATGAATCTTTCGTGGCACATCAGGTTTCTTGGGGTGTTTTACCCCAACAGCTTCCACCAGTTCTGCAGGATCATGATTGCAGCAGGCAGCAGCTTGGTGTGTGGGCGTTTGTGCTGGTAACTGCTTATCTGCTTGATTTTATTATGGCGTGCTGTGTACATATTCTATCGACTGAATTCATGAAGATGACGCTAGTACCGGTACCGTCGTATCTGAATTACCGCGTGTGTTGTTTGAGATGGGCTGTCGCAGGAGCTTCATCCTCCATGACAGAAAGGAGACTGCAGCTTTAGGCACCGAATCGTATGACCTAGTTATACAAGCTGCTTGGTTGAACAAGACATACTGCAGTACTGTAGTTTTTCCAGCTGTGCCTGGTGCGATGTTTTATAGAGCAGTAAGGGTACATTCCGCTGTGGACACATGTCCCAATCGATGTGTCCCAATCGAGTGTACCGCTCCGAACCGAACTAAACCAGAGACGCGAAAATTTCGAAACTAGGGTGCAATTTGGTGTAATACGATGCAGTGCGGTAGAAACGATTGGGACACATCGATTGGGACATGTGTCCACAGCGGAATGTACCCTAAGTGTGCCGTCGTACCTTGTTGAAACGATACCGTTGCAATATCCATTACAGGAAGCACGCATATGGTATCATTCGAATTACTCATCTGTGATCAGTTTTTGCAAGACCAGTGGGACATCAAAGTGTATATTGTTGAGAGTTATATTGAAGTCCTTACTGTATACCTTGGAGACACGTCGGACTGTCTCCTGGAGAAAGGGCAAAGATGTGAGGAGATACAGTGCAAGGAGAGATGAGAGCAGAAACATTATAAGTGAAGGGAATACTAGAATCCATGGCAACAGAAGAGTTATTTTGAGAGGAGCATAGTCAGGTAGGAGGAATGAGCACAGTGGGGACTCGGAAAAAAATGCATCAGTCAAAAGCATTGATGATTGAGTTCAAGGAGGAAGGGAAGGTGCCGTATGAAACAGGATAGTCCGCAAGCAAGGTCAAAACGCACACATCGCATACCAGGTCTCCCTTATTGCGAATCCCACCATACCACATAATCCACTCTCATATGTATCACAGTTCACGTACGCCATATCACAAAACGCATATGGTACCACATGTCCCAAATATTCCTTACTGTACTCCACACATCACATGGTACAAAACACTTACCGCATCATAGAGCCGAGCAAGCTTGAGATCCGTCCCAGTTGCATGCGCTTCTTTTGAGGTCGACAAATAGTCACCTTGCATCCCGTACTGTACACAACACATCACATGTTACAAGAACACTCACCGCATCATATAGCCGAGCGAGCTTGAGATCCGTCCCGGTTGCATGCGCTTCTTTTCCAAACTTAAACAAGTGTATATTCGAGTGATTGTAACGCGCGGTTACTACACGAACCCCGTCCTCCAAGTTTTCGAAGTGCCCCACATAGTCGTACTGTATTTGATCCAAGGCGCAGAGGTCCACTTGAGGGGTGATGTGTCGGTCTAGGGGTTTCTGCCCCCTTATAAGGTGCTCCACTAAGCGCATAAAGTCGTGGAATGATACGAGCTGCGTGGCTGGGTCTTTGAGCAGGTCAAAAAAGGGCTGTACGGTTCCAAAGAGCTCCTGATGGGAAGCACATGGAGGGGGGAGGGAAGAGGAAAGGGAGGGGATGAAAGAGGAAGAAAGAGAAACAAGAAGGAGGAAAAGGGAGGGTCTTTGAGGAGGTCAAAGAAGGGCTGTACGCCTCCAAAGAGCTCCTGATGGGAAGCAGATGGAGAAAGAAGAGAAGGAAGGGAAGGAGGAGGAAAGAGGGTCTTTGAGAAGGTCTAAGAAGGACAAGGTTCTGCATAACTCCTAACCACTCCTGTCTCTCGTTTGCTGCCTCCACTACTCACCCACTCAACCTCCCACACACCCACCCTCCCTCTCTCCCACCCTCCTTCCCTCCTGCCCACTCACCTTGTTCCAGAATCCCTCATCCCCTATCCTTTTGCCCTCCCTCTTCCCACTCACCCACGCACCCACCTTGTTCCAGAACTCTCTCGTCCCCGATCCCTTTGTGCGATCAGGGGCGTCGTCAAGGGTTGTTTTAACGTACCTCAACGTACCTCAACGTACCTCAACGTACCTCAACGTACCTCAACGTACCTCAATGTACCTCAACGTACCTCAGTGTACCTCAACGTACCTCAATGTACCTCAACGTACCTCAACGTACCTCAACGTACCTCAAAGTACCTCAACGTACCTCAATGTACCTCAACGTACCTCAACGTACCTCAATGTACCTCAACCTACCTCAATGTACCTCAATGTACCTCAACGTACCTCAATGTACCTCAACGTACCTCAACGTACCTCAATGTACCTCAACCTACCTCAATGTACCTCAATGTACCTCAACGTACCTCAATGTACCTCAACGTACCTCAATGTACCTCAACGTACCTCAATGTACCTCAACGTACCTCAACGTACCTCAACGTACCTCAACGTACCTCAACGTACCTCAACGTACCTCAACGTACCTCAACATACCTCAACGTACCTGTCTCTCACCTCACTCTCACCGTGACAACCAGCTTGTTCAGGTACGCAGCAACCACCCTCGAGAACGGAATTCTGCACGAACGTGAACTTGAACAGGCCTTGCCACAAACACCCACCTGGTTCCAGAACTCTCTCGTGCCCCACCCCTTGGTCCGTTTTTGAGTCGACTCAAAAACAGACCTGGTCCCAGAACTCTCTCGTGCCCCACCCCCTTGGTCCTGTCCGGCGCATCGGTCACCACCAGCTTGTTCAGATAGGTCGAAACCACCCTTGAGAACGGATTCCGCACGAACGTGCACTTGCACAGCCCAGCTCACCTATCACTCATTCACTCTCTCAGTCCCTCCGTCCGACCCACCTTGTTCCAGAACTCTCTCGTGCCCCACCCCCTGGTCCGGTCAGGCGCATCAGTCACAACCAGCTTGTTCAAATATGTCGAAACCACCCTCGAGAACGGGTTCCGCACGAATGTGAATTTGAACAGCCCCCGTCTTGTCATCGCGCGGGTCGCCTCCTTCTCGGTGAATTTCTGCGAGAGGTCCCCCAGCCCGCTGCCCTCGTAGCTGTGTGCGAGAAGATGGTCCTCCGGCTTGGGGAGATGGAGCATGGCTCGCAGCCACATGCGCCAACTCGTGCAGGCGACCTTGGGGAGACCGCAGTAGGCTAGGTTGAGAGAAGCTGTTGGGGGGAGCAGTGGGGGCGGAAGGTGCAAGGGGATTGAGTTGGGAGTGGGTAGTGGCAGGTGCAGCATGGCTCGCAGCCACATGCGCCAACTGGTGCAGGCAACTTTCGGGAGACCGCAGTAGGCTAGGTTGAGAGAAGCTGTGTGGGGGAGTGGAGACAGTGGGTTTGGAGAGTATAAGGCGGTTGAGAGTGGTTAATGGGAGGTGGAAAGATCGCTCAGTCCGTTAAGAGAGGTCCCCCAGCCCGCTGCCCTCGTAGCTGTGCGCGAGTAAATGGTCCTCCGGTTTAGGGAGATGGAGAATGGCCCGCAGCCACATGCGCCAACTGGTGCAGGCGACCTTGGAGAGACCGCAGTAGGCTAGGTTGAGAGACGCTTCAATGAGGAGGGTAGAGCATGGCACGGCGTTGCATGGCACGGCGTTGCATGGCACGACGTTGCATGGCAGGGCATGAAAAAGTGTAACACTCATGTTCAACCACGAAGAACGCGGCAAAGAGTTGACACGGGATGGGAGAGATGGGTTGTGTGTGGCACACAGGTTGGCATGGCATGGCATGGCATGGCATGGCATGCGAGGCATAGCAAAAGGTAACACTCACGTTCAACCACAAAGAACTTGGCGAAGAGTTGGCGGGGGATGGGAGGGATGGGGGCCGAGTAGCAGACGGGCGGCAGCATGCGGAAGGAGGGGTTGCGGGCACGGGCACGGGCGCGGATGAAGTCTGCTGCTGGGGATGGTCGCATGTGCAGCATGGCTTGTGTGTTGGCGAGCAGCAATAGTTCAGCGAACTGCATGGGAATGGGAGGGGAGAATTAGAAGGTAGGGCATGGGAGGCGCATTGGGGTGAGTGAAGTGAAGTCTGCTGCTGGCGACGGCCACATGTGCAGCATGGCTTGTGTGTTGGCGAGCAGCAATATTTCAGCGAACTGCATGGGAATGGGAGGGGAGAATTAGAAGGTAGGGCATGGGAGGCGCATTGAGGTGAGTGAAGTGAAGTCTGCTGCTGGCGACGGCCACATGTGCAGCATGGCTTGTGTGTTGGACAGGAGTAGCAGCTCAGCAAACTGGAATGAGGGAAAGGGGGAGGGGAGCAAGGGAGAGCAGGGAAGGGGCACAGGGGGGTGCTAGGGGGTGAGTGAAGTCTGCTGCTGGTGATGGTCGCATGTGCAGCAGCATGGCTTGTGTGTTGGCCAGGAGTAGCAGCTCAACGAACTGGAACGGGGGAAAGGGAAAGGGGAGCGAGGGATAGGGTTGGAGAGGAGGAGGAGTTCAGGGAACTGGGATGGGGGAAAGAGAGGTTTAGGGAGAGGGAGGGTTTTTGAGGCGCCTAAAAAATCGTCTCAGTTCACGCGGTTTTGAGGCGCCTCAAAAAGAGAGGAGGAGGAGTTCAGCTAACTGGGATGGGGGAGAGAGAGGTTTAGGGAGAGGGAGGGCAGGGAAGGAGCATAGAGGGGCTTGGGTTGAGTGCGGTCTGGTCTGGTGCTGCTGACAATGGACGCACAGGCAGCATGGCCTGTCTGTGTTGACTTTTGAGGCACCTCAAAAGTCCTACTCTTTTAGGTTGATGTTGAGAATTCTAGTTTTGAGGCGCCTCAAAACTAGACTTTTGAGGCGCCTCAAAACTAGCCTACTCTTATAGGTTGATGTTGAAAATTCACATAATCAACCTCAAAAGTCACATGCAGCATGGCCTGTCTGTGTTGAATAAAATACCTACCCACAAAGCTCTTACCTCGTGTTGTTGGCATGCGATCAGCACCCTCCTCGCTCTCTCCACTGCCACAGCATCCACTCTCCTCCCTTCCTCCACCACACCAATCGCCTCCTTTCCCCTTTCTGCCGCCACTGCAATCGCCTTAACCAACTCATCCACACTCACATTCGTATACCCCTGCATCCCCTTCACTCACATGCATCCCCTTCACTCACATGCATCCCCTTCACTCATGCCTCCCCTTCACTCATGCCTCCCTCTCACCTCATGTGTTGACACCCAATCAGCACCCACACTCACATTCGTATACCCCTGCCTCCCCTTCACTCACAAGCCTCCCTCTCACCTCGTGTTGTTGACATGCGATCAGCACTCTCCTTGCTCGCTCCACTGCCACAGCATCCACTCTCCTCCCCTCCTCCACCACACCAACCGCCTCCTTTCCCGTTTCTGCAACCATCCCAATCACCGCAACCAACTCATCGACACTCACATTCGTATACCCCTGCCTCCGTTTCACTCCCCCACCTCCCCCTCCTCCCCCTCCTCCCCCTCCTCCCCCTCCACTCCCTCCTCCCCCCACACCCTTAGCACCACCCATTTGACCCTCCGAGCCAGGCGTGCCGGGCAACTTCGGCCTGCCAGGTCCGGCAGGGGAGCCAGGTTCGGCATCCATGAGGCCCGGCGTTGCCATAAGCTTTTTAATCGCAGGTTCGGTGCACCTGGCCGCTCTAAACTCGGCCGATGGGGGCATGAAAGGGGCGCGATTCGGGTCAAAGAAATCGGCAATCGCGGTGGGGTGGGAGGGGTCCTGCGATGCGATGGTGAGTTCGATCGACGGGCGGCGGAGAATTTCCATCGCGATGCTCCGGGCGGCGCAGTCGGAAATTTGCCTGCCCGGAGGACAACCGGAGCAGGATGATTGGTCGGAGGGCGGCTGGGAGGGAGGATTGAAAAAAAAGGTTGGAAAACGGAGAGCGGGAGGAAGGGAGAGAAGTCAATGATAGGCTTGGGAATTTGGAGGACAACAGAGACAGGGCACAATGTTTGAGAGAGAGAGGAGAAGCAGGGAATAGGAAGAGTGGAGATAACGGTACGGTACATACGTCAACATAGACAGCGGTGCTCTGAGTGACAAGTGTCATGTTGAGATTGGTAGACTCCAATAGTGCCTCTCAACGCTCCTCACTGATTGTTAGTGTTGGGTTAGCGGTACATACGTCAACATAGATGGCAGTTCTCTGAGTGACAAGTGTCATGTTGAGATTGGTGGACTCCACAATGCCTCTCACAGCCTCTGAGGGCTGCAGGCGAGCGTAGCAGCGGTGAAACTCCTCCAGCACTAAACACCCCACCACCTTCTCCTGTTGTTGCGGGGGAGTTGAATAAGTGTGTACAAAGGAGGGAACGATAGAAAGCATGAGGGAAGGAGGATGGATGTATGCGAGCGTAGCAGCGGTGAAACTCCTCCAGCACCACACACCCCACCACCTTCTCCTGTTGATGGGCAAGGCAGCAGGAGGGCACATGGAAGGCATGAGGGGATAACTGTCTCAGGGGGCTGCAGGCGAGCGTAGCAGCGGTGAAACTCCTCCAGCACCAGACACCCCACCACCTTCTCCTGTTGATGGGCACGTCCAAAGAGCCGCTCCGCGCCCTCGGTGCATTCAGCTCCTACCCCCTTACCCCTCCCCCCACCACCACTCACGAAGTTGGTGCGGTTGAGTGCTCGCACGGATACCCACACGTCCAGAGACAGGCGCTCCGCTTCAGAGGGGTCCAGTGCTGCGCTGCTGCGCCCGCACTGCCCAAACCGCATCTGGTCATTTCGGGAGAGGGAAGGTAGGGGAGAGGGGAGGGAGGGCAGCTTTAGCCATTCCGCTTCTGAGGGGTCTAGCGCTGCGTTGCTGCGCCCGCACTGCCCAAAGCGCATTTGGTGTAGTGGGGGGGAATTTGGGCGCGGGGGGCGGGGAGCACAGCGGGGGGAATGTGGGGGGATGAGAAGGAGGGTGGAGGAGGAAGAGGGGGGCGGAGCACACGGGGGGGAATGTGGGAGGGTGGCGGGGAGCACGTAGGCAGGAATGTTGAAGAGGAATGGGAGAGGAAGGGGACGCAGGGGCAATGTGCGTGTGAGGAGGAATGCCAACCCACATTCTCATTGTTCTCATGATTGTCTTAACGAGAGGGATGCGCAGGAAGCGCTCTTCTGGCAGTACCCGCCAATAGCAACTTAAGACTGCCTTAAAGTAATCCGCGTTAATACCTCACACCGTACCGTTTTGGGCACAAACGGGTGCGCGAGAAACGCTCTTGTGGCAGTAACGGGCGACAACGCTCCCCCCGTATCAATCACCACCGGTCCGCCTCCCCGTCCGCCCGCTTTCGCCCCGCCTCCTCCTCTCTCCCCCGCCATAGTCACTTCCCCCTCCGCCCCCCTCTTCGGCTCTCTCCTTCCCCAGGAGAATTTCCCCCTTGACCGCGCGCTCCCTCCCCCTGATCTTCCCCCGCCCGCTCCTCCCCCGCCTCCCAATAGAATTTCACTGGGCGGCACGTAGATCATCCCCTCGTCTTTTAGCCAAACGACACGGAGAGAGAGGCGGGAAATGGCGGCAGTGGCGTTGGCTAAGCAGAGGGTTTGAATGCGGTTCGAGAGGGGACCCATGGCGAATGCGATCATTTTGTATCGCGAGCACGTCGCAGCGCTGGGGGATTCGTCGCACGGGTCGCGCAGCTCGTCGCGCACGAGCATTCGTCGGCTGTCGCCGTCGTCGTCGTCTGCGAAATCGATGTACTTCGCGTAACGTCGCAGGAGCGACGAGTGGTGCAAAAAAGCGATTGCGGTGAGGACGAAAATTGTCGCAGGAACGAGCGTCGCCTTGCGACGCCATGGCGATGCTTTCGATCCAGTTTTAGTCGCAGGCGATTTCCGCGAGCTTCTCGTAGTTTCTCCTGAGGAACTACTGTTTGGTCTGGGGACTTCCGTTACGGCCATGTCTTGCATTTAATTAGCCAGCCCTAACATTCAGGTCACGTGCAACAGAGAATTTACCATAAACCATCGTAATCGTGTCATACTCGTGCGAAGAATGTCGCAAGTTAGTCAGCTAGGAAAATCCAGGCAACGGCTACCAGCTTGGATCTAGCCGACGCGCAATTCCCTTGGTTTGATTTGAAGCCTAGAGATCACCGGGGGAAAGGTAGTGATTGTGTTGTGATTGGTGGGTTGGCGAAACGTTGTGTTCTTCTGACAAAAATTGACAGATATCCATCAAAAGCAGACATCTGGGAACGCAACGCGCATATGTTCCAAACGAGGATGGAATGCGATGGCGGGAAGATGGTTGTGACCGATGTGCAAACGACTGGCCTCCCTTGTGCGCGGGAACCCCAGGCTAGCGAACCAGGGGGAGTTTCCTAGTTTACGATTTATAAAGAACACTTGCTCACATTCCGTGACGGATTCAATCCAAAACATGCTTGTTTTGCGTATACGAGACAATCTGACCCCTCTAATCTTCAAAACTTTTCGCGAAGACCTTCAGGTAGCTGTTGCGTGGTTTCTGATCACAAACACTTCGTACGGTTGGATCTCAGATGGTAACTCAAGCCTGATAACTCGCACATGCCGAAAGAGCCGCCAGTGCACCCAGGGAGCGAGAGCCGTCTCCCAGTTTCGTGCACCTGTTACGGTTCGCTATTTCGCGAAACATGCTTCAAAGCGAAACCAACACCCGTACCGCACAGACCGAGCCGCATCCTTATTTCATTGTATTCCTTTTCAACAGAAACCCATATCAGACGAACACATGCACAAAACAGCTGGAAAAAGGTTTCCACAAAGCACTTTCGCCCCTTGCGCAAAATTAGAGAGCGAGTCGTCCTACCAGTCACAACAGCAGCAGGTAGCATTGCGGATCAGATGATGGCTCGTCAGGAAATCCACTTTCATCGGCTGCTTGATGAGCCGCCCCTCTTCTTGCGATTTTCCGGCGAATACTGCGACAGTATGTCGCATTCGCCGCATGACACTACTGTGAAGTACCCTGGAACAAGGGCCCATGAAAATCCACACGAACGCCATCGGAAGAAAGGCTCTCTGCGCACATACAGCAGCCCTGGCAGCAGCAGACGCCGCGTAAAATCCGGCTCCCGCAATTTTTGCGACCGGGATGTGACCTCCACGGAACTAAAGGAGCCTAGGCTTTGCGAAGGTATTGTTTCGCGTGCTCGGTTTGGAAAACTGGCGTGACCTTCTTTCGGACACTCACTGAGTCACCAAGCTGCACCACGAATTTTGGTCGAAAATCAGAAATCAACGACGCCAGCCTACCGCGAGAACCTAGTTAATCTCAAGCTCGCAGAATCTTGTCGCTACGATCGAACGTCCCAAATATTAGAGAAACCTGAGCGTATTACTGGAAATTCAGCGGGTGTGCGACGCCAGCGGCCTCACGCTCCAGGACGCACGGGTCGGCGCCCTCGCTTCATTCAAGACGCCTTTTGAGGCGCCATAAAATTCGCACGCGTTCTCGCCCTCGCTTCAGTCGAGGCGCGCACCACAAGGCGTCATCATGGTGTGTGGATTGGGTTGTCATTCGAAGCTCTGAAACGCCGGATTCAGCCTGGGTAGATCCTCGGGGAGTTTGTTACGTTTTCATTCTGATCAACCATGCAACGTTCGCACACTACGAGCTTGAAACGTCTAAACTGTCTTCTTAAAAAGATTCGTTTTGATCTTCAGAGTATGTAGAAGCCTCTGATTCTCTCTCTCCCCCCGCATCTCTCTCTCAACTCGCGGTCTGCAGGGTCCTGTGCTGGTTCCGCGCTTCGGAGAGTGGAACGAAACACCTCTTTCGCCCTCTCCAGAGGTTCTCTCGCCCACAGGAGTCACTGGCGAAACAGTTAACAGACGAACCGGATTTCGCTCCCACCAAACCTCTCGCCAACCCTCCCCAGCTTCCGCGCGCCAGTCCCGCTCCGCATCTCCAAACCTCCGACAGCCGTTGATCGCCCTCCAGCGCCGATCCGACGGCTCTCCTTCCGCCACGTCATCTCGTTCGAATGAGCCAAATCTCGTGAGGAGCAGCAGCAGCGGATTCACAGGATGGCGTCGCAGACGCCCGGCCAGCCCTGCAGCCTCTTCTAGTAGTAATACATCTAATAGCTTTAATACTGCTTCTACTAATTCTACTGCTACTGCCAAAGGTAGTACCCAGAATGCACCAGTGCTGCCGTCGACTCGAGCTCGCCTTGTCAGCACGGCAACAGCAGCTGCAGCAGCAGCAGCAGCAGCAGCAGCAGCAGCAGCAAGCGTGCCAGCGCCAGGATCTCAAACTAGCCGCCCGAGCCTCGCGAGACTCCCAAGCCTGGGAAACCTCCCGAGCCTCACAAGCCCGAGGCAAGGCGAGGTCACGTCTTCAGCCCAAGGCAAATCCCTGGGTGAGATTCTGAGGAGGCAGAGGGAGGAGGGCGGGGGGCATGGAGGGGGGGTGTACTCGGGAGAATTCCTTAAAGCCCGCCTTGCTCGGAGCGCCAGTGCTTCCCGTGCCTCCCTGCTGCAGTCCCAAGGGATCAAATCCCCAGAAACCCAATCCCGAGAATTGGAATCTCAAAGGCGGGCCTCTCAACCAGCCGTTTCATCAGCAGCAGCTGGGGAGTATGGAGGTTCAGATTACACCAGAAGCAGCCTTTCCCAGATAACGCCTGCCAACATGTCTCTGTGGAGGCACCGTGAGAGCAGCAGCAGCAGCAACAGTAGCAGCAAGTATGGGAGGTGCGGGCATTCAGGGATGGGACAGGGCTTGAGTAAGAGTGGCTGGGCCGGCAGGAGCAGTAGTGGGTTGAGGTCGAACCTGACGACCAAAACTAGCCGGCCAGTCAGTTTCCTGACGGCTAGCAGTAAGGGCAGGGTGGGTGATGCTGAGGAGACGGATTCTGGTGGAATTCTGACGGCCAGGAGTGCGGATTCTGCTAGCTTGACGGATCCCTTGACAGGTTCTGTTTGCTTGACGGATCCCTTGACGGATTCTGTCAGCTTGACAGGTAACAGTTTTATGGACGTGAGCGGGAAGCATCTGATAGATGAGATGAGTCGAGTCAGCATGTCAAGCCAGGTCAGCATGGGATACAGCCACGTCAGCAAGGGATCCAGCCAAATCAGCGCTGGCTCAAGTCATGTTGACAGCACTGCCGAGTCATCAACATCCTCCTCAAGCCACGTCAGCAGGGCGTCCATGTCAGCATGGTCGCCACGTAGGCTCGGGAGCCCGCTCAGGTTTGGCAGCCCGTTTGGTTCGTGGAAAACCAGCGGCCGCAATTCCGAGGCTAGCGGCGGTCGTGACACTAAAGAGAGTGGTGACAATAACGAGGGGAAGAGGAGGTATGGTAGCGCCAAAAGAGCTTCGGATAATTCTCGCAGGGATGGGTGGATCAGCAGCGGTAAGAAGGTTCCTGGAACAAGCGCTGATGTCAGCTTCGCCAGCACTGACAACAGCAACGTCAGCAACGATGCTAGCTGCGTCAGCAGTTACATCAGCCACATCAGCAAGGATGTCAGCTGCGTCAGCAGCACCATCAGCGGCAGCAGGAATCTAACCAATCCCAGCGCGCCATATCATGATGACGATGTCAGTTACACTGACGATGACATCAGCAACCCAAGCGGGAACCTTGATGCCAGCAGCAGCATCAGTACACTCCGCACCCCTTTTAGTCCCACTGGCAGCAGCGCGAGCAGCAGCAGGATGACAAGCAACAGCAGGCGAACAGCCATACCGAAATTCGACGAATGGTTGGATCCAAAACGCGACCACATCTGCCCGGTGTACAATAGCGAGTCCACTTGTAAAGTGTACGATGGTGGACGTTACAGTGTAAATAGAGATGTTACCAGCAGTAGCAGCAGCCGCAGCATCAGCAGCAGAAGCACCAGCACCAGGAGCAGCAGCAAGCTTCAAAAGTACCACCACCACCACCCCCTCCTACTCCAGCACAACAGCAGGAGTGAAACCAGCAGCACCTACACCAGGAGCAGCACGAACCACACCTGCAGCAGCAGGAATAGCAGCAGACATACCAGCAACAGCAGCAGATACACGGGCAGTATTCAGAGCAGAGGGAGGAGGGAGAGTGCAGAGACAGAGTCTCGAGGTAGCAACAGCAGCAGATACACCAACAGCAACTACAGCAGCAGCTATTGCAGCAACCACAGCAGTGGTTTCACGGGTGGTTCTGCTTACAGTGGCGTGGGTAGCGCCAAGACTGGAAGCAGTGGTGTTTCTGGTGCTGCTTCCAGCATCAAACATGCTCTTAGTGCTGCTGGTGGGAGAGGAGAGGAGGAGGTAGATTCCCAGGAGGATTTTCCTTACTCTGAGGTGTTTGAGCGAGCGAGAAGAGAGACGCGATCTAGAAGAGAGTCGGAAACTGATGAGACGTCTCAGGGGGGAGATTCAGAGGTGTTTGAGGCGAATCAGAGGGATATAAGGGAGGAGAGAGAGGTGCAGGAGGGGTTTGTTTACTCGGAGGTGTTTGAGAGGGCGAGGAGAGAGAGAAGAGAGACACAGGCTGTGAGGAAGAGAGGAGCAGAGGAGGAGGAGGACAGGCGGTGTGGGATTGGGACTGGAAGGGGGACTGAGAGTGGGTGTGAGAGTGAGAGGGAGAGGGAGAGGGAGAGGGAGAGGGAGAGGGAGAGTAAGAGGGAGAGTAAGAGAGGGTCTGAAGTTAATGGTTCTGCTGCGACAAGAAGGGCGCTTCTGTCGTGTGAGAGCAGTGGAGAGGCGGCGAGGCTTCAGCAGAAGATGGTGAGAGAAATGGCTGCTAGGCGAGTGGAAAAAGGAGGAGGAGGAGGGGGAGGAGGAGGGGGGATCACTCGGCATAGAGAGGAGCAGGGAGGGAACGCAGCGTTGAGCTTGGGAAATGGGAGTGCTTTGGAGGAGAGGGAGAAGGGAGAAGATCACGAAGGAGGAGAGCAGGAGGGAGTTGAGGAGAGAGGGGAGAAGGGAAGGGAGGAGAGGGAGAACGAGGATGAGGAAGAGAGGAAAGACAAGAAGAATAGAGGGAACGAAGGTTGCCACGAGGGCGCAGCAGAGGAGCGGCAGCACAGGGGTGTACCAGGCCTGCTGACTTCTGAGTCGACTCAAAAGTCAACAGAGGGGCGGCAGCACAGAGGTGTACCAGGCCTGCTGAGTGTCAGTGCTGGCGAGGCGTTCTTGAGTGCTGCTGGGCCGATCAGGTCCATCCCTGAGTCGATTCAGTTGAGCATTGCAAAGCTGAACACCGGTAACAGTTCGGCGCCCGTCACCAATGCCCCAGGGCCCAGAATTGTTACCGATGGTGGTGTTTCTGCGCTCAACTCAACTGCTCCAGGGCTGTTCAGGAGTGTGAGCATAGGGGCAGCGGAGTGGAGGCGGGGGAGTGAGGGAGCGGCCAGGGGTCTGAAGCAGATCAGTGAGTGGCTGGAGCGACAGGAAGAGGAGGGAATGGGCGGAATGGGCGGAGTGATGGGTGGTGTGGGTGGTGTGGGTGGTGTGGGTGGTGTGGGTGGTGGGGTGCATGGGGCGCATGGGGTGCATGGGGTGCATGGGGTGGGCGGGGCGCAAGGAACAGCTGGGAGTGTGGTTGAGTCTGTCCCTGTCATTCACACGTCCATTACTTCCACTCACAGCGTGGTTCGCCTCACCCCCTCTCTTCAGGAGCCCTCTCAGCGGCACTTCTGGAGAAACCTGCCTCTCGCCCTTCCGACTGCCCCTGCAGCAGCAGCAGCAGCAGCAGCAGCAGCAGCAGTAGGAGCAGCAGGAGCAGCAGCAACAGCAGCAGCAGCAGCAGCATCAGAAACAGCAGGAGGAGCAGGGGCAGTAGTGCTCATCTCACAGGACATTGATACAGCATCTGCATCATCATCGTCAGCAGCAGCAGCAGCAGCAGCACAGCAGTAGTGGCACCACCCACAACAGCACCACCACCACCAATTCCACCCACATCAGCCGCGTTGCTCCCACTGAAGCCATCCCATCCCTTTCAGAGGACGCTCTCGGGCAGCCGAATGCTTCCGGGCAGGCCGCCGGGCAGTTGGGAAACTATATCGGGCGGGGACCTAGAGGATGGTGGGGCCGGGCAGATGGTTGGCGGGCAGCTGAGCAGAGTACGAGTGAGCGAGTATCAGATGCTGCAAGCCCACAAGGTATGATCGCAAAAGGTAAGATATTGAACAAGGTAATGCCCCTCTCTCACTGTAAACTTGCCTTCATGGGGAGAGGACGTTGGGGCTGGGCAGTTGGTGGGAGGGCAGCTGAGCGCAGAGTGTGCGAGTGAGCAACTGTCTGATGCTCTAAGCTCACAAGGTATGAGCACATAAGGCGAGCTCACAAGGTATGAGCACATCAGGCGAGCTCGCACAAAGGTTATACCCCGTGAACTCTTGAGAATTCTCAAAAGCAGTTTGAAAGCCGCCGCAGCACATTCGCATGCAGCGTGCGAGTAAGCCTCGTGAAAACTGCTCCTGCTTTTTGAGTCTGACTCAAAAGTCCACTCCTGAGAATTCTCATTGTGCACTTGTGCAGCAGGCGAGTAAGCCTCATTCAAACTGCTCCCGCCTTCCGTCTATCCTCTCACCTTCCGTCCTTTCCTTTCCCCCTCCTCTCTCCCCCATCAACTTTGTGCGACCAGGCATCCCCATGGCGGTTGTGCTGTGGCCTTCCCTCTGTGCTGCCTTGCTTCGAGTCGTCTAAAAACCCTTCCCTTCCCCCCACCCCTCTCCCACCCCTCTCCCACCCCTTCCCACCCTTCCACCCATCACTCCCGAACTCGCAGGCATCCCCATGGCGGTTGTGCTGCGGCCTGCCCTCCGTGCTGCCGTGATCCTACTGCCTTGAGTTCCATGGTACCAAGGCCATGAGTTAACTACATCGGGCCTTGGTGTCCTAGTGTTCTCCAGCTGCTGGTACTGGTGGTGCTATTGTTGTTGGTGCTGTTGCTGCGGCTGCTGATGCTTTGTTCATTAGATGGAATGGGATGGGACATGCTTTACCAGGCCAGCAGCAACCTTTCATTCCTCAGGCAGTGAGATGGTGGTTCTTGTACAGAATCATAAAATATTTCGCCAGTGGTTCATCCAATTTGTGTTACAGCAGTAACGTTACCATACCCATTCAGCATCTTTCTGCCCATTGGGAAAAAAAGTATCTACCTACACAAAGCACAAAATTGAGAACAGCAGCACCACACAATGGCCAGTCCCCTTGCTCCCATAAACAGCTGTCTCTTGGCTCCACCAATTAATTCCCTTGCCCCCGCACTACAATCATCCATTCCATCCTGCACACACCACATTTCCCACTTTCTCACAACACACCTTATCGCACACCTCCAATGCCATCCCTGCTTTCTCTGAGACCTCAACCCTTCTTCCCCACCTTCTAATCCTGCACCACTCTTCACCACTCTTCACCCTCCACCACTCCTCTCACCACTGCAAGACCATTCAGCCTCAAAAGCCACCCCTCACAACGTCAGCACCTCTATGGCCAATCCAGCCTTCTTCAAGTCCACTTCAAGCCGCCTCCTAGCCTCAGCCTCATCCCTCCCCTCCTCCGTCACCACCCCCTGCCCTTGCAACCAGCTTACTGCCTCCTGTCCCTCTCCCTACAAAGAAAGCACCTCCAAAGCCAGCCCAGCCTTCTTCAAGTCCTCTTCAAGCCGCCTCTTTGCCTCAGCCTCTTCCTTCCCCTCCTCTGTCACAACCTTACTCAGCTCCTTCGCCCCTGCCTTCCTCAAAACCTCCACCACACCCTCCTTCCCCGCCTCGCTCCCCTCAATCGCCTTAACCGCCGCCACCACCACTGCCCGCCTCCTACCCCCGTCATACGACATTTCACACACCGACTTGAGTAAGCCAAAATCCGCCGCCCCGGCCGCGACAAACCCGCCCAGCCACTCGCCCAGGAACCGCGGCGCCTGCGGCACATCCAGCGCCAGGTCATCGAGCTGCTCGGCCAATGAGAGCATGCCAGCTGTCAGCGCACTCTCGCCCTTGTCGCTCTGTGCGAACGCGCCCTTGGAGTGCAGGTGCGCGAGCAGCCGCCCCACCTCCACACATTCCTTCTCCTTGCCACCCTCCAGGGCAAAATTCGCCGCAAATTCAACGAATCGGGACGAAACCTCGTGGGATGCCTTTGAACCAAGCTCTTCCATACACAGCTGAGCCTCCTTGAGATCCAGCACAGCGAAAAACTCCTTAAGAAGCGATTCAGACTTTCTCTTAGCCACATCATCCCACGTGCCTGACACTGCCGCTGCTGCTGCTGGCTTCACTGCTGCTGCTGCTGCTGCGGCTGGGCCGTTGCTAGCAGCAGCAGGGGCGGGGGCAGCAGCAGGCTTGGGAGCCGCAGGTTCGGCTGGTCTGACCGGAGCAGGCTTGGCACCAATCAGAGCGCTCGGCTTGCCGATGAAAGCCGACGAGCCTCCCATTCCCGGACCCATACCTGGGCCCATTTTGAGCCCCATGCCTGGCCCCATGATCGGTACCGAACCTGCTGCTGCAGCGCCCTGCCGAGCCTGCCCGGCAGCTCCGGTGGTATCCTTCTTTCCGCGCCGACCAATCGAAACCGTTTCCCACCCATCCAAATCCACAGGCGGCACCATACCTCCCACCAAGCCTCCCGGCATGCCGGGCATCCCCGGACCTCCGGGCCAGCCAGGCCCGGGAGGGAACATCATCCCCGGACCTCCAGGCATGGCTCCCGATACTGCACCGACCCTGAGCGAGGCAGCACCCTTCCTCAAACCAAGCGTGGCCTCAGCTTCAGCGTGGATCTGATCGAGCTTCTTAGCTGTGAGCTCCTTCCTACGTGGCACCCACTTATTGGACCGCAGGTCGACGAGGTCGCGGCACATGAAGCGGATGCGAGAGGGCAGCGTGGGGGAGTTGGAGAGAGCTTTAAGGCGGTCGAAGTAGGCGTTGAGCAGGACCGGGTTGGCCTTGCCGGCGGGCTTCTCCTCCATGCCTCGCCCGGCGGTGGACAGAAGCTGGCAGAGTGCCTCGATGTTCTCCTCTGGAGGCTCAGTCTTGCTGTCCCCTTGCAGCTCCTGCATGGGGGAAGGTGGAGACGAGGAAGGCGGAAGGGTAGGGAAATGAGCGCGGAGAGGTAGAGGGTAGAGGGGAAGTAGGCGTCGAGCAGCACGGGGTTGGCCTTGCCGGCGGGCTTCTCCTCCATGCCTCGCCCTGCTGTGGACAGCAGCTGGCAGAGCGCCTCGATGTTCTCCTCTGGAGGCTCAGTCTTGCTGTCCCCTTGCAGCTCCTGAGAGGAGGGAAAGGGGAAACGGGAAAGAGAGCGGGGGAATGGGGAGACGGGGAAAGCAGGAAGTGGTGAAGAGGTGAGCGGGGAAGGGAAAAGGAGGTTGGCTTTCCCTACGGGCTTCTCCTCCATGCCTCGCCCCGCGGTGGACAGCAGCTGGCAGAGTGCCTCGATGTTCTCCTCTGGAGGCTCCGTCTTGCTGTCCCCTTGCAGCTCCTGAGAGGGGGGGAGAGGGGAGGGAGGTGGGGGAGGAGATGCGGAAGGAGTAGTAATAAGGGCAAAGTTTGGTAAGAAAGGGCAGCAGCTGGCAGAGTGCCTCGATGTTCTCCTCTGGAGGCTCAGTCTTGCTGTCCCCTTGCAGCTCCTGAGTGGAGGGAAAGGGGAAACGGGAAAGAGAGCGGGGGAATAGGGAGACGGGGAAAGTAGGAAGTGGTGAAGAGGTGAGCGGGGAAGGGAAAAGGAGGTTGGCTTTCCCTACGGGTTTCTCCTCCATGCCTCGCCCCGCGGTGGACAGCAGCTGGCAGAGTGCCTCGATGTTCTCCTCTGGAGGCTCCGTCTTGCTGTCCCCTTGCAGCTCCTGGGAGGGGTGGGGGAGGGTGGTCGAGGGCAGGATTTCGGGGGAGATGGAAAATAGCAGTGGTGCACACGTGAGCTGCGCACACGTGCACGATGTTTCCGGGAATCAGCTTCTGCTTGTGCAGCTCTCCAATGAGGTGGTTTTTGAGAATTCTCAAAAACCACCACAATGTGTCCGGGAATCAGCTTCTGCTTGTGCAGCTCTCCAACGAGGTGCAACTCCCTATGGTCTTTGCTCTCTGCCAACCCACCTGCCTCTACACCCTGTTAGCCAGCGCTCTTCCCATCTCACCTGAGTGAATGCTACCTGCCCCACACAGTACCTGCACGCACGCATGCACCATCTTTTCGGGATTCATCTTCTGCTTGTACAGCTCTCCGATCAGCCGGATGTTACCTGCCCGCAAATGTTCCCTGCCCCACACCATACCTGCGCGCAAGCATGCACAATCTTTTCGGGAATCATCTTCTGCTTGTACAGCTCTCCGATCAACCGGATGTTCCCCTGCGTGCGTGCCTTCACCCTCCGCTGCACGTCCTCCCGCTCCTCCGCCTGGCACAAGGATACAGAGGAGCAGAGCAGAGCAAAGAAGCACAGGGCAGTATGGGGCAGCACAGGGAAAGACAGGGCAGAACAGAGCAGGGGCGCACAGGAGCGTAGAGAGGGTGAAAAGAGAATCATTCAGGAACGCAAACACGAGAACACTGAACAAAATCAAGTCCCCCCATGCCAAACCCTAAGCCCTGCACTCTTCCCACCAAACCCTTACCTGCTCCGCCTTGGTGAGTCCTTTGAGCTCCTGCCTCAGCTTCAGCGCCTGCTCAAACTCCTCCTGGCAGGTACTCAACAAAATCCTCCTAGAAGTAACCGGCTTGTCAGACCCTTCGGGCCCTGGGAACTGTGGCAGCGCGCGGGCGAGCTTGTCGCAGAGCTCCGCGCAAATGGGGCAGAACGTGGGCTCGTCAGCGGCCCTGCCCACTCCTCTCCCTCTCTCCCCACTCTTGCCACCCTTCCCACCCTTCCCAGCCCCGCCAGACCGCACCAGACCCTCACCTGCTCGGCCTTGGTCAATCCCTTCAACTCCTGCCTCAGCTTCAGCGCCTGCTCGAACTCCTCCTGGCAGGTATTCAACAAAATCCGCCTGAAGGTCACCGGCTTATCCGACCCCTCGGGCCCCGGGAACTGCGGCAGCGCGTGGGAGAGCTTGTCGCAGAGCTCCGCGTACATGGGGCAGAAGGTGGGCTCGTCCACGGCCTTGTCAAAGATGAGCGAAATCACTTCCTGCAGACGCTCCGCGGAGGTGATGCCCGAGTCGAGCATCTGCTGCAGCAGCACGTCAAACTTCTCGGGCGTCAGCTTGTTCAGGATACTGCCAGGGGTAGGGGTTGGGGTGGGGGGAGTGGGGGGCGGGGGGAAGGGGGCGAGGGGGAAGGGGGCGAGGGGGAAGGGGGCGAGGGGGAAGGGGGCGAGGGGGAGGAGCAGGGGACGGAGCACACAGGCATGGGGCGGGCAGAGGGGGTTGGGCAGAGGGGGTTGGGCAGAGGGGGTTGGGCATGGGTTTGAAGGTGGGCTCGTCCACCGCCTTGTCAAAGATGAGCGAGATGGCCTCCTGCAGGCGGTCGGCCGAGGTGATTCCTGAGTCCAGCATCTGCTGCAGCAGCACCTCAAACTTCTCGGGCGTGAGCTTGTTCAGGATACTGTGGAGAAGGGGGGGGGGGGGGGAGGGAGGAGGGAGGGTTTGGGAGGAATGGTGGACACACATGGGGCACACATGGGACACACATGGGGCACACGCGGGGAACACGCATCAGCATCTGCTGCAGCAGCACGTCAAACTTCTCGGGCGTCGAATTGTTCATAATGCTGGAGTGGTGGAGGGAGAGACTAGGTAGGAGAGGAGTTTGGGGAGGTGGGATATGGTGGGATTGGGGAAAAGGAAAGGCGGGAAGAGGACAGCCACACCCTTTCAGGCGGGAAGAGACTTTGCCCTGTAATCTCCTTTTCCCCTCGTGGCCCCCCTTGTCCCATTCCCAAACCCCGCCCCCTTCCCCGCCCTCTCCCTCCCCTTACAATCCCCCATGCCTCTCCGCATACCTCCCACATTCCCCTCCTCCTCTCCCTCCCTTCACATTCACGCCTTTCCCCACGCCTTCCCCCACGCCTTTCCCAACGCCATCCCCCACGCCATCCCCCACCAACGACTCACCCCTTGACGGTGCGCAGAACCTTCTCCTTCTCGTCCACGGCGCCGCGACGTGGCATCCACGGATTGGCCGCCTTCACTATCGGCACCACAGGGCCGTCCAGCTGGCCGCATTGAGGGAGAGGGGAGGGGAGGGAGGGAGGGGAGCGGGAAGGAGGTGGGGGAAAAAGGGGGAAAGTGATGAGGGGGAGGAAGAAGGGGAGAAGTGAGGAGGGGAGAGAAAAGGGGGGATGTGAGGAGGGGTGGGAGAAGACAGGAAGTGAGGACCGGGGGGAGAAGGCGAGAATGAGAGATGGCGGAAGGACGGAGAGGGAAGGAGGGGAGGGAGAGGCACATGGGGGTTGGGTACAGAAATGGCACGAACGGTGCCTGGGGGGATGACTGGCGCAATAAAAAAAACCCATCATTTCCAACCCACCATACTGCTACTCACACGCCCACTAGTGCCGCTCACATTCCCAGCGAGGTGACTTTTGAGTCGACTCAAAAGTCACCCAACCCACAATACTGCTACTCACACGCCCACTAGTGCCACTCACATTCCCAGCGCCCCCAGCTTGTCCCTGCTGCTGTTGCTGCTGCTGCTGCTGCCGCTGCTCCCTGCTGCTCCCCACGGTTCTGCCAATCCCGCTCTCCGCCTCCCCGCCCGCCTCCGCCTCCCCGTCCGCCGCCGCCGCCGCGTCCGCGCTCGCGCTCCTCCTGCGGGGGGAGCGATTGCCGCGCGCGCCAGTCGCGGTTGTCCGGGGCCTCGGGCGCGCGCGCCTGCACAAATGGAAGGGGGAGGAAAAGAGGGGATTTTGGGGGGTTGGGGGAGAATGGAAAAAGGGGGAGAGCGTGAGAGGAGACTCGGGTGCCCGCGTCTCCACAGGTGGAAGGCGGAGCGGAAGCGCGGGATTGCACGAGGCGGGGGAAGAGAGAGATGCGCGGAGAGCGGGGAGGGGGGAGAAGGTTGGGACGGCGCGTAAAGGCGGTTGAGGGAATCTAATTTGAAACGAGTCATGCGTTGACTTTCAAGTTGGCTATTGAGTCGCTTTCCGAGCCGACTTTTGAGTAAACTCAAACCTCACCTCCGCAGTTCGCTCACCTGCTGGCCTGCGGGCTGCGAGGGCGGGGACGCGCTCCTGAGAGAGGAGGTAAGAGCGGAGGGGGCGGGGGAAGCAGAAGCTGCTCACCTGCTGGCCTGCGGGCTGCGAGGGCGGCGGCGCCGACCTGCGCGAGGACCAGCCCGGCTCCACCGTAACTAACCACACTTAACTCCTGAGTCGACCGAACCCAAAACTCACCTGCGTGTGTCCGCGGCTCTCACCTGCTGGGCTGCGGGCTGCGAGGGCGGTGGCGCGCTCCTGCGCGAGGACCAGGCGGGCTCCACCGCGACTTTTGAGTGCGCGCGAAATTCACCTGCTGGGCTGCCTTGGCTAGGGGCACTAGGCTCACCTGCTGGCCTTCTGGTTGCGAGGGCGGCGGCGCCGACCTGCGCGAGGACCAGTCGGGCTCCGCCGTGACTAACCACACTTAACTCCTGAGTCGACCTCTGAACCGAACCAAAACTCACCTGCGTGTGTTCGCGGCTCTCACCTGCTGTCCCGACGGCTGCGACGGCGGCGGCGCCGACCTGCGCGCAGACCAGTCGGGCTCCGCCCCGGCGGACGAGGAGCGCCCCCCCGCGATGATGTCCCCCCCCGTGTTCAGGATCTCGGGGGGGATGTCCGCGCACTTCTGCAGTGGGGGGAATGGGGGGAAAGAATGGGCGGAAGGGAAGGGGGTGGTAAGACAGTGGATGAAGAGGATTGTGGGGGAAACACGAGGCAATGATGTCGCCCCCCGTGTTCCGAATCTCGGGGGGGATGTCCGCGCACTTCTGCAGTGGGGGGAAAGAGAGGTTGGGGAGGGTAGGTGGTGGGGGGTGGGCGGAGATAAGACGGAAGCCAGAATGGATTACGGGGAAAGGCGACGCAATGATGTCCCCTCCCGTGTTCAGAATCTCGGGGGGGATGTCCGCGCACTTCTGCAGTGGGGGGAAGGCGGGGAAGGAAGGGGGAAGGAAGGGGGAAGGAAGGGAGAAGGAAGGGGGAAGGAAGGGGGAAGGAAGGGGGAAGGAAGGGGGAAGGAAGGGGGAAGGAAGGGGGAAGGAAGGGGGAAGGAAGGGGGAAGGAAGGGGGAGAAAGAGGAAAGAGCGGGGGGGGGGATGGTGGAGGGAAATATCAGCGAGATGCAGGTATAGATGCAGGTATAGATGCAGATGGTGAGAAGCAGTTTAGTGAGAAGAATATATCAGCAAGAAGCAGTAATCAGTCGGAAAAATATATTAGTGAGGGCTAAACCCCACTCAGGCTTAGGAACAATTACCCAGAGTGACGATACAGATGCCAACCTTCTACCCCAGATACCAGTCATTGCATCGGGTGGCGTCCCTACTGTTCGTTGCAATCAGTAATAAAAGTGATTTTTTGAGACGTCTCAGAAAATTATTTTTATCACAGAGTTACCAGTCATTGCAACAGGGGCCTTCCCTACTGTTCGTTGCAACAAGTACCGACCTTAGGCGTCGTCACAACTACCATGGCCCATCTCACCTCACGGTACCGCATCTCACCTCACGGTACCGCATCTCACCTCACGGTACCGCATCTCACCTCATGGTACCGCATCTCACCTCACGGTAAGCCAGCAGCTCGTCCCTCGAATACTTGACTCGAGGACCCTTGGGACCATCGTCCTGCATGTGACAAACAGACAGACAGGCAGACAACAGACAGAGAAAGAAGATGAGAGAGAGGGAGAGAGACAGCACTCGAAAGGCGCGCCTGTCCGTGTCGAGTCTGATACGATTTTCTGATCCGCAGAGGATGGTGATGTGTCACCTAGACTGATTCTGCCTGATTCTGAGGCGCATGAATGAAACTATGCGCCTGTCAAATACAAGTCTGCAACCATCCCCTGATCCGCAGAGGAGAATGGCACGTGCTCGGCGTTAACCACTGGCGTTAACCACTAGCGTTAACCACTGACGTTAACCACTGGCGTTAACCACTGGCACCTGCTGCCATGCATTCGGCAATAAACACTGGCATGTGTCAAGAAGGCTTTTGAGTCGACTCAAAAGACACTGGCATGTGTCAAGAACAAGCACACTCTGGTAAGCAGTCTAACGTAGTGCCCATCTAGAGACGACTACTCATCTCATCATCAAGCCTCGTATCCAGGCACGTACACATTCAACACTGCCAGCATCGCCTCTAATAGTGCAAGCATAGCTCTTTGGATACGAACACTAGATCATCGACATCTCTTCGCATCCGACCACTCTGGTCACCCTAAACTCTCAACAGTGCCAGCCTATTGACTATGAACTCCCGCTACAGGCTTGACAAGCCCAACCATGGGCGTAACAGTACCAACAGTACGCTCCAGCCGCCAGAGCTCTGAGGCGCCTAAAAACTCGTCTGAATCCGGGGAGGTGGGTCACTCTGTTCTGTACACTCTCTCAGTATGAATCCGGGCGCCTCTGTTCCGCAATACCATATGCGCGTTAGAGCAGTCTGCCCCCTCGGTAACAGAGGCGGGTATTCATGCTGACGAGTCCCAGACAGCTTGCGGAAGGCGGCTAGCTGAATCCGTCCGGTGAAGTCTAATTTGCGCGCTCGAGCCATACGCCCCCGAACGCATGTAGAGCCCCGACGGCTTACCTCCTCCCGGGCCCAGCGAACAACCCAGATGGTCTCTTCGCAAAAGCTAGACTGCTAGGTGAATCCAGCCGGCAAAGACTAGCCTGCGCGCTCGAACCATCCGCTCCCGGCCGCACGTAGAGTCCCGACGGCTTGCCCCCTCCTGGGCGCAGCGAACAACCAAAACTATCAGTTCAATCCGTCCGCTAACGACTAACCTGCGCGCTCGATCCATCCGCTCCCGGGCGCACGTAGAGCCCCGACGGCTTGCCTCCTCCCGGGCGCAGCGACAGCCCTCCGCCCAGCCCGCCGCCCCCCGGCCTCAAGCTCACGGCGGCCGGCGCTGCGGTGCGACGCCACGCGATTCATGCGACGCATGCGACCAATGGGGTTGATGGTGCGGAAGGAGGATAGGTTGGGGAGAGGGAAAGGAGGAAAGGGGGGAAATGGGGGGAGAAGGAAGGGGGGAAAGGGTGGGAAAGGGTGTGGGAGGAGGGGGGAAGAGGCGGGGGGGGGGGGAGGTAAAACAGAGAGTGAGAATTGCATATGGGTTTGGTGAGACACAATGTGGTGGTGGCCTTGAAAGTATCGACGCAAAACAAAACAGGGAAACAGTGAAACAGAAAAGCTATGAAACAAAACCGTATGTTATGAAAGACGAATCAGCATTACGACCGATTGACAGTAGCTTCGCTGGTGAGGGTGCTTCTACAGTGAAAATGCAGGTGGGGCCTGAAAGAAGCTTCCGGTACCTCCCTAAACATTAGCTTAAGGATTGATTAATATCGGTCGTTAGTCTGGTAAGAAATCATTAATAATAAAAACCCATCCTGATTCCCGCCTAAACCTTAACAGATCGCGGAGGGCACGAAGATTAATGTACAGGACACACGAAGAATGATGCTTCTTGTTTCAACCTAAACTTATGCAGTCTAACCTGTCGCTGACGACTCGATAACCTTGAATTCTATCTCGCTTCTTGTTAACGGCGAAAAGCGGATCAAACCCCTAAACTACAATGCACAGAAAGTAGTACCCTAGGTGTAACCCTAATCCAAAGCGGGTTTATGCGAATGTGAGCTTATTCGAGGGAGTTTACGCGAATGCGTGCGAGGAGAAATACGAGACGATCCTTGTCAGACTGCGTCGCAAGCCACGTCGCTAACTAACCGGCTGTTTATATTCCACGGAGGCAGGAAAAATGAGGACAAAAATAATGTTATATACGGTTCCTTGTTCTAGTGAAGGAGGACCCTGGAGCTTCGACTAAGGAATAAAACGCGATGCGGAGAGGTGCATCTTCAGTTTCGTATTTTGAAATCCTAATCTAAACGGATGTCGCGACGAAATGTGGTATGGAAAGGTGGGTGCACCTTTGGTCTCAGAAGCTGCAGGCTGAGAGTTATCCGAAGCGGGCTTCGCGTCAGCGGCGGCGGCGGCGGCGGCAGCGGAAGCTTGGTCATTGTCAACACCAGCCATATCAATCACAATCACAATCTAATAAAATCCGGAGAATGCTATAGCAAATATCCTGTAACCGAGGCAGCCTGTTGGACCGGACGGCTAACGACGGCTGATGACGGATGACGACCGATAACGGCGGCTACGGCTTGGAATTTAGGCTTGACTTAGTGCCTTTCCTAGGCTTCGCGATGTACGGTGCCGGTGCACCTCTGGGCTGGATGCAACCCTCTCAGCCTAGAGAGACAGGGCCTGACTCGGTCCCAGGAGCGAACTGGAATGGATCACCTCCTTGTTCCGCCTAGCTCCTCCTACATGCCTTGTTCTGGAAGGAAAGTGAGCAGCTGCGGCAGCAGCGGAAACAGCAGAAGGGGCAACCACAACAGCAGCACCAGCAGCAGCAAGAGGAGGAACAGACTCCCCTTCGTAATGGTAGGGTTCGGCTCCTTTAAGAACGTTATTGTTTGGTACTTGCGCAAAATCTGGATAACCAACCAGCGTAGGCATTCCATACGCTGCACTGAATTTCCAGCCCTACCCAGCCTATTCCCACGCTATTCAGGGATGGTATGAGCGTTGCGGGCAGGCAAACAATCCCATCCCTGGGAGAGGGATTGCGGGTGGTGTTCATGAACACGAGTACCTTTGGGGCGTTGTTTTGGGCCTGGATACGGAGGACAATAGTTTGCATAAGTAGAACAAAGAACAAATCTGTGAAATAAAGAGGTCATGATGGATACACTGTCATACTTGTCATGCAACAAAAAAAAGATTCTTTAACAAAAATATAATAAAATCAAATGTAATATTACCAAACCGCTTCTTGCTTGATTGTATCATGCTACGGTATAATGCCGTGACAATTGCTGCATTATTTTTTTACAAAATAGTTATCAAGTAAATATCAAATTGACTTCACGAGATTCACGATGTTTCCTCTGCTGAACAAAGGGTTTTTATGGAATTGAAAAAATAAATGTATTCAAAAGCGTGTGACTGGCGCGCAAAACTAGCAAGAAGAATGAGCAACGAGCAACAAGCAACAAGTGAGGAGAAAAATAAGGTATGCGTAGCAGAAAGGGAGAGAGGAGATCCAGTTCGGAGGAGGCAGCAGGCGTGTCTGCGGTAGGCAGATTGCATGCTGACGGCTGCCACACACGTAGCCTCCCACAAACTGCGGCACCCGCAGCAAGGCGCGTGAGAGGGGAATAGGTTCGTCAGCAGCGGGGTCAGCAGGTGTAGTGGCTGCCGAAAAAATACGTTGTCACAGTATTGTACATGAACTACCTACAGCTGTTGTGTAGTGTTGCATTTTCTTGACGGTGAACCTTACATTGCACTACATCAATTGTATTTCTATTAATTTATATTGCATATCTTATACCTGCCTACAGCTTACTAGTGTATTAGGTTAGTTATTAGAACCAACTGCTGGTGGTGTACCCTGCTGGTGGTGTACCCTTTACCTTTTCCCTTTCTTGACATGTTATCAGAGTAGGACCTATTCTACATGGGCCCACCAACTCCGCCTTCTGCCATGGCGGCCCACTATGCTGCTTGCACGAAATCTGCTGCTGTTTCCGGAGCTTATGCTGAACCCGTCGCGCTGCCCCCCGTCGCCTTCAATTCGCCTGCCTCTTCGCGGCGCTTAGGGCGACGGTCGCGGCAGACATCATGGCGAGCGCCAGCGACCCGCCAGCGCGTTCGCGAATGCGCCAGCGACAGTCGCCAGCGGGAGCGCGAGCGCCACCCAGCGCCAGCGACCAGCGCCGACGCCAGCGCCAGCGCCGACGGCGGACGCCAGCGCCAGTGCCAACGGCGGAGGCCAGCGCCAGCGCCGACGCCAGCGCCCAGCGCCAACGGCATTCGCCAGCGCCAGCGCGGACGCCAGCGCCGACGGCGGGCACCAGCGCCAGCGCGACGCCAGCGCCCAGCGCCAGCACTTCCGCCAGCGCCAGCGCATGGGGGGGAGGGGGATGAGGGGGTGGCGGGGTGACCAGCTCCTTGCTCTCTCCCTGCAGCGCCTGTCGCTGTGGGGGGGGGGGGGGGGGAGGAGGGTGAGGGGGTGGCGGGAGAGCTTCTGCCGCGCCAGCCGCCTCCTCTCCTCTCATTTCCTTCTCTCCTCTCCTCTCCTCCAGCCGTCCCACTCCTCTCTCCTCTCCTCCTCCTTTCCTCCTCCTCTCATCCGCCTCATGTACACCACCGGCTTCCTCCTCCTATCCAACCGTTGGTGTGTAACACCGGCAGCCTACGCCCTCCAAATTAGCCCTCCGCCCTCCGTTCTGGCAGTCAGAGGTGCTGCCGGTCAGCCACCGCTGTTTCTGTGCGTATCCCAGCTACAGCAACTGCTCTCCAGGCGACCTGCTACCAGACACCACTAGCTATAGCCGTAGGCAGTTACGGGGGTGTGTTAATTTATATTGCATATCTTATACCTGCCTACAGCTTACTAGTGTATTAGGTTAGTTATTAGAACCAACTGCTGGTGGTGTACCCTTTACCTTTTCCCTTTCTTGTCATTCCTATTTGTACTCCCAACTCCATATTGAAACCCCTCTTTTGGCCAACCTTTCCTCTTGTTACTCTTGCTATGCCTAAACCTCCACGTCCTAAGTTCCTAGCCTAACTTAGGTAACTTGACAATTTCCTATCTCCCTGTTAAGATAGGAGCTTGGAGGAACTTAAGTTTTAGGGAGAGAGTGGATGCTTGGCCAAGAAAAGGGGGTTTGACTATGGAGAGAGATACAAAATATAAGGCAAGGGAAGGTGGCCAAGGGGGGTATACCACCAACAATAGAAGAGATACTACACTAGCTAGGCTAATATGCAGTTATACATAGAAATACAATTTCTGACACTCCCTATTGCAAAGAGCTCTTCCCTGCTACTCTCGTAACTCCCTCCTCTAGCTCTTTAGCTCAAGTTCCTAAGCACTGTTTTACATGGAAACAGAACAGGCCACATCGTAAGGCCTTTATGTATAATGGTACGAAGAACAGGCGATTATGGGAGAGCCAAGGCGCACAAACGACATAGCGGTATGAACAATTCTTGATTAATTCATAGAGTACAAGGGGAACAGCATCAACCATATAGGAAACGCAGTGACGTGTGCAAGAACGTTCGAGGAGAACGTTATTCATGAAGAACGTTGTCTAGGGAGAACGAGCAACAACTACTCTAGCATGTGCGGTTCAAGACTAGCACTGCCAGGTGAAAATCTCATTTGGTGAAAACACCATCAGGTGTATTTTCTACATGCCCAGAAGTAGCTGTGCATATCATTGCAACACAGGCAGCTGCGCATACTCGTTTGTGCAAGCTATCACTTCCCTCCAATTTGTCAGAATCTAGCAGCAAGAATGATAACAGAAGGAAGAGGGATTGCACTAGCAGACATAGGGAGTACATAAAGCGAAAGCCTAAAAGGGTTATACTCTCTGTTGAGTAGCCCACTACAGCCTACACATCAATTAACATTTTGACACACCCCCATAGGCGAAGTGGGGGATAGCCAACACAACAAGCGGTCTCAAGACCAGTCAAGAAAAACAAAGCAAGCTCAGGGTGGATCACAAAGTTGTCAAACTATAATGTTGCTTGTATTATCTAGGCTGTACTGGGGTAGGGTAGCCCATAAGGGGTAAAACCCAACTCTAGGGTTAACATTTGTACCCAGTTCTGTTTCAATGCATTCCATTCTAACTTCTCAATCTTAACATGGTATCAGAGCGAAGGACTCCTGTTCGAATCTCGGTGTGTGCACCTCGGGCATCCCAGTGCGGGGGGGGTGTCAGAGGTCCACTGGAGATCCCCGATTGATCCTAGGGAAGGGTTACAGGCACGTCGGCCTGGGGGGTTATGGGCACACTCACCCGCTACACAAACAAGCCCTTTTATCCCAGTGGTTAGTGGCTGGGATTCTGACATGGTATCAGAGCGAGAAAGTGGTCCCTAACCGAGCTGAGAGAGTCAAGGAGACGGGATACTATAAAGTGGAGGGTCCAGTACATCAGAGGCGGGTTTAGTTGCTGAGCTGGTCGACTTTGCTGCTATATGTCGTCTAGACTACGCCACAAGTCTTGTTGCTGAGTCTGAGTCTGTCTGTCCTCCGTCCGTCGGGAGTGAGTGTGCTCTTGGCACGGACGAATTTGAGGGCAGGCAGGAGGACTTTGAGTCTCTTGCGGCTGCTGTACCTCATCTCGTGGCCTGGCTGCTTGCCCCTAAGGGAGACCCGGATGCACTAGACATCCCGACCCCGCGCTCTTACCGAGAGGCGATTACGAGTCCTTACTCCTCTCAGTGGCAAACAGCCATGGACGCAGAGATGGCATCCTGGAAGTCCACAGGCACCTACGTCGACAAGGTTCCCCCTCCTGGGGCGAACATAGTCGATGGCATGTGGATTTTCAGGGTGAAGCGACCGCCGGGTTCTCCGCCTGTCTTCAAGGCTCGTTACGTTGCACGAGGCTTCAGTCAGCGTCAGGGAGTTGACTTCTTTCAGACCTTCTCCCCCACCCCAAAGATGACCACTCTTCGGGTGCTGCTGCACGTTGCCGCTCAGCGCGACTACAAGCTTCACTCTCTTGACTTCAGCACAGCGTTCTTGCAGGGCAGCCTGCACGAGGAGATCTGGCTGCGCCGCCCACCTGGCTTCATTGGGTCGTTCCCTCCTGGTACCCAGTGGAGCCTCCGGCGGCCAGTCTACGGTCTCCGCCAGGCGCCTCGTGAGTGGCACGATACACTGAGGACGACACTTGCGGCTCTTGGGTTTGCTCCATCCACTGCTGACCCGTCGCTGTTCCTGCGCACCGACACTTCCCTGCCGCCGTTCTACATCCTCGTGTACGTCGACGACTTGGTCTTTGCCACTACTGACACTGAGGCACTGGCCCTTGTGAAGTCGGAGCTGCAGAAGAGACACACGTGCACTGATCTGGGTGAGCTGCGCAGCTACCTTGGCTTGCAGATCACCCGGGACAGAGCACGCCGCACCATTACCCTGAGCTAGTCACACATGGTGCAGCAGGTCCTTCAGCGCTTCGGCTTCCAGTTCTCCTCACCACAGTCCACTCCTCTGTCTACCGGTCACTCGCTCTCAGCTCCACCTTCGGACGAGTCCATAGAGCCGAGTGGCCCGTACCCAGAGCTTGTGGGCTGCCTCATGTACCTGATGACCTGCACAAAACCTGACCTTGCGTACCCTCTTAGCATCCTAGCTCGCTACGTTGCGCCTGGGAGACACCGACGAGAGCACTGGGAGGCTGCTAAGAGGGTGCTGCGCTACTTGTGCAGTACATCAGGCATGGGGCTGGTGCTTGGAGGACGGGGTGATGTTGTCCTCACTGGACACTCAGACGCTTCTTGGGTTGACAACCTGGCTACGCAGCGGTCGTCACAGGGTTACACTTTCAGCCTTGGTTCCGGCTCTGTCTCTTGGCGGTCTACCCGCCCAGTTGTGAGGCTAAAATCTACGCCACAGCCATGGCTCCACAAGAGCTACGCTGGCTCACCTACCTGCTCACCGGCTTGGGAGAGCGGCCTCGTTCTCCTCCAGTTCTGTACGGCGACAACAAGGCAGCCCTCGCCTTGTGTCATGAGCACAGACTGGAGCACAGAACGGAGCACATTGCTCTGCGTTACTTTCTTGCTCGAGAGCTGCAGCAGCGCGGCCAGCTTCGTCTTGCGTACGTGGACACGCGGGCCAACACAGCTGATATATTCACCAAGGCACTTCTGCCTAGTGATCATCAGCGTCACTGCACTGCTCTAGGTCTCGTGCCTACTTTGTCACACTTGCTCACTGCTTGACCTTGCTTGTACTGTGATCTATATATCCTTGCGTGCTTACTTTTGCTAGGCTGTGATGACTGTACTGCTGGCTTTGTTTTATATATAACTCTGCATGTGAACTAGCCTTGTGGCCATTTGCTTGTGCTTGGAATGTGTGGTGACTTCGTGATCCACCCTGAGCTTGCTTTGCCTTTCTTGACTGGTCTTGTGACCACTAGTTCTTCCCCTTTTGCCTATGGGGGTGTGTCAAACTATAATGATGCTTGTATTGTTTAGGCTGTAGTGGGGTAGCCCATAAGGGGTACAACCCAACTCAAGGGTTAGCATTTGTACCCAGTTGTGTTTCAATGCATTCCATTCTAGCTTCTCAATCTTAATAAAAGTCACCACGCATTTCGAGCACAAGCAAGCGGCCACAAGGTCATTTCACATGCAGAGTTAACGGAAGAAACAGAGGGCAAGTGAGGAGGAGGAGGGACTATGAGAGGAGAGGAGGTGGTAGGCGGCGGCTGAAGCTGCTGGCACACGGGCAACAGGAGCAACTGGCACACGGGCAACTGGAGCAACTGGCACACGGGCAACTGGAGCAACTGGCACACGGGCAATAGGACCAACTGGCACACGGGCAACTAGAGTAACTAGCTCTGCGGCTAGACGAGCGACTAGAGCAACCGACTCACGGGCGACTGGGGCAAAAGGCTCACGGGCAACTGGAGCTGCTGGCTTTACGGCGACCACCCCCCTTCAACCTCCCCTATCTTCCCAAAACTCCCTTTCACAACCCTCGGCATCTCTATCGCCACTCCCTCGTCTCCCCCACACCCTCTCCCCCCCACAGTGACATGTGCGGCAGTGGGAGAGAGAGGAGGAGGGGTGGCAGCTGGTTACTCACACCCGCCACCCCCATACCACACCCACCACCCCCATACCCTCCCTCAATTGCTGCACGCGCAGCAGGGAGTTGGAGGGGGGGAGGAGGGGGGGGGGGGGGCGGGGTAGGAGCTGCGCGGGCGACAACAGGGCGCGCGGTCGGGCAGAAACCGTCGAGCGCCCAAGGCGCGCGACGGGCAGGAAATCGACGCGCGCCCGGGGCGCGCGACGAGCAGGAAATCGACGCGCGCCCGGGGCGCGCGACGGGCAGCAGAGTGGCGCATGTAGCGGAAGCTAACGGTGGGCCCATTAGGTCTTAGGATCTTAACTGCTTTGATACCATGTCAGAACCTAGCAGCAGGAATGATAACCGAAGGAAGATGGATTGCACTAGCAGGCATAGGGAATACATGATGCGAAACCCTAAGAGGGGTAATTCTCTCTGTTGAGCACCCCACTACAGCCTACACAGCAATTTATATTTTGACACAATTTGGTCTAATGTAAAAAATATGCACATTAAAATTCACCCATTGGAATGTACGTGGCGAATTCCGTAACATCAATACGCGGGTTGCAAAATCTTGCTACTTTTCACATGCGAAATCATACGTGTACAGGGCTTCGTCTCAACAAATGGCGCCCTCGTCGCGCGCCCATCGCTTTATCCGTCGCAGCCTACTGTCGCACACCTGTCCCTGAACCTTCGCGACGTCCGCGCTTGGCGATGGTCACGGCACCCGTTGTGGCCCCCTGTCATTGCCCCCTCTCGCACGCTCGTCGGCGCCCTCGTCGCGACCCCCGTCGCACCAGTCGCGCTTGTCACGCTCGTCATGGCCCCCGTCGCGAATGCATGTGGGGGGAGGCAGCGGGGGTGGAGGACGTCGCGTCTGCCTCATAAGCGCCTTGCCACACCCCGCCCACTTCCACTAGGCCCGCAATTGCTACTACTCTAACGCCCTGCTACGACGACAGTCGCTGTACGGGGGAGGCAAGGGAGGGTAGCAACCATGCGGTCGCGCCGGCGCCTGCTACCGCGCCCAGCTGCGATGGACGTTGTGGGGGCAGGTGGCTAGGTTGATGGTCTCGAAACATTTACGAAACATGACAACAAAGGGTCTCGATCCGGAAATCTTCCACTTCGAGTAGTCACCCTGACAACTAAGATATTTTAAGCTGAAAGACAGTTATGTTCTGGTTTGCGGAAATGTTGGAGTCCCTATCAACTCGGGTGTTTTGCAGGAAGGATGCGGAATGTGCATTCAGTGTACACATTCGATAAAATGCTAAAAAGTCAGTGTTAACTATGAAATAAAGGCTGAATAATCAGTATAGCTAAAGATTAAAGTGTATAAAAACCAGTGTATGTAAAAAAAAGTAGGATAACATCCAAGAATTTCAGGGAAAAAACCCCTGGTATCTGAAGGACTGGTAAGGGGGCATTTCAGGATAATTTATTGCTATGTTTCTATGTATAAACTGCCTACAACGCTAACTGTAGTATAGTGTAACATTCTCTTGGTGATGGACCTTGCATTGCTATCTCTCGGTTATATTTCATATCTCTTCCTAGTGAAAAGACCTCTTCCTTGCTACTCTTGAACATTTTATAGCTCCTTAGCTAAAGTTACAAAGCATTAATAGCGGTGTCAGCAGGTGCAGCGGCGTCGACCACTACCGCCATCCGCTTCACCCCTCCTCACGGCGGCAGTCACAGGAGGAGGCGATGGGGCGAGAAGGGCCACGTAACGGGGACGATAGGGGGCGAGACAGGGCCGCGATGAGGGGCTCGAGATGGGGCCACGGCAGAGCGAGACATGGTAACGACGAGGGGCTTGAAGTGGGGTCGTGACGGGGATGCGGCGGGGGGTTCGACGGTGCCGCGACAAAGTGATCGAGATGAGCCCATTGGAGGATCTGGAGGGTGCGAGCCTATGGCTCTGAATACCATGTTGAACTAGGTTTGGGGAGTTCTGGAAGCTGTAAAAAAATTGTATGGAGAAACAACAATAAATATGGCAAAGGCCCGCTAAATACAAACGATAAAATGGTGCTCCACCAACGATAAAATGCATTTGTATACACTAGCTATGTTGAAGGCAGATGATCTATTATATGTTTACATGTATAGCACGATGCCACATCTCATTTTCTTCTTGCTGTATGAACCGATATCGAAGGTTTACAACCGTATGATATGCCGAGGTATTCAATCATGACTTTATGTCAACAGCCAAAAACATGGAATATGAATATTCCCCTGAATTATGTAGCCATGAAAGTATTTACAAAATGCATAAATTGCATTTATTTTATTATTTGATGTATGAAACGAGTGTAAGTTGTAAGATCATGCAAGGAAATGGTCGCTATCAATTAGTTTGACGGTTGGCGCTGGGCCTTTAGGACGCGGTAAGGACGCGTCTCGTGAAGCGGATCGGCCAAGGTTCGGCCGATCCGCACTGATCTTCATTTTGAGCCCAGGCTCGGTAGCGATTGATGCCTAGGACTGCAAAACTATAATGGCAGCTGCCACACCGATTTCAGGTGACAGGTTTGGGTGGGCAGGGTTCACCCAGCCTGCGACAACTTTTCTTGAGTCGCACGCGACGAACGAAAAGGCGTCTCATGTGCGCGAACAGGGTGACCCTTTTTGAGCGACGTCATTAAATGACTTTGCGACGGGGATCTAAGGCGAAGGGTTGATCCCAGCACTTGGAGTCGCGGTCGGCTCCGGGCCGTTGACGCTGAGACGCGACAGCTGTGCCTCCCATATCATTTACGCGCTCGACCTTCACGATCAGCTGCTGGTCGCGCTCTTCCAACTGCTTCTCAAGCTCGGAGACCCGCTTCTGAGTCGTGACCAACTGTACGCCCAGCCTGGTATTGTCCGCTTGCGCATGGGTCAGGTACTCCGTGAGGACTGTCACCTGGTTCTGCGCGTTCTGCTGACCTCCTGCATGGTCAGACAGCGCGAGCATGTGGGTGATGGTCGGGCAATAAGGAATTCAATGCTTACGAACGTGATCAATGTTGGTCTCACTGCGCCACGTGTCAGTGTTGGTGTGTTGCGCTGAACTATGGCCAGCTGATTGGCCAACGAGACGTCTGCGGCCCACTCCGCGAACTCCCACGTCTGGCATAACGGGTTCTGAACCACATATGGGTGCTTCGGCTGGTGGATGTAATACATTGCCAGGTCGGTCGCCACCGCCATCCTAGCCTGGCCGTCCAGCTCTCGCAGTATGTTGAGACCCGCGGTGTCCTGCTTCTCCAGCCTTTTCTCGCAGACCATCCTCTGGTTGTATTCTAAACACTGTTTGCAGAACGAATAAACGTGGCGAGGGTCGCGATGAGTTGTGGTCCCGCTCGTATAATGTATTTCGCGACCACATACGTACCTGCTTCTGTCCTTTGTCCTCCGTGGCCCATGGGAATATGTGCTCCCGGAGTAGCTTCATTAATGCCTCACTTGGCGGGACCTTTGCGCGACCAAGGTAGTAGTCACCGTCCACCCCTGTGAAACCAGCCTTCAACAATACAGCCTCCTTCGGGATCGTGGTGAGGTAGTGCTTGGTCATCACATCTATGAAGCGCCAACCCCCCAGTCGCGCCAGCTGATCCGAAGGCATACCGTCCGCGGACGCGTGCTGCGCGCCTCCCGCCCTGGTCGCGTGGACGACCCGCGAGCATGTGATTCTCGCGTCCCCCAGGATCTTGGCCGCCCAGTCGTGGTGGGTCGTGGGTAGTATCGGCTTCTCATTACCAGCGTAAAGGGGAAAGAAGATGTACTTGTCGTACCACTTGGCGGGTTCGGAGAAGTCTAGAGGTGGGGCTATGTCCTCGTACGCGACGGGAACCACGTCGTACACCCAATGCAGCCACATTAGGGTAGCACCGACCGCGCACAGCGTCCAGTCCAAGTGCCACACAGCCGCGATGTAGTTGAGTGAGAAGTCCTTGTTTGTCTTGCCTGTTCGGCACGCGCGGACAAACATGAACGCGTCCTTTACCGGATCCGTCTCTGATCTAGCTCCGAGGTTCCACATCATCATGTCTGGCAGCTGGAGGTTTCTGATGGTGCACGCGCGGGCTAGAGTGTGATGACCGAGCACGGTCATCGTACGGATGCACAGGTCGCGATGCAGGCCCTGCGTGTATGCGCGGTTGGCTAGTGCGAAGTTGCTTAAAATGGATTTCATGCTGGTCTCCCGCATCATGTGCTTGAACTGTTCTGGGGTGTACGCGTCCGCGCCCGTGCCGCGATGGCGATCCATGTGTTCCCTGCACAATAAGTGTCAGGATGTTATGATTGTTAGCTGGTGCAGTCGTGATGGACATTTGAGTCATTGGTCGAGATATGTATACTCACGCGATGAAGCGATTGTACTGGTCGCGGATTCGAACGCGGACCCATATGCGACACTCCGCAAATTCGCGCAGCAGGTTCAGCACAGGCTTCCAAAATATGGCCCCATCGAGCTTGATGAGCATGTTCAAGGACTTGAGACGACCCATCAGCATTGCGGGGGTGCACTGCCGTCGCATCTTCAGGGTTTTGTCGGGCCTTTTGAGTGTTGCCATCCTCTCCGCCTGCGCGACCGTCTCGTTCGCGAAGAAGGTCTCGTATTTGCGTAAGCGCCAGGGATTGGTTTCGGGGCCGTGGAACCACTGCTCGACGCCCTTTGCCTCCTTCCACCTCGTACCCATGCTCTGTTTCAGTGCGGCCCCTATCTCGTCCGGGTTTTTGTTCTTCAACGCGGCCTCCTCCCCGAACCTCCCATCGTCCAGTTTCGGCAACTCGTGCGCCACGAACCGCTTGTACTCATTGGCCCAACAGCGGTACTTCTTCAATGTGGCCTCGGACACACCGTAAAGAATTCCCATGCACATCTCTCTCTTCGCGGCCGGCGTGTCGTCCACACCAAGCCTGTTCCAATCCGCGATCGGGGCCTCGTTGGATGAGTGCGGTACCTGCACTCATTCGTTGTCTTCCGCCTCGTCCTCATTGAGCGCGGACAGCGGGTCCGAGAGGTAGTTCTCGTCATCGTCATTCTACTCGTCGCCATCATCATCGTCATCATCCTCGGTGTCTTCATCCCCATTGTTTCTCCCCCGATCGCCCCGCTCCACGGCTACGTTTTGTGCGGTCTCCGGCACTACATCCACTCTCTGCCTCCTTTCACGCGGTCTGTTAACGGGCTGATTCGAGCGGTGTGCCATCCTATCCTGCATTGGTTGGCCCACGTTTCCCCTGTTCGGCTCACCCGCGTTCGCGTTACCTTCGTTACATCTCCCACCATTCCCTCTCCCCCCGTTCGCTCTCCCACCGTTCCCTCTCCCACTAGTACCTCTCCCCCGGTTCGCTATCCCACCGTTCCCTATCCCACCTGTACCTCTCCCGCCCCTCGCTTCCCCACTGTTCCCATGGGGTTGCCTACCAGTTGCGGTCGCGTTCGCATCATCTGGTCCCGAGGGGGTGCGGATGTGCACGTCAGGGTTCCCGGGCAGCAGGGAGTTCACGTTCCATATAGGAGGAGGCGCTACACGATTATTCACATTCGAACTAGCCCCTACGCGATCGACGTTTGTGTCATCACCATCCACGGGTTGAACCATGGGAGCAGGTGGGATTAGGGTCCTCGCTGGGAGCTCAGATGGAATCGCGGTAGGAAAAGGGGTTGCGGGAGCCGCAGGAGGGGTCGCGAGACTTGCTGCCGTATGCACCATGGGATCTGGTTGTACACCGAAGTAACCGTATCTGAACCCGAAACTAGGGTACTGCGGCCCGACGTAGCCACGAATAGGAATCCCAAAGGGCTGGGTTGAGTGACCTGTCGCTGCCGCGTGGTGCTGCGCGTCCGTTTGAGTTACAGGTGCAGGGGTGAATACTCGCCGCGCGTTCTATTCATCCTGTTGGGTTTGGAACGCGACCGGCGCTGCTGCAAGTGAAACTTGATACAGTGGTGCTAGGTGTATTCAGTTGATCAGTTGCGGTGGGTGGAACGCGGGCAGTCAAGACCCAAAGCTCTCTGGCTGCACGTATGCGGTACTCCATGTCGGATAGGGCACGGTTATGTTTTGCGCAGTAGCTGGCTCTGCTGGTAGCGTTTGGGTCGCGACTAGGTTGGCTGTGGGATTAAGTGAGTTGTTGAGCCCAGTCGCCGTAACGCGACCCAAAGTGTACATGCATCGCACGAGGTTTCCCCTACTCCTCCGCAACGCGTGCAACAACATTTTGCCAAATAACTACGCGACCAACCTAAACCCTACAGTATGGAATCTTTGCGATCTCGGGTGTGTGTAATGTCGGGTGATGTACAGACTCGCAAACACGGGCGCCGGGGTTGATCACATACGAAAGAGGCTGGTAACGCGACCCCCCGTTTGCGTCTAAGTCAGGTAGAGTGCAATGGGGAGAGACGTGCATGTCGTGCAACTGGCGAGCGGAATGCATGAATGTGGGGAGGCTGGGTGAATTGAACGGTCCAGGCTTAGACGTGCTTCCCACGTCACCGCGTTCGCGGCTCGTCTGAACCGCAACACCTGTCAGCGTCCTTAAACGAGCTGCACGCGTCAGCCAGCATGGCGCCTGTCAAATTGCGCCACGTGGCTTTTCGCGGTTCCGAACCGAATCTCGCACCGCGTTACCCGAAATTGTCTTGCTGCAAAGGATGTTGGCGACTGGTTTCGTGATTTCACCACCAATCCCCCCCCACGGTCTGGACTGCGATCCCCCATTTGCATGCGCGCAATTTCCCCCCTGTCCAAGTAAACGGCCAATCGCGTTCGGTTTTTACCGAGTCGCGTATGCATTGGCGCGTAAGAACCATGTGGGTTCTTTCGGTTTTTGGTGGCGCGGGGAGCTTTCGATGGAAACCTGGTGGGATTCAGTCGGCCACGCAGAGCCGCGCAAGGTCCAAATCTAGTGAATCCCTGGAGGGCCGACTTTGCTCCACGCGTCTCCCGATAGCTCCGCGCCCCGTGCATCCCAAGGCGTGGGCGGGGTTTTTCCCGAGCCGAGCGGTATGAACATCCCAACGAAGTCAACGTGAAAATTGTAGGTCCGGGAAACTCCAGAAGGAGGTTCGATGGGAAATCGAAAACCAACGTGTCAACAACTCCAAGTCCCTGGGACCAAAACTTTGAGTTCTGAGCTCCTTGAATTCTGGCCCTGGTTTTCACGGGCGCAAGCCAAATTCAACACTTAAATTCCGGGCTTATGAAGATAGCGTACGTATCCCTAAGATCGAATATTTACCAACTACTTAAAAGCGAGTGCATGCATACTCGCTACTCATCTTCACCACGGGTATCTACTGCCTCTACATCGCAGGCACAACCATCCTCGGCGAAAACATTGGGGCTTCATATCCAGAAACATCAGGGGGAGAGGGGTGAATAGGTGGGTGGGGGGGGGGGGGGGGGGGGGGGGGGGGGGTCCTTCGAAACAGAAACCAAAACTTAGATACAGGGGAAGGCCCAAACGAGGCCCTTAACTGTCACGGGTGACATTTGAATCTAACACTTTAAACGGTCAAGCTGCTTCGTGCGTGGCCCGGAATGTTCAGGGCATTAAGGGCAAATGCCCTTACTTCGACAGCCCTGGTCAACAAGCCACTCGAAACTTTGGACCAATCACATGAAAGTGGTGACAGTTTGCCACCCGACTCGGAAGTCCTTGCAACAGGTTTCCTTACTGAACTGTAGCCTAACTGCGACATTCAGGGCAGCTGTCCGCGTTTGGCATGTCATGGAACTACAGTGTATCGAATCTGTTCACCGAACGTGAAGCCGACCGATGTGTCACCCTCTGCCACAGCAGCAGGTGAAGGATGGCGTCCACGTGAATAAGTACACCTAACCCACTCCAACTTTCTACTACCCCAATTTCACCAAGTTTGTCGCCATCTGTGGTCCTGGGCGATCGCGGTTCGGCTAATTCCAGTAATCAAAACCGAGTAAACCGCTTCATAACAGTTACGAAAAGCTCAAAACCTGTGTTTATATCTTGTTGTTGAAATTGGAGGGAATACTTGTTTCCCACCAATTTCAACCCAAGGCAAATAGACGAGAGCAAGACTCGGGGCTCTATGTTTTGAAGTTGGCGCGTGTTATGTGTATTTTCAGCTGCAATTCGTTTTGCCCTAGTCTCATGAGATTGTCATTATGTTCACGTTCAAACAAGGGCCTCAAGTTCAAGCGCCAAAGCTGGCAAGTCATGAAGTACGTGGTGTTTGTGTGTCTACATAAGGGCGGATTCCTGGCTTTGGGACATCCGCTCTTTGAGTCATCCGAAATTTTGGAAACCAATCAAAAATTCCCAATCTCGAGATTCAGGATTTCCGATTGGATCCCACATTTTTCGGATGACTCGAAGAGCGAATGACCCGAAGCCAGGAATCTGCCCTGAGGTAGGAAAGCAATGCTTTGATGGATGGGGCTTTGAAACTTCCCATTCATGAACCCCAAAGTTGCTTTGAAGCAAAAGCTCTTGCGTACACGCAGTCAACCTTCCCGACTTCTTTTGATTAGCCAGGGGCAGTGGGTGTACAAAAACGAAACTTTGCTCGAAGGGTTCTACATCATTGGACGGCTCTGGTTTGGGTTGGGTTGGGGGAATGGTTGGACCGGATGAGCACAGATTTGTCAAGTGTGCGAGTTTGATTCATTCTCCAAGCACCTTGCCTAGGCTGAGTGGAAGAATGACCACGTCACATATTTTTTAGCCAATGGTGCCTTCCCAAGTTCTAGGTCTGTTTAATGCTCTTCAGACGGTTGAGGATGGGCTCTGTTGCGCATTTCTTTGACCCCTTGCAGAATGATTCCGTTCGAAATCCCCTTGCTGAACTTGGGCTGATAACACAAAATGCCCTTAAGGACTAGTAACTTCAACTCAAGTGTTTGTGGGGGACTGACGAGTTTTTCATTAAGTTGCCTTTTACCGTAACAGTAGCACTCAGGGCATTCGTAACTGTGAAATGAGGAAACCTTAGTACACGAGCTTTGGGAGTACAGACTGGAACAGAAACCAATGTTGGCAAGCGTAGAACAGGAATCCATTCAGTTCGGTCTGTAATGTACTGTATCGCTCAGCCATTAAACGTTTGACCCTCTGTGATGAACGATCTTTTTGTGCCCTAGGAACAGAGGGCTCTGGCTTCCCGTCCTCAACGAGACGAGACGAGACCGTCGCGAAGTTGGAAGGTAATACGCGCTGACATCATCTTCACCGTTAGATGACGAAAGCTTCACATGAAGCTTGCCCGAGGACATGGCATAAATCATAACGCTTGTTGAAATCGCTTGCATCTGATTGGTGCGCATTAAATTGTACGAAGCTTATCAAGGCTACCTGTCGCCGCTTCTGTGCTGAAAGATACGGCCAGCTGGAGACTCGAAAATCTCCACAAGGCTTCCAAGATGCAGATCTGTCTGACACTTAGGCTACAGTACAGCAGTGCCCACGGTCAACTGCCAGTTCCACCGACCCCTGCCTCAGTCAACACGGAAAATGCCCGCCTTGTTCCTAGATTTCCCGTGACACCCCTATTGCACATTCGTCCCCGCGAAATCCACCGCCTTTCAGCCAAATCCCATCCATCCATCCTTCCATCAATTCCTCCCCCCCTGGCTTCCATCGCGCAACGCAAAAGCCCACTTTATAACGCGGTTGATTTTACGGGTAGATTCATTAACTCAATTCGCCCGCGTCCTACCTTGCCGAGCAAACCACCTATGTGCCTTCCGTCAATAGTCTCCCTTTTTACCCACTCGGCTCGAGATAAATGCAGCTGTGATTCAGAAGCACGTCATCACTTGGCTTTTCAACACTTTTCCACTATCACCCACAAGTGAAGCTGAATTCCGAGTTTTCGGCATTCTGACTCTCGCCAAGCGGAACTCGCACAATATGACGTCTCCCTTGTGTTTTCAGTCCGACGGAGCTAGCGGAGCGTTTCCCGCTGGCTTTCCGGGTTCCACCTGGTTCGCCCAGCATCTCCTCGAGGCTTGCGGCGGTAACGGCGGCGGCGGTTCCGGCGTGAACGGTGGCGTTTTCGGCAGCGCCCAAAGCACATTGCTTGCGGCTTCGGGTGACAATCAACTCCCTTCAGCGCTTCCTGCCACAATGTCTCCAGACGTGGACACCCACTTCGCGGCCGCGTCTTCCGCCGTGCCGTCCGCGCCTATGACGCATGAGGACGAGATTTTCCTGGCTCAGCTACAGGCGATGCTACAGGAGCCGTGCGGCGGCAATGCCGCCGGCATCAGCCCCGCCGGAACGCTTGGCGGCGAGCAATCCCCCGTCGCCCCCGCGCCAGCCACTCTCGCAGGCGCTACATTTGGCGCGCAAGCGGCTAACCAGCCTTCCCACATTCCCAGTCACTTCCGCTCCGCTCAGGCGGCGGCGGATAATTCGAGGCGGCGGGAACATTCCGACGCCATTCCTCTACCTATGCCGCTGCGCGCGGCGAAGAGTGTAAAGACATCTCCGCAATCCTGGCCCGGATCGCCTGTGCGCTCTCCGCTCAACGCGCCACGTTCGGCATTGGACGGCTCGCCCCTCAGAAGAGCCCTAACGGCGGAAAGATCGAATTCCTCCGACCCGCGTCTCGGGGAGATTAAGTTCGGAGGTACTATGTCGCGCCTCGGTTCAATGGACGGCGCGAACGCGGGGGCTTCCATGGAGGCGCCGGCCGCGGCTCCGGCGACTTCGCCCAAGCGGAGCGCGTCTGGCGACGGCATGGGCTGCCTTTCCGACGAGCCGCAACGCTCGAGCGGATCTGGTTCCGCTTCCGCGTCTCCCGCCGCCTCTGCTGGGGTTCCTGCTAAAAACGCTGCTACTACGGGCGTTTCCGGCGCGGAAGGTTCCGCGGGAAAGGGCCCGTCGCAGCTGTCGCGACAGCACGCTGGGAAAGGCGGCGGAAGATTCGGACAGCAAATCAAGCCAAAAAGCATGACGGAGAAGCACCGCAGGGAGAAGATCAGCGAGGGAATGAATCGGCTGCGGATGGTGGTTGACGCGCATGGTGACGTGGCGTCGATGCTGAATTACGCGGTGGATTATATCCAAAATATGCAGGCTGCCAATAAGAGCCTCAGGTTGGAGCTTTTGCGGCGCCAGCTGTCGTGCGGTTGTAACGCGTCAAGCGATATCGCACCAGCATCGCTGATTCAGCACCTCAATGCTCTGCAAAAGTAGGTACATTTACTTTCATGATTTGTATCGTATGTGCATTATTTAAATTAGCATACTAATGGCGTCCAGGAAATATAAGGCGCAATGACTAATACCATGCAAAAAATCTTGCACAGGGGAACTCCTAAGTAACTGAATTCCATTTTCAATGTAAACCTTGCAGCAGAGCGTAGTCTACGACAAATAGTGGTCCTGAATCCTGATGATGGTTATGTGAGGCAATCAAACCAAATCCAGACAAGCCACCAGCTTCAATACGGTAGATTGCTTGAACATTAGTTGTCCGCCAGCTGACACCCAATCAATTTTGTTCGTTCGTGGGTAAGCCAACTATATAACTAGCTCACTCTCATGTCACTCATCATCTTCATTCCAGGTTTCATTACTGGAGGGGAATGTGACTGAAATGAAATTTCCGAACCGGGACGCATAGAGACTCGGGTTGACAGCGCTGATGGACGTGCCGTCATAACGCAGGCTCTTGCACACGTGCTCTGCCTTCTTGCGCGTATTGTATTCCTGAAAGTGGTCGGGTCAGGTGAATGTGTGGGGGAGTGAGATGGAGGAAGACTTAGATACCGTAATAAGTAATGGAATGCAACGCGCTGATCGACGTGCTGTTGTATCGCAGGCTCTTGCACACGTGCTCCGCCCCCTTGCTCGTGTTGTACTCTTGAGAGTGGTTGAGTGCGTTTGTGTGAGAGAGAAAGAGAAACAACATGAGAAACAACCCCAAACCCTCAACCCTACAATAACCCAAACCACTCAGAACTGACCTGCAGGATATCGATGATTCCGAAGTGCAGCACCACTTGGTACGTCTCCCTCTTGGCCGGGTCCATCACAGCCTTGCGTGTCCGCCTGTCCACCCTCACAGCCGTTGCCGGCATGCCCTGCCCCAGCAGCACCCCGCTCCCTCCCTCCCCCATGCCCCCTGCCGCTCCTCCCTCTCCCATGCTCCCTCCCCCTCCCGAGCTCTTTCGCTCTCTCCCTTGCCCACTCCCCTCCTCCTCCTGCTGCTGCTGTGAAGCTGTGGGCAGCAAGAAGCCATTTGCAACTTGCCCTGCTTTCCCATCTTCCCCTCCCACTGCTGCATCGGCTGTTAACCTCGCCCCTTCAGCTGCCCCCACCGCGACATTTTCTAGACGGCTGAGTTTGTCTGTTGTGGTGGAGGTGTCAACTGACGCTTCGGCGATAGAGGTGGACGCAACCCTCTGCCATGGCCTCTGCATGTGATGCTTCATCTGTGGTTGGAAGCAGAGGGAGGGAAGGGGAGGAAAGCATGTGGCTGGTAAGGCAAGCAAGGGCGGAGGTGGACGCAACCCTCTGCCATGGCCTCTGTATGTGATGCTTCATCTGTGGTTGGAGGCAGAGGGAGGGAAGGGGAGGAAAGCTTGTGGTAGGTAAGGCAAGCAAGGGCGGAGGTGGACGCAACCGTCTGCCATGGCCTCTGTATGTGATGCTTCATCTGTGGTTGGAGGCAGAGGGAGGGAAGGGGAGGAAAGCTTGTGGTTGGTAAGGCAAGCAAGGGCGGAGGTGGACGCAACCCTCTGCCATGGCCTCTGCATGTGATGCTTCATCTGTGGTTGGAGGCAGAGGGAGGGAAAGGGAGGAAAGCTTGTGGTTGGTAAGGCAAGCAAGGGCGGAGGTGGACGCAACCCTCTGCCATGGCCTCTGTATGTGATGCTTCATCTGTGGTTGGAGGCAGAGGGAGGGAAGGGGAGGAAAGCTTGTGGTTGGTAAGGCAAGCAAGGGCGGAGGTGGACGCAACCCTCTGCCATGGCCTCTCTATGTGATGCTTCATCTGTGGTTGGAGGCAGAGGGAGGGAAAGGGAGGAAAGCTTGTGGTTGGTAAGGCAAGCAAGGGCGGAGGTGGACGCAACCCTCTGCCATGGCCTCTGTATGTGATGCTTCATCTGTGGTTGGAGGCAGAGGGAGGGAAGGGGAGGAAAGCTTGTGGTTGGTAAGGCAAGCAAGGGCGGAGGTGGACGCAACCCTCTGCCATGGCCTCTGTATGTGATGCTTCATCTGTGGTTGGAGGCAGAGGGAGGGAAGGGGAGGAAAGCTTGTGGTTGGTAAGGCAAGCAAGGGCGGAGGTGGACGCAACCGTCTGCCATGGCCTCTGTATGTGATGCTTAATCTGTGGTTGGAGGCAGGGAACGGGGTGGGAGGAAAGGGGGAGCGGGGGGGAGAGGAGATGAAGGGAGACGAGGGGCCCTGAAAGGGCCGGGGGACGTGAAGGCTCCAGTGGAGTTGAGGCAACCCTTTGCCAAGGCCTCTGCATGTGGCTCTTCATCCGTGGTCGGAGATCACAGGGAAGAGTTGACTTTTGAGTCGACTCAAAAGTCAACTAGGTGGAGGCGACCCTTTGCCATGACCTCTGTATCTGGTGCTTCACTGCTTCATCTATGGTCGGAGATCACAGGGACGTTGAGAGGGTGAAGGGGGAATGTAGGAGTCATTGGAGGGAGTTTCAACCCTCTGCCATGGCCTCTAAGGTGGAGGCGAACCCTCTGCCATGGCCTCTGCATCTGGTGCTGCATCTGTGGTCGGCGAAAATGAGAGGGGGAGCAGGGTGGGGTTGAGGGTGATAGGCGGGAAGGGAGCGTTTGGGGTTGATTTCTGAGGTCATACACACCTCCCCTCCCCTCCAACCCATACACACCTCCCCTCCCCCTCCAACCCATACACACCTCCCCTCCCCCTCCTACCCATACACACCTCCCCTCCCCCTCCAACCCATACACACCTCCCCTCCCCCTCCAACCCATACACACCTCCCCTCCCCCTCCAACCCATACACACCTCCCCTCCCCCTCCAACCCATACACACCCTACTGCACACACCCACGCTCCTGCACGTGCACACTCACTCACACTCCCGCACGTGCACACTCACACTCTCGCACGCACACACTCACCTGGCGGAAAGAAGTGCGGACCGAAGTCGAGGCGGCATGCAGGGCGGCTTCACCAGATGACGTGTCACCTACTGCTGATGTGTCACGCCCTGATTGGTCCTCCCCAGATTCGACTTCTGTGGCCGAAGCAGCTGCAGAGGGAAAGGACGGGACGGATGGAGAGAGTGAATAGGAAAACAATGGGAGGGAGAAAGGAGTGGATGTAGTAAGAATGATGTGAGAAAGAGAAAGAATATCATTAAAAGAATGAAGACATTAAAAGAGAAAGATGAGGGTTGAAAGGACAGTGGGGGAGGGTGAGGGTAGCGGGTAGAGGAGGAGGAGGAGGAGGAGGAGGAGGAGGGAGAGGAGGAGGGGGGGGGGAATGAATGGAGGGAAGAGCCGAAAAGCACTCCCATTGCAGCGCAGCACCCATCACGACCACAATCGCAGCACCTGCTGAGCTGGACAGCCGGGATTGGCCGTCCTGGGTTGACCGCCCCTCGGCGATGGTGACAGGTGGCAGCGCGGCACTGGTGGGGCGAAAATGCACCCCCAGCAGCAGGCTGTAGTCCATTATGTTCTGCCGCTGCAGGAACGCTGTGTCCAGGGCGATTTGCCTGGAGGTGGGTGAGTGAGGAAGGGAGGGTAGGAGGGAGGAAGGGGAGAAAGGAATTGAGTAGACTCAGCAGCAGGCTGTAGTCCCAATGATGCTCTGCCGCTGCAGGAACGCTGTGTCCAGGGCGATTTGCCTGGCGGGGACAGGTGAAGGAAGGGCGAACGGTGGGAACGGGAGATGAGCATTGAGGAAATTCAGAAGCCCATGCACCCCCAGCAGCAAGCAGCAAGACTGTAGTGCATGATGCTCTGCCGCTGCAGGAACGCCGTGTCCAGGGCGATTTGCCTGGAGAGAAGATGGAAAAGGGGAGACCAGGGGAGAGGAGAATGACACCAGTGAGGCGTCTCAATGACCCCCAGCAGCTGGCTGTAGCCTATAATATTCTGCCGCTGCACGGCCGCATTCGCACACTCTTACACACACCTGTGCATGAGCACTCGCCACGAGGCAGGCATGTGAAAGGAGAGGTCGAGGTCTAGATCCTTCAAGGTAGTGGTCTCATCCACTGCCACCTTCTCTGTGCTGCGCCCCTGCGACGACCCTTTGAGGTCGAAGCGGCGATGCATGCGCAGGTCGGTGACAAACACGTTGGCCATCACCACAAAGCGGATCAGCGTGGACGGCGACGACAGTACCGTGTGTAGGCGCCGCCGCCGCCGGTACCTCTGCGGCTGCTGATGGTGCAGCTGGTGGTGGTGGGTTTGCTGGTGGTGTTGGTGCTGCTGCTGCTGCTGCTGCTGTTGATTTGAGGGGAGCGTAGCGCTCGCAGTGCTGTTGCTGGTGGCCGTGGTGGTGGGGGGATTGATGGTGCTGGTGGTGGCAGTGCCGGTGGTGTTGGTGGCGTTGGTGGTGGTGCTTTGATTGGTAGCACTGAGGAAGGGCGATGAGGGGAAGAGACTGCGAGAGCACCGAAGAGTAAACTCGGGAGATGTGGGGATATCACTTAGGGAAGGCTCTGCAGCAGCAGCAGCAGCAGCAGTAGCAGGTGGTGGTGGCTGTTGCTGTGCTGATAGTGCTAGTGGTGTTGGTGGTAGTGGTGGTTGTGGTGTTGCTGGTGGCGGTGGTGTTGGTGGTGGTGGTGGTAGTGGTGGTGGTTGTAGAAGCAATGGAGGAGGAGGGGGATAGTTTGGTGCTGGTGGAAGAAGAACGGGAGAGGTTGGAGGGTTGCTTTGTGTTGTAAACGCGGATGGAGTGTAGCCCGAAGAACTTGGTGATGAGCGTGTGCTCGCAGTCGCGCACGTGCCGGAAATAGTCCGGTAACATCCGCTGTAACACCTGCTCCATAGGAAGGAGAAGGAGAAAAAGAAGAGAATCTAACCTGCTGCTCCTTAGGAAAGGAAGGATGGCTAAGAATGGGTGCTGTGTGAAACCACTGTGAGTTTGCTTGTCATCTGGCTCATGCCGGTGCCGGAAGAATCCTGTAACATCTGTTGTAACACCTGCTCTAAAGAAACAAAATGTACTCAAGAAGAGAGGGGAGGAGATGGCTTGGTGACGTCTGTGTACTTACAGACACAGTCGCTGCCCTTGTTACTCCCCCACTCACCCGCACTTCAGAGGCACGCATAGTTTTGATGATAAACCGATCATCGTCTGACAGATAGAACACACTGCTGGACTTGCCCTCATTCTCTTGCTCCCATCCCGCGCCCTCCTCTGCCCCTTACCCCCCCCACACCCCCCCGTCCCCTTTACTCACCCGCACTTCAGACGCGCGCATGGTTTTGATGATAAATCTATCATCGTCCGACAGGTAGAACACACTCCCGGACTTGCCCGGGGACGAAAGCTCCCTCAGGGCATTGTCGCCGCACAGGGACAGCGTGTAGTCAGCTGGATCGATACCAAACATGGCGCGCAGCTCACTGCAAGGGAACACAAGGATTCGGAGGGTAAGGAAGCATGTGCACACAAGGTGCTGTGAGTTAGCTTGGCCGGGGAGGGATGACAGCTCACTCAGTGCGTTGTCTTGTCACCGCAGAGAATTTTATTTTTGAGAATTCTAAAAAGTAAGATTCGGAGGGTAAGGAAGCACGTGCACACGAGGTGCTGTAAGTCTGCTTGGCCGGGGAGGGATGACAGGTCCCTCGGTGCGTTGTCACCGCAGAAAGAGAGAGAGCGTGTAGTCCGCTGGGTCGATGCCAAACATGGCACGCAGCTCACTGTAGGAGGGAATGCAGGGATAAGGGAGATAAGGGAGCACGTGCACCCAAGGTGCTGTGAGTTAGCTTTGCACAGCCAACTTGCCACCGCGTTGTCAACGAACCAACTTGCCAACTTGCCCGGAGACGACAGGTCCCTCGGTGCGTTGTCACCGCAGAAAGAGAGAGAGCGTGTAGTCCGCTGGGTCGATGCCAAACATGGCACGCAGCTCACTGGAGGGGGAACGAGGAGAGGGAGAAATGGGGTGGGGGGGCCGGGTGCATTGCGTTGGCTTAAGAGACGGAGAGAGCCAGCGTGTAGTCTGCTGGGTCCATGCCAAACATGGCACGCAGCTCACTGGAAGGAGGAAATGAAGGATGGGTTGGGCGAGGGGGGTTAGGCTAGTGCACAGAGCGAGAGAGCGTGTTGTGGGGCGGCGTGCAGGAGACAGTTGGAGGGAAAAAACATCCTGTCTGCCGCCGCAAAGTGGTGTGCTCCCAGGAGACCCAGGAGACCCCGGTGTGCCACCGGTCAAAGTGGTGTGCTCCCAGGAGACCCCGGTGTGCTTGCACCCTTTTGAGGCGCCTCAAAAGAGACACTGGTGTGCTTGCACGCACAACACATGGTGAACCAGAGCGAGTATCAAGCCCCACCTGAAGGCCTTGGGGGCATAGTCACGCCAGGTGAAGGGGAGCGTGTTGTGGAACTTAAGGACAACAGGCCCTGGAGGACAACACGCTCCCCTTCACCTGGCGCGACTACACCCCCAAGGCCTTCAGGCGGTGTGCAGGAGGAGCCCTCCAGGGGAAACCACATTCTGTCTGCCGCCACAAAGTGGGGAGCTCTCAGGAGGAACTGCTGTGTTTGGACCCACACACACTCTCACTCACCTGAAGGCCTTGGGAGCGTAGTCGCGCCAGGTGAAGGGGAGCGTGTTGTGGGGCGGTGTGCAGGAGGAGCCCTCTGGGGGGAACCACATCCTGTCTGCCGCCACAAAGTCCTCTGCACGCAGCTCTGCTGGGGCAGGTGCAACTGGGACAGGTGCAGCAGTTGACGCAGGTGTAACTGAGGGAGGAGCGCTAGATGCAGGTGCGGCTGAGGCAGGTGCAGCTGTGGGGGGAGCTTCTGAGGAAGGGACAACTGGGGGAGGTGTTGACCGCCCTGTGGAGTGCCTGGTGGGATGGGGGGGACGTGGGATGGGGAAGCAGAAATGGGGAGATGTGTGGTATGGGAGGTGCTTCTGAGAGAGGGGCAACGAGGGGAGGTGCTAACCGCCCTGTGGAGTGCCTGGTGGGATGGGATGGGATGGCGTGATGGAAGGCATGGAGTCAATGTGCTGTGCTGTGATGCATGGGTTTTGAGGAAGAACTGGGGCGAAGACACACAACATTAGTGACCCACAAGAGACCCACCTGAGCCCGAGCTGTATGCCAGTCATGAGGTCGTAGCTGCGGTGATGAGTCGATTTTTGAGTCGACTCAAAAATCAACTGAGCCCGAGCTGGATGCCAGTCATGGGGTCGTAGCTGCAGTGGGTGGCCCTGGTACATCAGCTCTCAATCGTCAACAAATGAGGCGGTGAGGAGGGTGAGCAAGTGTGGCGGTTAGGGGCAGTTGGAAAGTGGGGGGGTGAGGACACACTACACGACACAGAACAAGGGGACTCACCTGAGCCCCAGCTGGATAGCCGTCATGAGGTCGTAGCTGCGGTGCCCCTTGTATATCAGCTCTCCTGCCTTTCTCCCCGCCCTGCGTGTGGGTCCACGCCGCCTCTGCCAATGGTAAGAATGATCGCACAGGGTGGGGCGGGGGAGGGGGGCAGGGGTTGGGGAGGAACGAGAAGAAAGGGCGTGTTTTCATGCGGCCCTGTCACTGTCAGTGGTTGTGCTTGTGTTTGTTCCAGTGCTTATGCTCGTGAACGATCAACCTGCTGCATACCCATTATAAGCCAACACTGATTAAAATACTACTCACCACAAGATCGTGCTGCAGCTTGGACCTTGGGATCTCCGCCACCAGCACCCCCTGTACGTACTCCCTCACAGTCACCACCTTGCTGTGCCGCCCGTGCTGCCTCTGCTTGCGGCCTGATGAGAACATGGCGCTTGACCGCAGCGAGTCAAGTGCAGAGTCGGGGCCTGCCTCGCTCTCTTGGGCTGGAGAGAATGGGGAGAAGGGAGGAGAAAGAGAGTGGCAAGGACGTAAGGCCTCCGCAGCCCACCTGTCTGCGTTCGACAACTCCTGGAGAGAATGGGGAGAAGGGAGGAGAAAGAGAGTGGCAAGGTAATAGAACAGGAGAGGCGTGCTTGTTCGTGATGTTGGTCTGCGGGTGCCGCCCACGCTGCCTCTGCCTGCGGCCTGATGAGCCTGTTTTTGACTCGACTCAAAAACAGGATCAATGCGGGTGCTGCCCGTGCTGCCTCTGCCTGTTTTTGAGTCGACTCAAAAACGGGTGCCGCCCGTGCTGCCTCTGCCTGCGGCCTGATGAGAACATGACGCTTGATCGCGGCGAGTTCAAGGCAGAGTCGGTACCCGCTCCACTTTCTTGGGCTACAGGGGGTGGGAAACGGAACGGGTGGGAGGAGGGAACTGGAAGGGGTTACTTGTGCTCGTGCTGCCTCTGCCTGCGGCCTGATGGGAACATGGCGCTTGATTGCAGCAAGTCCAGGGCAGAGCCAGCACCCGCTTCACTCTCTTGGGCTGGGAGAAGAGAAGGGCGGGATGAAAAGAATGGACTGGGAACGCGCGAGGGCTGCTTGTGCTGGTAGTGCTGCTCGTGCTGCCTCTGCTTGCGGCCTGATGGGAACATGGCGCTTGAACGCAGTGCGTCAAGAACAGAGTCGGCACCCGCTTAACTCTCTTGGGCTGGAAGGTCAAGAAGCGAAGAGAAGGGTGGGGATAAAGAATGGGAAGACAATTGGATAGGGGTGCTTGTGCTGGTAGTGAAGGTATTGCTGCACTGCCACCCGTGCTGCCCCTGTGTGCAGGCCAATGCAAGAGGCAAAAGGCATAGTGGGCAGCCGCTTTGGTCTTGTGTTGAGGCAGTGAAGACAGAAGGGCGCGCCCAAAGGGATTGTTTGAGGCGCCTCAAAAATGGCAAAAGGCATAGTCGGCAGCCGCTTTGGTCTTGTGTTGAGGCAGTGAAGACAGAAGGACGCGCCCAAAGGGATTGTTTGAGGCGCCTCAAAAATGGCAAAAGGCATAGTCGGCAGCCGCTTTGGTCTTGTGTTGGGGCAGTGAAGACAGAAGGACGCGCCCAAAGGGATTGTTTGAGGCGCCTCAAAAATGGCAAAAGGCATAGTCGGCAGCCGCTTTGGTCTTGTGTTGGGGCAGTGAAGACAGAAGGACGCGCCCAAAGGGATTGTTTGAGGCGCCTCAAAAATGGCGAAAGGCATAGTCGGCAGCCGCTTTGGTCTTGTGTTGGGGCAGTGAAGACAGAAGGACGCGCCCAAAGGGATTGTTTGAGGCGCCTCAAAAATGGCAAAAGGCATAGTCGGCAGCCGCTTTGGTCTTGTGTTGGGGCAGTGAAGACAGAAGGACGCGCCCAAAGGGATTGTTTGAGGCGCCTCAAAAATGGCAAAAGGCATAGTCGGCAGCCGCTTTGGTCTTGTGTTGGGGCAGTGAAGACAGAAGGACGCGCCCAAAGGGATTGTTTGAGGCGCCTCAAAAATGGCAAAAGGCATAGTCGGCAGCCGCTTTGGTCTTGTGTTGGGGCAGTGAAGACAGAAGGACGCGCCCAAAGGGATTGTTTGAGGCGCCTCAAAAATGGCAAAAGGCATAGTCGGCAGCCGCTTTGGTCTTGTGTTGGGTCGGTGAGGTCAGAAGGACGAGGCCAAAGGCAAGAAGAGTTTCACGAGCACCTGCCCCCACTTTCTTGTTGCAGGGTGTTTTGGAGAATTCTCAAAAACACCCAGCAGCGTTTTGCTCTTGTGTTGGAGCTGTGAGGTCAGAAGCACAAGCCCAGAGGCAAGGAGAGCTTCACGAGCACCTGCCCTCACTTTCTTGTTGCAGGGTGTTTTGGAGAATTCTCAAAAACACCCAGCAGCGTTTTGCTCTTTTGTTGGAGCTGTGAGGTCAGAAGCACAAGCCCAGAGGCAAGCAGAGCTTCACGAGTACCTGCCCTCACTATCTTATAAAGGGTAGGAGATGGGGGGGAAGGTAGGGTAGGGTAGGGTAGGGTAGGGTAGGGTAGGGTAGGGTAGGGTAGGGTAGGGTAGGGTAGGGTAGGGTAGGGTAGGGTAGGGTAGGGTAGGGTAGGGTAGGGTAGGGTAGGGTAGGGTAGGGGAGGGGAGGGGAGGGGAGGGTAGGGTAGGGTAGGGTAGGGTAGGGGAGGGGAGAAAATGGCTCACCATGAGACGAGCTTGTGTGCCTGTCTGCAGAATTCCCCCCAGCAGTGCTCCCCCCACGATCCCCCCCTTCCGCACTCGCCCGCCCCTCATCCCCCTCCTCTCCATTCGCCGAACCCACGGACGACCCACGTACCCATCCCGCCAAACTGCCCCCAGAACCGCTCTGCACCGCACTGTCAACTCGGCCGCTGTTCTCCCTAGCAGGAACAGGGCCCATGGTGAACACGCGAGTCAGCTTCGCCGGGGCTGCTTTTGAAGAGGGCTTGTTCTGACGACGACCAGAAGGAGAAGCAGCAGCAGCAGCAGCAGCACCAGTGGCAGAACTGTCAACGCTGCTGCTGTGGGTGCTGCCAGCAGCGCCAGTGCCTCTGCTGACAAGGTTTCCCTCAGAGGACGCGTGGGCGAGGTTGAGGGATGGGGTTGAGGGCTTTGCTGTTGCAGATGATTTCGTGGAGCGAAGAGACCAACGGCGCCCCTTCTTTCCTTGCTCTCCCTGCTGCTGCTGCTGCTGCTGCTCCTGCGGCGACGGCTGCTGCTGCTCCTGCGGCGACGGCTGCTGCTGCTCCTGCGGCGACGGCTGCTGCTGAGGGGCATCCCTGTCCTTCTCCTTCTCCTTCTCCTTCTCCTTGCTCCACATTCTCCAAAGCTTGGGAGCAGCAGCAGCCGCCTCGTCCCCTCCCTGCTTCGCTCCCTTCTCTTTGCCTGTTACCTGTCCCACCGTCTTCTGCTCTGCTTCTATGATTTCCTCTGCTGCTCCGCCACCAGCAGCAGCAGCAGCAGCAGCAGCAGCAGCAGCAGTGACCCCACTACCATCAGTCACAACATCGCCACTCTCACTGCCTACAACCACATTCTCCACCGCCATTCCCCCTTCAGTCACACCCGCTACACTCACCCCAGCAGACCCAGCCTCCCCTTCCGCCACTCCCTTCCCCACCTCCTCCTCCCCCCTCTCCCCCGTCCCCGTTCCCGCCACATCAGCAGCCTCCTCCACAATCCTCCCCACCCTATCCTCCCAATCCGACCCCACACTTACCCCCCGCTCCTTACAACTCTCCCACAGTCTACCCCCTACCATACCCCTGGCGCCCCTAGGCGGCAGCGCAGGTCCAGGAACCGACTCCGACTTACCTAATTTTAACTCACACTCAGCCCACTGCCGTTCCAGCGCCTCCTTTCTCTTCCAGTCCCGCATTGCCCCCGCCCGCCCTCCGCCAATCACAGACACGCTCCGGCTAAAATTCTTCGGCCCAGTGCCAGAAGGGGTGATACTGAGTACGCCCGCGCTGCTGCTGGGGCGAATTGCCTTGTTACCCCCTCTTGGAGTGTGGATGGCGCCGCTAGTGCTGGGGCGATTATCATAGCCAGTAGCAACAGCTGTTGTTGCTGCTGCGGAAGCTTCAATACTGAGCCCGTCCCCTGCTGCTTTCGCATCCGGTCCAGCTGATATCGCAGACCCTCCCCCTGGTCCTCCTGCTTCGCCTGTCGCCCCTCCTCCATCGCCTTTCGCCGCTGCTCCTCCGTCCGCCTCTTGCTGCGGGTGCTGCTGTGGATGCGGCTGCATCGCTTTCTTCTGGTCCGCCGGCTTCCACCCAATCGACAGCCCCCGGGTCATCGTCAGACCGCGGCCCAGCGCGCGGCCCCCTTTCTTTCCGCCTCCTGCGCCAGCACCAGCACCACCTGCAGCAGCGCCAACAGCGCCTACAGTACCCGCAGCACCCGCATCACCAGTACCAGCAATGGCCGCCTCTTTCTCCGAAGCTGCACCCTCCGCTTCCCCCCCAACCCCCGTCCCGCCCCTCCCTGCTTCCCCCTTCTCCTCACCCCCTCCCCCACCTCCCTCCTCCTCCACCCACTCCTCCTCTTCCTCTCCCTCCTCATATCCTCTCGGGAAGTACAACCCTTTGCCGTCCTTCAATCCTCTGCTCCACGTCCCTTCGAAGCAGCTTCCGTCGGCCCACTTAAACGTCCCCGCGCCGTGCTCGAGTCCCGCCTCCCACTCCCCCTCGTAGCTATCCCCATTCGCCCACGAAAGCGTTCCATACCCGCTCATCTTCCCGCCTTCCCACTCCCCGAAATACTCATTCCCGTTGCTCCATCTGTACCGACCAGGACCGTCTGGAACCCCTCGGCTCCAAAATCCCTCATAAACATCTCCGTTAGTGTAGTGCTTCCTACCAAGTCCGTGCTTCACCCCAGCGGCCCAGTTCCCGGTATAGAATGCTCCGTCAGGAGCCCAATGGCTACCCACGCCCTGTAGAGCGCCGTCCTTCCATTCCCCTTCGTAACGCGCGCCGTCAGGGAGTTCGAACCACCCCTGGCCGTGCTTCCGTCCCCTGTCCCATTCCCCTTCGTACACGCTCCCATCCACCCAGAAGTATCTTCCGGTGCCGTGCGGTGCTCCTCCCGCCCATTCGCCCACGTATTTATCGCCGTTCGGAAAGTTTTTCCGGGTTACCGCTGCTCCTTCGCGAAGGTTTGCCGGGAGATCTGAATCAAAGGTTCGCGCGGGGGACGGCGCGGTCGCGACGGCGAGCGAGCGCGGGTTGTTAGGCGCAGATGCGGTAACCACCGCGGAAATTTCTTCTGCGTTCGAAGATGATTTTGGAGCTATGGCTGGTTCCGCGGATAGCGATGCTCCTGGTAACGAGGATAATGATGCTTCTGTTAAAGCGGAAGCCATTATCACGACTGTTGGGCTAGCTCAAAGAAAATTATTTGTTGACCATGCAGTGGGAGAATGTTACGAGATGGAAGAAGCGGCACTCATGAAAGAACATGATGCAACTGTGAAGGGTAATGCGTGAAATCGTCCATCAATAAAAAGAGTTAGCAGCATACGACCACTGACTGATTGGCATTACTGATGATACAACTACTGCTTTGGGAAGTAATATCTGGAATGGTTCTAGAAGACGTCGGTCACGTTGGCTGTGCTTGTCTGCTCCTTCGGGATTGTCATTCACAAATGGTCGTCCTGAAATGGCTGGCTCAGTGTAACATCGTCGTCGTTTGATCGCGAACATGTGTACAGTTGATGATGCGAGCTTCGTCACATTCTTCGCCTGATTTCGGCGTTACAGCGGCGGTGCGTCAAGCCGAGCACCCTTCAAGGCCATTTCCACGAATCGCAGGACAGCGCCACTTCACCACATAGGAACAAAAGCCTCAATCCGTCAAGACCAATTTCGCTGCATAATCACACCATCTATGTGCAAATGTGACAACTTCGATTCGACATGTATATACGCAGACTGAGCTTCTACACTGTTGGCGGGATTCCATGTAGCTTTATGCCATTCTCGATATTTCCCGCCAACAGATAAACACCCTGGTTCTGACGCCACAACAGACAGTTGCCGCGAGAGGCGGCATCCCTGGCCTGGCACAGCCAACTTGGTTGTGGAGTGGCGGAGCGGCGCACACAGCTCAACATTGCACATCCACCCACTGCCGGAAACCAGTCGCATTGCACAGAACCGTGCTCAACCTTTCGAATCAACCTCCGTATACAAAAACCCCTTCCTTCTCTGCCACCTCCTGGGTTAGGTTACCTTCCAAGTCGAACCGAAGGCCACTGATAACAGGGTTCGAGCGGGAACTCCCTATGTAAATAGTCGTATTTTCTCACGACCGTTGAATGCAAGTGCATCCATTGTTGTGATGCCAGCTTCTTTACGAAACTTGTGCACAATAGCAGTGTTCACGGTATCGCGCATAGTATATATCGTCATGAGTTCTGCTTTCTTCAGTTGCCGGAACATCCCGCTCGTATCACTTCTGTTGGTGCTGGCTCCGCTGATTTCGCCGCAGCAACGACAGCTAGCGCAGGCTGTAAAGCTCGACATTCCTCTCGAGTTCTACCGCGGCGATAGTAAGACACCCGATTCTCCGCGCCCAAGTCAGTTTTTATACATCCCACTACTGCACTGAGCTCGACACCCTTCTTCCAGTCACTTCAAGATCAAAGATTTCTGAAAAGCATATTACGCTCGGCACTCCACTCGAGTTCTCAGGCTTCCTTGCTGCTTGTCAAACTTGCACTTTCCGGAGCGTCATCTTGTCGTGGCGACACTTATAAGTTAGCCCGTATCATTTCCTGTAGGCTCTCCTAAAACCGCCAAGTTAGCGGGCTAGTGCTGCTTCCCTTTCAGCCTGCTACAACCCTTCGACCTCCCATCTCTTCATCATCCCTTCACCCATTCCCTCCTTATCCATTCTTGATCCCTTCCATCCTTACTTCCTTCCGTCCTCCTTCCCTCCCACCCTACCTCCCTCCTTTCCTCCCGTCCGCTCCTTTCCTTCTTCTTCTCACCCTTCTGTCCTCTTTCCTTCCACCTCTCCCCCTCCCCCTCCTCTCCAACCTTCCCCCCTCCTTCCCCGCCCCCCAACCCCCTTTCTCCCTCAACTCAGTAACCTACTTGAACAATTTCGCAGCAGCCATACCAAACTTCTCGGCGTTTGGAATCGTCTCAAGACTTCCCCACCAACCTCCCACAACCCCCCTCCCCCCTCCCATCCTCTCTCCCTCCGCACCTCAGTAACCTACTTGAACAATTTCGCAGCAGCCATACCAAACTTCCCGCCGTACGCGTGGGCTGCTGACGTGGCACCGCCATGCCCCACTGGCAACTGGATTGGCGTGACGTGTAATTCAGATAACTACGTGACTGACGTGTACGTCTGAGGAGTAGGTTATAAGGGTGGGGTGTGGCGAGCGGCGGGGATAAGGTGCGGTGACATGCAATGCGGATAACTACGTGACTGACGTCTACGTATGAGGAGTGAAGTGTACGGCTGTGGGTCTGTGTGTGCAGTGCGGATTAAGTTGTGGTGACATGTAGGTTTAAATAGTAGTGTATGGGTGTATGGGTGTGTGGGTGTATGGTTGGGATGTGGCGAGCAGTGCGGATAAAGCATGGTGCGGTGCATGCAACTAGCATAACAGGATAACTACCTCACCAATCGGTGAACTGGATAAGTACATGGCTGACGTGTACAATCTGAAGTGTATGGATAAGGTGCGGCGTAGGCAGCCAGGCTCGCTGACGTGTAACTCGCTGATTCGTGAAGCGACCGGGAGCAGCAGAGGGTGTGTGTGTTGTTCCTGCCTGGTTGCTTCTGCTATAAGCGGGATAGAATCACATGTGCCATGTTTGTGTAAGTACCATGTATGAGGCGTCCCAAAAGCGGGATAGAATCACGTGTGCCATGCTTTTGTAAGTACTATCTTTTTAAAGCGTTGTGTTGTGACTCATGCCATTGGCTTGTGACTGTGTGGGTGGTGGTGTGGGTGTGGGTGTGGGTTTGGGTGAGGGTTTGGCTGTGGCTGTGGATGTGTGTTTGTGTGTGCCTGTGCAGTGACCTAAGCGCAAGCAACGTGACTGGAAACTTCCCAAAGCTCAAGGGTCCCTTCTCGTTTGACATTGCTGCTGTCATTTTTCTCAAGACGCTGTGAGTCCCACTGCCCACAATTGAAGTTGACATATGTCGTTTCCAGAAGGTCTATTCTCTAAGTTGACTCAGAAGGCTCAAGGCTCCCTTCTCGTTTGATATTGCTGCTGTCATACTATGTTGGAATTGACGCGTCAAGCGTCTTTGACGCTAGCGTCAAAACGCTAGCGTCTGGACGCTTGACGCACAATCCTGATTCTTTTAACGCAGTTTTGACGCTCTGGCGGGCAGCTGAAAAAAAAAACTTTCGGGCAGCAGTAAAAAAGTATATGGGGGGGAGGGAGCGGAGTGGTAAGGAGAAAGTTAAGGGGTAATAGGAGCGGAACGGAGATCTAACTCCGTAGCAACAGGAGATAGTCGATCTAACCCTAATTTCGGTCGAGTAGCTTGCAAAGGAGAGAATGGCGACCTGGATTGGCGTGACTGATTTCTGTCAACTTTGGTTGGATGTTCTAGTTGCATTGCGGTACAATGTGGTGTGGGGGATGTTTTTGTGTTTCTGTTTTGAGGGGTGACTTGACATTCGAAGTCACGATTTTGAAGCGAAGTCGCGATTTTGAAGCTAAGTCGCGAATGATTTTTATTTCCGCTCGATTTCGTAAAAAAAAAAAAAAAAAAAAAAAAAAAAAAAAAAAAATGACCAGCGTGAAGCATCAAAACGCGCGTCAAGCGTTTTGCGTCAAAACGCTAGCGTCAAAACGCTTGACGCAACCCCTCCAGAGCGTCAATTCCAACATAGCTGTCATATCATCTTTCTCCAGGCACTGTGAGTCCCACCGCCCACAAGAACCAACTGCGAGTCTCTCTCTCTTGTCAATTATCAGAATCACTGAGATAATGACTGTATAGATGCTTGACATTGCTGCTGTCATGTCAACTTCCTCAAGACCCCCGCCCTCCTTACTTGTTGGCACTACTCCGTCAAAATCTGTTTTCTTGTTTTATACATTCCTGCTTCTTTCCCCACGTCTCACTCCCCTTCCCCTAGTCCCTTTTCCCCACGTCCTGTTCGACCACTCACTTCCACCCACATAATCTCTCAATCTCTCCATTCCCCACTCCCCTCTCCTTCACTCCTCACTCTCCTCTCCACTCCCCCACTCCACCTGTTTCCCCTCTCCGTGTGATTCCCAATGTCGCCTCGCCACCATGGCCTCGCCCGGAGCAGTAACCTTGCAGGAAACCTTCTCCATGGCCCGTTTGTGAGTCTAGGGGAAACCTACTCCATAGGACAGTGCTTGACATCGAAGCACATGAGAGCTTCACGCAAAGTTCCGTTCATATCACATCGCAATGCTGCACCTGTAGTTACTCGGAGGGACAGAAACTTCATGGGCCACTAGGGCATTCTTTGGCATCAAAGCGCATGAGAGCTTCACGCAATGTTATTCCTTCTTGTAGTGATGCTGCGCTTTTAGTGAGTTGGAACAAGTTCCATGGCCCGTTTGTGAGTCTGTAGGGCAGCGTTTGGCATCAAAGCACATGAGATCTTGTAGCGTTGCTGCGCCTGTAGCGTTGCTGTGCCTGTAGCGTTGCTGTGCCTGTAGCGTTGCTGCGCCTGTAGCGTTGCTGCGCCTGTAGCGTTGCTGTGCCTGTAGCGTTGCTGTGCCTGTAGCGTTGCTGCGCCTGTAGCGTTGCTGCGCCTGTAGCGTTGCTGCGCCTGTAGCGTTGCTGCGCCTGTAGCGTTGCTGCGCCTGTAGCGTTGCTGCGCCTGTAGCGTTGCTGCGCCTGTAGCATTGCTGCGCCTGAAGCAATCAGTAGCCTTTAGGCCATTATCCCTTCCTTATGCTCTCCTCTCCCCCCACTACCCCTCCTTCGCTCCTCTCCTTAAACCTCCCCTCCTTCCCTTCCTGCCCTTCCCTTTTCCTTTCCTTCTCACGGTCCTCTTTCCCCTTCCCTTACCACCCATCGTGCTCTCCTTCCCGCAACCCACCCTCCTTTTCACATGCCAGCCAAGTGAGCTGGCTCTGTCACCTAGCCTCGCCTCCCTCAACGTGGCAAACAACAGCCTCACATCGACTCCCCTCTCCATGCGTTCTCTCTTTCCCCCCACCATTTCCCCTTCCCCTCCCACTCCTAACCCGCCCCAATCCCTCATGCCAGCCAAGTGAGCTGGCCCTCTCGCCCAGCCTCGCCTCTCTCAACGTGGCCAACAACAGCCTCACAGGGCGCCTGTCCGAAGACCTCTGTAACCTCAACCTCACCTGCGTGTGAGTGCACTCTTGTTTTGGTCCTGCTGTGAGTGCTGTCACATGGGCAAGGTGGCATGTGAGTGGAGGCAAACAACAGCCTCACAGGGCGTCTGTCCGAAGACCTCTGTAACCTCAACCTCACCTGCGTGTGAGTCCCGTCCCGTCTTTCCTTGCTGTCTAGTTTTGAGGCGCCTCAAAGCTAGTCAGTCAGTGTCACCTTACCTGGTCTGCCTGTCTTCTCTTGACATCGGTCGTGGCACCAAGTGCATTACATCGAGTGAGCCAAGTGGTTTCCGACTGGACTCAAGCAACAGCTTCACAGGGCGCCAGTCTGATGACCTTTGTAGTCTCAGCCTCACCTGCATGTGAGTCATGTCTTTCCTTGCTGTCTAGTTTTGAGGCGCCTCAAACCTAGTCAGTCAGTGTCACCTTACCTGGTCTGCCTGTCTTCTCTTGACATCGGTCGTGGCACCAAGTGCATTACATCGAGTGAGCCAAGTGGTTTCTGACTGGACTCAAGCAACAGCTTCACAGGGCGCCAGTCTGATGACCTTTGTAGTCTCAGCCTCACCTGCGTGTGAGTGCTGCCTTGCCTTGCTGTGGCTGCCGGCTGCTGGGTGCGCCTGTGGTTTGGCTTGGCTCAAGCAACAGCCGCACAGGGCGCCCGTCTGAGGTCCTTTGCAACCTCAACCTCTGCTCCTCGTCTCTTCCCCTCTTCACCCTCCACACAACCTCTTCTCCGTTTCTCCCCCCTCGTCGCTCCCACACACCCTCTTCTCCCTCCGCCTCCCGCTTTTCTCCCCTCCCCCAGCAACGTGATGGGCAACCCTCTCCGCGGACCCATCCATCCCTTCGTGCTGGACAGCTGTTTTTTTTTATGACTCACTGTATCCCTCTTTCCCCCCTCTTCGCCCCCTAAACACCCTCGTCCTCCCCCATTCCCTCCCCCCAGCAACGTGATGGGCAACCCTCTCTGCGGACCCGTCCCCTCGTGCTGTACAGCTGTATTGACTCAATGTATCCCTCTTCTTCCCCTGTGCACCCTCGTCTCCCCCCCCCCCCCCCCTCCTCGCAGCAACCTGATGGGCAACCCTCTCCGTGGACCCATCCCTTCGTGCTGGAGGAACTTCACATGCCTTGAGTACGTCATGCCATGCCAAGCCATGCCATATCATGCCGCGCCATACCATACCATGCCATATCATGCCGCGCCATACCATACCATGCCATATCATGCCACGCCATGCCATGCCATGCGGTGCCATACCATGCCTTTTCATGGCGTGCCATACTGCGCCACACCATGCCGTGCCGTGCCATGCCATGCGTTGAGTGTGCATGCATGGGCACGTCCTTCAATCGAGGTTTTGGCTGCACCTGCACGTATGATTCTCACTGCAGCTTGTGTGCTATGCATGGATTTAAACTCTGTGCGTTCACACCCTGTGCACACCACGCCTATTCCAACCAATCTTCAGACAATTCTCAGGGAGCAGCAGTAGTGAAGCTAGGCTTAAAGCAGAAGAACAAACAGCTAGTATTGTACTCGCTGTGTGAGACTGTGCGTTCACTCCCTGTGCACACCATGCCTATTCCAACCATTTTCTTACTCTCTTCGCCCCGGCAATCTCTCCCCCCTCTCTTCCACCTCCCTCTCGTTATCTCTTTGGCTGCAGCTTTGCCAACACCAGCCTTCTAGTCGTTCCCAACGAAACATGCCGTGATGGTGAGCTCATAACGAATCTTGAGGTGATGATAAGCTTATGACGAAACGTGCCAGGATGGTGAGGTGAGCTTATAACAAGTTGTGCCTTTAAGGTGAGTCTGCAACGAGACAGAGATGGTAAATAGTGAATAGTGTCTTGAATGGTGAGCTAGTAAAGAGACATGCTTGGATGGTGATCACTACATTTTTATGTCAGAAAATACGCATATTGCGTGCGACAGTACACATACGAACTATATGCTACCGTACATACACGGTATGCTGCCTTCCCACGCATGCTGCTAATGGAGCACCTTCTCCCGTTGTCCACGCATGCTGCATGTGTCTCAAACAAATCTCTTTTCCTCTCTGCTCTCCCGTTTCCACTCTCTCAACAACCCTACCCTTTCCCCCAGTCCCCTATCACAGCTGCAATCCGCCTCTCCAAGTGGCCGTGCCCCCCCCCCCCGATCCGCATCTTCCTCCTTGTTGCCATCGTCGGGGGTGTTGTGGGGGGTGGTGCTTTCCTGGCCCTGCGGATTACCACAAGCATACTGCTGATAAATCTCTCCCTCTAACCCTTTCCCGTCCTCCCTTCCCCCCACCAAACGCCCAGTCCCTTACCACAGCTGCAACCCACCTCTTGCTGTCGCTGTAGCCCCCCCGTCCGCCTCTGCCTCCGCTGTCAACGTCGTTGCCATCATCTGTGGTGTCGTGGGGGGCGCTGCCTTCATTGCGCTGCTGGTTGCGGGGGCAATGGTTGTGATGAAGCACATTGAGAGGAAGCGACGGGAGGAGGAGGAGCGGCGGCTGGAGCAGGATTTGGAGAGTGAGTGATGTGGCGGGGAGAGGGTTGTTTGCTAGTACTGGCTTGAGGCGAAAAGTTGATAGGGTGTTAATTGCGCTGGTGATTGCCACAGCAATGGTGGTGATGACGCACATTGAGAGGAAGCGACGGGAGGAGGAGGAGAGACACCTGGAGCAGCAGTGATCTGGAGAGTGAGTGATGCTGGAGGGGACTCTTGAGGCGCCTCAAAAGGAGCAGGATCTGGAGAGTGAGTGATGTTGGAGGGGTGTTTAGGAATGCATATAGGAGGCCGTGTTCCTTTCTTTGTTAGCTTATTTCTTTGTTTAGCAGTGCTTATTGCTGATTTCTCCACTTTTCCTGCCCCGTTTCTCTTGTTTGAAAAAAACTCAAATCTCGTCGAAGGGCACAACAAGGCTACCAAAGCGTCTGACACCTCTCCTTCCCAAGTCTCTCCTCTCCTTCCACTCCCCCACTTTCCCGCCCCTTTTCCAAACAGCCCAAATCTCGTCTCATCACATTGGAACTCTCCGCAGAGGAGCTGAAAAGGGCAACCAACGAGTTTGACGAGGACCATGTGCTGGGTGAGGGGAAGGTTCTGATGCGCCAAGCCAGCTCCCCTCATCGCGTCTCCTCTCTTCCCCCATTCTCTCTCCTCCCACTGTTCCCAACAGCCCAATTATTCTCATCGCGTCACTTTTGAACTCTGAGGCGGTTCGCCTCAGAGGGGCTCAAGAAGGCCACCAACGCAACGCCCTTGATGATCCCTCTCCTCCCCTCCAACGCCCTTTTAGCTTCCCCAAGCCCATCCATCTATCGTCTCCCCTCTCTCGTTTGCGTCCCTGTTTCAGCCCAAATCTCGTCTCGTCACTTTGGAACCCTGAGACGCTTCACCTCAGAGGAGCTGAAGAAGGCCACCAACGGGTTTGACGAGGACTATGTGCTGGGCGAGGGGGGCTTCAGCAAGGTGTACAAGGGCAAGCTGGAGGACGGCAAGTTCGTTGCCATTAAGCGGATCAAGGTGGGTGGGGAGAGGTGGGGAGCGGTGATGTGCGGTGATGAGGGGCGATGCGGGGTGATGAAGTTTTGGAGCTATGAGGTTCACCTGCTCGGTTCAGCAAGGTGTACAAAGGCAAGCTAGAGGACGCAAGTTCGTTTCTATCAAGAAGATCAAGGTGGGGGAGAGTGGGAGTAGGGGGGCGGTGATGTGCGGCAATGTGCGGTGACATGGGGTCATAAAGTGGTGAAAATCATCAGCTTAGCAGTCCACCACAACCGCAGAGGGCTTTCGACTGAACAGCCCCCTCTTGTCCTGGCTGTTTTATGTTTGCCTTCCCTTCCTCTCCTTGCTGTTTACTGTGTTCCGTTTTCTACAGGATGAGAAGAGGGCAGGTGGCGAGCTGCAGTTTCTTTCAGAGGTGGAGATGATCAGCCGCGCAGTCCACCGCAACCTCATCCGTGCGGAGGGCTTTCAACTGAGCAACCCCTTCCCTTCCTCTCCTTGCCGTTTTCTGTGTTCCTTTTTCTACAGGACGAGAAGACGGCAGGTGGCGAGCTGCAGTTCCTATCAGAGGTGGAGATGATCAGCCGCGCAGTCCACCGCAACCTCATCCGTGCGGAGGGCTTTCAACTGAGCAACCCCTTCCCTTCCTCTCCTTGCCGTTTACTGTGTTCCGTTTTCTACAGGATGAGAAGAGGGCAGGTGCCAGGTGGCGAGCTGCAGTTCCTATCAGAGGTGGAGATGATCAGCCGCGCAGTCCACCGCAACCTCATCCGTGCGGAGGGCTTTCAACTGAGCAACCCCTTCCCTTCCTCTCCTTGCCGTTTACTGTGTTCCGTTTTCTACAGGACGAGAAGAGGGCAGGTGGCGAGCTGCAGTTCCTATCAGAGGTGGAGATGATCAGCCGCGCAGTCCACCGCAACCTCATAAACCCGGAGGGCTTTCAACTGAGCAACCCCTTCCCTTCCTCTCCTTGCCGTTTACTGTGTTCCGTTTTCTACAGGACGAGAAGAGGGCAGGTGGCGAGCTGCAGTTCCTATCAGAGGTGGAGATGATCAGCCGCGCGGTCCACCGCAACCTCATCCGTGCGGAGGGCTTTCAACTGAGCAACCCCTTCCCTTCCTCTCCTTGCCGTTTACTGTGTTCCGTTTTCTACAGGACGAGAAGAGGGCAGGTGGCGAGCTGCAGTTCCTATCAGAGGTGGAGATGATCAGCCGCGCAGTCCACCGCAATCTCATTCGCGCGGAGGGCTTTTGTGTGGAGCGGGGCGAGTGCATGCTGGTGTTGCCCTTCTGCTCTAACGGATCCGTGGCCTCCCGCACTCAGGGTGAGATTCGGTTGGGCTGAGTTGGGTTGGGATCAGTGCGGTTCAGCTGGGTGGTGAGGTGCATTCGCGCGGAGGGCTTTTGTGTGGAGCGGGGCGAGTGCATGCTGTTGCTGCCCTTCTGCTCTAACGGATCCGTGGCCTCCCGCACCCAGGGTGAGTAAATGATCGGGCTGGGTTCAGAGCGGTGCAGCTGGGTGGGAGGTGCATTTGTGCAAGGGGCTTCTGTGTGGAGTGGGGCGAGTGCATGCTTATGCTACCCTTCTGCTCCAATGGCAATGTTGCCTGTGTCAAAGCTCCACCTCTCTTCCAAAAGCATGACAAACGTTCTGCAGTGGGAGGTTGACTTGTGGGAGTGAGCTTGATTGTGAAAATTGTTGACACTATGCAAAAGCAATCAAAGGTTGGGGGTGTTCCGAGAATCGAACTCGGGACCTCTCGCACCCTAAGCGAGAATCATGCCACTAGACCAAACACCCATGCTAGATGGCATGGGGAGCAGTATGGAGGGTCGCACCACCCACACCTTTCCTTCTATCCCTTCTTGTTCCGTTGTGCTTGTTTCTTTCCCGCCAGGCAAGGAGGGAAACCCCATGGACTGACCGACCCGCATGAAGGTGGCCGGTGGCGCAGTGGAGGGTGTAGCGTCACCCAACCCAACCTCACCCCACCCCGTCCCAAACCTCCTCCCTTGTTGCTCGCTTGTGCTCTTTTCTTGCTCGCCAGGCAAGGAGGGCAACCCCTTGGACTGGCCGACTGCAACCCGAAGCTCATTCACACCTTTTCCCTGCCTGTCTGCACCCATTCACACCCAACCCCATCCAACCGTCACGGCCAGGCAAGGAGGGCAACCCCATGGACTGGCCGACGCGCATGAAGGTGGCAAGAGGAGCAGCAGAGGGGATAGGCTATCTGCACACGGACTGCAAGCCAAAGCTGGTTCACCGCGATATCAAGGTGGGATTCTATCATTTTGGGTACTGAGGTGGATGGGTTATGGGGTACGGTACGGCCTTGTGAGGCATGTGGCATGTGGCCTGGGGGGGCAGCACAGCAGAGGGGATAGGCTATCTGCACACGGACTGCAAGCCAAAGCTGGTTCACCGCGATATCAAGGTACATGGGTTATGGGGGTACAAGGGTTATGGGTATGGGGCATGCTTGCGTGAAGCATGTGGCATGGGGGGAGCAGAGAAAGTGGCGTATCTCTGCGACTTTTGAGTCGACTCAAAAGTCACGCATGTGGCATGGCGGAGCAGAGGGGGTGGCGTATCGCACATGGACTGCAAGCCGAAGCTGGTGCACCGCGATAACAAGGGCGCATGGGTTATTGCTTATGATATGACCTGGTGACATGTGACATGTGGCATGTGGCATGTGGCATGTGGCATGGGAAAGTGGAGGGGGTGGTGACTGGAAGGTGAAGTGGGTGGGTGCACCGTGGTGGGTGTGTGATGTGTGTTGTGTGATGTGTGTTGTGTGATGTGTGTTGTGTGATGTGTGTTGTGTGATGTGTGGTGTATACCCGCCCACAACCCTCTCAATCTCTTTCCACCCATCAACCACCCGGCCTGTACTTACCCATCCCCTACGCATCCCCTACCCATCCCCTACTCGCCCCCTATTCGTTTCCTGCCCATCCGCCAGGCTGCGAATGTCTGCTGCATGAGAACGACGAGGCGGTGATTGCAGACTTTGGGCTCGCCAAGGAGAGCCATGCGTCCGCTGTTCTTTCCCCGCTCCTCCCCCGCTCCTCCCCTGCTCCTCCCCTGCTCATCCTCTGCCCATCCTTTGCCCATCCTCTGCCCATCCTTTGCCCATCCTCTGCCCATCCTCTGCCCATCCTCTGCCCATCCTTTGCCCATCCTCTGCCCATCCTCTGCCCATCCTTTGCCCATCCTCTGCCCATCCTCTGCTCATCCTCTGTTCATCCCCTGCTCATCCCCTGCTCCTCCCCTGTTCATCTCCTGCTCCCTACCCACCCTTTCCCTTCCCACCAGGCTGCCAACGTGCTTTTGGATGAGAACGACGAGGCGGTGATTGCTGATTTCAGGCTGGCCAAGGAGATGGACGTGAATGAAACGCACGCCACCACTGCTCTTCCCCTGCTCTTCCTCTGTTCCCCACCCATCCTCTACGTGCCAGGCTGCAAACGTGCTTTTGGATGAGAACGACGAGGCGGTGATTGCAGACTTCGGGCTGGCCAAGGAGATGGACGTGAATGAAACTCATGCCACCACTGCAGTCAAGGGCACCATTGGACACATTGCCCCTGGTGCGTGTTTGATGGGTCTTTAAGTGCTATGGTGCGTGTTGAACTGGTGATAGCATGAGTGCTTGCGTTTCCACCATTATGGACTAGTATGTATGATTGTGATGCTACTAAGATGTACTATTTTGTGAGAAAGCAATCCTCATATACCTTTCACTCCCTCAAATAATTCTCATCCTTCTCTCCCTCTCCCCCACCATCTCAGAAAATGTTGTGAGCGGGCAGTGCTCAGCTATTCTCTCTCTTCCCAATGCTTCCCCTCTCAACCCAATGCTTCCCCTCTCAACCCAATGCTTCCCCTCTCAACCCAATGCTTCCCCTCTCGACCCAATGCTTCCCCTCTCAACCCAACGCTTCCCCTCTCAACCCAATGCTTCCCCTCTCAACCCAATGCTTCCCCTCTCAACCCAATGCTTCCCCTCTCAACCCAACGCTTCCCCTCTCAACCCAATGCTTCCCCTCTCAACCCAATGCTTCCCCTCTCAACCCAATGCTTCCCCTCTTAACCCAATGCTTCCCCTCTCAACCCAACGCTTCCCCTCTCAACCCAATGCTTCCCCTCTCAACCCAATGCTTCCCCTCTCAACCCAATGCTTCCCCTCTCAACCCAACGCTTCCCCTCTCAACCCAATGCTTCCCCTCTCAACCCAATGCTTCCCCTCTCAACCCAATGCTTCCCCTCTCAACCCAACGCTTCCCCTCTCAACCCAATGCTTCCCCTCTCAACCCAATGCTTCCCCTCTCAACCCAATGCTTCCCCTCTCAACCCAATGCTACCCCTCTCAACCCAATGCTTCTCCTCTCTCTTCCCCCCCTTTCTGCCCCTCTGCCACCACCAGAGTACTTTGTGAGCGGGCAGTGCTCGGAGAAGACGGACGTGTATGCCTTCGGGGTCTTGCTGCTTGAGCTCATGTGAGCGGGTAGTGCTCGGTTACTCTCTCCTCAACCCAATGCTCTCTCCCCTTCCTCACTCACTTCCCCTTTGCAGAGTACTTTGTGAGCGGGCAGTGCTCTGAGAAGACGGACGTGTATGCGTTCGGAGTCTTCCTGCTGGAGCTCGTGTCGGGCAAGGACGTGTACGGGCTCACCGTCGTGCCCGAGGCTGAGGAGATTCTACTGAGGGACTGGGTGAGTGGGTTGAGCTTGGTGTGTGTAAGGCCCCGGCTGCTGTGATGGGTGTGGTGTGCTCGTCTCTCCCTCCCTCACTCTCCCTCCTCCTGCTGGAGCTCGTATCAGGCAAGGACGTGTACGGGCTCACCTCACTGTTGTGCCCGAGGCAGAATAAATCCTGCTCAGGGACTGGGTGAGTCTCTCTGAACAAACGCCTGTGAGCCTATCCGAGCAACTCGTTGAGTGGGTTGGAGCAGTGGACACGGGGCAGGTGGAGCAGATGCTCCAGCTGGCGCTGCAGGTTCCGCTGCTTTGCCTCTACATTGCTCTCCACATGTGCCTCCATATACTCGCTCTCTCCCTGTTCTGAGACGTCTCAAAACACTTCTTCATACACGTGCAAGTTCCACTGCTCCGCCTCTACATTCCTCTCCACGTGTGCCTCCATGTTCTCGCTCTCTCCCTGTGCGTCCTGCCTGCTGGTGTCGCTGCTGCTGGTGGCTGTGCTTTGAGCCTCGCACTGTTCCTCAAGATTTGCCTCAAATCGCGCCTATGACACACCTCTCACCTGGTGCTGCCTTGCTGTGCCTCCATCCCTTAGGTGTCACGGCTGCTAGTAGAAGGGAAGGCGGACGTGCTGGTGGATCCAGAGGTGAAGAAGGCCGGTGGACATGGGTCAAGTGGAGAAGATGCTGCAGGTGGCCCTGCTGTGCTTGAAGCTCTCCCTCAGCCAATGCCTCCTTGCACTCCGTACCGCCCTCTCCCTCTCCCTCTCTCCCTCTCCCTCTCCCTCTCCCTCTCCCTCTCCCTCTCCCTCTCCCTCTCCCTCTCCCTCTCCCTCTCCCTCTCCCTCCCCCTCCCCCTCTCTCCCTGTGTATGCCTCCATCCTGCCTCCATCCTACAGGTGTCGCGGCTGCTAGTAGAGGGGAAGGCAGATGTGCTTGTAGATCCAGAGGTGAAGAAGGCCGAGGGGGCAGTGGACATGGGGCAGGTGGAGAAGATTCTGCAGGTGGCGCTGCTGTGCCTCAAGAACGACCCAACTGAGCGCCCTACCATGGAGGATGTGGCTAAGATGGTGGCGGGCAGTGAACTCACGGAGAAGTGGCAGCAGTGGCAGGTACGTGGACATAGTAACGCGTGCTCAGGCAAGGACCACACAGCCACATACATGCACTCAGTGCCTTGAATGTGACATGTTTTCTTTGTGCTTAGCTGATGAGTCTCCTTTTTATGCGGATTTTTTTCTGCTGCTCTGAAGCTAAACTATGTTGCATCACATATTTGTTTTCCAGGCTGAAGCTGGAGCCATGCGAGCAGAGGACCTCATGGCTGTCGTCAAGAACCCTTCGCTCTGGGAGAACACGACAACTGGAATCTCGCTCGAAGCTTTCAATGTTACTGGGCCCCGCTGAGAGCTGCGTCTTTCCAAGTGGGTGCCAGGGGGTGCTATTTATAGTAATTTTTAGCATTAAGAGGGCATCTCTTATGTGTGCATTACTTGTTCCGCAAAGCAGTACGCGTTCAAAATATTTACTACATTAGTTGGATGAATATAGGTAATAATTTTACTTCTCGCTTTTGTTCTCCTATAGAAAGAACGGTTTCACTGTACGTTTATCGAATTCTTAAAACCAGACATCTCGTCTGGGATATTTGTGGTAGCTGACGTGGATTACGCCCCAGCCCACGGCCTTTATCGGCTCCCCGAACCCGGACATCCGAATCAGCAACGCATCCTCCCTCGAGCCGAGTCGCTAGCCACCTGGTGTGCAAACAATGTGTCGCACGCGCGGTGAGTGGCTGCATACGAAGTGTGTGAGTGTGACCAGCTGACGACGACTTCGATCTTTTTCATGAGTTTGGTGGGATTGCTCGCTCGCTCACCCAAGCAAGCCGTGCCCCTCAGTGTCCGCCAAACCACACCCAGTTTCCGAACCAAAGTGCTGTGGAAAAGCAGGTTCCGCGCACAGTTATTCGCCATCGGTCAGCCCGGATAACAGCAATGTCCGCCTCAATTGGTGCAATTGAAATTTCTTTATTTCTTTTCACTCGTGACTTGTCTCCCCTCATCAGTTGCCGTCGCCGCCACAACCCCTGCCAGTTAGGCGCAAGCCCCCAGCGCAGACATGCTCTCCGCTCGAGACACGCGCTCCAATGTGCTGTGTGTCATCCATGGAAGCAGCGCGGAGGCCCTCCTCCCGCCAGCTCACTCCCCCTTTTTCTCCCACCTGCCCGCAATCTTCCCCAAACCAAGGCTCCAGCCCAGGGTAAAAAGCTGCTGTGGTCACCAAGGCTGCAACGAAGCTGCGGTTTGGTGGGCTCGGCTTTTCCTCTTTGGCCTCGATTCTCCCTCCTGACGCAAGATACCGCCATGGCCGAGGTGTGCTGGCTGTTGTGCCCGTATAAACCTGATGGCTGCCGCTGCTGATTGATCAAGTGGTGCTTGCGCAGCAGCAAAGATTGCGTTCGGGTTGTTTAGCGCAGATCACGCATTGGGCGTAGCCAATAGCCCGCTGGCTGAGCCAACCTAGAAATATTAACGCGAGCATCGCAGCTCTCGTTCAGCTTTATCAGAGGCAGGTTTTGCTTCACGTTTAGTAACAGCTATGGAAGAAGCTACTGAATCGCGTGTCCCGCACCATGACAAGGGTTGCTGCTCTCACAGCAACATGTGGGATCGTGTCAAGAAGCGGTATAAGCTCTGTGATTTTAGTGCTCTTCCCGACTACCTCCAAGACAACGAGTACATTCATGGATATTACCGAGCTAACTGGCCTCTCAAACACACGCTATGGAGCATCTTTCATATTCATAACGAGACCGGAAATATCTGGACGTAAGTCATAGCCGACCGTCGCTAAGTTCTCGTTTCTCATCTGCTACGCTGGTGTAGAGATTCTAGTTTCGAGTGTATAATATTCGTTTTTCCATCCTCAACTTCGCAGTGCATAGTTTCAGGGAGACCTTGTGCTTACTATCTGTGGCTGATTGGTTGCAGGCATCTTATGGGATTTATCCTGTTCCTGAACCTGACCATCTACACGGCTCAGAAGTTCCCGAAGGTGGTTGAGATCCCACTGTCCCACCTCCATTTTCCTGAATCATGGGTCAACGCCACTGACAGCATTCATGCACATCTTCAGCACATGGAACTTCCGGATTTTCGTCCTATCAGAGACGCGCTCACCTCCATGGAGTTTCCGAATCTACATGCCATGTACAACTCCCTCCCACACGTCGAGCTCTCCGGGATTTCAGGGATTTCGGGAATTTCGACGTCCATCTACGAGGCCATGCCGCACGTTCTTAACATGCACGAGATGCAGAGCATGCTCTCAGCAGTCATGAAGTCCAAGCTACCAGACCTGGACACCACAAAGCTTCAGGCGATGCTTCCTCACGTGGAGCTCCCAAAGCTTCGGCAGGTTCAGGCTGCTCTTCTGTGGTACTACGGCTGTGTCCATCGCTACGCCAGCACGGCGTTGGAATCCACGCCGGCGTTCCCCACCAGCCCGTTGTGGAATGATCAAAGTGTCTTAGGCAACTGCGTAAGTATCTACTCACTCCCTATGAGCACTCTGTGGCCCGATGTCTCCTCCTTGCTAGCTTTTGTGCATTTCTGTCGTGACCAGTTGGTTCTGGGAAGACATTGTCTTTCGCGCCTAAGTTATCTATGCCCGCTCCCTTCAGTTTTCTTGCCATTTCCTCCGTTCTGCTTCCTTCATATCCCCTGCTCCAAACTTGTTTCTGAGTCATCTGTGCTGTTTCCCCTCCCATCTCCGCCTCAAGAACCGTTTCCCACTATCTCTCTGCCTCCCTCCCCGCCACCCCCACCCCGTTCCCCCCTTCCCTCCTCTTCCCTCCCCCATCCCCACACACACGCATCCACTTTCCCCTCCCGGAATCCCTTGACCCTTCCGCAGTCACTTTCAGACAGCCCTTCGTTTCTGCTAAGATCAGTCAAGACTGAGCGCACGATTGCCATGTGGCCCTTCTTTGTCTTCCTCACGGGCGCCATGATCTGCCTGCTCTCCAGCAGCACCTGCCACCTCCTGGGGTGCCATTCCAGGAAGGTCTCCCAAATTATCTGGCGGTTCGACTATGCTGGGATTGCCATTCTCATCTGCGCATCCTTCTACCCGCCAGTCTACTACGGCTTCCTCTGCCAACCATTCGCCCGGCTCACCTACCTCGTCCTCATCACCCTCGCTGGTTTGGGAACTGTAGCAGTGTCTCTTCTTCCTGCCTTTCAGAAACCTAAGTTCCGAGCCTTTCGTGCAGGGCTGTTCTTTGGACTGGGAGTTTCTGGTGTGGTTCCATTTTTCCATGGCATGCTGCTCTACCACCATGAGCCGTTTTTGGTGACAACTCTTCTGTACGAACTGTTAATGGGGGCGTTGTACGGCATCGGGGCTCTCTTTTATGCAACCAGGATTCCGGAGCGATGGCTGCCTGGGAAGTTTGACATAGCAGGACACAGCCATCAGATTTTCCATGTTCTTGTGATTGCTGGGGCGTACACACACTACCAGGCTGCCTTAAGATACCTGCAGTGGGTGGATGGCCGCACGTGCTGAAGCGTAATTCAAGCGGCTAAGAAGACACGGGGCTGATGATGGATTGGCCGATGGTGGTTGATCTTGCCTTCCAGCTTGACACTCTGGTGTAGAGCGCAAGGAATATTTCTGCGCAGTGATGGGGTGTTTTGGGGTTCATGGGGTTATGTAGTATGTACATGGATTCATGGGGTTTGTTAAATGTTGTAGCCTATAGTGAGGTTTGTCTTAGGGGGTACAAAACTTAGGGTTAGCTATATGTACCCCAACCAACATCAATGCATCATCCATTCCTCATTCTGACACGGTATCAGTTAGGTTAGGATCCTGTGGGATCCCGTTCCTCCGTTCTCCGTTCGTATCTCCCGAGCCTGATCCTACCTCTCGTTCGTACCGGTTCCGTTGTTACCGCGCCTAGTGCCGAGCCTAGCGCCCTTCCCCCCGTCGCCTAGCGCCCTTTCCCCCCCGTCACGTCGCGCCCTTTCCCCCCGTTGCGTCGCGCCCGTTCCCCCCCGTCGAGTCGCGCCCTTTCCCCCCGTCGCGTCGCGCTCTTTCCCCCCGTCGCGTCGCGCCCTTTCCCACCGTCGCGTCGCGCCCTTTCCCCCCGTCACGTCGCCCTGCCCCGTCCCGTCGCCCTGCCCCGTCCCGTCGCCCTGCCCCGTCCCGTCCCGTCGCCCCGTCCCGTCCCGTCGCCCCTGCCCCGTCCCGTCCCCGTCCCGTCCCGTCGCCCTGCCCCGTCCCGTCCCGTCCCGTCCCGTCCCGTCGCCCTGCCCCGTCCCGTCCCGTCGCCCCGTCCCGTCCCGTCGCCCCTGCCCCGTCCCGTCCCCGTCCCGTCCCGTCGCCCTGCCCCGTCCCGTCCCGTCCCGTCCCGTCCCGTCGCCCTGCCCCTGCCCCGTCCCGTCGCCCCGTCCCGTCGCCCTGCTCCGTCGCGTCGCCCTTCCCCGTCCCGTCGCCCTGCCCCGTCGCGTCGCCCTTCCCCGTCCCGTCGCCCTGCCCCGTCGCGTCGCCCTGCCCCGTCGCGTCGCCCTGCCCCGTCGCATCGTGCCCGCCCTTTCCCCCGTCCCGTCGACCCTACGCCCTGGCCCGTCGCTCTAGCCCGCTCTTCCGCTGCGACTAAGTCCCACCTGCACCCTAATTTGCCTCTTACCTCCTGCTGTTACTCGCCTGCTCGTTCGCGTTAGTTTTCGCTATGGCGACTCCGCGAGTTCTTCGTTTCGACGCTGACGGTAGACCTCTTGACTTTTCCGTCTGGCTTCTTCGTGCTCGCCGTCTGTTAGAGAGTCAAGTCCAGGGGGGCGAGACCCTCTGGTCGCACGCTACTGGTGACCTCCCCGAGCCCCCCGAGCCTGCCGCTTTAGGTCCTGCCCCTGACGATGCTGCTACGGCTCGCTTTGCCCGTCAGCGCGCTGACAGGACGGCTTGGACGTCACGTGACGCTGCGGCCTGCATCGCACTCAGCAGCCTCCTCCCTGAGTCAGAGGAGGTCCACTTCACTCAGGTTCGCACCGCTGCTGCGTACCTCACTGCGATTAAGGCCCGCTACTCTACTCCCGCTACTGTCTCTCTTGGCCGTCTTTTCCTCCCGTTCCTGTTTCCTGACCTCGCCTCGTTTGAGCGCTCTGCTGACTTGATCGCTCACCTCCGCTCGCTCGACGCTAGTTACCGCGCTGCTTGCACTGAGGCACAGCTTGCACTGCTTCCTCCCCCCATGGCGATTACTATCTATTTCATCGCCACTAGCCTCCCTGACCGCCTTGCCTCCGTACGTGACGCGCTCCTGCTGAAGCACCCTAGTGAGCTGACAGTTGAGGTCCTTGAGTCTGCGCTCAAGGACGTCGAGAGCAACCTTCGCTCGGTAGCTGCCGCCTCTGGTGCTGTGCCCCCCCCACTCTTCCACGGGTGCACAGTCCCGCAGTTACCCACCTTCACTGCCTCTCTTGCCACTGCCGCTACTGACGCGACTGCAGCTGCTGCTACGACTGCGTCGCGGTCCCGCGGCAAGGGGGGCAAGAAAGGTGGTTCTGGTGGAGGTGGAGGCGGAGGTAGCGGAGGTAGTGGGGGTGCTGTTGCGACTGGCGGTGGTGGGAGTGCAGCGTCTGGAGAGACCTCTCGTGCAGCGGCTGGTGACTCCACTGCGCCTGCTGGTGGTGGCGACGCCCGAGCTCGTCAGTCGTCTCCTGTACTGCCGGCCCCGCTAGGTGGAGCAGCGGCGTGGTACCAGGCTCAGCGTCAGCAGCGGCTTCAGCAGCACCAGCAGCCCCTCTCCTCCCAGCAGCCTCAGCAGCAGCAGCGTCAGCAGCTGGCTCCGGGGTCGGGGCTGCGTCAGCCCCAGCGTGGTGCTGCTTACCCTCCCTGCACCTATCAGGTTCTGACAGGTCCTCGTCGGGGCCACCCTTGTGGCCGCTTTCACCCCCCTGGTCAGTGCTTTGCTCAGCTCACTGACACGGTCCGGTTGGCCTACGGGGTTGGCGGTCCTGCCCTTGACTGGCTTCCTCTGGTTCAGCGCTACGGCTCCGCTCTGTGGGGCATGTCTGCTGAGCAGTTAGTTGATCTGATTGGTGCTCCTCATGCTATGTATGCTGTTGTTGACTCTAGTGTTTCTGACTCTGCTTACTCTGGTGTTGTTAGCTTAGGTGCTAGCCTTGCTCAGTTGCCTGTTGCTAGTGTAGGTTCTTGTGTAGACTCTAGTCCAGCGGCTACCTCAGAGGACGGTTCGCTGTCGTTCACGCTGGACTCTGGAGCCTCTCACTGCTTCTTTCGTGACAGCACGACACTTACGCCTCTTCCTGCGCCTGTTTCTGTGGCGCTGGCTGATCCCACTTCGGGACCAGTCACCGCGCGTCACACTACCACCTTGCCGTGTCCGGCTGCTCCTTCTGGGTCTCTCACTGGGTTTCACGTCCCCTCGTTCTCCCGGAACTTGGTGGGCGTGCGACCCCTTGTGAGTCAGCACGTGGGTGTGTGGTTTGAGCCTTCTGGAGAGACTGCGGTGTGTGTTGACGGGGACTCTTACCAGCCCCTCGCCACTTTTGCTGCTGAGCCGGGCTCCGGTCTCTACACTCTTCACACTGGCCCGCGCGCTCAGCAGCGACTGCAGCAGCAGCAGCAGCCGCAGCAGCAGCAGCAGCAGCAGCCACAGCAGCAGCAGCAGCAGCCGCAGCAGCAGCAGTAGCAGCAGCAGCAGCCGCAGCCACAGCGGCCGCCGTCACAGCAGCCCCTCCTCCCAGTTCCTGTCCCTCCCCCTAGTCTCCTCCCTGCGTCTCACCAGGTGGTTCCGTCCTCTCAGGTTGTCGCGTCCAGTCCAGTCGCTGCGTCTTGCTCCTGTCGGTCGCTTGCCCACCCCACCGTTCTGTGGCACCACCGGCTGGGACACCCTTCTCTTCCACGTCTGCGTGCTATGTCTAGTCAGCGTCTGGTCTTAGGTCTCCCGCGTGTCTTGCCGTCGCTGCCGCCGTCCCTTGCACCACCGTGCGGTCCTTGCGTCGAGGGTAGGCTGCGTGCCACCCCTCACTCCTCCTCCCTTCGTCCGGCCACCGAGCCTTTTGAGACACTGCACTTGGACGTCTGGGGCCCCTCTCCTCGCCCTGGCCCTGAGCGTGAGCGTTTCTTTTTGGTGGTCGTTGACGACTACTCCCGCTACACCACAGTGTTCCCCCTGGCGAGGAAGTCTGAGGTGACTTCTACGCTGATCAGGTGGTTGCTTACCACCCAGGACACTCGTGGTCGTCGTGTCAGCTGTCTCCACTCCGACCGCGGGGGCGAGTTTCGCTCCGGCATTCTCGCTGGATTCTGTCGCGAACAGGGCATTCGTCAGTCCTGGACGCTTCCGGAGTCCCCACAGCAGAATGGGGTTGCTGAGCGTCGCATAGGCCTGGTCATGGAGATTGCCCGCACCTCCTTGACTCACGCCCGTGCCCCCCATTTCCTGTGGCCATACGCAGTCAGGTACGCCGCGCACCAGCTGAACCTCTGGCCACGCGTCTCTCGGCCGGAGGCTTCACCGACCAGTCTTTGGACAGGGTCCCCTGGTGTCGCGTCGAGGTTTCGTGTCTGGGGGTGCTTGGCTCTTGTCCGCGACACCTCCGCGGACAAGCTCTCGCCTCGCGCCGTTTCTTGTGTCTTCCTTGGTTTCCCTGAGGACTCCTCTGACTTCACCTTTTACCACCCTCCCTCTCACCGGTTCTTTGACTCCCGTGACGTCCGTTTCGAGGAGTCCACCCCCTACTACGTCAGGTACCCCAGTCGAGGTCTCCCGGTTCCTCCTCCCCCCCTCTTCCTGACAGCCGCTCCCCCGCCTGCTCCCCCGGTACAGCCTCCCCCCCCTGGTCCAGCCCCGTCTGGTGTGTCTCAGGCTAGCCCTCCCCCTTCGGTAGCCCCCCCTGTACAGCCTCCCTCCCCACAGTCTTCCTCGCCGCCTCCTGCAGGTGCTCCCTCTCGGGAGGTTGGTCCTGCGACTGTCCCTGTACAGGTCTCTGGTTCTGGGGGTGCTGGAGTTGGAGCTGAGCCGCGGGTTGCAGAGGACTCTTGTCTTCCGGGGGCTGGTACTGGTCGTGCGGAGTCTGGGGGTGCTGGTGCGGAGTCTGGGGGTGCTGCGTCTGGGGGTGAGGGTGTTCCTTCGGTTTCTGGAGAGCCTGGGTCTGGAGCTGGTGTTGGTGCTGCCTCTGGGGGTGGTGTGCTTGGTGCTTCGGAGGTCGACTCTGGGGCTGCCGCTGCCCCGGACACTACTCCTTCCCCCCACCCCTACCCGACCAGGTTCCAGGCTCGTGTTCGCCGTGCTCGTGAGGAGCAGCTGGAGTTGGAGAGAGAGGAGAGAGAGTTGCAGCGGCTCGAGGAGCAGGAGCGACAGCAGCAGGGGCAGCAGCCGCTGGAGCAGCAGCAGCCGCAGCAGCCGCAGCAGCAGCAGCTGCCGTCTCCTCCTCCTGTCTCGGGTCTTCGGACCCTTGGTCTCCCCTCTCCCTCTCCTTCCTCCTCCCCCTCTCCTCCCGTCTCTGGTCCTTCGCTTCCTCCTCCTGACCCCTCTCCCGCTGTTTTCCCTCGTTCTCAGTCTTCGTTGTCCCCTCCTTCTTCTCAGACTTGGGCCTCTCGTCGCTCCCCTCGTGCTCGTCCCTCGTCTCCTGTTCCCTTCACTGACCTTCGTACTGCCTTACTTCGTTCTAGTCCACCTCGTCCGTCTCCGTCTGTGCTTCCGTCTCCTCCTGAGTCGGCTCTCACTGCGTCGCTCCCTACTCCTGTCACAGACTATTACCGTACGTACCGTCCTCTTCTCTCTCGTGTTCTCGCCTCGCTTGTTACTCACCCTCGTGCCTCTGTGTCCTCTGTGTCCGCTCTTACTGCCGCAGTCACTGACTTTGCCTCTACCCGCCGCCTTGACTTCGCCACCGCTCTTGTGGCTGCTCCTCCTTCCAGTCCTCTGGCCGTCGGGGGTGTGTCTGCCCTTGGCTGTGACGCCCTAGAGGACAGGCAGTTTGAGCTAGAGTTCCTGGCCGCCGCTTCCCCTCATCTCTGTGCCATGCTCCTCGCCCCTGAGGGTGACCCCGACGCCCTTGACATTCCGACTCCTCGCACTTACGCTGAGGCAGTGTCAGGGCCTTGGGCCTCTCAGTGGAGAGCTGCCATGGACGCAGAGATGGCCTCCTACAGATCCACAGGCACCTACGTCGATGAGGTTCCCCCTCCGGGGGCGAACGTAGTCGACGGCATGTGGATCTACAGGGTGAAGCGGCCACCGGGATCTCCTCCGGTCTTCAAGGCACGCTACGTGGCTAGAGGTTTCAGTCAGCGCGAGGGAGTTGACTTCTTTCAGACCTTCGCGCCCACCCCGAAGATGACCACTCTTCGGGTGTTACTACACGTAGCAGCACAGAGAGACTACGAGTTACACTCTCTTGACTTCTCTACTGCTTTCCTTCAGGGCAGTCTTCACGAGGAGGTCTGGTTGCGTCGTCCCTCTGCCTTCACTGGCTCTTTCCCTCCTGGGACCCAGTGGAGGCTGAGGCGACCGGTTTACGGTCTTCGTCAGGCTCCTCGTGAGTGGCACGACACCCTGCGTTCTACCCTGTCTGACCTTGGGTTCCAGCCGTCTTCTGCTGACCCGTCGCTGTTCGTTCGTCGTGGCCCCACACCTTTCTTTGTTCTGGTCTACGTTGACGACCTTGTTTTCGCCACCCCTGACAGGGTTGCTTTGGCACACGTGAAGTCCGAATTGCAGAAGAGACACACCTGCACTGATCTTGGTGAGCTGCGCCACTACCTTGGCCTGCAGATCACCAGGGACAGAGCTGCTCGCACCATTACACTTTCACAGTCGCACATGGTGCAGCAGGTCCTTCAGCGGTTCGGGCTTCAGCACTCCACAGTACAGCGCACACCTCTTGCTGTTGACCACAGACTCACTGGACCCTTTCCTGACGAGCCGTTCGAGCCTAGTGGTCCCTACGCAGAGCTTGTGGGTTGCCTCATGTACCTGATGACTTGTACTCGCCCGGACCTCGCCTTCCCTCTCAGCGTTCTTGCGCGCTTTGTTGCGCCAGGGAGACACCGTCCTGTTCACTGGACAGCAGCTGTGAGGGTGGCGAAGTACCTAGCGACGACGTCAGGCGTGGGGCTAGTTCTTGGAGGGCAGCAGTCTGTCGTACTTACTGGTCACTGTGACTCCTCTTACGCTGACGACGCTGAGACTCACAGGTCTACTCAGGGGTACTGTTTCAGCCTGGGTTCTGGAGCTGTTTCCTGGCGGTCCACGCGCTCCTCTTCGGTCTCGACCTCTACAGCTGAGGCTGAGATCTACGCTGGTGCCATGGCGGCACAGGAGCTGCGTTGGTTGACCTTCTTGCTCACCGACCTTGGTGAGCGGCCGAGCTCTGCACCGACCTTGTTCACTGACAACAAGGCGTCTATTCTCCTTTGTCGAGAGCCACGACTGGAGAGCAGAGTGAAGCACATTCACGTCAGGTACTTTCTTCTGCGAGAGTTGCAGAGGCGTGGACAGGCTCGCTTTGAGTTTGTGGAGTCCGAGGCCAACACTGCAGACATCTTCACCAAGGCGCTTCCGCCTTGTGACCACCAGAGGTGCTGTGTGCAGTTAGGCCTTGTTGACACTGGTTCTCGTGTTGCTTAGGCTTGAGTGTACTGTTTACTTTGCTTTCTATATACCTCTGTTACTTCTTGGACTGGCCTTGTGGCCACTGTTGTTTGTGCTCAGACTGTGTGGTGACGTTGTGATCCACCCTGAGCTTCGTTTCTTGGACTGGTCTTGTGACCGTACTCGTTTGGTTCTGCTAGACACCCCTCACTTAGGCTATGGGGGTGTGTCAAATGTTGTAGCCTATAGTGAGGTTTGTCTTAGGGGGTACAAAACTTAGGGTTAGCTATATGTACCCCAACCAACATCAATGCATCATCCATTCCTCATTCTGACAGTTATGTATACGGACATGGATGGATCATTCTCCCGCTTGTGGGTTGTCTTACCACATTTTGCAGGTCTGTGCTGCTTGTGGTATAGTGCTTCTGGGACCTCCCTTTATGCAAGGGGTGATGAGCTAAGGGATATACGGTAATATTATACAGGCAAGGAGTTCATTCATGTATCTGCTGTGTATATTTTCCATATTTTAAAAAAGCGAGCCTAGGTATGCATACTAGTCAACTGCCCTCTTGGAAGTTGCCCACACAATTACGGATGGCATGCCGCTTCCCCGAAACAAGAGTCCACTTCTGATGAACGCCCTTCAACCTCTCTTAATCTGAATATATCAGTTGAGAACGTGGACTTGGGTGTACCAATAAAGTATCGCGCTTTTGCACAAATGTGCTTCTCGGCGAGGGCCCTCAGGATGCCATTGTCCTCCTCGTCCAAGTCTTCGAAATCGCGCACCCAGTCTGACTCTTTGTACTCCAACGATCCCTTGGTAAATTCGGGAAGCCGCTCTACAACAAAGGGAGCCTTCGAGTCCAACTCTGCAAAAACATAGGCAGACAGGTGTCAGAGACATGCAACAACGATGGAACGGGGTCGATACTCGGAAAGAAAAACAACTTGCAACAAAGGAAGAGTCCGCAACAAATTGCACCAGCAATTCCCCGTAATCACTCACCCAGCAGCAGCTTCTCCAGGAATTGCACTTCAGTCAGGCTTGCATCAGTGGCAAGGTACAGAATACTAATGCCACGGCCGCTGAGCCTTGATATAATGTAGCGTGCAATGGACGCGATTGGCAGAAAAGCTGGGTCCCTGCTCTGCTCCTTCTCCTCATTCCTCAAATAAGCATGCGAAAAGTCCCCTCTCCTCATATGCACAGCCGCATAGTCATCTCCCAGGAAAGTATCAACAAACCCCGAAACGAACCTCCGAACCACTGGCGGCGGCTCCCAGAGGTCCAGGCACGAGGTTCGGAATGGAGGCTTGGTCGCATGCAGCATCTGCCCGGACCTGCCGTATAACTCAAAGCCGTAGATGTTCCCAAGGCTGAGCACGCGAGTGTTGGCGTAGGGAGCACAGGCAGAGAGGAAATCGGCGAGGCTCCCCGTGGGGAGGGACTCCAAAGTGTGCTCTAGCTTGCCAGGCAGTGTGACGTTGGGAAGCTGAGCGAAGGACTGCCAGTGGGGGAACGGGAGACAACACATACCAGAGACGGGGGATGTGGGTGAGTGGGAGAGAGTCCGTAGGTGCATCTGCTTTCAGAAATATAGTTTCTGAGGGATTAAAAGTGAGACAGTACTCACCAGTTGAATATTGTCCATGCAGGACCTCCCGTTGACACAAGCAATGTGGTCTACAGTCACATTCTGATTCGTCCTCGATACAAGCTCCTCCACTGTAAGCACGGTGTTGTTCCCGTACGCGTCCGCCAGACACGTATGGAGGTGCGGAATGTCGAATATCAGGCTCCACCGCCATCTGTACCACGTCTGGTGGTGATGCGCGAATCCCGGATCCGGAACCAAAAGCGTGCGGTTCAGAAGCGCCGCGAAGATTAAGTAGCTTCGCATGCAGACCTCCTGGTGGGACACGTGGCGTGAAAAATAGGAATGAGGGAAGGAAAATTAAAGGGTCGGGAATTCGAATTAGCGGGATTCCGAGTCAGCGGGAGAAGAGACCGATTCCTAACTGGAGGGCATTAGAGGAATGAGAAAGCACGAAATCGACCTCAAGATCGTAACGAGTGTGCGACCCTCATACGCATCCCTTTCCGTGACATAAGACAAGAATGACCTGACGTGGCTGGCGTGACGTGGAGAGTTCATGGAATGAGCCAGTGGCACGTGGCGAGCAGTACGACAAGGTGCGCTGCTGCGACGTAGAAACGACATCGTCGCTCCCACCACCATGACTCGCACCTGATTGGACAGACGGCCGTAGAAGCACAGAGCAAGCAAGTAACGATCCGCTTGGGGTTCCCAAGACTCGATCACGTCGTTTGGAACTCCCGAACTGTTTCGCGTGGCGAAACCTGTAACATCCATCGCAATCGTAGACCGCGAGCCCTTCTCTAGCGACTGAAGGAGCCTCATTCTTCGCGAGATGCTGACCGCAGTGCTCTTTTCCGCGGAAGGAGACGAACGGAGATTGACGCGCGACCGTGGAAGGAAAGACCCTTGACGAGGATTGGAGACTGCGACGTCGTTTGAAGAAATAATGCCATTAGAGATGCCTCGGAGTCGCGACGAAAGAAATGCCGCAAGCGACTGAGACGAAAAGCTGGCGAACAGGGCGAAGAGGAGAAGCGTGAGGCCTGGTCGAGAGAGCTTGTCTGAGAAGACGAGCGCCGGCGAGGAGATTCGCGACGTTCTAAAACGTAGAAGGGAACTCGTGCGACTCATTTTGTGCGGTACAAGGTTTGGAACTAAAGTCGCGAAGTCTCTCATCAATGTTGCGCCGGCGTGGCCGTAATCGTCACTCGCGTGTTTATTGGTAGTTCCGGCGAAAAATAATATAGTTTACGTCTCCTAATGCTTCCTATGAATGCATGCAAGAGGAATGGAGGAACAAAGATACCGTAACACCGACACGAGACTCGACGGGTACTAGGTGATGACGGGTGGGATTTGACTGCGTCGATTATTTATAGGGTGCGTCATGCGGTTCCGCCTGACGCCCGCTAGAGAATCACCCCAGCCACCGATTCTGAAAGCAGCCAAATTTGGCAACGCGGAGAGTGGAATCCCAAAGGCCCGTGCCTGCCTGCGAATTGGTTCAGGGATCAGCTGGCGCCTTGAAGTGTGGCGAGATGCTAATCCGACGGCTGTAATGCCTTCTCGCATTGAATCCTACGGTAACAGGTGAGTGTTCTTGTCTGTCAGGTGGCTGGTCTGGAGTGTGGCTGCAACTGGTGCGGCTCGGTTTCGTTTGTGGGAAACTGCATCTAGGTGTAGTTCTCGAATTATTTTGAACGGAGGTCTCAGTATGTCCGTAAATGACGCTTACAGGAAGCAAAAAAAAAGAGAGCAAGTTACACATAGGCACAATAAATACATACATAGTATCCTACAGTTCAGCTGATGTTATCACACCCACTGTACCAGGTCAACAATTACACAACAGATATGCAATTAGGAGCCACTGCAAGCAGCTCCCGTGTTCAAGAAAAAGGAGAAGCAGCCTTCTAGACCAGTCAGCTTCTCAGCATAACCTTGCAACCAGAACCCACCAAACACTGCCAGTGACACACAACTTGCAGCATATCCCAAGTAACCAATCACAACATCCCTCAAAACCCCCCACTTCCCCAGTCCACCCACACCCACCGACACAACCTCCCATCCTCCTAACGCGGCCCGGACAAGTTGAAAGCATCAAGCGAGATACCCGTGGTGGTGTTCTCCCAAATAGCGGGCGTGTTAACCACCGCCATAACATCTTCTCCTGACATTTTCGCTGCCTCCTCCTGCCACTTCTCCCACTTGTCCGCCAGGGCCTTTCCGGAAAGCATTTTTGCCACCTCATCCATGGTTGGGCGGTCCACCGCGTCGTGCTTCATGCAGAGAAGCGCCACCTGGAGCATCTTTGCCACGTCAGCCTCGTCGTAGCCCAATCGGGTGAGGTCGTTGTCCACGAATTCGGGGATCTTGCCATCACGCAGCATGTTGGCCACCTGGAGGGGGTAGAAACGGGACGGAGGAATAGGAACTATTATGTATGAGCCAAGCGGACAGAACAGAGGTTGAGCGTGGGTGGAGGCATCACGAAAAGGGTAAAGTGAAAGTCAAGGCACAAGCCTAACAAATCATTTCATCCCAAGCACTAGTACCGAGATGACTTGCTCGCAAGGAAGGTGCCGTTCAAGTAACTCACCCAGTCCCTGAGCAGCAGCTCTTCTGCTTCGGGCGGCAGAGTGAGTTCAAACACGTCCTTGCCCGATACGAGCTCCAGCAAGAAGACCCCAAAGGCATACACGTCCGTCTTCTCAGAGCACTGCCCGCTCACGAAGTACTCTGGCGCAATATGCCCGATGGTTCCCTTCACAGCAGTGGATGCATGGCTCTCATGCACGTCCATCTCCTTCGCCAGCCCGAAATCGGCGATCACTGCCTCGTCGTTCTCGTCGAGGAGCACGTTGGCGGCCTTGATGTCGCGATGAATGAGCTTGGGGTTGCAGTCGGTGTGCATGTACGCGATGCCTTCTGCGGCGCCGCGGGCTACCTTCATGCGCGTGTGCCAGTCCATGGGGTTGCCCTCCTTGCCTGGTTGTGACGGTTGGGTGGGTTTGGGTGTGAATGGGTGCGGACAAGCAGGGGAAGGGTGTGAATGAGCTTCGGGTTGCAGTCGGTGCGCATGTATGCGATCGCCTCCACTGTGTTAAAGCAGCATGGGCATGCACTCGCCCTTCACCACACAGCCCCCCGAGTGCGTCCACCACCCACCCATCTCCACCGCACCAGACCCAACCAACCAGCAGCCAACCGAACCGTATCTCACCTTGGGTGCGGGAGGCCACGGAGCCACTGGCGTAGAAGGGCAGCACGAGCATCCATTCGCCCTTCACACAGAAGCCGTCCAAGCGCATTGACCAGCCCCCCCCAACCCAGCTTCACCGCACTAGACCCAGCTAAACCGTATCTCACCTTGAGTGCGGGAGGCCACGGAGCCATTGGCGTAGAAGGGCAGCACGAGCATGCATTCGCCCTTCTCCACACAGAAGCCCTCCGAGTGCATCACGTTACGATGCACGGCTCGGCTGATCAGCTCCACTTCGGATAGGAACATGAGCTCTCCACCCGACTTTTTCTCCTCCTGTTGGGGAAAACAAGGGTGACCGGGCGTGAGGTGGTGGGACAAGGGAGGAACAAAGAGGTGATGAGCAATAGAAGCCCTCCGAATGCATGATGCACGGCCCGGCTGATCAGCTCCACCTACGACAGGAACATGAGCTCGCACAGATCCGCCACTTCATCACCGCACATCACCGCTGCTCACCTTTCCCCACTCTCCCCCACCTTGATTCTCTTCACGGCCACGAATTTGCCGTCCTCCAGCTTGCCCTTGTACACCTTGCTGAACCCGCCCTACCCTAGTCCGTCAACCCACAGATCCGCCACTTGTCACCCCACATCACCCCCCATAACCGCTCCCCACCTTCCTCCACTCTTTCGCACCTTGATTCTCTTCACGGCAACGAACTTGCCGTCCTCCAGCTTGCCCTTGTACACCTTGCTGAACCCACCCTCGCCCAGCATGTTGTCGTCGTCAAACCCGTTGGTGGCCTTGGACAGCTCGTCCACTGAGAACCGCCTCAGCGTGCCAAAGTGGCGGGTGGAGATTTGGGCTGGGGCGGTGGCAAGGGGCGGAAAGGGAAGACAAGGGAGTTGGAACAGCAGTTGAGATAAGGGTGCAAGGGTCGGCATGAGACCCGTTGGTGGCCTTGGACAGCTCGTCCACTGAGAACCGCTTCAGCGTTCCAAAGTGACGGGTCGAGATTTGGGCTGCATGGGTGGGGAGGTGGGGAGAACAGGTTTGGAGGTGGGAAACATGGGGGTTAGGTGCCTTGACCCGTTGGTGGCCTTGGACAGCTCGTCCACTGAGAATCGCCTCAATGTGCCGAAGTGACGCGTGGAGATTTGAGCTGTGAAGGGAAGGGAGGGAAGGAAAGTGGGGTATTGAGGCTAAGCAGGCAGATCAACAGGCAAGAGATCTGTTGGCGGCCTTCGACAGCTCGTCCACTGAGAACCGCCTCAGCGTGCCGAAGTGACGGGTCGAGATTTGGGTTGTAGGAGTGGGGAGGTGGGGGAAACGGGAGGGAAGGGAGGGAAGGAGGGAGGGAAGGGGGGAATTGAAGCAAAGCAAGGGGAGCGAGGGTTGGCAGCACAGCCGTTGGTGGCCTTGGACAGCTCGTCCACTGAGAACCGCCTCAGTGTGCCGAAGTGACGGGTCAAGATTTGGGCTGCAGACGGGGAAAGGGGAGGAGGGGACGAACGAAAAAGGAAGGCAAGGGAGTTGAGACCCGTTGGAGGCCTTGGACAGCTCGTCCACTGAGAACCGCCTCAAAGTGCCGAAATGACGGGTGGAAATTTGGGCTGTAGGAGGCGGAGAGATGGGGAAAACGGGTGGGGAAGAGGGGGAAATGGGAGTTGGGTACCTCGAACCCGTTGGAAGTTTTTGAGAGCTCGTGCACTGGGAACCGCCTCAGTGGTGGCGCTGCTGGTAGCCTCAGCCTAACAGTTGGTAGCGCGACGAGCAGCACAGTAGGCAGTTACCAGCCATGTGCCACTCGTTCCCTGTGATTTTGCACCCCCAATACAGACAGTTACAAGCCCGACTCGCTCTCAATGTCCTGCGCAAGCCTCTCCGCCTCCTCGCGCTTGCGCTTCTCCTCCTGCTTGAAGGAGATGTAGAAGCATAGCGGCCAGCACGAAGCACAGCGCCACCAGCAGAGCGACCAGTACAGCTACCAGCAGAACCTTATGCTATCCCAGTGCCCCCGACTCACTCTCAATGTCCTGCGCGAGCCTCTCCGCCTCCTCGCGCTTGCGCTTCTCCTCCTGCTTGAAGCGGATGTAGAAGAAGAGCGCCACGCCCAGCGCGAAGAGCGCGAGTGAGCCAAAGACGATTCCGATGACCGCGCCCACTCCCAGCCCCGTGGCCGCCGGCGGTGGTGCGGTTGCGACCGCCGTGTAGTTGTTGGGACAGCTCTTGTACGTCACTGGGGGCGGGGAGAAATGGGGAGGAGAGGGGGGAAGAGATGGGCGGGAGGACGCGCTGTTAAAATCTATGCAAGAGGGCGTCGGCGCGGCGACCGCCGTGTAGTTGTTGGGACAGCTCTTGTACGTCACTGGCGAAGAGGAGAGGGGAGGAGGGGGAGGGAGGGGAGGGAGGGGAGGGGAGGGGAGGGGAGGGGAGGGGAGGGGAGGGGAGGGGAGGGGAGGGGAGGGGAGGGGAGGGGAGGGGAGGGGAGGGGAGGGGAGGGGAGGAGGGGCGAGGGGAGGGGAGGGGAGGGGAGGGGAGGGGAGGGGAGGAGGGGCGAGGGGAGGGGAGGGGAGGGGAGGGGAGGGGAGGGGAGGGGAGGGGAGGGGAGGGGAGGGGAGGGGAGGGGAGGGGAGGGGAGGGGAGGGGAGGAGGGGCGAAGGGAGGGGAGGGGAGGGGAGGGGAGGGGAGGGGAGGGGCAGTGGGAGGGGCGGAGGAGGGGAGGGGGAAGGGAGGGGAGGGAAGGAGATAGATGGTTCTTTGAGTTAATGGATGATGAAGCCTGACGAACCAATGGTCATGATCTAAAGAGAACGAGTAGCGAGAACGACGAACGAGAGGGGGAGGTGAAAACAAAATAGTGGGGAGGAGAGGAGGGGGCGGAGGGAGTATCACACGCATGTGCATGTGCATGGACATGAGAGAGTCCTGTATGTACACATCGCGCCTTACCATCCAAGCATCCGGTGGTGTTCAGATGTGGGTTGCCCGCGAAGCTGCACGAGGGAGGGAGAAGCAGGAGGGAAGGGGAAGGGGGGGGGATGCACAAAAAGGGGGAGACGGGGAGGGGAGGAATGGGGAGGGAGGAGGGGGAACGGTGAGAAGAACAGCGGGTGGGCGTGGGGAGGTGGTGGTGGGGGGGAAAAGGGTGAGAAGCACAGCGGGCAGGGGGTTATGTGGAAGGGCGATCATGAGAGAGCGAAGGGTACCAGGCACGTGACAAAAGGGAACAGGCACGTGGCAAAAAGGGAACCAGGCACGTGGCAAAAGGGAACCAGGCACGTGGCGACGCGAACCGGACAGGTAGCAAAGAAGAGTGAAACTCATGCGGAACGCGGAAAGTTTGAGAGGGTGGGGACGTGGCGGGGAGAGGGGAGGGTGGAGAGGGGGAAGAGGGGAGGGGCAACGAAGAGGGCATGGAGAGATAGACATTGAGTGAAGGGAAAGCACGGATTGGAGGGTGGGAGGGGAGAAACTGCGTGCATGGCACGGTGCAGTGCAATGCGGTGCGGTGCAAAACACTTACTCGGGGCAGGGGAAGCGCTTGAAGCACCAGGGAAGCGAGCCGGTGAAGTTGTTGTCCGCGAGATGGCTGCGAGGGAGGAGGCACGAGGGGGGACGGGAGGACAGTGAGGATGAAGGAGAGCTTCTGTGTCATCATGGATGTAAATTCGGATTGAACCCCAACGCGTTTGACGCACCAGAAGGAGGGGCGAAAGGAGAGGGGTAAGGAAAGGGTGGGGAGATGGCGGGGGAGGAGAACAGAGAGATTTTCGCGCTTACAGGCACTCGAGCTTGTCGAGATAGCAGAGCATGTCGTCGAGCGTGCCGTTGAGCTGATTGCCCTCCAGGTTCAGCGACCTTAGGCTCGGCGCCAGCCCCAGCTGCGGCGGCTGCATATACAAACGACGAAGGGGGAAAGGAGACACGGGAAAAAGGCACGGGCGGGAGGAGGAGAGACAGAGACATGGACGAGTGACGAGGTTTGTTAGACTCGAAGACGCGTGCCGACCAGCTTATTGCATTACGGGTAGGTTGAGCGACTGGAGGATCGCTGCCCTCCCCAGCTGCGGCGGCTGCCTGTAACAAACCAAATGAGAAGGCGCAAACAAGAGACGCCGTACAAGTGGAGCTGTCCGTAACAGCGAGTGGAGCTGTCCGTAACGGACAAGTTATGAGGGTCAGTTGGGGGTTGCGGGGGCGGCGCTGCTCACCAGAGGGCCTTCAAGAAGGTTGTAGGAGACGTCGCTGAGAGCGAGCAGCAATCCAGACGGGGTTGAACGAGCGCCGGCAGCAATCCAGACGGGGTTGAACGAGAGCCGGCAGCAATCCACGCGCATTGGAAAGAGAGTCAGGTGGCGAATCCGACAGGTTCGAACGAGGAGGCATCCAACGCAGAAAATCAAACGCGGCAAGGGAAAAGGAGGCACAGGGGAAACGAAAGGGTATGCGAACATTGGCGAGACGGCACCTAGGAGCGAAACATTCCGAATCTCGCAACCATGGAAGGGGGAGGCAAAGCGGAAACTGCAGCAACGGATTGAGATTTTCTGCGGCCAAGGGTTGGAAAGCGAAGGACTGGAAAGCATAGCGAGCGATGCACTTACAGGCGCTCGAGAAAGAGCACGCCCGAGATGTTCCAGTCCAAGCCACCCTGCAGCTTGGGCACGCCCGCTGGGAACGACGGGTAGCTCAGGTCCCTGCGGAAAGGAGGGGCAGGTAGGGTAGGGAGTGTGGAGGTAGGGAGGGGTAGGAATGGGTAGAAAGGGGTAGGGAGGGGTAGGCGGGATGGGGAAAGGAAGGAAGGGTAGGAAGGGGAAGGGGAGAGAAGAGAAGAGAGAAAGAGAGGGATGGGTTTCCGTGCGAGAGAGAGGGAGAGGTGGAGGGGCAGTGATACTGCCGACGTGAGGTGGAGAGCGACAGGCGATGGCAGGCAAAAGTGTAGGGGGAAGTGAGAAAGGCGCTGAGGACAGGGAGCGGCCGCGAGCGGACTCCGGGATGTCGGACGCAAGAGGCGTGGAAACGGGAGGGAGATGACAGGACGCGCGGTCAGAGGCGTGTACGCGGGAAGACGAGGCGACGAGACGTCGAGAGGACGAGGCGATGAGACGTTGAGAGGCCACAAGGCGAAGAGTTCACGAGACGACGAGACAACGAGACGGTCGACGAGGCAAAGAGATGGCGAAACGACGTCGAGACGGAGAGACGAGGAGATAACGAGGCGGCGAGTAACGAGACAGAGAGACGAAGAGTCGACAAGACAAAGACCCCATGAGACGAGGAGACGACAAGTCAATGAGAAAACAACGAGGCACGTACACGGAGACGACGTAGCCCTGGTCATTGCAGGAGACGCCCGCGTACGGCAGGTCCGAGGTGTTGCCGGGACACGGCCGACCGACGGCGACGTTCCAGAAGGCCGCGGGGAAGTTGGTGAACGAGCTTTCCTGCCATCCCAACAGGAAGGGGTCTGGCGGATGGAGGGAGACGAGAGGGGGAAACGAGGGGGAGAGGCAGGGGGGAACGGACGAGGGAAGAGGGAAAAGACACAGGGAAGAGTGGGATAGGAATTTTGTGAGTTGGCTAAAAAGCATTTTCTGGCATAACAGCAGAAGGTGCCCTGGTGGATGCGATGCGAGGGGTGAGCGGAGGTAGTGACGAAGGGGAGGGTGGCGGAATAGTGGTGAGATTGATTGAGGTGGGGAGGAGGGAAGGTGGGCCGTAGGAGGAAATGACAACGATAGAAGGGCGAGAAGACCGTTGCGACGGACTCGTGCAGTAAGCGCGACTCAGGGAGAGAGAGTGAAGAAAAGGACGAGGACCGAGTGCTATGGGCAGCTGGCTGCACTTCCACCCGCTTCCGCGATGCGAAACGGAGACGAGATGTAAAACGGACAGCTTCACGGGAGCGCCAACCATCTTCATCCACTGTCAGCTACTCACTTCGGAATCTACCACTCGAGTTGTTTTTTCTAGTAAAAAAATATGTAAGACGAACAACTTTACGAGAGTGCCAACCATCTTCAACCACTGATAGCTACTCGCGTCAGTATCTACCACTCGGGACAGAAGCTAACAGCTTCGCACTCCCCGAAGACGACGCTGCTGGTATCCTTCTTACACGAGAAGAGTCGTATGTTTCCTACATGCACATGCAAAAATCTGCGGTTGCCTCAGAATTAATTACAATGGAGAGAGTCGTATGTTTCTTAATCCAATGGTGGTTGCCTCAGAATCAATTACAATGGAGAGAGTCGTATGTTTCTTAATCCAACGGTGGTTGCCTCAGAATCAATTACACTGCAGAAGGTACTCTTCGTAGAGCGTGTGTACTTCGACATGGTGAGTGAGGAAACAGCTACACAAACCGTGGCCTCACATCCAGAATCGCGCAAAACAGCGTTTACACAAAATGAAAAGCGGAAATATATCAGACATAAAAACTTACTGTCTCCTGCGTAGGCCGCTAGCATGTAGTCCATTCCTTGCACGCTCGAGCTTTGACCCTCCACTCGAAGAAGCGCCAATGATACCACCAATGCACACACCAGCCACCGACACATACGACTGTCTTGAGTGACCATCCTGGCTTGCTGGTGCGGTTATAGGTCTAGACTTTGATGACACCAAGAAGTGGTGCTCTGAATGTCTGTCTGGAAATTACGCAGCTAAACTATGGTGAACGAAGCACTGATCTACAACACACCAGCTCTTCACTGTATTGTGCTTAGCGGAGCTACGCTTTATACACGGAAAATGGCGAATGCGTAAGCTTCTGCTCCACAAACCGTATTGTCACCGCCTCCTAACGTAGCTAATCTTACGGAACTGCGGTTTGGATCCTGAGTGGCTTCTCCCAAAATGTGGTTCCGTCTTTCCCCTAAATTGCACCACATGAACACAGTTCCGTGTTCCCAATTCAACTCTCTGCTTCACCTGGCTTGAAGATGGCTCTTTTGGCAGTTCAGTTTTGACTGAAGTGGAGCGGAGAACGCAGGAGAGACCCCAAGCTCGAGTGTTCGAGATGGAACTAGAGGAGGGCGACACAGGAAGTAGGACGACGAGGGTTTCGTTTGTTGTGCACAGTAACTTCGAGGTTGAGGTCCGGAGTCTCGTGATTTGGTTTCCGTGGCTTGTCGTGTCAGGTTCGGCACTGTGAACCTGTGATGATAGGTATGGAGAAGGGCAGGTACTGTACGTGAGTGAGTCTTTTCTTTTCACAGCAGAAAATGCTGTATCTGCCGACCTCACCGCAGCTACGGTATTTTCATGCCATGTGACACAGCAGAAAGCACCTGACCGGGCCCTGAAAGTTACACGGGAGCCAGCAACATTCTGCTGCAGTTGGTCGCGAATGAGGCGAGGAGTGAGGGTGAGTATCAGATGAGTCGCCAGTTTTCGCACATGACGGTGAGGTGAGGAGCAAATAGGTGAGGAGCAACCGCCAATTGCGCGTAGGGAGCGATTTGTCCTCTGATGAGGCTGGCTGACAGGCTAGTGTGGGGTCAGGTTGAAGCTGGTGAACCTGATGGTTCTTGCTTGAGGTTTCGCTTCGAACAGACAGTTCTCGGGCAGAGAACAAAAGCAGGCTGAACCAGCATTCAGAAAACCCTGATCAAGCAGGCTGAAAAAATGCTGATGGTGGTGTCGTATGTCGTTTTTGTTATCGCCGTTTCTGAAATCTTCCGCCGACAGTCCTGTTGGCAAATGGAAGCACCAAAAAAACTGCCAGAAACCGCTTCAACAACATGCTCATACAATGCCTGTATGTCTACACCAAGTTGCAATTATTTCCTCTCTAGAAATGTGCAAACATCATACAGTATTCACAACTTCACATTTGCATTAAATCAGAGATATTCGAACTACAGCATATGCACATGATGAATGACTTATATTGCAAACAAGCTTCTAGCATTAACAGAACTTTGAATGTGGCAAGCAATCTAGTTCGCGGACAAACCAATTACACCTGCAGAGGGTGATGGGTGAAAGACAAAACAGCAATTAGAGGACAGTACACCAACGAACTTGCTGCCACAAAGTTAACTCTGCATATATGGCACGGTCAGCAGCCGGCATAGCAAGCAACTCACCACATGCCACCCTGCCGCCAGCATTGCCCGTGGCCTTGCTCAGCTCAACACCACCTGCACAAAAACACACCAGCACACATAACACAAAGACACGGGACATTGATCCCAATGAAACTAGTAGCATACATGTTAAGTTCACACAAGACACTCATGGACGAGCGAGCCTGGATAAGTGTAGTGTATGTAGAAAACTGAACAAAAAAATCCCAGCCCCAGGGATATTTTTCTCCCTCCCTTCCTCCTCACCCTTGCCCAGGTCGTCTGCATCAGCGTGTACGACAACAGCACGGCCAAGCACAGAGTTTGGGCCCGAGAGAGGGATCTGGAGGTCAGTCAGAGACACAGTCGCCACGCCTGAACCAGAGTTACAGTTGGGCATGGGGGAGAACAAGGGAAGACGTGTTATCAGACACCTTGCACAGAACATGGTTACAAGCTAAAATGGAGAGGAATGGATATGGGAGAAAACAAGGGCGTTATGCCGATAGACACTACCCTCTGGATTAGTGGATCTGATTGCCATGCACCAACTCACCCGACTCATTCGCCACCAGGTTTCCGAGGTCGCCTGCGTGCCGCTCTGCATCCCCTGGTGCTCCATGAGTCTTGCCCGCCGGATTGAAGTGAGGGCCTGCCATGATTTCAGGGATGAATTCGAAGCAGGGAGAAGAATCCCTTATTTGTGACAAAAAAAGCCAGATTGTGAGATTCTCGCAATGATAACCCCACCAGAGCAGTTATACACACAGGGCACGCACACAGGCATTGAAGAATTTCACCACCTGCCTCAATCATGTCCATGTAAAAATAGAAGAAGTCCACACCTGGGCATGCAGTCGCTGGACAAGTCCACATTGTGCACGTTGAAGCCAGGAAGGATTTCAGTCAGCCTGTTGCATGCGGACTCCTTATAGCACAACTCGATAGCGAGCGCAACAGTCCCTCACCAGTGGACATGCAGCCGTTGGAGAGCTCCCCCAGCTTGTGCACGTGGAAGCCGTGCAGGCTTTCAGCCATCCTGTCTCATGGCTCTATAACGAGTACAATCATAGCGCTATAGCAAATGCAACAGGCCCTCACCAGTGGACATGCAGCCGTTGGAGAGGTCCCCCAGCTTGTGCACGTGGAAGCCGTGCAGGCCAGGGGTCAGCCCGGCCACGGAGGCGCTCACTTCCGTGGGGCCTGGGGGAATTGAGATGGAGGAGATGGGGGAGATCGGAAGGGAAGGGACGAGGATGGGACAGCAGGAAGCAGAGGAATTGAAAAAGATTGTGCTTTCAGAGTTGGTGTCAGCCCTGACGCAGATGCAAGAAGGGGAAGTAGCTCAAGAGTACAGCCATTGTCGATTGTTCATTGCCATCCATAGCCCATCCCATCTGCCGCTGGATCCAAGTCGCCTCAGCTGCGTAAGAGTTGATTGGGATGGAAATAGCGTCTGCCTGATCCTTGGTCAATCCCTCCAAGCACATTGCTATTTCATTGCAGGTTGCATCCAATCTGTAACCAAGAAATGTGAAAAATCAAAACAATGACGCATGCCCAACGCTAATTCACCTGATCCTTCCTGCGAGAATGTGACAATCCCGGAAACCCCGGAGCTTCCCTTCAGAACGGCGACGGCGTTGATTCCCGCTGCTGACGCGGCCGCTGGGGAGAGAGGCATGGCGAGGAGAGCGGCAAGCACGGCTGAACACGCAGGGACCGCCATCTTGGCAACGGGAGATTCCTCATTCAGGCTATTGCGAACGCGGATCACGGATTTGCTCGCGCATACTGATTGGCTCTCGAGTGAGGGTCGTGAAGCCGAGGAAAGACCAGTCGCGGGAGCAAGGGACGGAGCGACGCGAAGGGAAGCGGAAATCAGGCCGCAGGAAGCCATTGCGTTGGGTGGCGAAGCGGGCAAACTTGTTCCTAACAGGCGGAGAAACAGCAATGGCTGACCCGCAATTGACGCTGTGGAATTCTGCTGGTTGTGGTAGCTTTGAATGTGATGGGGATGGGAAAATGCAGGGGATCAGCTCTGGAGGGGAAACCTCTGGAACCGAGCACAGTACTGCACCGTACGGTAATGCTCTAAAAACCGGGTGTATTGCACTGTAGCGAGCGACGTTTCAGGTGCGAGGTGTGGGGCAGGTGTCTCAGTTGTGATTCGCTCACGAGCTGGCTTGCAGCAGAGATTCCTGAATTTGGTCTGATTTCTGACGCTTCCACGTCTGGAACACGTCAGCAGTGCGTATGTGGCCTTCAACAAAACTGCTATTCAAATCTGGATATTGGAGGCAAGTGTTCACTACTCGTTGCACCGTTACAAATACAGTTCACTAATTCCAAACCATCACGCAGATGTTTCTCTGGGTTACGGTAAGCTGGTCTAAGCGATCATTCAAGCTGCTGCTTGGAAGCCAATGACACCTGCCAGAGACAAAAGAACTCATGAGCCCGGTAAATACATACTCATATAGGATAGACGCGGATTCAAATGGAAACCACATGATCTTGGATGTGATAATGGTAAGCTTACCGCACGCAAGCCTGCCTCCCGCATTCCCAGTGGTTTTGCTGAGCTCGTGGCCACCTGGATGGGGCAAGAGAAGCATGACGATGTTCATAAATTGAAAATTGTGAGGTTTATTGGCCGACTACATCCTCTCAAAAATACCACAAGCAGAACTTACAATCCCCTGTTCACTCATCACCCTCGCTACATGCTCTCACCCTTGCCGAGGTCGTCGACGTCAGCATGCACGACAACAGCACGGCCAATGATGGAGTTAGGGCCAGACAGAGGGATCTGAAGGTTGGAGTGGAGGAGGGGGGGGAATGAGTGCATGAGAGTACGTGGCAACAATTGTACTGAAGCTTGCACAAAAATCACAATTTGCGGAAGGGGGAACTGAAAACCAAATGCATACCTGAGAATCTGTTATGGTGAACTCCGCAACCCCTGCAAAAACGATCACGGCACCAATTCCCAAGATAAGTCTTGGAAGTTAGAAGCTTGCAAAATTCTCACTGCACCTGGCAGGAACATGCACCAACACAAGGTCATGCAGAAGAACGAGGGGAAACGCGAAACTATTCAGTCACGGTCTCCATTCCAACAAGGCACCCCTTACCAGACTCATCAGCAACGACATTCCCAAGGTCTCCCGCGTGCCTCTCCTCGTCTTCCGGAGCTCCGTGAGTTTTGTTCGCTGGATTGAAGTGCGGGCCTGACGTAGACCAGCCAGTGGCGAAAAACGACAACGGACGCAAGTTGGGATGATTGCAGATACATTTCAAGGTCGAGATGATGTCAGCGCATCTCGCTCTAACATGGATTCGGGGAAGGTCAACGATGATGGACGTGAAGCCAAGGCGAAGACTACAAGAGGCGGATATAGGACACGGGCAGACGTTCCGTCGCGGACAAACGTAACAGATCACGAAAACAGAAGACGGCAAGACATGCAGGGGTGCCTCAATTTCGAGAACGAACTTACGAATGACACGCAATAAACCATAGGATTTCATTTCTAGGCGCAAGGATTTGAGTGCGACCTGTGGACATGCAGCCGTTCGTGGTGTCACCCAGGGCGTGCACGTGAAATCCGTGGAGCCCGGGCTTGAGGCCAGTGATCTTGCCGTTCACCACAGTCGAGCCTGATAGCATGGCGTTACAACAAGAAACGATCCTACTTGTCAAAAACAGGCCATCATGATGTCTTTACTTAGTCACAGTCACATAGAGCTTGACTTCTACCGTAAACGCGAAAATTAAGGACGACATGGAGACTCACCAGATTCGAGCTGCTCAAAGGTGACAGTGCCATTGACACCCTCGGAGCCGGTAAGAACCACTACAGCCTTGATCGTCATGTTGGCTGGGGAACACGAGCAGTTCTGAGCTAAAACTGCTGATGGAGTCAAGAAAAGCACACAACACACACCCAAAATAACTGATATGAATTTCCGCATCTGTTTGCTGACAGCTGCTTGTGATGGAAGGTTCCAGCTGCTATGCACAGCAAAGGAGAACACCAAAATCCGTCGCACATGCGCGGTTGCCCGTCAGACGAATTTGTAGTTTGCGAGCAGCTATTGGTGGCGACCATCTAAACTGGTTAAACAGGCGGCCGTCAGCTTTTGTCCTCTACGCCCGTCAGCACTAACTGGAATCCTCTGCATGTCAATGTTGCATGCCGGTGACGCTCGCAGAGGAATCCGCGGTTCGCCACAGCAGCCTTGGTGACAACGACTTGAGAGTGATCGACGGACAATTCGACGTATCCAGCCACACTAGAAGGTCAATCGACGACTCCTGTGCAATAGGCCAATCAGATTGCGATACAGTCATTCGCGCTACAGCATACATGTTCGGAGTACAATGTATCACTTTACCGTTGGAGAAAATGACAAACCTGGGATATATGTACGGTAGTTTACCACATGCCTGACATGCTTGGATCAATGACATGCAGCAACGCTACGATGTGCTTGCTACCTTGTAATTTTGCATGAAATGCCACTATGTAAGTCTGGTCTTGTAATTCAATGCCACATAGTTGTTATTTTCCAAGTGTACAGTGGTTGTTAGAGATGCATGTACCCACATGCCTGAAAGTACATCTTTCTCGGCAGGACACGCTGAAGTGCTAAGGGAGGGAATTCGCTTTTGGATTGTAGTGACACAGCATGTAACATGGAACCCAACTTAACTTTCAGTCAGCAGTTTAGTGCTGGAGGTCAGAAAAGACTGCACTTATGTGCCCTAAGCTTTTACCAAGCCCGTATGCACATGCGATGGGGCTCTGGTTATCAGACCAAATCGGTCTGATGGTCGGAAAATCAGACTTGATTTCTTTGTTTCATCTTATCTTCCAGACCAGAGATTTTTTGTCATCTGAACCACAAGATGAATGATTTTATTTCGTCTGAAAAAAACGACTAAGTGTTATATTCCGTCTGAAAATTCAGACAGGGCGTACAATTTCATCTGATACCGAGAAAGTACCGTTCTGGCCTGCCCCCTCCCCCTCCCATCCCCCCCCTCCCCTCAGTCCCCCCTGTCAGAATGTGATGGTTGTCTAGCCTGCAGTGGGGTACTCTATAGCGAGTACAGCCCTTCTAGGGTTTGCATATATGTATCCCTATGCTTGTTAGTCAAAACCCTTCTTGCCTGTTTCTCGTTTTGGCCTAGCATTTTGACATGCTATCAGAGCGGGTCGACCCTCCTGGGTCGATCCTGTGGGTGGTCCCACCAGAAGCTTCCGCTGTTGTTTCCTGCTGTTTCCTGCCTGCCGCGCGCTCCGGGCGCGCAGCGATTTTTTCTTCCCGCCGCGCGCCCCGGGCGCGCGGCGGTTTTCTGCCCCGTCACTCGGCGCGTCGCCCCCGGGAGGCGCTGCGACGGGCGACGGGGACCCGCGCGTCGCCCCCCGTCGCCCGTCGTGGCCTGCGCGCGGCCCGTACGGGAAGCGCCAGGCCCGCGCGCGGCTCGGGCCGCCTGCGCGCGGTTCGGGCGGCTATGCCAGGCCCGTGGGCGGCCCGTTCCTCGCTGCCCCTGCCCTCCCCACTGAGTGCCGTTCCCCTCCTCCTCCTCCTTCTCCGTCTCCCACTGCTGCAGCTGCCGCTGAGGGGGGTGGGTGTGTGGGAGCCGAGGGAGTGGCGCTAGGGGGTGTAGTGTGAGCGGTGCTAGGGGAACAGCAGGGGGTGTGTAAAAAGGGGGTGGGACAGCTGGGGGAAGTTGAGAGGAGGCCGTCGACTTGTCGTCCGCAGCGCCTGAAGTCCAGGGAGCCACGACCCCCTGTGGCCTGAGTAGTCAGCTGTGTGTGCACTCCTGGGAGCACAGCGAGCCAGCTGCGACCCCCTGTCGCCGTGTAGTCCGGGTTTAGCCTGGTAGCGTCAGTGCGGCGTACTCCTGCTGCCTGTGTGTCTGCAGCTTCAGCCGTCGCCTCTCATCTTCTTGCTCCCACAGTTTCTCCTCCTCCTCACTTGCCCTCTGTGATAGCCTCTAGCTTTGCTTATAATTGTGAACTATTGCTCTGTCTGCTTGTTATGTTGATTGTACCCCACTTTGACTATGGGGGTGTGTCAGAATGTGATGGTTGTCTAGCCTGCAGTGGGGTACTCTATAGCGAGTACAGCCCTTCTAGGGTTTGCATATATGTATCCCTATGCTTGTTAGTCAAAACCCTTCTTGCCTGTTTCTCGTTTTGGCCTAGCATTTTGACACCCCCTGCCCTAAGTCCCGTCCCTCACGCGCTTCTCCTAACCCAACTTCACCACCAAGTCATCCCTCTACCAGCCCAGCTTCTCGCAGCGCAACCCCAGTCCATCCCCCCTTCCCCTGCCTAGCTCCCCTACACCTTTCCCAGCCCAGCCCCCTTACCCTCAAGTCCCTCCATCCCCCTGGTCCGTCGCGTAAGGCACGGACCCATGCATGTCCCTCGCAGCCCAACTCCCCCCCGTCCCCCTAGGCGACCAACTTGCTATGATTGTCTGCTAGCAGGTTGTCAACGTCGCGCATTCATTTCGTACTTCGTAAAGACTGAATCATACCATTTTTATGGCTGACTAGTGTGATACAGTAATCAGACCATGGAAAACATTTTGTATTATGAACAGACTAAGCTCCAACATTCGTCTGGAAAATCAGACATTTTTTTTTTGCCCGTCTGAACGTCAGACGAGACGATTTTTTTGGGGGGGGGACTTCAGACAGGCCTGAATCCTAGCAAGAGCACTGATGCGACAAACCTCTTGACCATATGGTACCGTATGCCGACCTATCAATGAGATATTCATATTACAGAGTTCCAAACCTGCCTGTCTATCCTTCAGCTGCAAAGGGATCCACTTCGCCAGCATCGGCAACGAGAGGGGGCAAAGTCGCTAAATCCTCCCCAGCCGGAGGGTAAAAGGTGGGGAAGGGCAACTGCAAACCACCATACTCTTGAGCGTCTGGCCCCTGCACATCATGCTTCCTCACTGCGTCCTTCACAAACACAAAGTTGCCACTGTGTCCAGGAACCTGCCGGAAATGGGGCAGGCAGGCAGGCAGGCAAGAAGCCAGAGGAGAATCAGGCGGGTCACATAGAAAAATTATCAAAAGTGATTCCCACACAGAACAGTGTGTCCCAGTACCTGCATTTGAGTCCACTCAACCCGCACCTATCCCTTCAACCACAACAGCCCCCGCGTGGGCTCCACATTTTACACCCACACGATTTGTACCATGCTCTCCCTCCCTCCTCTGAGCCTTACGAACAAAACTGAACTGTGCCTTTAGTCAACCCACCACTCACCGCTCTGCTTGGAACACAAACCTGCCCTCTGACTGACCTGTCCCTCCACCCACAGTAGCCCCCGTGCTGACTTTTGAGTCGACTCAAAAGTCAACACAAACCTGCCCCCTGACTGAACTGTCCCTTCACCCACAGCAGCCCCCGTGCGGGTTCCACCTTGTACACCCCGCACGCTCTGCACCGGCCTTCAGGCTCAAGTGAGCCGAGTGCACCTCCTTCTTAGCCCAGAACAATGTGCGTTTAGGTCGCTCAAACATTCTCCTACCATTCTCCTACCATTCTCCTACCCTTCTCCTACCCTTCTCCTACCCTTCTCCTACCCTTCTTACAGCAACACTCACCTGGCCCTTCACCCACAGCAGCCCTCTGGCCGGTTCCACCTTGTACACCCACACGCTCTGCACCGTGCGCTGCTTGTTGCCCATCTGCCCTGCCATCTTCTTGTTCTTGAACACCTGGGTGGAGCAAACAGAGCAGGAGTGTAGGGGAGCAGGGAAGCAGAGGACCAGACCAGGGGAGCAGGGAAGCAGGGGAGCAGGGGAGCAGGGGAGCAGGGGAGCAGGGGAGCAAGAGAGCAGGGGAGCAGGGGAGCAGGGGAGCAGGGGAGCAGGGGAGCAGGGGAGCAAGAGAGCAGGGGAGCAGGGGAGCAAGAGAGCAGGGGAGCAAGAGAGCAGGGGAGCAGGGGAGCAAGAGAGCAGGGGCGCAAGAGAGCAGGGGCGCAGGGGAGCAGGGGCGCAGGGGAGCAAGAGAGCAGGGGAGCAGGGGAGCACGAGAGCAGGGGAGCAAGAGAGCAGGGGAGCAAGAGAGCAGGGGAGCAAGAGAGCAGGGGAGCAAGAGAGCAGGGGAGAAAGAGAGCAGGGGAGCAAGAGAGCAGGGGAGCAAGAGAGCAGGGGAGCAAGAGAGCAGGGGAGCAAGAGAGCAGGGGAGCAAGAGAGCAGGGGAGCAAGAGAGCAGGGGAGCAAGAGAGCAGGGGAGCAAGAGAGCAGGGGAGCAAGAGAGCAGGGGAGCAAGAGAGCAGGGGAGCAAGAGAGCAGGGGAGCAAGAGAGCAGGGGAGCAAGAGAGCAGGGGAGCAAGAGAGCAGGGGAGCAAGAGAGCAGGGGAGCAAGAGAGCAGGGGAGCAAGAGAGCAGGGGAGCAAGAGAGCAAGAGAGCAGGGGAGCAAGAGAGCAGGGGAGCAAGAGAGCAGGGGAGCAAGAGAGCAGGGGAGCAAGAGAGCAGGGGAGCAAGAGAGCAGGGGAGCAAGAGAGCAGGGGAGCAAGAGAGCAGGGGAGCAAGAGAGCAGGGGAGCAAGAGAGCAGGGGAGCAAGAGAGCAGGGGAGCAAGAGAGCAGGGGAGCAAGAGAGCAGGGGAGCAAGAGAGCAGGGGAGCAAGAGAGCAGGGGAGCAAGAGAGCAGGGGAGCAAGAGAGCAGGGGAGCAGGAGAGCAGGGGAGCAGGAGAGCAGGGGAGCAAGAGAGCAGGGGAGCAGGAGAGCAGGGGAGCAAGAGAGCAGGGGAGCAAGAGAGCAGGGGAGCAAGAGAGCAGGGGAGCAAGAGAGCAGGGGAGCAAGAGAGCAGGGGAGCAAGAGAGCAGGGGAGCAAGAGAGCAGGGGAGCAAGGAGAGCAGGGGAGCAAGAGAGCAGGGGAGCAAGAGAGCAGGGGAGCAAGAGAGCAGGGGAGCAAGAGAGCAGGGGAGCAAGAGAGCAGGGGAGCAAGAGAGCAGGAGAGCAAGAGAGCAGGGGAGCAAGAGAGCAGGGGAGCAGGGGAGCAGGGGAGCAGGGGAGCAGGGGAGCAGGGGAGCAGGGGAGCAGGGGAGCAGGGGAGCAGGGGAGCAGGGGAGCAGGGGAGCAGGGGAGCAGGGGAGCAGGGGAGCAGGGGAGCAGGGGAGCAGGGGAGCAGGGGAGCAGGGGAGCAGGGGAGCAGGGGAGCAGGGGAGCAGGGGAGCAGGGGAGCAGGGGAGCAGGGGAGCAGGGGAGCAGGGGAGCAGGGGAGCAGGGGAGCAGGGGAGCAGGGGAGCAGGGGAGCAGGGGAGCAGGGGAGCAGGGGAGCAGGGGAGCAGGGGAGCAGGGGAGCAGGGGAGCAAGAGAGCAGGGAGTGCAGGAAAATAATGGGACAAGTGATGTGCATGTGTAACTATTGGTAATTAGCGTTTACGAAATTGAGGAAGGAGGAAGGAGCCTTTTCTCCCTGGACACCAGCGAGGAAGGATGCGCCAAGGGACCAAATTGCACTCTGACCCGCGCTTGTCCCACCCAGGAGGGACCAAATCACATGCGCTTTATTGTGCTGGCTGATAACTTCGACCATGCCTGCAACCAGCCTCACCTTGCCGGGGTCCTGTCGGCCTCCTGTGGACCCGTCGCTTCGATGCGAGAGCAACTTTTGTGCTGCCATAACCTCCTCAATGCGGTTCAGAGACTGAGAAACAGCAAACCATGCCTAACTGCATCCAGCCTCACCTTGCCGGGGTCCTGCCGGCCTCCTGTGGACCCGTGGCTTCGATGCGAGAGCAACTTTTGTGCTGCCATAACCTCCTCAATGTGGTTCAGACACTGAGAAACAGCAAACCATGCCCAACTGCATCCAGCCTCACCTTGCCGGGGTCCTGCCGGCCTCCTGTGGACCCGTGGCTTCGATGGGAAAGCGATGCTCCGTGCGATGCTGGCATGCCCTTAAAGCCCCACCGCTTCATGGGACCCTGTGGTACGAGAAAGGAGGGAAGGGGAGGGGAGGGAAGAGGAAGACGTTAGGGAGAGTCGGAGGGAGATACATGGGAGGAAAGATGGGGGCGATAAGGGGGAAAACAACTCATCAGAATGGTCGAAGGATGGATAGAGAATAGATGGGAGAACAGAATGCGGATGGACGAAAGTGCACCATTCATATGAAGAACAGAATGCCATGCAGAACCAGGCCTCATGGCTGTTTCAATTCAAATGGTTTCCTCAGGCGCTTCCCACAAGAGCAAGAACAAGATAGGGGGACGGACGGGTACGGATAGCAAGAGCAAACACAAGAGCCATACCTGGAATCCCTTTCCCACGGTGGTCCCTGTAACGTCCACAAACTGCCCGGGAACAAAATGCCGCACGTCTATGGGCGTGCCCACGGGCAGAATACAATCCTCTGACACTCGGAACTCCACAAGTTTTCGCTTTAGAGGCACCCCTGCTGCCCGGAAATGCCCCAGCTCCGGCTTGGTCAGCTGCTTTGGTTTTTTCTGCCCGGACCCGATCTGGAGGGAGGTGTAGCCTTCCTTTTCCCGTGTTTTCACCTGTGGTGGGGAAGTGGGGAAAGGGGGGGTGGGAGCAAGGAAGGTTGTTAAGAAGGTTGCACTGGGTACATATGGGTGGCTAATGCCACGGGGAAAGGTACATTCAGGGTAGGTGCAACTGGGGATGATGATTAAGGTTCACTCGGCACTACCCCAACCATACCTACCCCAACCATACCTACCCCAACCATACCTACCCCAACCATACCTACCCCAACCATACCTACCCCAACCATACCTACCCCAGCCATACCTACCCCAGCCATACCTACCCCAGCCATACCTACCCCAGCCATACCTACCCCAGCCATACCTACCCCAGCCATACCTACCCCAGCCATACCTACCCCAGCCATACCTACCCCAGCCATACCTACCCCAGCCATACCTACCCCAGCCATACCTACCCCAGCCATACCTACCCCAGCCATACCTACCCCAGTCATACCTAGCCCAGTCATACCTAGCCCAGTCGTACCTACCCAGTGCCCCAAGTGTTACTTATCCCAGTCACACCTGCACGACTTGGTTGTCATCTATCCAAAGCACAGTCAGGCATACATACCGCAAACACAGCATATTATACCCACCTACCCCAACGTACCTACCCCAGTCATACCTGCACGACTTGGTTGTCGTCTATCTAGAGCACAGTCAGGCATACCTACTGCAAACACAGCATACCTACCCCAACCACAGCATACCTACCCCAACCACAGCATACCTACCCCAACCACAGCATACCTACCCCAGCCGTACCTGCGTTCATGACTTATGACCATACCTGCACGACTTGGTTGTCATCTATCCAGAGCACAGTAAGAGGGATCCTGACCCCCCACTTGTCCCACGTGGCAGTCATCCCGCATTTCACGGCGATCGCGCCGGTGCGCACGGATCTCCCCGCGTTCAATCCCTCCTCGTCGTCATCCTCCCCCCATGCGCGGACCACCTCCTCCGCTTCCTCCGCCGCCGCTGCCGGAGCGGCGGAAGCGGCGGACGCGGATTGGAAGCTCCGCGCGCGAAGATCCGCGGCGGAAGCGGAAGTGGCTGGAGCGAGATGCGTAGAAGCGGCAAGATGCGCGGGGAGGAGACTCCGCGTGCCGCTGGGTAACCCGCGGAGCAGATCGACTCTCAAGAGTGAACCGGTGGTGGTTACGACGGTAAGTTTCGAATCTGTCGCAGCCGTCGCAGGAGCTTGTTGAATGGAGCACTGATCGATGTTAGGGTATTGGTAGGTTGTATGGTGATGGTTCAGAGGGGGGAATCGAGCGGTTCGGCGGCTTCGCGACGCGCTCCTGACGCTCTGCGTTGCCACGGAGCCAAGCCGCCGGAACATGGTGACGACAGCAGACGGTACTACTAGTGGTGACGACAGTAGACGGCGATGCTAGAAAGGGCGCGCAAGCGATGCGGAGGGAGGACCAGTAAGGGCGCGTAAGTAGCACGGAGCGAGAAGGACTGGCAGCAGCAAGGAATACGGGCGGCTCCTGTTCAGTTCCGATCCCTCGCCTCGCCGTGTAGCCGCCAAAACCACTTACCAGCGGAAACTGGGAATTTGTGACACAACATTCGCGGTGTTGAGTGCTCCGACGCGGTAACTTTGCTGTATTTTAATAAATAATGAATCTTAATTCGTTCGTCTCCTCGAGCGTTGGAGGCTGATGATCTTGATTGGCTCGAGTGAGTGGTTCTGGCGAATCCGGACGAATCAATGCGCTGTTTTGACATTACGAAATCTTTCAGGAAAGTAACTCCTCTCGTCAATTTTCGTGAACAGATATTCCCAAGGGTGAACTTAGCGTTTTTGCATCAGTTTCTTCGCGAATTCTTCTAGATTCTGAAATTGACAGCCCCACAAACCATAAGCGTGAGCCCCACAGACCAGTACAAGATAGTAGTTTCTTCTCAAGTTACAAGATAGTAGTTGCTGTTGAGCTCAAGTTACGTAGTTACAGAAAGCAGAGTGTCCAAGTGAAGAATAGATCTGGCCTTTATAGCTTCATTCACTAAAACGTTTATCAGCTCAAAGACACCTCTTTAGACCTTCCCACCCTTTCCTGTCCATGGCGTCTCTAGCCAGAAGGCGATGTCTCGCTTCGTTTCTCCACGTCACAGGTGTCCTCTGAGTCGCCTCGCTTCTCCACCTTTTCGCAGCTGTTCCCACCCTTTCCCTGTCCATGGCGTCTCTCGCCACAAGGCGATGTCTCTCCTCGTTTCTCCACGTCACAGAAACTGCAGCTGTTGCTTCCAGACTTCCCTATACACCTCCCCCGAACTGGCTGCTACCCGTTATAAGCAGCTCCGTCAACGCTCTTACTTTTGATGCGCCTCGGAACCTTCCCAGCAGCTGTGAGTCTTTGGCGCTGGGATCGCATGAACAACGCATGCGAGAACAATCTTCAGCGCATGAACGCATTTCAGCGCTCGCAGGAATCGGCGCACACTCACTCAACCCCTCCACTCCATCCCACAATGATACCTTGAGTTTCACTGGGCTTCCTACAAGTCAGGGCACTCACGCATGGCTGCTCCAGCCATCACACATATCCAAGACTGCAAGCCCGTTCCACGTGCTCATACCCTCCAGAGCCTTCAACACCTCCGAAACTGCTAGATCGTTGTCAGTAGCGACACATTCGCCAGCACTAGGTAGCAGCCCGACTAGTGACACTGGCACGGGTAGGGCGGGTGTGAATGTGCATCCTTCCTCCCTGCGTGCCAGGAGGCTTCATGCCTCCGCCCCAACAGCAGTAGCAGCAGCAGTGGGTGGCAGCCCAAATAGTGACACGGGCACGGGCAAGGCGGGTGTGAAGGCGCTTCAGCCATCCCCACGTGCTTCCAATGAGCATGCAGGCGAGGCTGGGCGGTCCAAGCTAGTGGAGGCGTTTCAGATCCAAGTGAGTTGTAGGGCAGGCGCAAGTGAGCGGCAGACAAATGCATGTTGTCAGCTTTGAGTCGCTCGTTAAAGCTCGCGTCTCATATTTACGAGCATTTAACACTTGGTTGGAAGCTCGCGTCAGTGATTGGTTTCGACAGAAACGCGACCCCAGCTAATCACAAATTTTGTGATTCGTCAACCAGTCACGGAGGCCAACCAAGTGTTAAATCCAACCAACTGTAAAACGGAAAAAAATATGAGACGCCCTCTCGCCCTCCACACCCACTGTTCTCCACCTCCCGAACCTCCACCAGGCAGCATCAGATCCCGTGTTTGAAGAAGTGTTTTGAGACGTCTCAAAACACTTCTTCAAACACGTGAGGCTTATGGTGTCTCGGAGCGAGTCCGAGCTCAGGTTTGAGACCGGCTTCGTGTGTTTCAAGTCTCAAACGCCATGCTTCCATTCTCGCCCACTCCGCTTCGACCTCTCTCCCTTGCCGCTCCCCCCTCCTCCCCCCTCCTCCCCCCTCCTCCCCTCGCCTCACCACCACCACCAGGCAGCATCAGACCCCATGCGTGGCTTCATGGTTTCTCAACGCAAGTCGTTGCTTGAGACTACACCAGACCCCCTCTACTTTCTCACATCTCCCCATCGCCCCCCTCCCCCTCCCCCGCCCTTTTCACCCCATGCGTTGCTTCATGGTGGCGCTGCGCAAGTCCGAGCTCGACAAGTCGTTTTTGAGAACCACAAAGCTACTTCTGACTGACTGCTCCCGTTCTTTCCCTCCTTGTCCCTTTGGTCCCCCACCACCAGGCAGCATCAGACCCCATGCGCGGCTTCATGGTGGCTCTACGCAAGTCAGAGCTCAGCTTTGAGACCGGCCTTGCGCTCAGGGACCTGCGGGTGGTCATCTCTGCCCTGCAGAACCAGGTGAGGGTGGAAAGAAGGTGAGGTGGTGAACCTGATGAGGTGCACAGTCAGGTGCACAGTCAGGTGCACAGTCAGGTGCACTGCAGAACCGGGTGAGGCGATGAAGCAGGTGCCAAAGCAGGTGCAGTTACTACCAGGTGTTTGGAAAAGAACTGTGCGCCTTCCGCTCAGGGACCTGCGTGTGGTCATCTCCGCCCTGCAGAACCAGGTGAGGGTGGAAAGAAGGTGAGGTGGTGAACCTGATGAGGTGCACTGCACAGTCAGGTGCACAGGTGGTCATCTCAGCGAGTGGTCATCTCCGCCCTGCAGAACCGTGAGAGCAAGGTGAGAGCAGTCACCATTGACCAAAGAAGCATCAGGCTTGTCTCTACTAGTACGTCCCCCTGGGCAAGTAAAAAGAACAACTGACCTCGTTCTCAGGGACCTGTGGGTGGTCATTCCCGCCCCGAAGAACCAGGAGAGGTGTTTGGGAAATAATTGTTCGCTTCACACGAGAGACCTGCCGAACCAGGTGAGGTGCCGAACCAATTTAGGAGCGGAACCACCATTGTTGTCCCCCTCTCCAATCCTTATCACCCCCAACTCTCTCCATCCCCCGACCCCATATCCCCACCATTCTCATTCGTCCCCGCGCCATAGTGTCGAGTCTGGCGCATGTGAGAGCAGTCATCACAGCCAATCGAGCCTACGCACTCAGCACCTCCTCCCCTCCTCTCCACTGTCTTCCCTGTTCTCTCTCCGCCCACCGTTCCACCTTCCCTCTTCCCCCACCCCATGCCCTCTGTTCGTTTGAATCCCAGATCCCAACCATTCTCATCCGCCCGCGGGCAGTAGTGGTGACTCTGGCGCATGTGCGAGCAGTCATCACAGCCAACCGCGCCTACATCCTCAACACCTCCCCTCTTCTCTCTTCCCTCTCCTCTCTCGAACCCCTCCCTCCCCCCTCATCCCCCCACCCTTGTCCTTGAACCCCAGATCCCCACGATTCTCATCCGCCCGCGGGCCATAGTGGTGAGTCTGGCGCACGTGCGAGCAGTCATCACAGCCAACCGAGCCTACGTCCTCAACACCTCCTCGCCACGTGTGAGGCAGCGTCTCATCCCCACCCTCCTGCGCCGCCTCTCCTCCTCCCACTCTGCCTCTGCCGCCGCTGCTGCTGCTGGTGCTGGTGCTGGTGGTAGTGGTGTTGGTGGTGCTGGTGGGAATGCTGCGTGTGATGTTTGCTCTCCGTCCTCCCCTCCTCCCTCCTCCTCCGCGGCTTCGTTTTCGGGGTCGGATTTGTTTTTCTCGGGAGCTGTGTCGGTGTTTTCTGACTGCGGGGGTGAACCGGAAGGGAGAGAGGTGCGTGGATCAGACGGAGAGGGGGAGCAGAAGCCGTCGGGGAGGCAGGAGCAGCATCAGGAAAAGCAGCTGCGAGAAGGGCAGCGGCAGGAGCTGGGCCAGGGTCAGAATCAGGGGCATGGACTGGGGCAAGATCAGTGGGCTGCTGAGGCGCGAGGTGTTGAGGAAAGCAGGTGTAGCGAGCGTGAGAGGGACTTGAGGGGAGTGTGTGGGAGAGGAGAGGATGATTATGAAGCGAGGGGACGTGGATATGGAGAGAGAAGAGAAGGGTTTTTTCCAGGAGAGGCGAGGGAGGGGAAAAGAGGGGATAGGTGTGACGACATGAGGGATAATAGAAGGGATGATGGGAGGGATGATGGGAGGGATGATGGGAGGGATGGTGGGAAAGAGGAGGAGTGGGGACAGGGGTGGCAAGAGGAGGTATCTGAGAGGAGGAGAGAGGAGTGGAGGGCGAGAAGGCAGAGGGAGGAGCAGAGGAGGAGGAACAAGCGATGGCTGGAAGATCTAGAGAAGGAGAGCAAGGGAAGGTTCAGTGAAGCTTCGAATGGAGAGGAGGAGGAGGGGGAGGGGGGGCGGGAGCACGGGGATGGGCATTTGATAGGGAGTGACGGGCAGTGGGAGAGATACGGGGAGGTTTTGCTGCTGGAGTTGACTCTGAAAGACGGCAGGCCCTTACAGCCCAGTCAGCCTGTTCAGCTGGGTCAGCCGGGCCAATCTGATCAGAAGACACAAGGGGAGGCGCTTCTGGGGGAGGGTGATGCGAGGTTTAGGCAAATGGGAGGGGAAGAAGGGGAGGTGGGCAGGGGAGTGGATGGGGGGAGTGGGGTGGGTGTGCGAGGGGAGAGGAGGGAGCAGCAGAAGGGGAGGGTTGGGGAAGAGGGGGATCGGGTGGAGCACTTGGGAGGGAGAGGAAGGACGGTCGAATTAGAGGGGGTGAGTTCTGGAGAGGCGGTTGGGAGTGGTGGAGAGGCGAGTGGAAGGGGTGCTGGAGATGGGAAAGCCAACACGAGGGATGGGAGTGGGAGGGACACTCAAGGCAGCACCACCACCGCCATCAACACCAACAACATCAACAACAGCAAGCACTCTCCCCACAGCACAGCAGCCCTGTCAATCCCGAGACTCGCACCCACCCCGTTCGAATTCCAAGTCCTAGAAGCCCTCTTAGACGAGGTGGGGGTGACTCTCAAGGTGAAGTACGCGTCCATATTCCCGGGCGTGTACCAGGGCCTGAGGGCGTTTGCAGGGGGGCGGGTTCCATACGAAAGAGCAATGGCGGAGCAGGAGGCTTTCCTGCGGGCGAAGAACGAGTTGTTGCGGCTGGAGATGAGCGCGAATCAGATCTGCAACGCTGTTCGGGAAGTTCTCTCGAACGATGAGGTGAGCACAAAGTGACTCTCAAGGTCAAGTACGCGTCCATATTCCCGGGCGTGTACCAGGGCCATGGAGGATGTGGTGGGGTGTGTGGGGTGTGTGGGCTCCCTCCCTTGACGTGTGTGTGTGTCCCAATCCTGTCCGTTCAACCCCTGTCCATGGCAGCACATGGCAGGGATGTACCTGTCACGAAAATCCGCGCTCCCTCCTGGAACGGCAAACTTGCAGAGCACAGCGAGGTGGAGGAGTTGTTGGTTGGAGGATCACCTGAGGCGCATGGAGGAGGTGGGGGGGGAGGCGGAGGGGAAGCTCAGGAAAGCCTTGCTCCCTCCTACTGCAGCAAATAGTGCGGAGCACAGCGAGGTGTAGGAGCTCCTGGAGGACCACTTGAGGCGCTTGGAGGAGGTGGTGGGGGTGGAAGGAGGGAGACTGTTGACATGAGTGTTTTGATTCTGTCCTTTCCTTCTCCCTACCTCAGGACATGGCCGAGATGTACCTCTCTAGGAAAGCTGCGCTCCTTCCAGGCACGACCAACTGTGCAGAGCACAGCGAGGTGGAGGAGTTGCTGGAAGATCATCTGAGGCGCATGGAAGAGGTGGTGGGGGAGGCGGAGCAGCTGCTGTCCATGTCTGATGCCACGTCAGAGTACCTCAGGACTGCACTTGATAGGTGGGTGAGTGCGTGGAACAGCTGCTGCCCATCTGCTTTTCTTCTCTTTTTTGTTTTTTTCTTTCTCTCTTCACCTTCTTCCATCCTGGCATGTTGTCGGCGTGTCGAGGCACACGCCTTCGTTTGTGGTTTTCTGAAAGCACCTCCTTGTGTTCTTACTTCATACAGTGCCCGGAATCAACTGATTGAGCTTGATGTGCTTGTCAACATGGCGACATGCTCGCTTGCCGTTGGGGGTTCCATCGCCGCTGTCTTCGGTAAGCCTTTGGTTCTTGATAGGAGTGTGGTGCGTTGTGTGACTTAACTTTTGAGTTGACTCAAAAGTCACCTGACTCAAGAGTCGACTCCAAAGTCTTCTGTGAGCCTTTGGTTCTTGATAGGAGTGTGGTGCGTTGTGTGCCTTAGCTGCTGCCCATCGAGTCAAACCAAAAGTCACCCCATGAGGTGCTTCAGTGCTGCTGTTTTCGGTAATCCTCTGTTGCTTGATTGGTGTGCGATTTGTGCCTTGGCTGTTGTCGTGTGCCGTGTGTAATGTTCTCGTGCCGTGTGAGCTAAGTTTCAATCTCCAGCTCGTGTCTACACGCTCCACAGCTTGGTTTTGTTGTTGCCAGTGTTGCACGGCTGGGCCGTCACTGATGGTAGGAATGAATCCTGTTCCTCCCGCCACCCTCTGATCCATTGCAGGCATGAATCTGGTATCATCCTTCGAAGATACATCATTAGCGTTTCCCATCGCAGCAGGTGGTGTCGTGTCACTGTCTGCAGTCGTCTTTTTGGCTCTACGCACATATGCCAGACGGCGAGGTATAATGTAATTAGCTGTTTATATGTTTAGCCCTATCAAGTGGAAGGAAGCGCTTTCAAGTGTAGTTTACCTTGCGTACAAGCTTGGTTTGGTGAGTTTACCCATACCACACCTCGTCGCCTCGGACCCAGACCGCCGCGGAGTCCACGTGAAGCTACGATGCCCCTTCGAGCAGTCGTTAGGCCGCTGTCAGAGACTTGGGGAGGCAGGTCTGGGCCTTGCTGGCGTCTTGGGTGTGAGTGTGTGGTTGGTGGTGTCTCTGTTCTGGTGGAAAACTGCCTGTGGGTCGCTGCTGACACAAGGATGTGATCGAAAGAACCGAAGACGTGTTTAGAGGTGAAAGTATTTTGAAATGTTCCGTTGAAACATATCTACCTGTAACGTTTCAGTCTTGAAATCTGGTGCAGAAAAAAGAAGACGTTTCACAAATGTTGAAACTGAATACATTCGCCTGAAAAATCGCTAAAATTCCCGAGGCGTGGTCTGGGCAGTACACCAGCCAGCAGCGCATGGGGTGTGGACGAAAAGCCTCCAACTCCAGCCACAAGCCCTTGACATTATCGAGGAATTTGCCAGGCGAGCGAAGAAGAAAAAGCGTGGACAGCAACGAGAGCAATCGGTCGCTTCGGTTTTCTTCGGTTTGAAGAGTTCCGAAGAGGTATAGTTGATCTAATTCGGTTCAATCTGATCCATTGGGCAAGCTCGAGGTAATTCATGCATGATCAGGGTCCGACGTAAGCCCGCTTCATGCACACGGTCACCCATTTCAGCAACCACAAACCACCAGCGACCACATTTGCAATTCTGCTTCAGACTTTTCAGGAAGCAGAGCTCTTAGTTGCTTCATCGTGGGCTCCTACGACTAATCATCGTTTTAGGCGGGATTACTCGTAGGCGATAGCTGTCTTCCCATTTTATAGTTTGTCGTTGAGGAGCATTCTGCGCGTTCCTTGAGCAGCACGTTTCGCTCCGTCGACCAGTCCTCCCTTGCAATCCTACTTCTCTTCGTCCAGTCTAGAAATGTCTCTCCCTACGTCTCACGCAGTTTCGTCGTCCAGGCTTCATAGCTTGCCGTCCCTACAGCCATTTTGCGCATCTGCTAAGTCCTCCCCCGCCTGCTTCCAGAAAAGCACCATCACCGCGCCATCACGCATCGGATGCATTCGGAAGCGTTCATCAGCACCGGGTAAATGCAATCCTGGGAGCAGCAGCGTTAGCAGGCAGCGGCGACGGGTGGGAGGGAGAGGCGTGGTCGCAGCGAGTCCTCCTACGGAAGAGGTGGAGGTGCGAACTGAACCGCTGACCAAGGAAGACCTGGTCAACTATCTGCGATCCGGCTGCAAGCCCAAGGACAAGTGGAGGTAAACGGCTATGGAGGGAGCGAATCAATGCGTTGATTGTTTTTTTGCGACGTTGCCTAGGGTTCTAGGTTTTCTAGATTCTTCGTTTTTTACCGCGGAAGACCATTGAACGGGGAACGATTTGATTCGATGCAAACTGTGAAATCGTAAAAGAACTTACAAATTCCTCCCCTTCTCCCAATATTTCGCCTGCCTCGTTTTCTGCTCATGCCAGGATCGGCACGGAGCATGAGAAGTTCGGATTCGATCAGAAGACGCTCCAGCCAATGACGTACGAGCAGATCGCGACGCTTCTGGAGCACATTGCGGATCGGTTCTCGTGGGACAAGATTATGGAGGGCGACAGGATCATCGGCCTGCGATCGGTACGTGTTGTGATATGATGTTAGTGTCGTTGAATTCTGAATCAGGAAGCACCCTAGTTTGGCACTCTCAAGAGCAATTATATGAATGACAACAGGATTGTCGGCCTGCGATCGGTACGGTAGCGCAATGTGGTGTCGTTATGAGACGTGACAACATTAACATTCGCATGCACTTGGTGCGTGCACGCACTGAATCTGGTCGTTGTTCGAGGTTGGCGTTCTAATTCGCGCATTGCCGCGGATCAGCGAAGGAGAGCGGATTTTATACTATCAAATATTGAAATGCGTTTGCTCAAACTGAGGTCACGCATTGCGGATATAAGGAAGCCTTTTGTTCAGAGAGGTTTGTCTTGTATTTCCCCCCCCCCCCCCCCCCCCCCCCCCCCCCCCCCTCTCCCTCTCCTCTATGCCCTCTCTGTTCCTACGCCGCATGATTCTTGTTGCAGTGTGTTGTTTCTCTATCCCGTTCTCCCCTACTCCCCAACCATTCGTGCACAACCATGCGCACCCATGCACACCCATGTACACCCGTGCACACCCATGCACACCCACGCACACCCACGCATACCCAAGAGCACCCATGAGCACCCAAGCTCACCTATACACCCCCATGCATTCCCTGAACCCTGCCTCCCTTGGCAGAACGGGCAGAGCGTGACGTTGGAGCCCGGAGGTCAGTTCGAGCTGAGTGGCGCGCCTCTGGAGACAGTGCACCAGACGTGCGCCGAGGTCAATGGTCACCTGTACCAGGTATACCCATTATAGCAGCCTCCGTCACTGGGTATAAGGTTTTATTCCCAGTCACTTCCACAGAGTGGTCAGTTCGAGCTGAGTGGCGCCCTCCTGGAGACAGTGCACCAGACGTGCGCTTAGGTCAACGGTCACCTCTACCAGGTATACCCATTACTGCCCTTTACTACAGCCTGATTTACCGAGTGCAGGGTTTCATTCCAGTCGTTTCCACAAGAGAGGTCAGTTCGAGCTGAGTGGCGCGCCTGCGCCCTTGGAGACAGTGCACCTGATGTGCGCTGAGTTCAACGGTCACCTCTACCAGGTGTAGCATTTACTGCTGAGTGGCACAGCCTTGACGAGAGTGCAGAGTGGTGCGCTCAAGTCAACGAGCATCTCTGCCACGTGTACCCGTTATTGCAATCGACCTTACAAGGCACAGGGTCACATTTAAGTACTGGCTGATGAGAATGTGCGTTTCTTTTGTTGCTGACTTGAATTGTTCTGCGTGAATGTTTGGCTGTGTGGGTGGTGGGGGGTGCTTGGAGGTTGTGGGTGGTGGGGTGGGGTGCTTGTTGGGTGGTGCTTGGTGAGTGAGTGGGTGGTGGGTGGTGCGTGATTGTTGGAGTGTGACAGGTGAAGTCCATCTGCGAGGAGGAGCACGTGGGGTTCCTGGGGCTGGGCTTCAACCCGAAGCACGCTCTTGAAGAGATCCCCATCATGCCCAAGGTGACCTTCCTGCATGCGTGTGTTTAGAGCTGACCCACGACACACCTGAAATCGGTCTGCGAGAGGATTTTCGAGGAGGAGCATGTGGGGTTCCTTGGGCTGGCTGGGCTTCGACCCGAAGCACACTTTGGAGGAGATCCCCATCATGCCCAAGTTGAGCTGAGCTGCCATCCCCATCACGCCCACGCCGAAACGATTCTATGCATACATACAGCTAGAACTGCTTGTAGTCCTTTGAGTTGCCCCACCTTGAGCTACGCCAAACTCTTGAGGTTTCAGCTGCCTCAACTTTCTCCTTTTCCCAACCCCCTCTTCCCACCCCGCTTCCCCGCCCCAGGGCCGCTACACCATAATGCGCAACTACACGCCCAAGGTGGGCTCGCTGGAGCTGGAGATGCTTCCCCTGTTCCCCCTTCCCCGCCTCTTGTCGTCTTTCTCACCTGTCCTTCCTGGGTCCTCCTCCTCCTTCCCCCAGGGCCGCTACCCGATTAAGCGCAACTACATGCCCAAGGTGGGCTCGCTGGGGCTGGAGATGCTGGCTTGCCCCTTATTCCGAACTCCCCCTTTCATCTTCTCTCCAACTCCCGCCCTCCTCCTCCCTCCCCCAGGGCCGCTACACCATAATGCGCAACTACATGCCCAAGGTGGGCTCGCTGGGGCTGGAGATGATGTTTCGCACGTGCACCGTGCAGGTCAACCTCGACTTTGACTCTGAACAGGACATGGTTGACAAGTTCAGAGTTGGCCTTGCGCTACAGCCGGTGAGACACACACAGGGTTGCCCCCCTGGTGGTGGTGCTACAGCCGGTGGGGCTGGAGATGATGTTTCGCACGTGCACGGCACAGGTCAACCTCGACTTTGACTCCGAACAGGAAATGGTCGACAAGTTCCGCGTCGGCTTGGCACTGCAACCGGTGAGTGCTACAGTCGGTGAGATGAGGCACAGGGTTGTGTTGTGCCCCTGGGGGCGCTACAGCCGGTGAGTGCTACAGCCGGTGAGTGCTTAATTCTACTATCTGCACTCCTTGGTTCAGTTTTGTACATTTCCCCTTCCTCCCATTCACGGCCTTGTCAGTTTCGTCATCTGTTTCGATCGAATGTGTGCCAGGTTCACTTTTAAGAGGCATCTCTCTCACTCTTTGCTGAAGCACCTTCCTCCGTCTCTGCTTCCCCTCCCCCAACTACGTGTAGAGAGGGTGTTTTTGAGACGTCTCAAAAACACCCTCTACACTTGGCTATTCTCTCTCACTCTTTGCTGAAGCACCTTCCTCCATCTCTGCTTCCCCTCCCTCAACTATCCCCTCAATCGACCCCCCGCCCTTTCCACCCGCTCCCCAAACCTTTCCCACTTATATTGCCTTGTTCGCCTTGTTGTCAGGTGGCAACTGCCTTGTTCGCCAACTCGCCATTCCTCGAGGGCAAGCCCAATGGCTACCTCAGCTATCGCAGGTGTGCAGCGTGCTCGTGGAGGGTTGGAGATGGGATGGGTTGAGAGGCAACCTTTTATATGTATACCAGCTGTCGGTATCTGAAGGTTACAATGGTCCAGCTTTCTGAGGCACTCACAGCACTGACTGGAGGCGTGCATGGATGGAGGGCTTATGCGGCGGCACAGCAGCACAGCGACTAGCACCTTTCCACGCCTATTTCTCTCATTGCCATCGCAAGCCAATCCGGCCTATCTACTCTAAGCATGCCTGGGCTTCCTTCCTTGTGCACTGCATGGTCAGAGCAAGAAGATGCTTCCAAACATCAACTTCTTTTGCCTGTTGCCCCTCATTGCCCTGCCCTCCCCCTTTTCTTGGTCCCTGCCTCATCGACTAAAAGTTGAGATTTGAGGCGCCTCAATGTTCATCCTTTTCTTTGTCTGTCTCCTTGTCTTGTTATTTTGTCTGGCAGTCGAGTGTGGGAGGACACTGACAAGGACCGCACAGGGGACCTGCCGTTTGTATTTGAAGAAGGCTTTGGGTGCGTTTCACCCTTGTTATCGGTTCGCTCTGATCTTATGCATGCGATTTTTTCTTATACCTGTGCTGTGCCCATGCCAGCCGTTACTGCTGATATCGCACTGGATGGAGGGATCTTTTATCGACACTTACTCAGAATTGCCGCTCAAACATTGGATGTACTTGTGACTGATATTTTTTCATTTGTGTGCGTGTGCATGTGCATGCCTGCGTGCGCATGTGCATGTCTGCGTGGGCATGTGTGTGTGCATCTGCGTGCATGTGTGTGTTGGTGCGCGTGCGTGTGAATGTGCTCATTTGGTGTGGTCTTCGTGTTAACAGCTTTGAGCGCTATGTGGAGTATGCATTGGATGTTCCCATGTACTTTGCATACCGTGACCAGCGCTACATCGATGCCACAGGGCTCTCCTTCCGGGTGAGCATGGGGCATGGTGATGAGCATGGGGCATGGTGGTGGGCATGGTGGTGGGCATGGGCATGGTGCTGAGCATGGGGCATGGTGCTGAGCTGTGCTGCTCGTGTTCCTCTCTTCCCTGACCTCCCCGCCCTCTTTTCTGCTCGTGTCTTCAGGACTTTCTAAACGGCAAGCTCCCAGTGCTGCCAGGGGCCTACCCCAGTCTAAATGACTGGGAGAACCACCTCACGACCATCTTCCCTGAGGTACCTTGTTTCCTTTGAAGCATTTTGAAATAGATTCAAGCATTGACATTTCACGTGCGATGTGTGCAATCTCATGTCTGTTTGTGAAATTCTCACGTGTGAAATCGTCTTGCGCGTAATTTTGTTGTGTAAGTTTGTTGTGAATCTCTCTTGTGTGAGACCTCATGTCATTGCACGTACACACACACACTCCCTGTGTTGCCCCGCCAACAATCTCTTGTCAAGGTTGTCTTGTGTTGCCCCGCCAACAATCTGTTGCTTTGCCATCAAACCCGCAATGCCTGCACCCCACCAAGGTGTGGCTGAAGCAGTATCTGGAGCCGAAGGGCGGAGATGGCTAGCTTTAAGTCAATAGTGACAACTCCACAACCGACTGCCAATCCCCCCCCCTTCACCCTTCACCCACCCCCAACCCATCAGGTGCGGCTGAAGCGCTATCTGGAGATGAGGGGCGCTGATGGCGGGTCATGGAGGAGAATATGCGCCTTGCCCGCCTTCTGGGTGAGTGCATGCCGCATATAAGCCTGGTGCAAGCCTGCTTGTTTTTTTTTTTTTTTTTTTTTTTTTTTTTTGAAGTTAATTTATTCGTTTATCAGGATTGTCTGATCGCTTCCAGTCAAAGTCAGGTGCACTTTCTTATGCCGTTACGCCAAGTGCTCTGCTCTGCCCCTGCCCCTTCTCCCTCCCTCACTCCCCTCCTGGTGACTTTTGAGTCGACTCAAAAGTCACCTCGACTCAAAAGTCGACTCAAAAGCTCCCCTCCTCCCTTGAGGTGCGGCTGCTGTACCGTGTATGGTTGACACGCCCTCGATGTGTGTCTGAGGGTACTCCAAACAACAAGTGGCTCCTCTTCCTCGATGTGTGTCTGAGGGTACTCCAAACACATACCTCTTCCTCCTCTCTCTCTTCCTCCTCTCTCTCTTCCCATGCTCCATGCTCCTCCTCCCCGCAGGTGGGGTTGCTGTACGACCGACAGGCCATGGACGAGTGTCAGGGGTGGCTCCTAACACATGTACCCCCCTTCTCACCTCCCCCCCAAAACCCCCTCCCCCTGCCCCTCCGACACTGACTTTCCTGTGCGTCTCCTCCCTGCAGGTGGGACTGCTGTACGACCGACATGCGCTGGACGAGCGTCTGGGGTTGAGCACATACCCCCCTACTCACACCTCCCCCTCCAAACCTCTCTTCCCCCTTCTCCCGACGACAACCCCCTTTTCCTTTCCTCAGGTGGGGCTGCTGTACGACCGACAGGCGCTGGACGAGTGTCTGAAGACACCTCCCAAGCATGTTTTCTTTCCCCCTCCCCTCCTCCCCTTACCCCCCCAATCTTCCTCCTCTCCTCAGGTGGGGTTGCTGTACGACCGCCAGGCGCTGGATGAGTGCAAGGCAATCATTGCTGACTGGACCGAGCTTGAGCGCTCTGCTCTGCGCACACATGTGAGTCTCATTGGGAGTGCTCCTGCGTGTTGCCTCCATGTATTGACTTTTGAGTTGACTTTTAAGTCATTTCTGACTGGACGGAGCTCGAGCGCTCTGCTCTGCGCACACATGTGAGTCTCATTGGGAGTACACCTGCGTTTTGCCTCCATGTATTGACTTTTGAGTTGACTTTTAAGTCATTTCTGACTGGACGGAGCTCGAGCGCTCTGCTCTGCGCACACATGTGAGTGTGGGATTTATGCGCATGCATGCGGGTTCAATCGAGACTGGGCCCATGCGTTCAGTTGCCTCCATGTGTGAGCTTTGGACGCAGAGACATCAAAGGGCCCTTTGTCTGCCCTCAGCCTCCCCCTGAAGATGCCCAGCATGACCCACAAAACGCCTTGCAGAAATGAGGAGCCAGACGCCCTGCATCCCTTTTTTCCCTTGTCTGCCCCCAATCTGCCCCACACGTTTCAGGTGCCCCGCTTGGCACTCAAGACGCCCTTCAGGGAGGGGCTGCTGCAGCACCTGGCACAGGACCTTGTCAGAATCAGCAAGGTAAGTTGAGGGAAACGAGCAAAGTTAGCTGAACTCAGCAAGGTATGAGCCTGGCTGTTCATTGCGTTGCATGCTGTGCTGAGTTGAGTTGTCCGTTTTTGGCTGCATGTGTGGCTGTAGCCTGTACTGTCATGTTTATTGCATTTTTTTTTTTTTTTCTGATTGTCTCCGTTTCCATTTTCAGGAAGGGTTGCAAAGACGAGGGTACAGGGAAGCCAACTTCCTCAAAGAGCTGGAGAACATCGCTGCTACAGGTACAGTATTTTTTGTGTGTTGTATGATGGGTGTGGATTTTTTTTTTCTAGTTTTTTTTTCCTTATTTAAGCTGGTCTGTCTGGGTTTTCTTTTGGTGATTGAAGAATGTTATGATGGATGTGGGAAACAACTTGCAACAGGTTAGCACTGTGTTCGTGCCGGGCATGCCATACCATGCCATGCCATGCCATATGTTGTCCCCACCAAATGCCATTTGTGCATTGCACATGCATCACATTTCTTCCTGCAGGTGTGACTCCTGCAGAGCGCATGTTAGAGGCATACCATGGCAGGTGGGGGGAGAGCGTGGACCCCATCTACAAGGAGCTTATTTACTAGTTTAGTAGCATTCAATGTACGGAATAAATGCAACTAAGTTTATTCTTGTCTAATACTCTCAAGGGGCGAGACCCTAGTCGTCTACTGCTAGATGCAGCTAGGTAGCAGATCCAAGAGTTAAGTGCAAATACATTCATAGCGGAAAATTCATATTGGGTCGAGTGCTTGGCATCCCGTTCCCAAAACCAGTCTCGAGGGTCGCTGTGATTGGCCTTCGCATCTACCCTTTCATGTGGACGTTTCGTTTCAGCGGAATTCCCAAGGCTCCATGGACGGTCAACCGACCACATCAGCAGCAAACCAGCCAGTTCGTCGCACAGAATTGCAACACCACCCACCACCACTACCCTTGCGTTGGTTTTGTTGCTCCCAGCTCTGGGGCTGAAGCCTCCGTTGAGCTGCAAGCTCTTGGACCCAGCATTAGCAGCGCATTTGAAGGCGTAAGAACGATAGCTTACTTTTACCGTCCCTGCGTCTCGCAGTTTCTTGCTCTGGTTTTTTTCTGGACATTATCGAATCCCCATCGTTTGCCTTGACGTAGATTTATAAACGTAATGCCGCGACATCTCCTCAAACCTCCTCAGGCTTTCTCCTTACTTCAAAATTCCCGCTTAGCTAAGTTAACTTACCTCTAGCGCTCCTTCATTCCGGCATTTTCGATTTCTTCGGCGTTCCGCGTGCTAGTTCAACCCGGCTTGCACCTTACAGTTCGGCTTCCCTTGGCTTGCGGTTTTCAGCTCGGCTTGCCGTTTCCGCCTTACAACTCGGATTACACCCGGCATTGACCGTCTTTCGCCTACCCAATCAACCAATTCCCACCTTTTCTCTGAAGCGAGTCCGCAATGTCGTGGATTCGGTCGAATCTGGCCAAGGTGGGCACGTTCGCGGGGTCCGTGGTGCAGAAGGCTGGCGATGCCGTGGAGCGCGGCGCCAAGATGGTGTACGAGCAGGCGGAGAGCGCTGTGGTGAGTTACACTGGTTTTTGTTAATGTTTTGTTGTTATTTCGTTCGCCTGACAGAGATGGGAGATTTGGGTCGGGGTGCAGAAAGAAAGGGAGGCAGTGAAGCGATGAGGTAGGATGGCCTACGAAAAGGCTGAGAACCCAATGGTAAGTTACCCAATTTATCAGCTAGACTAGGGGTGCAGCAGGCGAAGGGGACTGTGGTGAGCTGCGACATTTTTTTTGTTGCGTGAGAATTCGCGCTAGGTTGGGTTGTGGTGCACTCGGGGGGGATTGGAGCAAGGCACCTAGATGGAGTACGAGCAGGCAACAACGACGCGCAAGGAGCCTCGTTCTCCCTTGTATTTCCTCCCATCCCTCTATCATCCCTCTCTCTTCGCTCTCTCGCCGCTCCAGGTGGGTCAGCCGCACATCAGCTTCCGACACGCGGTGCGCCGTATAGAGGAGGTGGCGTCGCGGCAGCGAGGGCAAGGAGCCACTCTCCCTCCCATCCCTCTCCCATCCCTCTTCCCTCTCTCGTCCCTCCAGGTGGGGCGGCCGCACAACAGCTTCCGCCATGCGGTGCGGCGGATAGAGGAGGTGGCGTCCTATGCACGCGGCAGCGAGCGCAAGGAGGCTCTGGCGCGCTGGCTGGCCGCGCTCTCAGATATCCAGCAGGAGATCGACCGGCTGCAGGCACACTTTCAGAGGCGCAAGAAGAAGCAGGTGAAGGGGGAGCGAAAGGCACAGGAAGAGAACAGAAAGGAGGAGGTGATGGCAGAGTCTGCTGCCAGTGCTGAAGGTTCTGCTGAAACTGGGGCTTCTGGGGCTGCTGCTGAGGCTGCCGCCGGTGATGCTGGTGCCGCTGTGAGCTCAGGGCGAACGGAAGGAGTAGGAGCGGAGGGGGCAGTGACTGACAGAGCTGGTGGCGAAGGCAATGCCAGTGTTACTGAGGGTGACCAGGCCAAAGAGCATGGGGAAGCACAAGGTGTGGACGCAGGAACTTCAGAGGTACAGGCAGATGGAGCTGAGGCGAAGTCAGAGTCAGTAGCAGCAGAATCAGGCGGAGAATCCAAGGATTGGGTTGTGGGAGATGGAGCAGATGCAAAAGCAGGTAGCAAGTCAGAAAAAGCAGGTGATATTGCGGCAGCAGGAGAAGAAGCAGAGGAGGTGGCATCGATTGGAGATGGATCGTCGCAGGATGAGGCAGCACCGTCGCTGACAAAGTCAGCATCGACTGGACGGGCTTCCATGGTGAGTGAAGCACCGGCTTTGGGTGCAGTGCAGCCCGGTGCGGTACAGTGCAATGCAGTGCGGTGTGGTGCAGTGGAGCTCATTGTGGCTCACTGTCAAAGTCAGCATTGACTGGACGGGCGTCCATGGTGAGCGAAGCAACGCCCTGGGCGCAGTGCATCCTTGAGGTGCAATGCAGTGCAGTGCGGTCTTGAGATGCAGTGGGGCGACTCCCAACGGTGCAGTGCAGACATTCCTAAGAGTTCTTCATGACTCGGGCAATATAGATCTCAACTTGAATGAAAGAACGTTACTTCTTCTCCCTTTGCCCACCTGTCTTCTCCCTTTGCTCCTTTTTTTTTTTCCTCTCCCACCCACCCCTCTTCCTCCCTCCCCCACTCCTTCCCAGGTGCTTTTCTATGACCCAGACGCGGGCAACGAGGCCCTTAACTTCAGGGACGTGTTTCTGCGATCCAGTGCTCTGGAGCTCATTGTGGCATCCGTGGTGGTGGCGCCAGGGGATGAGGACGAGATGGCGCTGCTGAGAGGGCTGTTTGGGTGAGGAACGGGGGGAGGGGAGGGGAAGGGGTGAAGGGGGCAAGGAGTTGAAGGGGAGGATGAGAGTGAAGAGGGGAAGGGAGGGGTGCGTGGGAAGGGTTGGACTGACTCTCAGGTGAGCATGGCACTCTCGAGCTCATAGTGGCGTTGGTGGTGGTGGCGCCGGGGGATGAGGACGAGATGGTGCTGCTGAGAGGGCTGTTTGGGTGAGAGCTCGTGTGGGGAAGGGGGGGATGAGGGAGGTGTTTCAATTCAACCTGCTCACCGCATGGAAATGGGGAATGGGGGAAACCAGTCATTGACTCATTACTGCTTACTGCATATTCCACCTACCCATCTCTTTGCAAATCAGTTCCATGAGCCACCCAGCCCTTTCTCTGCTGCCATCTCTGTCACCTTGTACCCTTTTATTCCCTTTTAAACCTCTCCGAATTTCTCTGAACCGCTCTGAACCTCTCTGAAGCCCTCTACACCTTCCCAGACTCCTGCTGTCGTTCTCTTCCACTAAGTGCAACAAGCTGCTCACTGCCCCTGTGCTCGTCTCTGCTGCCAATCTGCCTCTCTCCATACCATTCCCCCTTCATTACCTCTGCACCCTTTTGTATCCCTCTGCACCCCTCTCTACCCCTCTCTACCCCTCTGCACCCCTCTGCACTTTTCTGAACCTCTCTGTACACCTCCCAGCCTCTGTCTGAACCTCTCCTCAACCCAGTGCGACGATCTGCTCACAGCCCTGCAGTCACTTGGCTGCTCCCTCTCTGCTTACTCCGAACTCAAGGTGTGTAGATTTTCACAACGAAACGTTGAAGGGTGGGAAGGGGTGAGAGAGGGTGGGGAAGGGTGAGAAAGGGTGGGGAAGGGTGTGGGGGCAGGAAACCAAATGGAAACCTGTATGTTGATATCTCCTTTTCCGCATCACTCCCACATTCTCCCCTCACCTTTTTGGCCCTCTGTCATCACTTCCTTCCTCCTACCTTTCCTCTTCTTCCCTTTTACCACTTCCTCCCGCTTTCATTACTTCCTCCCGCTTTCATTACTTCCTCCCGCTTTCATTACTTCCTCCCGCTTTCATTACTTCCTCCACTCCTTTCTCCTCCACTCCTTTCTCCTCCCCACTCCCTAACCCCCCTCGTTCTCCCCACTCTCCAGTCCCTTGCGCGTCCTCCCTACACTCTCCATCCCCTCACTCGTCCTCCCACTCACACCACCATCAGCTGTCTGTACAGTGATGTGACGTGTGCCGATTTGGCAGCAGTTGGTACCAAGTCATTTCAAAACTCTTCCTCCCCCCGTCCTTCCCTGCCCTGCCCTGCCCTCCCCACCACTGCCATGCCACTGCCACTGCCACTGCCACTGCCACTGCCACTGCCACTGCCAGTACCACTGCCACTGCCAGCTACCGAGTGATGATTTGGCCACAATGGTGGCAGAAACAATCACAGGGCTGAAGGTCAACTCGAGATTACTTTGAGATATCTCAAAAGTCCTTCTCTGCTTTCCCCTCCCCTCCCCTCCCCTCCCCTCCCCTCCCCTCCCCTCCCCTCCCCTCCCCTCCCCTCCCCTCCCCTCCCCTCCCCACCCCGCCGCTGCTGCTGCCAGCTGCCGAGTGATGATTTGGCCACGATGGTGGCAGAGGCGATCACAGGGCTGAAGGTCAACCCCGAGATTGAAAGGTGTGCAGTGCGGTGTGGTGGGGTATTGTGCGTTGATTTGATCCCCTGTCTTCCCCCTCACTGCCACTGCCCAGCTGTCAAGTAATGAACAGGTAAGTCGGCCACCATGGTGGCATTTGAGTCGACTCAAAAGTTGGTGGCAGAAGCAATCACAGGGCTGAAGGCCAACCCCGAGATTGAAAGGTGTGCAGTGCGGTGTAAGGCAGGGCAAGTGTGGTGTCGGCTTTAGGAGGGATGTGGTGGCCGCAAGTAAGACACAGGACTCACAGCCTACTGACTTAGAGCCGTGCTGCTTTCAGCAGACTCTTGAGGCGCCTCAAGACCCGTGCTACTTGACTTTTGAGTCGACTCAAAAGTCAACTCGCCTCAGGAGCCGTGCTGCTTTCAGCAGCGTGCTTTGCAGCTCCATTAGACAACCACATTATCTGCTGCCTCTGTGCCTGCAGCACACACACAGCCACTCCATTACTTTTCGATCCACCTGCACTCTTTCTCATCTCTTCCCATTCATCTTCCCCAGGGTTGACCTGGAATCGTGTCGCCTGCAGCAGCTTATTGCTGAGGCCGCCTCTGTAGCCGCCTCTGTGCCTGCAGCACACCAGCGTTCTGCCTCCTTCGTTGCTGCCTTCGACCTTGACGATCTTGCTACCGATGCTACTTCTGCCGGGGCTGTTGCGCCTGATGCTGCTGATGCTGTTGATGCTGCTGATGCTACCAGTGGCGCTGTTTCTGCCGGCAGTCGTGGTGGTGATGATGATGGTGGTGGGGGTGGGGGTGCTGATGGTGGTGACACTGCTAGCAGTGGTCAAGCCTCGACTGAAACTGCTGCTTCTGGCAGCGCTGCCTCCTCTTCCGAGCCTGCTGCACCTGCCGAAGCTGATGGAGCCGCCGCCGCACCTGCCACCACCGCCAAACCTATCGACATTCAATCAGAACCAGCAGCAAACGCAGCAGCCAGCCCACCACCACACACAATGTTTAGCCCACCCCCACACGTTCGTGACGCCGTAACGCACGTGAACGAGGTGGTAACCGCACGGTCGCGCGACGCCCTGCGCCTAGGTCTGCGCCTCCTAGCCTTAGAAAAGAAAAAGGAAGCGCTGTTACAGATGGGGGACACGCCGGGGGACAGGGCGCTGAAGGTGGAGCGAGTGAGCTGTCTGGCAGCGGAGTTGAGTGAGGGCATGGAGGGGCTGAGGAAAAAGGCTGAGGAGTGCCGCCAGCAGCGCCAGGAGGCCCTGGCTTATCGCAGCAGCAAGGCGCAGGAGGCCCGGGAGGCCGAAAAGGTGAGCAGAAAGGGACTTTTGTCCTTTTTTACCCCTTGATTACCCCTCTTTTTCCTCAAAACCGTGGGTTTTCTGGGCTGAGAGAGTAGGGGACACGCCGGGGGACAGGGCGCTGAAGGTGGAGCGAGTGAGCTGTCTGGCAGCGGAGTTGGGTGAGGGCATGGAGGGGCTCAAAAGAAGGCTGAGGAGTGCCGCCAGCAGCGCCAGGAGGCTCTGGCGTACCGCAGCAGCAAGACCCAGGAGGCCCGGGAGGCAGAGAAGGTTAGCTGGGCTGGGTGCAGGAGCTTCCTCCTTATTCCATCTTCCTGCTACATTCCCCACCTCTATCCCCCACACCAACACCAACACCAGGTACTGCTGGCAGAGGCACAGCAGGTGCAGAAGCGAAAGGAGGAGCTGAGGCGGGTGCAGGCAACTCTGCTTCCTTCCCTGCTCTCAATGGCCTGCTTACTTCATACTCACACCCCACACCAACACTAACACCAGGTACTCTTGGCGGAGGCCCAGCAGGTGCAGAAGCGAAAGGAGGAGCTGGAGGAGGAGCTGAGGCGGGTGCAGGCTGCTCTGGACGGCGTAAATCGGCGGCTAGTGAAGCTGGAGGAGGAGAAGGAGCTCTTCTCGCAGGCCAGCAGTGGAATCGAGGCTCACCTTTCTTCAGAGGTGAGTATGGATGATTGGAATTACAGCCCGAGTAAGCAACAGTAGTCTGTAAGTGCCACACCACACGAGTGGGTCGGTTACATAGGTCCTCAGAATCAAAACCCGAGTAAGGAATGGTGGGCTTTAAGTCCCTTGAGAGTGGGTCAGTTGTGCATGGGCGGTTCGTGAAGTTGGAGGAGGAGAAGGAGCTTTTCTCACAGGCCAGCAGAGGGATGGAGATTCGAGGCTCACCTATCTTCAGAGGTGAATCTTTACGCTCTCTGCCCTCCTATTCCCAATCAACAGGAGGAATCCCTCATGCACTCCCTGGTAGAGCATGAAGAGGACGCCAAGGCACTAGCGGGGTGGAAGCAGTTTCTGCAGCAGTCGTGGCAGCTGCAGCAGGCGAGCATGGAGGGCAAGGAGCGGCAGCTGAGGGAGGAGATGAGCGACCGCAAGAGCCGGTTTTGGGAAATGGCCCAGGGGCACGTGCGGCTGTGTAAGGTGCGTGCATGTATCGCTCAAGGGCATGTGCGGCTGTGCAAGGTACTTTCATTGCTGGTGTGTGTCTTTCAACTTTAGAAATCAAGGATCATTTCGAGAGACGTGGGGCAGCAGGTGCCTTTTGTCTTAGTTGCCTCGAAAGTCACCCCAGTGTAGGGAGTTGGAGCACCATAGCATGGAGGGCAAGGAGTGGCAGATGAGGGAGGAGACGAGTGACCGCAAGAGCCAGTTCTGGGAGATGGCCCAGGGGCACGTGCGGCTGTGCCAAGTGCGTGCATTGCTCGCAAGTTGTTTTCATCCTTCCAGATCGAGGAGCATTGTAGCGACTTGGTGCAGCAGGTAAATTTTGGGTTGACTCTAAGGTCACCGCATTGTAGAGCGGTGGATCAGCAGGCGAGCATGGAGGGCAAGGAGTGGCAGATGAGGGAGGAGATGAGTGACTGCAAGAGCCAGTTCTGGGAGATGGCCCAGGGGCATGTGCGGCTGTGCCAAGTGCGTGCACACGCCTCCTTCAATCGAGCCATCGTTTAGACTGACACCCCTTCTCAAAATGGGGATTCAGGCTTGGAAGCAGCAAGGAAATGAAAGGAATGAGTTGAGTCAAAGCTAAGGGGATCAGTACGGTCAAATCAAAGGACTGCTGCATGCACTTTCCTGGCGCCTTCTTCTCCCTTCCATTTACACTTTCTTCAGAGTTCTTTTGTTTATTTGACTTCAACCCCTCCTTCCGACCCTCGTTCCCTCCCTCCCACCTTCACACCCCCTCATGCTGTTCTCACCCCCCAATGCCTCGTCAGTCTGAGTTGGAAGCTTTTGGGCATTCGGCCAAGTCGATAGTGGAACGGCTTAATGGTATCAGAGCCAAGAGGTGAGCATGGGAGCACATTGACACGATGGAAATCAGCCCACATCGAAAAGTGCAGTAGCACACTCATGTCTCGGCCTGAGTTTATAGCTATAGTGAAGTCGGTTATGACACAATAACACATTCGTGCACTTCAAGTGTGTTTGCACCACCAGGGAGGAGCAGACAGAGGTGGTCGGCAGATTTGTGATACTGTGAGATGAGATGAGATGTGCTTCCTTGCATTGTGTTGCCCCTCCCTTCCCATCTTTTTGCAAGGTGCTTTTGATGATTATACAAAAAATAGGGGGGACACTTGTTCTCCTTGCCATTTTATCCTCCTGCGCCCCAACCCAACCCTGCCTTGCTTCACACTTTTACCCTGCCCTACCTCCTCCCTCCCTTTCCCCCCCCACTTCGGTCAGTCAAACACCAGGGAGCAGGTGGAGAAGGAGGGCAAGGACGGGGCTGTTTCAGACAGCAAGCACAGGCGGTCTGCGTTGTTTGCTATTTACCCCTGCCCCCTGCTTGCTTCCCTCACCTTCCCCCTACCACTGGGTCCCCAACACCAGGGAGCAGGCTGAGAAGGAGGGCAAGGACGGGGCAGTGTCAGACAGCAAGCACAGGCGGTTGCAGTGGGAGGAGCGATACATGGCAGCTGAGATTCAGGTGGGTCCTGTGTGGTGTAGTGCGGCACAAAGCTTATCTTGCATTTCCCAGGCAGCAACTAGATGTTTTATGCAGGTTTGTCTGTCATCTATTAGTCATCCATATGCTATCCACATGCCATCCACATGCCATCCACATGCCATCCACATGCCATCCACATGCCATCCACATGCCATCCACATGCCATCCACATGCCATCCACATGCCATCCACATGCCATCCACATGCCATCCACATGCCATCCACATGCCGCTCAACCATGTCCACCCATCCCATCACTCTGTCACCCCACCCCACAGGTGAAGCGGTGTACAGGGGAGGCCGAGATAGTCATGCAGGAGATCAGGGCCCGCATCATGCGTCTGACCATGTGCCCCCATGCCCACTCATCACTCGCTCATCACTCGCTCATCACTCGCTCATCACGTTCATCACCGCTCATCACTCGCTCATCACTCGTTCATGGCCACTCATGACTGCTCAATCACCGCTCATGACCGCTCATAATCATGTGCCCCCATGCCTCCCCACAGGTGAAACGGTGTACTGGGGAGGCCGAGATAGCCATGCGGGAGATCAGGGCCCGCATCTTGCACGTGGTCATGTGCCCTCATGCCCACTCATCACTGGTTCATCACCGCTTGTGACCGCTCGTGACCGCTCATGACCATGTGCCCCCATGCCTCCCCGCAGGTGAAGCGGTGCATTGGGGAGGCCGAGATAGCCATGCGAGAAATCAGGGCCTGGCTGGACTCTCTTACCTCCAGGTAACACCCTTTCTGGTTAAAGACTCTCTCTCCCCCCCCCCCCCCCCCCCCCCCCCCGGGATCGTCTTTTCTGGTTGAAGGTTCTTTTTCTTCCTTTCAGGTAATGCCTTTCGTGCTGATTGATCTCTCTGCCCCCACGTAAACCCGTTCCTAACTTCCTGCTGTCTCTTTTCTCAAGGCAGTGCCGTTTTTTGTTGCTTAACACCCACCCTGTCCGTGCTAGACTATGTCTACATGAATAATCGTGATTGTGAAATGGTTCAAATCTGTAATCCCACTGTTTCCAGTGGTCAACCCTGGTCGCACACCCATATGATACTCATGACCTCTGTGGTTTCCTGAATCCCATCCCATGTCCTGCAAGACTCTCAGAATTCCCATCAACATGACTCGCATGCCTCCCTCCCACCACACATTCTCTCCAGTGAGGATTCTTCCAAGCAAGCTCAAATGCGCTCACTTCTCGCCGAACTTGAGTCCCTTGTAGCTTCGGTCCGAGCCTCTGAACGCCCGAGCCTGTCTCTGGACCACCCAACCGTGCTCCGCGTGCAGAGGCTCGGCAAGTCCCCTGACTCGTGGGCCTCTGCCGAAGCTGCTGCTGCAGGCAGAGGTTCGGCGTTTCCTGGTACGGTGGTGGTGGCCCCTCTCTCAAGCTTTTCTGGTGCAAGCTCAACTGCTGCTGCGGCAGCTGCTGCTGCTGTTGCTGGTGCTGCCGGTACAACAGCAGCAGCAGGAGCAGCAGCAGCAAAGGCCAGAAGTGGCTGTTACAGCTGCAGCACAGGCTTCTGGAACTACCGAGTCTGGTAAACTGTTGAAGAAACCTGCACTTGTTATTGGAGGATCAGCTGCTGCTGGGGCTGGTGGGGCTGCGCCAACAGGAACAGAGGAAAATGTCCCCCCTACGCCTTTTGTCATTTCGGGCGGGGTCCGCCGTCCTGTAGCTCCTGGTTTCAAGGATAAGCAAGGCAAGTCAAAGATGCTGCAAGCTGGTGAGAGTGGTTTGGTGCAGAGCAAGCAGGGGAAGGAGAGCTTCAAGGGCAACAAGAGCATGGGTGAAGAAAAGGAGAAAGAAGGAAGGCCTGATGGTGCAGCTGAAACAGGTTCTGCTGAGGAACTTTGAGCAAATGCCTGAAAAGTGCTTACGGTACTTCAAGTTTGACCATCAACACAGATAAATAAATGTATTGCATGTGATATTGTTTTTGCTGTCTAGTTAATTGCTGTAGCCAGTATAGATATATTCTATATTTCCTTTTGAATGTAGCGTATTATGGGCTTCCGTTGTAGAGTATTTCCCACAGATGAGCCATGGCAAGCTATGGGGAAGGCATATGAAGCTTTCTAGACATGAAAATATACACACCGAACGAGATCACACTCTGTCGGGAAGCTGGGGAGCTTGAGAGCAAGGCGCAGGGCCCTGACATAGCTACAGGGGCAAGACAAGGCCACAAGGTGAAGCCCCTATTTTGCTGCAAGGTTCCGACGAAAACGAAACTAGGTAGTTACGACCAAAAAAGGGACCAGAGTCTGAAACTAAGGAGTGCACTTATCCTGCTCCCCTTCAGCCTCCCTAAACGGCACCCATATCTCGTTCACTCGTCCAATCAGCTCAAACGGCGAGTTATACTCCGCAATGCTGTACGCCTCTCCTCCCAAAGCTGCAGTAACATTCGCCCACGCTGTATTCGCCAGGCTGTCGCCAAGATTCGCCGCCTCCTGAGCGACGTTGAAATCAGTCGCGAATCCGGAGAAGGTTCGCACGGCGACGCAGAGCGACGGCGCGCGACGGATGTGCAGGTTGAGCGCGGAAGACGGCTTGGGGGGACTCTCGGCGAAGTTCTTCGGTACGAGGAAACGGACGAGGAAGGTGGAAGCACAAAAAGGACCGCCGGAGGGTTTGATGGTGGTAAGGACGGGAGCTGTCATCGGGATGGTGACGCCATCCTCGTTGCGACCCTGAATGTACTGGAACAGCCTGAAAAAAAGGAGAGGGAGTGATTCGAGAAAGAAAGAGATAACGAAACGGAAACGGAGAAATTTGAAGAAATTAGTCCACAGCCGAATTCGGACAAGAAGCGAGGAAAAAAAACTCCAGAGTCGGCAGGGTAAGCCGGAAACGGCTGGAAAGGTACAGACGGCTTTGGAAACGGATGGTGAGCAAGACGTGAAAAGATGACCAATTCAGGTTGCTTTGAAGTACCTGTGGAAGCCAGCGTAAACGGCTTTCTTAAAAGACACCTCGTTAATAGGGTCCGTCTCGGCCCAGACGCTGCTCCTGTAGCGTCGAATCTGGAAGTCCGACTCTTCGTGCACTAGCTCGTACGGCGGACACTCGATGCTCTTGCATGAAGACGAAGGTATGGGACCATCCGGAGCCTGGTGAGGAAGGAAGATTTTAGAGAGACCGAGACGAATCGACCCTGCAGCGTTAAAAGCAGAAGCAGTAGGGACGTGGGTAACGGCCAAGGCTAGGACTAAGGCCAAGAGCACGAAGAGCGAGACGCGAGCCATGGGACCAAATGTTGCCAGCAGCTCCAAACAAGAAAACTAGCAGTCTCACACTACACGGAGCAATTTAGAAATCGCAGCGAGAGAAATTTAGGCTTCTGAATGCTATACGCCTCGAATTCCTAAGGCTGCTGCAGACTGAGACTGCTCCTCCCGCACTGGTGTATCAGCTATACCAGCTCACAGTTCACACATGTCCTGTCCATGCAGGGCTGCGCTTTCTAGACACTCTAGTGTCATGAGACACCACTCACTGGCGTGGTGTGGAAACAGTACACGAAGCATCTGGAAGGATCAAATTTGCGAGGTTCGAAGGGAGGATGATGTGGGCGGTTTCGGGCGACTATTTCGAGGCGTGTGCGAAAAGATGGAGTGTGAATCGCATTTGGAATTGGTGTCTGGTTGAGATTGTCGCTGCGATGAAAGCGTCGCCTCGCCATCCATGCGTGGCGACGCGTCGCAGGGGTTTGAGGGAGTGCGTTGGCTGTGGACGAGTGTCGGCTATTGGTGTGTGCTTTCTTGAGAGAGTCGAGATTCTGGAGTCAAGGAGCCAGCTGTAAAGTATCAGACTGATTAAACCCACGTGGCAGTGGCATGTCGGCGATATTTTTGGGAGTGCTTTTGCCCATTGGATGGTGCTCTATTTCGAGCCTGCAACATTCCCCCCAGTCGAATTACAACTAATGCTCGTTAGAGCCCCTCCCGGTTGCCTTGTGAAGGGGGACTGTAAGCTAAAACACAATTTCGTCGGTTCGCCGTGGGTTTCGTCAGGCTTTGCACGTGCATTTAACGCGCACATGGTTACCACTCACTTTGTCCGTTATGTAACAGTGTCGGGTGGCACCTATTGTCACATGTGCGCGTTACCGAAATCCTTACGAAAGCAAAACAGAGCCGTAACGCCACATTAACATTTGTTCAACTTTGATTGAAACAGCTGACACACAAAGCCGGGCCAATCACAATCTACCACATGGCCACTCACCCCCGAGCTCAACATCGTCCCCTCTACAGCAAATTTGCCCGCTATGTGCACAATCCCAACACTTCACAAATTCTCAACAACTCCACCATCCCAACCTTCGACTCCTGCTCGCGAGTCCACAAAACCGACTCACAGCTGCATCCACTCAGCCGCCTCCACGTACCCGCCCATCGCGGCGCCAACCCCGCCGTCCAGAAGCTGCTGACGGCGGGACGGCTGGGTCATCCAGCCAGGCAGCACTCGGCCCCGCGGACGCGGGGTGTCTGCTGTCGGAGTTGCGGCAGGCGAAAGCCTGGGCGGCGGGGCCGTGTTGAGAGTGAGCGCGGGGCTTGCCCGCTCCATGCGCTCAATGATGATTGGATTACGAATGTCGAAGAGGTGGCAAAGGTCGCGCGGGGTCACGCTCACGGCGCGGGCATAGCCGATGAGCATCTCGCAGGCCGCCCGTGCCGTGCGCCGCGCTTCACGGCCCACGGGGTCGGAGTCGTCATACACCGCCTGCATCGTGGTCGGCGCCCTCCATAGCTCCGCCACACGGCCCACGTCCGCATCATCCGGAGTCGGCTCCGCCCCCGGCTCCGCGCACGTCGGCTCGCCTTCGTCGATCGCGACGTACTCGGCGGCGGTCATCGCGCCGGTGCCTAGGCCGAGTCCCATTATGAGCTCGCCGACGTCGTCGATGTCGTCGTCGAGCTCAATGTCGGGGTAAGCATGGGGGGTCGGCTCATCATCGTGCACATGAGTGAGCTCCATGGACCACGACAGAGGCAGGCAGCCCGTGCGCCACCAGCACCTCTGGATGGTGCGCGCACCGACACTCATCCAAGCGTCGGAGAGCCACCCCAGCACGTCGCGCAGATTGGGGCGGTAGTGGGCGACGGCGCTTGTGGCGCCGTCGTCGTTCCACAGTGCCGTGAAGGCCCGCAGCCAGTGCTGGCGGTAGCGGGTCTTCGCAGTGGCGATTATGCCCTGGTCGAGGGACTGCGTGAAGGCGGTAGTGTTAGGCGGCAGGAAGATGAGGCGCACGTTGCTCAGGCAGGTCGTCCTCATGCCGCACACAATTTCGCTCCACCCGCTCTCGTCCCGCAGCATGTGCGAGCTTGCATTGTCGAGCAGCACCGCGATGTGCCGCCCTTCGGCATACATCGCGGCATTGAGCTGCGAGATGAAATGCGTGAACAACTGTTGGAGGGGATTGGGAGCATCAGGAGTAAGAAGGGGGGGATTAAACATTAATATAACACAAAGTTATAAGAACAGTTGCACAATAAAAACCACACGGTCGGAAAACACTTACCGGGCTGGTCATCCAACCCTTAGCGTTGTGCCGCCAGTAGCAAACGGATTCGGGGTCGTAGTCCGGCCGGAAGTCGTGAGGACGGCGCGCCTTGCTGATGACTAACGGCCGGAAAACATGACTCCCGTCGGCGTTGACGAGAAACGTCACGGTCAGCCGGTCCTTTGAGACCTTGCGCCCGGGAATGCGCGCGTTGCTGTATGTTTTCCGAGGCAGCACAGAGAGCCACAGCGCGGTCTCGTCAAGATTGAAGGTGTCGCGCGGCTTGTAGCCGAGGTGAGTAAGAAGCTGCGGCACCTTCTCACGCGCTTCACGCACAGCAGCCATGTCGGCGCTCGCCGCCTCGCCGGTGGCGGCACGGCATCGTACTCCCTGGCGCCGCAACGCACGGCGAACCCAGCCAATGGAGCAACGGAACACGGGCGGAATGCCCATGTTGCGCGCCATGGTCGCCACGTGGTCGCGGATCGTCTGCAGAGTGAGTGGTACGCCCGCGGGGCCAGCGTTAGCGATCCAGCGCGCCATGGCCTGCTCAAGCTCAGGCCATGCGCCACCTCGACGGCGCACTTGATTGGCGGCAGTGGGTTCGGTGAGCGCCCAACGATCGGCATTTTTCAGGATGCGGCCGACCGTGGAGCGGTCAGGTCGCAGGCCATACTGGGCGTAAACCCAGCGGGCGAGATCTACGTGACGCAGGAGGGGGTGCTCGACGTGATGCGCGCATAATGCGCGCTTTATATGCAGCGGAAGCTGCTCATGGCGATTAAACCGCGGCATGGTGGGACGCTGTGGCGGGTGAGATGAGAAGTGCGCTTTAGTGAATCTGTGCATCGGTTTTTAAGTTGGGTTGGAGGACGAGGCTGATCGTTGCTGGGGCCTGTTCAGAGGGGGGGGTTTGATTCGTGTGGTGGTTGTTCGTTGCATGCACCCTGCTTACAATTTAAAACATGTGGCTGGGTTACCACCAGGGTGAAAATCTGACGTGGGGTAGGCGAACAACGCCTGGTTGTTAATGGGCTTGTACCCCACAAGTGCAGAATACACGTGGCAGCGTGCACTAGCCCATATGTCTGTTACACGCACCATGATACTCGCCTAGGTGGCGAGGCAGGTGGGCGAATGCACTTACGAAACCTATTTCATTTCGTCCAGTCGTTTCGTCATGTTGACTCCTGGCCTAGAAACAAGGGAAAACATGGGTCGGCAGTGCTTGTTGTGGTCTGCACGTGGGGGGGAGGCCGGGCCGCGTGCACTGTAGAAAGCCATCCATGTGCCTGTACATGGGGTGCAGCAAGCAGGGGTTTCGACCTCGGGGGCAGCGTGTCCATCCGGTGCATGGCAAATTCGCGTGCACTGGTCGGGCATCAATTGTACCGCAATATTCATCGTACAGTAAGCACCAGTAAAACGAAGTTGTGCTTCAATCTACACTTTGCGGTTATTCACACAACGTACGTTCACAGAAAGTGGTGGAAACCGAGTATCCGAGTGTGTCTTTGTTATTCAACCTGTGGAGTGGGGTTCGTCTCTGTAACGAAGATGGCGCTTAGGGCGCGTGTCCTTATAAAGTGTTTTGCAAAACTCGTTTTTTTAGTTGAACTTATACCATTTGAGCCTAGGTCGACCTAGGCTCGACCATGTAGATTCATTTTGCTCGAGCCGCTGTTCCTCGCTTCACATGTATCACACAGCACACAAGAGTTCGATTAGCGAAGTTCAACTTTGAACAATAATTACCGAGTCGCGCTAGCCTATCGTAGGTTACCCGGTTGGGCAGTGCAATTCGTGACCGTATCCGGCTACAGTAACCATGTGCGAACGACCTCGTTACTGTCGCGAACCTCCTAAATTTTCGTACGTGCGCGGCAGGACACACGATTGGACAAATGTAGATGTAAAAAATCGAGCGCATGTCGACTCTAGTTCAGTGTCCAACTTCCTTCACACATTCTGAACTAGGACACACGACGTCCTCGCGAAATGTTCGGCGAGATTAACGAAGCTGGCTACCAGCAAGAGTTCAACTTTTTTTTCGAACTTCTACACCAAAGGACACGCGCCCTTACCCCAAAGTTGTCGCCACAAACCAACGGTTTCGATGCCTTCCATGCATCCGTTGACGGGCCCTAGCATCCCCAACGACTAGTCCCTCCACCCAAACTCCCCTAAACGCCCGTGTTGACAAACAGCTCCCAAACCCACCGTAATGCTCCTGATCCACCACCGCACCACAGCACCACCAAACCAAACCACAGCTTTTCCCATACCTGCTACATCCAAACGTGCCCCTCCACACCACCTACAAACCACCTACCCCGGGCCACGTTCACTTGCCCAAACTGCTAGCTTCGGTACCAAACAGAACTCTGGTGATTTCCTCGGCATTCTCCAGGTTTGTGCTCTACCTGTTTCTCCATTGGCTCGGCTCGGCACGGCAGCACTGGCTGCTCGTCCTCTCCGCAAGCGTGAACGAGTTTTCGTGGGCCTTGCTGTATGTGCTTTACGACTCTCCCCCCCCCCCACACTTCCCTCTCACATCCCCGCCAATCCAGACTCCTATTCCCCCTACACTTCTCTTCAAGTCCCCAATCAGCACAGCGTTTTGGCATTTCCGTAATTATATTTACAGCTCGGTAGCTCTGCATGGTTCAAGGCGCATATGCTGCTACTACTGGTGTTGTCACCTTCGTTACCAAGCCACTCAGCACTCAGCACCTACCCTCAGACCCATTCACAACGGCGCTACCATAGTATACTGATTTAAGAGCCACCTACCACGAGTGAGTTGGAAAGGAGGAAATTCAATTTAAGAGCTTTTTGTCAAATCGCCATGGCAGAGCCAAGTGGTCCTGGTCTTCTCGCTCCACCTAAGTCCCTTCCCGGTGGTTCCAGCGCACCACCCATTAGAAAACCAGTCATAGCGGAGGAACGACAGGCGAAGGTTAGCAAACCCTAATTTCCCGAATGTTTGTCCTTATTCGATGTGGCTGCTCCTCAGTTCGGTTCTTCAACGTTTCTGGGCTGTCTTAAAACGGGCATAATCGTCTTTTATCGTCTTCCTCTTGTTCGGAGCTCTGCTCATCATGCCCGTATGCACATTTCACCGCTGCTTATTTAACGCTTTTTTAAACTTCCTTCTGCTCCCCCTCTCGTTTCTTCAGGGTACTATCCCGCAGTTCGGGCAGTTCGGTGACAACAATGTCGGGTACACGGGTGTGTTCGCTGTAAAAAAGCAACAACGAAGACAAGGCGACGACGACTTGTTTCCGGAACCTCAGCCGATGGGCACTTTCGATCAAAAGCCCGAGGCTACAACGGCCCCTCCAGTAAGTTGTTCTCTAGTTGAACATTGGCTCTTCCGGCGGCACAATATCACCAAGCCGGTTTTCAACGGCAAGCAAAGATGTGAAATACTGTGCTATCCGACTGCCATGTAGTCGTAGGCTTCGGAAATAAATACGATTTGCTAATCTGCTCAGGTTCAGCTCCACACCCAATAAAGGCCTGTCTGACGAAGTCCTGATTAGTCCCCAGTAGTTGACGTCAATATGCACGCCTCGCGGATCAACGCTACTCAGAGAACGACGCATGCACAGCATCTCTAACGCTTCAACTGTGCTTATTGTTACCCCAAAGACCATCAGATAGCATTTTTTAGGACTTACTTTTGGGATTTTGCAGCAACTGTAAAGCTGACGGTAGAGTCAGTGTGGGGAGGGGTCAGTGAGGAAAAACAGCCGAAGAGTATCCGCCCTTTTTGTTGCAAGAACGAGACAGACGAACGGCTAAGTTAGGTGTGCAAGAGCTTTGCTGTGGTTGGCAAGTATTGTGGTGTCATTTCGGTGTCCTTGTCATTTCATAGGTCGTCAAATTCATGTATTCGAGAAGTTCCAGACGTTAGAGTGTTTAGGTAAGGTCAAGTACGGTATATTGGTGTAATGCCGGTGGTGGTTGTTGCAAGGGGTCCTGCAGGTATTATTTGGTTGTTTGATGAGCACAAGGCTGGGATGTTGGTTTCTTGTTCTTGAAACAAAATGATGTCTGCCGAAATCTTCGTTTCTAAAATGCTGTGTTGCCGCCATCCCCTCATCCTCTCTTGCTTTCCTCTTTAAAGCCCTCTCAACCTCTGCCTAAATCGTCTCCCTTGCTTATTTCCATCTGCAGGCTGATGCGGCTCAACAACACTGTTGCCTGATTTTATAAGTCAAACGAGTCTCTGCTGCTTTTGGTACCCCCTGGACTCGAAGCATGGCCTGCTAATTCACTGTTGTCCCAGTCATCTCTCACTCGGGTGATCCTCTCTTGTTTTGCTTGTGAGCTCTTTCTTGAGGCGCTGGTGCATAAGGTAAACGTTTGGTGGCAAACGATGGTGGTGTGGTAGTCTAGGTAAAGATGCTTGTGCCTTCACCCATTGTACTGGTAATGTCTGCCAGCTGGCGTGTTATTGTACTAGAAGCCAGCTGTCATGGTGGTACTGCTTGCTGAAGATTGTTTGACGGGGTTTTTGCATAGCTGTATCTAGTAGGACTTGATCTCCTTTTTGTTCTCTTCAAATGTATGCAGCTAGTCAGCTTTAGTAGTTTGTATGTGTAACTAACCAGTCCTAGTTTCTATACCATAGGAAACGCACTGTACACCATGCATCCGCAACTGAAGCACTGTTACAATGCAGGTCACAAAGTAATTCTCACAAGTGCACTGCAATGGAGCTCCATCAGTCATTTGTCAAGTGGTAGTCGGAAAAAGGAAATACCGTATACAGTACACATCACACGAGTCAGTCAAGCAAAGAGGAACCCATTGTCACATTCATTCAGTCGCCTTCCCTAGTCCACCGTTTCCTAATTCACCTTGCCACTGTTACACGGGAGTTCAAAAAACCCGCCCCGTCGCTTAGGATTGCCTCGCATCCCATCACACAGCACTGCACTGCATCACCTCCCATCCCATCGCACAGCACTGCACCTCATCACTTGCGCATCTCCACCAGCTTCACCACCAGATCCTCCAGGTCTTTCGGCCGAATCGGCTTGGTCAAAAAGTGGTTCATGCCCGCAGCAAAGCACGCCTCTCTCTCAAAGTCAAACGCGCTGGCAGTGAGCGCAGTGATGAACTTGGGCGGCCGGCTCGGCAGCAGCTGCTCTGCCTGCCGGATCTGCCGAGTGGCTTCCAGCCCATCCATCTCCGGCATGTGACAGTCCTGGAGAGGGAGGAATCAGAGGGGAGAGAGGAGGTTGGGAGGGGAGAGAGTGAGATGCTGAGCTGAGCAGATGTGTGAGTGAAGGCTGCACTCATGCAAAGCCATGACATAACCTTCTCCGAAATGAAACAGGCTACAGTACTCACCATGAGAATGAAGTCGTAGTGGTTGCTCTCGCACGCATGCAGTGCCTTCAGTCCATTCTCCGCCACCTCGGTGGCAATCCCAAGGTTCTTCAGCATTCTGGTTACCACCATCTGGTTCACTGTATTATCCTCCGCAACCAAAACTTTCCACGTCTTGACACACTCAGGCAGCTGCGTGGGTGGCTCGTCGGTAAAAACTTTCTTGTGCCCGTGCCCGCCGTGCCCATGCCCTCCTCCTCCACCTCCTTTCCCGGCGTCTACAAGAGAGTGGGCGCTGCCGGTTCGTTTCACGGAGGCCAAGGGTGAGGTGAGAGGGATGGATGGGGAAGATTTGGAGCAAGGGGAGCGAGGAGGCCGCTCCTGTGTCCTGCAGCGCCGGGGGGGAGGGCCCGAGGATTCTTGTAAAGAGTGCGATGTGAAGGATGAGGAGGGTTTAGTGATGGCGATGGACACTCGTCGACCATTGCTGCCATTTCTGGTCGTGCTGCTGGTGGTGCTGGTGGTGCTGCTGCTGGTGGTGTTGTTGCTGGCAAGATCTTTGAGGTTGGTTGTGCTGCTGCTCCTGTGCACACTGCTTCTGCTACTGCTGCTAGAACCACTAGACCTTTCCGTGAAGCTGTTTACGCTCCTGGCCCTTTGGATGCTTCTGCTGCTGCTGCCACCACTGCTGCCACTGTTGCTGTTGCTTTTGTTGTTGTTGCTGTTGTTGTTGTTGTTGCTGTTGCTGTTGCTGTTGCTGTCTGCACTCCTCTCTGCACTCCCTCTGCTGCTGCCAGTGGTGTTTTGTCGCCCAGATTTACTCCTGCTGCGGGTGAGGAAATTCCCCTCCAATGCACTCGGTTTCAGTAGGTGATTATCGCTTTTAGACTTGCTGAACAGGCTTCTTACAGCAGAGATTGCAGCGGGGCTGGGGGGAGGCGGATAACTAGGAGCAGCAGGAGCAGCGGGAGCAGCAGATGCAGTGGCAGCAGGGGTAGGAGCAGCAGAGGTGGTGGGAGGCCAGGTGAGAGTGGGTGAAGCAGGGATAGCTGGAGCGGCAGGAGATGCTGCAGGGGGGTTAGCATTGCTGGTACAGTTGCTGCTGCTGCTGCTGCTGCTGGCGGTGCTGATGCTGGCATTAGCAGATACAGAAATGGGCAGAAAGATTTCTTTTGAATCTGCCCGGCGCAGGGCCTTCTTGTGACGAGGGGTTGGGCTGCGGTTGAGTTTCCGACTCCCTGCAGGCCAGATAGACCTAGAAGCAGAAGAAGAGGTAGGAGTTGTCATTTGGGACCGCGAAGTCTCATAAGTTGCGTCGCTGTCGCAATCCATGGAGTGATGTTTCGGCATTACGCTCCTGTGTGTTGCTGTTGCTTCCTTGTGTGATGCTTCTTTGCTCCCTCCCTTGTGAGAGCGAGACTTCCGCGGCCGGCCAATGGCGATTTCGGTCGCCGCCCGGACCAAGTGCCTTGCCCAATGCTCCTCTTCGTCATCCGTTTCCCTCTCCGACACGCTCCCCTCTCCTTCATCTCCTTCCTCTCCTTCCATGATGTTCATATCATCCTCTATCCCTTCTTCGTCCTCTTCTTCCGCAATCTCATCCCACTGCTCGCCCTCGCCCTCCTCGTACTCGTCTTCCTCTCCCTCCTCCTCCTCTTCATCCTCGCTCTCATCACCAATGCTTTCTTCCCCGTCACTCTCCGCATCACTTGGAGCAGGTTCTGTCACCCCGAGGCACACAGTAAAGGTGAAGGTGGACCCCTGGAGAGAAAGGGCACAAAGTTTCAGTGGAAAACCAAACCAAAGATCAAGCATCTAATGGATGAGGCTTTAAGAAAATCTGTAAAAGTTTTGAGAGCTGGGAAAAAAAAAAAAGAGGCTCACCTTTCCTTCTTCGCTTGAGAGGGTTATTTCGCCGCCCATCAAGTTGACGAGTGCCTTGCAAATGGCTAGGCCAAGGCCCGTCCCTCCAAAACGGCGACATGTGGAGTTGTCAGCCTGGACATAAATCAGTGAGGACATTGTCAGCAAACAAGCTACACGTGTGCAACACTCAGATTGACACAAGTCTATACGGCAATAAGATTGATAAGAGTGACAGAAAAAAGGTGTAGTTATTTTGAGACGAACCTGATTGAAGGCTTGGAACAAATTCTTCTGCGCGTGGGGGGGGATTCCTATCCCCGTGTCTTTCACTTCGAACTGCACCACCACCTTGTCCATTTCCGCGTTTTCTCTTAGCGGCTCCAAACTCGAGAAGGATTCCCGCCGCTTTCCACGGCCCGGAGCGTGCGGATCCACAAGGCTGACGCGCACCGACACGTGTCCGCCGGCCGACGTGAACTTAATCGCGTTGCTGAGTAAATTAGTGACCACCTGACGCACACGCATGCAGTCTCCGAAGACCTCGATAGGGACGTCCTTATCGACTCGCGCTTTAATGCGGATGTTTTTCCCGGTCGCGGATCCGCGGAACAGCGCGACGCAGTTGCTCACGTTCTCCCGCAACCGCCAGTTGCTGAAATCGAGGACCATCTTCTCGTTCTCGATCTTGCTTAAATCGAGGATGTCGGAGAGGATGTGTAGGAGCCCCTCCGACGACGATCTTAGGGTTTCAAGCAGCGAGCACTGCTCCGGCGAGAGCGGCGTCGCGAGCATCAGATCGGCGACGCCGATGATTCCTGGACTCGGAGCAAGAAATGGCGGGAAAGGAAGAAAGGGGAAGAGTGGGGATGAGTCGCATGTTCAGCATACGTAATTTCGTCGCCGCGAGGTTCTTACAACGGGGTAAAAGCGAACGGGGGGAGAGGACGCGGGGAGAGAAACGAACGGGGGGAGAGGACGCGGGGAGAGAAACGAACGGGGGGAGAGGACGCGGGGGGGAAAACGAACGGGGGGAAAACGAACGGGGGGAGTGGACGCGGGGAGAGAAAACGAAATACACAAGTGCGGAAATCCTCACCGTTCATGGGCGTGCGGATCTCGTGGCTCATATTCGCCAGGAACTGCGTCTTGGCTTTGCTCGCCTTCTCCGCCTCCGCCTTCGCCCTCCGCAGCTCCGCCTCCTGCTTGCGCGCCTCCGCCATGTCGTGCCACACCATCAGATACACCGGCTCCCCGAAGAAATTCACCATCTTACATAGCACCTCCACCGGTACGTCCTGCCCTTCCTCGTCCTCGAATACCCAGTCGAATCGGTACCGCTTCTCCCCGCCGACCGCGGACGCGCCGCTGAGAACCGTCGCGCCCGGGATCCCCCCCGCGGAGCCTCCTCCCGCGGAGCCTGCGCCGGCGCCGGTCGCGGGCGCGGGGACGTTGTTGCTGGCGGCGAGATCGTCGAGGACTGCCTTGAGGAACGCGGAGCGCTGGCCTGAGGGCTGCTGCGGGCGGCAGAGCTCCCAGGGGGTCTTGCCGAGGAGCGACTCCTTGGTTCCGCACTTGAGAATGCGAATGGCCGACTGGTTGCAGTCGAACACGCGCCCGTCCTGGTTCAGCAGCAGCTTGGGGTCCTGAGGTTTGAGGGAAAGGGGAAAGGGAGAGACAGAGAGAGACAGAGGGAGACAGAGAGAGACAGAGGAAGACAGAGGGCCAGAAAAGGTGAGAAAAGTAGAGCATGCAGTTGGAAGAAAGCTACGGATTGCGTGGAGGGTTCAAGCGGAAGGGGTGGTTCTAGCGAGAGAGCGAACAGAGAGAGCGAGGCAGCACGCACTGAGGAGAGCTCAAAGAGCATGCGGAACTTCTCCTTGAACCCCTTGAACTGGTTCTTGCGGCTCTCGGTGATATCGTTCACGAGCCAGACGTGGTCCAAAGCATGCATATGCAAAGAGGCCATAATAGAGAGACTGGGGCAGCACGCAACGAGGACAGTTCGAAGAGCACGCGGAACTTGAACTGGCTCTTGCAACTCTCGGTGGTATTGTTCACGAGCCACATGCAAACCACACACACACCTACCTTTGAGTCGACTCAAAAATAGGCACACCTACGAAGGAGTGCTCTGAGGAAAGTTGGAAGTGTCTTGCACACACTGAGACACCGACAGAGGCAGCTCCACGTACCGAGGACAGCTCAAAGAGCATGCGGAACTTGAACTGGTTCTTGCGGCTCTCGGTGATGTCATTCACGAGCCACATCTCCCCCAAATCAAACCGGTACGTCGTGACGTCCACCACCAGCTTCGACCCGTCCTTCTTCTTGATCTGCTGCACCGTGTTCGTCACATCCTTGCTACTCCCAGACACCCGTCTCGCCTCGTGGAGCTGCCGAGCGCGGCGCGCCTTTTCGGCGTAGAGTGTGGCGAACCATTTGTCGACGCTGTTGATGGAGCCCTTTTCGCAGCCCAGCATGGCCTCGAGAGTGCTGTTCACGAGGACGGTTTCGCCCTCCTCGCCCGCATGCGAAATGAGCACTGCGCCAGCTGGGAAGTGCTCCACCATCATGCGGTAGTTCTCCATGTGTTGCTCCTGAGAGGGGGGAGATTGTGGGGAAAGGGGAGGCAGGGAGAAGAGATGGTGGGGTGAGGAGAGTGTGGTGAACCACTTGTCAACGCTGTTGATGGAGCCCATGTCGCACCCTAGCATGGCCTCCAGTGTGCTGTTCACGAGGACGGTTTCGCCCTCCTCGCCCGCGTGGGAGATGAGCACCGCGCCGGCTGGGAAGTGCTCCACCATCATGCGGTAGTTCTCCATGTGTTGCTCCTGAGGGGTGCAGAGGGGTGAGGGTCGGTCGGGAGTGGTGAGAGTGAGCAGAGCGAGCGCCCGTCAGCTGGCCGGGAAGTGCTCCACCATCAAGCGGTAGTTCTCCATGTGTGTTGCGTTTGAGTCGACTCAAAAGCAGAGTCACCATCACAATGCTTACTAGGGCCTTTTGCGTTTGAGTCGACTCAAAAGCAGAGTCACAATCACAATGCTTACCAGGGCCTTTTGCGTTTGAGTCGACTCAAAAGCAGAGTCACAATCACAATGCTTACCAGGGCCTTTTGCGCGCTGATGTCTTGGAACATGCAGAGCACCGCAGTGTGCTCTCTGACTGCTGCTCGCCCCGCCTCACTCCCACTTGACCCGCTTTCATGGCTGCTTGTCCGACTCATGTTGCTGGCATCTGTGTCCCCGGCAACAGCAGCAGGAACGGCAACAGCAGGAGCAGCACTGGCACCAACAGCACCAGCAGAACCAGCAGCACCAGCAGCCGCTGCAGCTGTTGCGGCACCAACGGGAGTGGCAGCAGTAGATTTAGAGGCAGGTGGGGTGGCAGCAGGCGCAGCAGCAGAAGGGGCAGCAGCAGAAGGGGCAGCAGCAGAAGGGGCAGCAGCAGAAGGGGCAGCAGAAGACGAGCCAGAAGTGGATAGGCTAGTCATGGTGATCCGAACTGCCACTGTGGTTCGGTCAATCTTTCTCAACCGAATCTCCTGCTGCGTCCACTCCTGGATACCCTGCTGCACCTTGCTGTACTCCTCCTGAATTGTTTGAGAATGTGGGAGGAGAGGGGGGGGGAGGGGGGGAGGGGGGGAGGGAAGTGAGGGTAGAGGAAGGGGAAAAAGGAAAAGGTTCTGCAGCAGGAAGACATATTTTATAATGACGAAAATGGGAGTGAGTACTGTGAAAGTGATGATTTAAGGCATAGTGGGAGCGAAGGTAAATAGAAAGAAGAGAGAAAAAGGGGATAAGTTGTGCAATGATATGAGGGTGAAAAGAACGCGTTTGACAACTTACAGCAAAAGTAGCCGCCTCAGATTCTGCAACGAAGTGTTGTAGCGTCTGCCCCATGATGTACGGCTCTGGGAATCCGAGGATGCTTGTTGCGCTGGTGTTACAGCTGGTTACCACACCGTCTACACCTTCCAGAACTACTGTTCCAAGTCCAGCGTAGTTCTGGAGCTGCAGCACCGCTTGCGCTTGCTGCACCTCCCGCTGCTGCTCGGCGTGAGATGGGAGGACTTGCACTGCAAGACAAGGGGAGATAAGAAGGATTTTGAAGGAATGAAGTAGTGCTAGATGATAGAAAGGAGAAGAATTTACAAAGTCAAAGAAATGCACTGTGCTTTTGCGGCTGCACCTCTCACCATTGGCTGTGTCGCACCTACTGATGATGCTGGGCTGGGAGAGAACAGAAGAGGCGAAGTGTTTAGGGAAAGTTACCTGTTGCAACAAGGTCCTTGGAGGAATTTAATTGGAAGAACTGTAGCTCGACCGTAACTCGCCGAAAGTCACCCGACTCATCCACCTCCGCTGCACTCATCCCCGATACAAAATCGCCTTCGCCCGACATTTCCCCCTCCTCCCCCCGCGAGCAAACCTCCCCCATGCGTGTATCGGCCATCTCCGCTTCCCCTGACATCACAGTTTCGACTCCGCCAGCTGTATTACCCCCACGTCGAACACTGACCCTTCCCTCCGCTTCCCCTCTCCGCTTGACCGAATTTGACCCGAACAAACTCTTCAGACCTTTCCGCCATTCCCTCCCCCGGCCCGCTGGCCTCAGCTGCGGGGGCTTGGCTGCGTGCGTAGAAACGCCTTCCGCCGACCCTTCCGCCTGCGCTGGCTCTCCGCGCTGTTCCCCGTCGATTTGCATCCGCTCCTGCTGCGACTGCTGCGGCGAACCCTGCAAGCTCATTTCCCCAGATTCGCTCCCCGTCGCACCTTTCCCCCCACGTTTCTCCGTCTTCCGTCGAATCGACATCATCCTTCCAGCCCCTCGCCGTCCCGCGCTTGCGCTGCCTCCTTCGCTGGGCACCGGCGAAGCAGCGCTGCTGGCCGTCGTTCCTTCCGCTTCCGGCGGCGAGGGGAGGGCTGGAGTGGGCACGCGCGCAACCGTCAGGCTTGCGCCCAGTCGACCCGAGCCAACCGCGTTGGGAGTTCCGCTCATGGCGGGAAGACAGTTTCCGATGATGCTGTTTGGGGAGGGGGTTGGCGGGGAGGCAAGGCCGCCGTCCCACGGGCTCGAGCCGCTGTGCGGGCCGCCGTGCCGGCCGCTGCTACTGCTGCTTCGTCCGCTGCTGCTGCTGTCGGTCGAATCCGTTGCTGGAAGGAGGGGTGGGAGGGACGACGAAGACGGAAGCTTCTGCGACGCTTTCGGAGACGCACGCAATATCGAAGGGGTCCGGTCACCCGACGAAGCGCACTCTTTTGGGGCTTCTTCACTGTACGCACTCGCCGCGGGTTCCACGCCCCAAACGGAGGTAGGAGCGTCAGTTCCGGCGCTGTTCCCGCTGCCGTTCGCGCTGCCGCCATTTTCGGGAATCGCTTCGTTGCAGGAGCCCGCTCGACCAAACGACGCAGTCCGTATTCTGCGGGGATATGACCCGCGACCCGCACCAGAAGAGTCGCGCCTCGCGGCAGTAGCATCAGTGGAACTCGAGCCAGTGGAATAACCACTGCCACTGGAGGGCAGTGATGGTGGTGTCGGGATGGTCTTAGGAACGTCAATTTCCGGTAAGTCGACTTTTAAGATATCGCTGGATCGAGTGGAGTTTCTACCACTAAAGGTGACCGAACCGGCATTGGCCTGACCTGCGGGGGCCAACCAATCGCTGGAGGCGCGGCTCCCGGCTGGGTCAATCGCGGCCGTTGCAGTTTGTTGAAATGAACGGTCAGATGACGACGGCCTGGATCCTTTCGGAGTAACTGCCGTTGATCTCCTCGGAGTTGCCATTGACGGTGCCGCGGCCGCTGATGACGTGGACAATCGCATGGACATTCGAGGCTGCTTGGCCCGAATGATCCCGGGCAGATGAACTTTTTCCACCTTCCCGCGGCTGAGCTGGCGAATCAAATGGCGCCATTTGTTTTGCGACAGGAAGGTAATATCGAGAAGCGACGTCTGGTCATTGATAGCTGGACCCAGCGTTCGCGACGCGCCTTTACTCGAGCCGAGAATCGCGGCGGTTGACGGGTCGACGAGGAACTGAACCGCCATGGATTGCTGCACGATTGCCGCCATCCCCGGCGGCTTGGGTGCGGCACACAAGGCGGGACCTGCGGCGCCATTTGCGCCGACAGAGCCGCCTCCACCAGCCATTGGTCTGTGCGGTTTGCCTACTTCTAGAACTCCCAATGCGCTTAAAACGGTCCTAACGGCCTTTTCCCTCACCGTGCTGCGACCGAGACGCGGTATAGAGTAAGATATTTAGGACGTAATTGATAAGATTACATGCAGCTCGGTATCGACTGTTGCTACATGCCCGATCATAGTCAAATCTTTGAGCGAATTGACGCAAGGTAACTAATGGGGTCGGTCGGAACGTCAGAGAGTCAGCGTGTTAGGAGCTGAACTATTTCCTTAGATTTTGAAAAAAGGAAGAAACCCTGAGGTGATTTGCCGTGTCTAGTCTCGTCTAGAATGCTCGTTGGGAAATCTCTTACAACAGTAGTAAGAGACTGTGGATTGTCCCTCACGTTACAGTATTGCCAGAGCGACAATTCCTAGTGGATGGATGCGAATTCGAAACGCGAGGGTCTAAGCTGAACGTCCTGACTGAAACTCCCAAGGGCTCCACCGTGACCCTTCGTGAACGTGAAACGCCAATTTGCGGCCACAGATTCTGAGTTATTGTGGGCCGTGTGTATTGCTGCCTTGGGTTGGGATGGGAATCAGGGGTACACTGTACAGTATCAACTCGCTAGAGGAAGAGAGTGAGAGGAAGCGAGTAAGGGAGAGAGAGAAAGGATGATAAGCTGCGTGTAAGCTGCACAGCGCACGACAGCAGACAGCGTAGACGTATCTAAGCTTTAAAAAGGAGGTAAGGTACATGCGGGCCTAAGAGGCTCCTCTAGAGATTTACTTGCAGCTTGTCGGTTCACCAATCGCCACTAGAATTGCTTCACTCCATGGCGGTTGCGATCATTTCGTCCGCTTGATTTGTGGATGATACATGGATGGGGTTGAAGCTGCCACGACAACCACCAGCCTAGAAACAGCATTTTTAAAGGGTTTTTAGTTTCCCCGGAAGGCTTACTGTAGCTGTCCTTCTTTCATCTCAGCTTGCGCACACTTTCCGCTGATCCGCTTCTGAGGCGGAAGAGTTATTGTGCTAACACAGAACTCGGCTTCTCCGCACGTCACGCAAGCACTGTTTTCATCGGGTGTCTTCTGCCAGCAAGCACAAAACTAAACCCCTCTCGGGTGGCAAGTTTTCGAGGGCATCAACCCTAAACTCCACGCGATTAGGTGTTTAGGATTGATGCCCTTTATTTACATGCCAACCAAGAGGGATTATTTTTGGCATCAACCCTAAACACTTAGTCGCAGTGTTTAGGGTTGATGCCCCCTATCACTTGCCAGCCGAGAGGGATTTAGTTTAGTGCGGATTAGAGAGGAAAAAAAAACAAATTCTGTTGTGCATCGTTTGCCTGACTAGTAGCAGCTAAGGCCTTACGAGATGATGACACGTGGGTAAACGTGGAGCCGAGTTCTGTCCCAGCGCAATAAGTCTTCTGTCTGGGCGTCGAAACCTGGGAAACTCTGTGCAGGTAGAGATGAAGCTCCCTAGAAAGCGCAGGTTCGGAAGTACCCCTTCCGCAATAACTAAAAACCCATTTTTAAATGCAGATATACAGCGTCACAACAAAGCGTATGAAAGAGGTGAGAGACCAGAGACAAATCACTCTCTGCAAGGAGACGGACATGAGAGGCAAGGAAGCGAATGCCGACAAAGAAGCAGCAATTCGAGCATGCGGCGCGTGGCACATGGGATGCCTGTCAGATGTCTCCTGTCCTCTCACATCAGCTGTCATTTTTTGTGATGCTTTACATGAGAACTGTAGAGATGAGCAATCAAGCAATAATTCAAGGGTTGGAGGAAGCTCCAAAGGACGCTCATTTCAACCGAGCACCTTGCCAACTGCCCGAAGAAAAATTGCGAGGGGCAGTTTCAAGAGGCGCGCACGCTTTGTTGCGAAATGCCAACAAACTCATGCACAAGGACCTTCTGCGAGAGAGTTGCAGGGAGAGCGGCCTTGAGCCAGGTAAAACACGTGGTAGTGTTCTTTGCTGATTGGTTCAGGTGCAGGTTTGGGATCTGCTAGTCCACTTGTGGAGGTGATTACGCAACCAGGGTTCGTTTCCGGTGGTGGACAAGCAACGACGCAGTTCATGCCGCTGCACGCACAGTGCCCATATCCGATAGATTTTTGCGTCAGATTCATCCTGCCTGGATTTTCTTCGTCACCAGTTCTCCGACGTGGGTTGTCCACAAGAACCCAACGAATTTTCCGGTCCCAGAAAGTGGGCCAAATTCATCATCGTCAGAATGCTTCCTCCGAATAGATTGGAGCATGTCGTCATAGCAAAACACGATGTGATTCGATATGCAGTATTTTCATACAAAGCAATTTAAGCTCCATGGGTCAAAGCAGTTCAACAAAGGGAAATTAGGCTACAAGAACACCAATTTCGTAGTAATAAGAAAAGCATGGTCAAATTATTGCAAAAAAAAAAATGCACCCTACGATGATACAGCCTTCCCACAGCTTATGAAAGGAGGAACTCCACAAGTTCAATGAAGTCAATATGGGGAACTAAGGCTCCATACGCATTCCATTAGGTTCATTGCCGTCTAGAGGGCGCTCCTCACTCCTGCGGTACAGGGCCAAACCGAAAGCATGAAAGCCATGTAAAGGACAAGATAGAATCATCAAGTAAAAAACGAAGAGCTTTGAAAAAAGGCAGCCGATTGGAGGTTCGGAAAGTTTGTCAAACTCCAAGCACCAAGCAGGTGCAGGAGAGGAGACCCCAGTTTGCTTCCTAGCAGTGGCTCTGCAGCCACTTTAGAGGAAGGAACCTCCAGGATGAAAGAGGGAGAGAAAGAGCGCATGGATGGACTCACAGCATCTTGGAGAGCCGGTTGGTGAGACGACCCTCTCCAGGGTAGAAGCACTGCGCGCTCTGCAGCCAGCGCATGGAGCTCTTGCGCGTCTTGGCCGCCTGCCTCACTGCCTTCACCAGCTCTGCAAACAGCCGCTGATCGTCCACCGTGCTGGTGAGACAAGGGTGGGAGGGGAGGGTGGGAGGGGAAAGGGTGAGAGGGATGGAAAGGCCGTGTTGCAAATATCTTGTGGCCTGCCTCACCGCTTTCACCAGCTCTGCAAACAGCCTCTGGTCGTCCACCGTGCTGGTTATGGGGAGAGGGTATTGGGGGTGGCGGATTCCAAGGGAACCCAGCAGGGACGGGAAGAGGGAGAGGGAAGGAGAGAGAGGGTGAGAGAGATGGCAGGATCGTGGGAATCCCTTGCTGCTTGCCTCACCTTCTGCCCGTAGCCCTTACGTGGCCCTTTGCCCTTACGTGGCCCGTAGCCCTTACGTGCCCGTAGCCCTTACGTGGCCCGTAGCCCTTACGTGCCCTTTGCCAGCACAGCTCACCTCTCTTCACTGGTGAACCAGCTCAGGATGTGGTAAGTGGCCTTGGAGTGAATGATCTGCCTTAGCGCCTCCTTCTGCACCTTCCTCTTCTTCTCAGCCTTCACCAGCAGAGCCAGGTTCGACTGGAAAGCAAACGTCAGCTCAGCCATATCCAGATTCGCCTGCACCAGATCCATCCCGCCCCCACCCGCCCCTGTGATCGCCGCCCCTCCCGAACTCCCCGGTCTGCCTACCACCCCTCGCATGACCCCTCCTGCTCCTGCCGTCCCCGGCCTGCTTCCTCCTCCTCCCGCTCCTCCCGTTCCTGCCGTTCCAGGCCTGCTCCCTCCTCCGCCCGCTCCTGCCGCCGGCCCCTCTGTGTCACTATCGTTATCCGACAACTGCCTCAGCAGCCGCTTCTTCGGCTTCGATTCCGCATCACCATTAGCAGCAGCAGCAGCAGCAGCAGGCAGAGGCAGAGGCAGCAGGGGTAACAGGAGTTTCAGCCATGCCAGTCGGGGTTTCCGGGGCAACAGGGTACGGGGGTCTAGACTCCTCTCCTCCTCCCCATCCCCCTCCCCCTCCCGTGGGAGTCCCAGCCATCCCTCCCGCACCCATCCTCCCGCTCCCGAACCTCTTCGTCGCGGCAAGAGGGTCAAAACCCGAAGCGGGGCACCAATGCACCTTCCTCCCAAGCTGCGGGGGCCAGCTCTTCTCAGCAATCTTGAGGCTCTTAGCCGGTTTCTCCCTCATGCTGGCCCCTCCAGGCGTGTTCGACCCCCAACTAACCATCCTCCTCAGCCCTCCCCCAGGCGTCTCCGGCGCTCCCTCTCCCAACCCTCCGAACGAAACCCGGCTGCTCCGGGACTTGGTCCGGCGGTTGGTTCGGCGCCGAGCCGCCGCCGCCGCAGCCTGGGCAGCAGTGCAGGCCCCGTCCGCATGCCACACCCCATGCAGCAGGCAATACACTCCCTGAGGCGGTAACCGCGCGATGGGGATGTAACCCTTTTTGTTTCCGAGAAGAATCTGCGACAGCCCTGCGTACTGCTGGGGTTTCTTCAGCTGCTCGATCCATTCCACCTGCCCGAGGCCAGCCAGAGAGCAGGCTTGCACGCGGTCCCGCACCTTCAGCAGCAGGTCGATGCCCTGGCGGTGATGCAGGAACTGGAAGAGCGCGCGTGGGCGGAACCACCCTCCGATCTGATAAGATAAGGGAGATGCACGGGATAAGATGCAAGGGAGGAGTGGCAAGAAAGGTTATGCTCTCAGCAGCAGGTCGATGCCCTGGCGGTGATGCAGGAACTGGAAGAGCGCGCGTGGGCGGAACCACCCTCCGATCTGATAAGATAAGGGAGATGCACGGGATAAGATGCAAGGAACGAGAGGCAAGAAAGGTTATGCTCTCAACAGCAGGTCAATTCAATGCCCTGGCGGTGATGCAGGAACTGGAAGAGCGCTCGCGGACGGAACCACCCTCCGATCTGAGAAGGCAAGGGAGATGCAATGGGGGGAGGGAGGGGAGACACAGGCAGGAACGTGGGCTTGGGTCGATGCCCTCAGCAGCAGGTCAATGCCCCGGCGGTGGTGCAGAAAGTGGAAGAGCGCCCGTGGGCAGAAATATGCTTCGATCGGCTGGTCCTTCCTCTCTACCAAGTACGAGTCTAGCCCCCTCAGCTGGTCCTTCCTCTCTACCAAGTACGAGTCTAGCCCCCTCAGCTGGTCCTTCCTCTCTACCAAGTACGAGTCTAGCCCCCTCAGCTGGTCCTTCCTCTCTACCAAGTACGAGTCTAGCCCCCTCAGCTGGTCCTTCCTCTCTACCAAGTACGAGTCTAGCCCCCTCAGCTGGTCCTTCCTCTCTACCAAGTACGAGTCTAGCCCCCTCAGCTGGTCCTTCCTCTCTACCAAGTACGAGTCTAGCCCCCTCAGCTGGTCCTTCCTCTCTACCAAGTACGAGTCTAGCCCCCTCAGCTGGTCCTTCCTCTCTACCAAGTACGAGTCTAGCCCCCTCAGCTGGTCCTTCCTCTCTACCAAGTACGAGTCTAGCCCCCTCAGCTGGTCCTCCCTCTCCCTTACTCCAAGCACACGCAAACGAATACATACATGCACCAACACAAGAACACACACATACACCCACCACCCACCTGTGACAGCTGCACAATCTGGTAAGGGTCGAGCCCTCTCAGCTGGTCTTCCCGCTTCCCGCTCTCCTGCTCCCAGATCTCGTCCAATACCCCGTTGTTGAACGCCTCCATTCGCTTGCTCGACACCTCGTAGGTGATCGCCACGATGGCGGGAAGCAGCATGAGGATTGTGCTGATGGCCATGATGGCTTCTGATAGGATTGACTCGGACGTGTAGTTGTAGATGAGGAGAGAGAGCGTGAAAAACACCTCGCCTGGGGGGGGGGGGGGTAGTGGTGGGCAGTGGGCACAGGGCACAGGGGTTCATTCAAAGAGGGGGGTTTGGGAGGAGCGGGGGTTAGGGCGGGCAGCAGCATGAGGAGGGTGCTGGTAGCCATGGTGACCTCTGAGAAGATGGACTTGGCTGTGTGGTTGAAGATGAGCAGCAAAACCTATGTGACTCACAGCAACACTGTGTGCGGATTTTTTATTCGACTCAAAAATAGCAACACTGTGTGCGGATACTCACCGAGGTTGAGCGTGGCCTGCAGGTACTCCACAGAGGAGGAGGTGAACGGTGCAAAGCGGTACTCAACGACGATGCGGAGGATCTGGAGGACGACGATGATGATGATCTGCGCCTCCGCATTCTCATAGAGAAAGACCAGGATGCAGCCGTAGAGGACACGCAGTGACATGTTGAGGAGATGCCACCTGGGGAAGGGTGAGGGGGAAGGAGAGGCGGAAAGGGAACTGAGTCTTGAGGTTCATGCACAGAAGGATGAGACAGAGCGGTACTCAACAACGATACGGAGGATCTGGAGGACGAAGATGATGATGATCTGCGCCTTGGCGTTCTCATAGAGGAAGACGAGGACGCAGCCGTACAGCACCCGGAGAGACATGTTGAGCAGGTGCCGCCTGGGGGAGGGTGGTGAAGGTGGAGGGGAATCAGCACGCTCTTTCCAAAGAGGCATATGGAAGCAGCAGCAGCAGCAGAACGCTCTCCAGTAGAACTTGCGATCGAATCGCTCGGTGAGAAAGGCGTATTTGTCGTCAAACTCGGCGGTGAAGAGCGTGCGATTCCACTTGGCTGAGAAGAGCAGCCACGCGTACAGCAGCGGGTGGAATAGCAGCAACCCCACCCCCAGCAGCAGCAGCAGCAGCAGCAGCACCACCACCACCACAACACTTACCAGAATCAGTACCCTCCCCCCCAGAAGCACCCTCACCAGCAGCCGCAGAACGCTCACCAGTAGAACTTGCGATCGAAGCGTTCCGTAAAAAACGCGTATTTGTCGTCAAACTCGGCGGTGAAGAGCGTGCGATTCCACTTGGCTGAGAAGAGCAGCCACGCGTACAGCAGCGGGTGGAATAGCAGCAACCCCACCCCCAGCAGCAGCAGCAGCAGCAGCAGCACCACCACCACCACAACACTTACCAGAATCAGTACCCTCCCCCCCAGAAGCACCCTCACCAGCAGCCGCAGAACGCTCACCAGTAGAACTTGCGATCGAAGCGTTCCGTAAAAAACGCGTATTTGTCGTCAAACTCGGCGGTGAAGAGCGTGCGATTCCACTTGGCTGAGAAGAGCAGCCACGCGTACAGCAGCGGGTGGAATAGCAGCAACCCCACCCCCAGCAGCAGCAGCAGCAGCAGCAGCACCACCACCACCACAACACTTACCAGAATCAGTACCCTCCCCCCCAGAAGCACCCTCACCAGCAGCCGCAGAACGCTCACCAGTAGAACTTGCGATCGAAGCGTTCTGTAAAAAACGCGTATTTGTCGTCAAACTCGGCGGTGAAGAGCGTGCGATTCCACTTGGCTGAGAAGAGCAGCCACGCGTACAGCAGCGGGTGGAATAGCAGCAACCCCACCCCCAGCAGCAGCAGCAGCAGCAGCACCACCACAACACTTACCAGAATCAGTACCCTCCCCCCCAGAAGCACCCTCACCAGCAGCCGCAGAACGCTCACCAGTAGAACTTGCGATCGAAGCGTTCCGTAAAAAACGCGTATTTGTCGTCAAACTCGGCGGTGAAGAGCGTGCGATTCCACTTGGCTGAGAAGAGCAGCCACGCGTACAGCAGCGGGTGGAATAGCAGCAACCCCACCCCCAGCAGCAGCAGCAGCAGCAGCAGCACCACCACCACCACAACACTTACCAGAATCAGTACCCTCCCCCCCAGAAGCACCCTCACCAGCAGCCGCAGAACGCTCACCAGTAGAACTTGCGATCGAAGCGTTCCGTCAAAAACGCGTATTTGTCGTCAAACTCGGCGGTGAAGAGCGTGCGATTCCACTTGGCTGAGAAGAGCAGCCACGCGTACAGCAGCGGGTGGAATAGCAGCAACCCCACCCCCAGCAGCAGCAGCAGCAGCAGCACCACCACCACCACAACACTTACCAGAATCAGTACCCTCCCCCCCAGAAGCACCCTCACCAGCAGCCGCAGAACGCTCACCAGTAGAACTTGCGATCGAAGCGTTCCGTCAAAAACGCGTATTTGTCGTCAAACTCGGCGGTGAAGAGCGTGCGATTCCACTTGGCTGAGAAGAGCAGCCACGCGTAGAGCAGCGGCACGCCCGCGAGGTAGACGATGAGGATGATTATAGAGGGGATGAGCATGCCCACGTGTGTTGACGATAGCCACTCGATCTCCGGAGCGAACAGCATCACCTGGAGGGGCGGAGAGGGAAGGAGAGGTGGGGAAGATGAAGAGGGAGAGAGAAAGTGGAATGGGAGGGAAAAGGAAGGAGAAGGAGGGAAGGGAGGGAGAGGGAGGGATAGGCCACACTAAACACCCCCAGACCGCACTAAAATCTCACGCACCGCACCTTGGTATCGCCGACCATCTGGCTCTGGAAGACGGGCAGCACGCGGGCGAGAATACCCATGTAGCACACGTCCAGCCAGCTCGCCACTCCCCCCACCAGCCCGTTGTAATACTCCTGCCGCCGCTGCTTCGCCGCCGTGCTGCTCAGCTGCCCCACGCCGCTGGTCTCGCCGTTTTCAGCCGCCCGCTTGGCGTTGATGAGCTTGATGTGCTCGCGGAGCAGGAAGAGGCACCAGTGCAGCGCGTAGACCACGAGGCCGACGAGGAAGATGAGGATTCCGAAGACAAACTGCTGCGGGAAGCGATAGGTCAGCACACAGTTGGGTCCCACCACGTCCTGGTGTCGTGTGGGGAGGGGGAAGGGGACAGGGGGGGAGAAGAGAAAGGGGCGGAGAAGGTGGGAGTGGAGGGGGAGGGAGAGTGGTAAGGGGAGGGGGAGGGGAGGCAGTAGGTTAGCACGTGTATACATGCAGACATGCAAAAAATCACACGCATGCAATGTGCAGGGCACTCACGGGGTCGAAGATGGAAAGGTTGTAGATTTTGATGAGCCACCCCACCCATCCGTTGGGCGAGGCGAGTCCCAAGGTCCAAGGAACACAGGTTCAATGCATGATAGCATGCGTGCATGCATGTGCAGGGCACTCACCGGGTCGAAGACTGAGAGGTTGTAGATTTTAATGAGCCACCCCACCCAGCCGTTGGGCGCTGCTGGCGCGTTCAGGTTGATGGAGGCCACGACCGTGAGGTATTGCACCTGGTGGCGTGGAGGGGGTGGGGTGGGGTGGAGTGGAGCAGGGGATGGGGGATGTTAAAGAGTAGGCCGACGAGGTAGCAAGAGTTGGGTTGGGCGCTGCTGGCGCGTTCAGGTTGATGGAGGCCACGATCAAAGTATTGCACCTGGTGGCGTGGAGGGGGCGGGCAAAGAAGAATATTGCAGGGTTGGATTGTAAGTGTGCTCAGAGGCAGAAGGTGCACAGAAGGTGCACAGAAGGTGCACAGAAAGTGCACATAAAGTGCACATAAAGTGCACAGAAGGTGCACAGAGAGCGCACAGAAGGCTAGAGGGAAGTTTACTTTTGAGTCGACACACGACTCATGCACGCATGTACCTAGCGTGGATCTCGCGTGGTAGAGGTACCTCAGTGAGAAAGATGTCGATGTTATCGTAGTTGTTGGCGAGCAGGAACATGGCAACCCACACTCCGATCATGAGGATGAAGAGCAGCGGGAAGAGCTGCGTGGGAGGGGGGGGAGGGAGGGGGGAGCATGCAGGCACAGGCGAGAGTAGAAACAAGCACATAGGTGTGTGTGGGCACATGAGTGGCTGTTGGCGAGCAGGAACATGACGACCCACACTCCGATCATGAGGATGAAGAGCAGCGGGAAGAGCTGCGTGGGAGGGAGGAGGGGGAAAGGAGGGTGGTTGGGTGGGTTGGGGGGCGGAAGATTGGGGTGGGGGACGGGAAGGGGAGGTCCATACAGGACACAGTGGCACGGAGGAAGGGGAGGTCCATACAGGACACAGTGGCACGGAGGAAGGGGAGGTGCATACAGGACACAGTGGCACGGAGGAAGGGGAGGTGCATACAGGACACAGTGGCACGGAGGAAGGGGAGGTGCATACAGGACACAGTGGCACGGAGGAAGGGGAGGTGCATACAGGACACAGTGGCACGGAGGAAGGGGAGGTGCATACAGGACACAGTGGCACGGAGGAAGGGGAGGTGCATACAGGACACAGTGGCACGGAGGAAGGGGAGGTGCATACAGGACACAGTGGCACGGAGGAAGGGGAGGTGCATACAGGACACAGTGGCACGGAGGAAGGGGAGGTGCATACAGGACACAGTGGCACGGAGGAAGGGGAGGTGCATACAGGACACAGTGGCACGGAGGAAGGGGAGGTGCATACAGGACACAGTGGCACGGAGGAAGGGGAGGTGCATACAGGACACAGTGGCACGGAGGAAGGGGAGGTGCATACAGGACACAGTGGCACGGAGGAAGGGGAGGTGCATACAGGACACAGTGGCACGGAGGAAGGGGAGGTGCATACAGGACACAGTGGCACGGAGGAAGGGGAGGTGCATACAGGACACAGTGGCACGGAGGAAGGGGAGGTGCATACAGGACACAGTGGCACGGAGGAAGGGGAGGTGCATACAGGACACAGTGGCACGGAGGAAGGGGAGGTGCATACAGGACACAGTGGCACGGAGGAAGGGGAGGTGCATACAGGACACAGTGGCACGGAGGAAGGGGAGGTGCATACAGGACACAGTGGCACGGAGGAAGGGGAGGTGCATACAGGACACAGTGGCACGGAGGAAGGGGAGGTGTGTGTGTGTGTGTGTGTGTGTGTGTGTGTGTGTGTGTGTGTGTGTGTGTGTGTGTGTGTGTGTGTGTGTGTGTGTCTGTGTGTGTGTGTGTGTGTGTGTGTGTGTGTGTGTGTGTGTGTGTGTGTGTGTGTGTGTGTCTGTGTGTGTGTGTGTGTGTGTGTGTGTGTGTCTGTGTGTGTGTGTGCGTGCGTGCGTGCGTGCGTGCGTGCGTGTGTGTGTGTGTGTGTGTGTGTGTGAGAGAGAGAGAGAGAGAGCACACAAGTGGTTGTTGGCAAGCACATGCGTTTAAGAGTTACAGCGTGTATTGAGCCGACCCACAGACAGCACCAAGAAACACCCACACACATTGGTTGATAATGAGCGCACATAGCCACAGGAGTTACAGCATACCTTTTTGAAAACGTCGCTGCAGTAGTTACAATCGCCGAGGAAGGAGTAATAGTTGCTGGCGCACAGGCAGCACATGCTGTAGGGAGAGGTGGGGGAACGGAGAACAGGAAGAAGATGGGGGGAAGCGGGAGGGGGTGGGCAAGGGGGGGGGATTCTAGTAATAGTTGCCGGCACACATACAGCACATGCTGCACTGCTGCAAGAGGCGGAGGGACCAAGGAACATGATGAAGGAAGGGAGCGGGAGGGGTCAAAGGCAGCAGCACACTCACGGAAAGGGAGCTGAAGGCAGACTACTCACGGCGAGGAGGGGTCGTAGCCGGTGGGGCAGATGCCAACATCCGCGGTATTGGAGGTGAGGTTGTACACATTCTGGTGCTTCTTGCACCCGTTGGTGATGATACAGCTGTATGTGATGCAGCGCGTGACTTGCCATTGCACCTCAACCCAACCCTTAGACGCACCTCCAGCACACACTCACGGAGAGGCAGGGCCAAAAGCACCACACTCATGCAGACTAGAAACAAAAGACGACTTTTGAGGCGGCTCAAAAGCACCACATTCATGCAGACTAGAAACAAAAGACGACTTTTGAGGCGGCTCAAAAGCACCACACTCATGCAGACTAGTAACAAAAGACGACTTTTGAGGCGGCTCAAAAGCACCACACTCATGCAGACTAGAAACAAAAGACGACTTTTGAGGCGGCTCAAAAGCACCACACTCATGCAGACTAGAACAAAAGACGACTTTTGAGGCGGCTCAAAAGCACCACACTCATGCAGACTAGAAACAAAAGACGACTTTTGAGGCGGCTCAAAAGCACCACACTCATGCAGACTAGAAACAAAAGACGACTTTTGAGGCGGCTCAAAAGCACCACACTCATGCAGACTAGTAACAAAGGTGCTTACGGTGAGGAGGGGTCGTAGCCGGTGGGGCAGATATCGACGTCCGCGGTGCTGGTGGTGAGGTTGTACATGTACTGGTGCTCCTTGCACCCGTTGGTGATAATACAGCTGTAAGTCGTCGGCGTGTCATTATACGTCCTGGGATCCAGCCACGCTTGCTCCGCAACCGTCAGTTCGCCGCCCACGCAATCGAGATTCTCGTCCTCGCATGCCACGCACTGGTCGGCGCTAGTCGAGTAGGGGTAGAACGTGAAGGTCTTGTCTTCGCAGGGAGTGGAGGGTTGACCCGCCTCGCACCAGCTGCCGACAGGGCACGGGTCGCAGGTCCCACTCCCAGTGCTAACACTACCACCACCATCCCCAGTGCCATCTCCAGTGCTCTCTGTGTTGAGATAGGTTCCCGCCGCGCAGAAGTCTACAGTGAAGGTGTGTGTTATATCGGGGAACTCATTAGTGGGGCTGGAGACGGTGACGAGGAGGCGGAAGGGCGTGGCCTCGTCTGGGGTGACCATGACAGAGACCTCTGGCAGCTCTGCCATTCCCTGCACCGCTGTTGCTCGCAGCAACCCCGAGATGCGGCGATCGGGAGAGATCGCCACAAAGGACGAGTTGTCCTGCGAGGGAGCGGGGTTGGGGACGGGGACATGGAAAAGTGGGGGAGCGAAGGGAGGGAAGAAACGGAAAGTGGCATTTGCACCAAGAGGCAGGGCAGGAGGCAGCAGCAGGAAGGGCATGGCCTCGTCTGGAGTGACCATGACAGATACTTCGGGCAGCTCTGCCATTCCCTGCACCGCTGTTGCTCGTAGCAACCCCGAGATGCGGCGATCAGGAGAGATCGCCACGAATGACGAGTTGTCCTGCGGACAGGAGAGAGGGGGACAGGGGATGGGATGGGGGTCGAGGAAGAGGGAAAGGGAAAAAGGTGGGAAAAGGAGGGGAACGATGAGCAGCGAGCGGCCCAGCACGAGTTTATGGGCAAGTCAGCAGTGAAGAGTGCTGCAATGCCTGGAGAGATGCACAACACACATTCAGGAACGGGCCTCACACCGAGAAAACTTCTGAGGAGCCTAGAAAAAAGTGTGCCGCGATGCCTGGAGGCTGGAGAGACGCACAAGGCACAATGAATCAGGAATGGGCCTCACACCGAGACCTGTGTGACGAGCACCCAGAGCTGCTAAGCTATTGTTAAAACAACCTGAGAGCCCACCTGAAGAATAGTCAACAATGAGTACTGTGAGCCCTGCAATGTGCATCCCCACACAGCTGGGAGCAGCTACTGTTGAAACCACCTGAGAACCCACCTGAACAACAGTGTTGTTGTAGTCATCCACAATGACCACGGTCAGCCCAGCAATGGGCGTCCCCACAGCCGTGAGAGCCACAAAGGACGGCACCGTGCCGAGGTTGTTGGCCCCCTCGTCGATGCCCGCGAACGTGAAGTAGAAGTTCGTGGGAATACTGCCAATGGTCTGGCTCTCCTGCTCTCGCACGCACTCCTCACACCCGATGCGCACGGCGGGGTTGAAGGAAGCTTCGTAGAAGGCCACTCCCTGCGGGTACAGGGCCTCGTTCTCACTGAATGTGAGGTTGGAACACACCAGCGGAGCCAGCTCAGCCTTTCCCACTCCCATGCTGCTGCTGCTGCTGCTGCTGTTTGTGCCCTTCGCTGCAGCAGCTGCACTACCCGCATCATTCACAGCAGCGGCAGCAGCTGACGCTGATTTAGCAGCAGCACCACCAGTGGAATTCCCAGCAGCTCCAGCTCCAGAGGAGGTAATCCCGAGGGTCTCTGCTCTCTTCACGTACACCCCTGCACCGCCCACCACCGCTTTGTTCCCAGTCATCCACGCTGCCTTGAAGACCCCGTTTGATTGCTCCAGGAACGCCGCTGCCCCTCCCGCACTGCTTGCGCTGTTCCCCACCAGCGTCAGGTTACCCGCGGAAATTTTCGAGCTGCCCGCAACGGCAAGCGCCGCGCCGGTAACCGCGTTGTTCCCCTCGAATTGCGACACATCAAGAGTCACCTGGGCAGACCCTTCTGAAAAAATTCCGCCGCCCGTGACGGCCGTGTTGCCCGTCAGATTGCACGATCGGACGGTGAGAGAAGTTTCGGCGGCTGCCCAGATGGCCCCTCCGGTGCCCTGGGGGGCAGAATTGCCCGAAAAAAGCGCCTGAGTGATAGTAGCCCGAGAACTTCCCCTAATAAGAACAGCCGAAGCAGAGTTGTTGAGGAAAGAGGAGGAGGTGGAGGTGAGAGTCGCATCTGTATCCAAAACCATAGCTCCGCCTCTCAGCGCCAAATTCGACCCGAATTGCGACGAGAGCAGCTTCACAGTGGCGCTGTGCGTGGCGAAAACCGCCCCGCCTTCAAAACTCGCCTTGTTACCCGTGAAGCTGCCCCGGGTATCCTCCACCACACCCTCCATCTCCACCCAGAGCGCGCCACCTGTCGGGCTCTCATTGGCCTCCACCTCACACCGGGTCATCACCAGCCTACCCGAACCAGACACCTTCCCCACTCCGCCACCGCTGCCCGCTCTATTCCCCGTAAACCTGCTCCCCTCCGCAGTAATAGTCGCGAAATCCGTGACCAATAGGCACCCGCCAGCTGTGTCTGCAGCGTTGCCCTGGCAGGTGGAGGAGCGGAGGGTGAGGGAGGAGGTTTCCTGGGCGAGTAGGGCGCCGGCAGCAGTGCTGTTGTTTTCGGAGAAGGTGCAGTTGGTGAGATCTGCGGTGCAGTTGAGGCTGCACAGGAAGGCGCCTCCCCCGACTGGTGAGGTGTTTCTGGTGAAGGTGGTGTTTGAGAATCGCCCCAGGGTGGTTGCATCTGCGCCTCTAGATCCCTCCACTGAAGTCAGAGAGAGCGAGAAGAGGGAGAGAGAGAGGCACAGAAGGGCGGGGGGAAGGGGGGTGGGGAAGGGATGGAAACGCGGCAGTTGCAGCAAGGATCCCCCAATGTAAATGGCTTCTTTCACTCACACAAGTGGATACGCAGCATCCTCACTCCCTCCCTCCCACACCCCTCACCTGTGACAGCACCGCCCTTGAGGGGTGTCATGCATGGCACCTGGCATGGCGTCACCCTTGTCTGACCAGTCTTATTCAAACAACGAGTCCTGCAGCGACCATGACAATGGCAGCGACCATGACAATGGCAGCGACCATGACAATGGCAGCGACCCCCCGCTGAAGACGGCATGGCACCTCACAGTCACCTCCCCAAACTCCCACGCCTGATACAAAATGTGCCAGTGCACCTCCTCCCTCCCACACCCCTCACCTGTGACAGCGCCGCCCTTGAGGTAGGACCAGTTATCCTCAAACACTGAGTCCTGCACTTCCAGCAGCGACCCCCCACTGAAGATGGCAGCCCCTCGCGAGCTGTTGGCCCTGTTGCCTGTGAATGTGCTGCCCTGCACTGTCACGTTGCTGTCCGCCTGTGGGTAAAAGGGAGCGGGGAGAGAGAAAGAAGGGCGAAATGGGGGAGAGAGAAAGAAGGGACAAATGGGGGAGAGAGAAAGAAGGGAGAAATGGGGGAGAGAGAGCAAGCACAAGGCGTGCAACTGAGTTGCTGGTGAAGGTTGACCCCACGATCCGCACACACCCCGTGCCCTCGCTGTAGATGGCCCATCCCAAACCTTCCCCACCCTTCCGCACCCTTCCCCACCCTTCCTCACCCTTCCGCCCTTGCCCACCTGTCCACACTGCCCCAGAAACGTTTCACTCACCGCAATGACATAGAGAGCGCCACCGTCCTTGAGCTGCACGGAGTTGGCAGTGAAAGTGGAGTCCACAATCCGCAGGTACCCCGTGCCCTCGCTGTAGATGGCGCCACCTGAGCCCGACGCACTGTTGCGCTCAAACGTGCAGCTCTGCACCTCCGCTGTCGTCAGCACGATCACTGGTGGTGGTGCGGGGTGGGAGAGGTGGGGAAGGGGGATGGAGGAAGTTGGGGGGGAGTGGGAGACGGAAGTTTGGTTTGGGGAACAGGGAAAAGGGAGAAGTAGTTTTTCATATGGAGGCAAAAGCAGGCTTCTCCAAACCCTCCCTTGACTGTGAAACAACAAATGCCAACCCATCCCTCCAATTTATCGCGCCCTTCCCCTCCCCATCCACACTACCCACTTGCTCCATCCAGCTCGCTGACCCCGCTGCCTCGGAACTTGGTGAACTTGGTCCACCCAGCTCGCTGCCCCGCTCCATAGCGGTGAACTTGGCGACTCGACTGCCCTACTTACCACCCATTCTCCCTTATCTACACCACCCCCACCACCCCCACCACCCACACAAACCTCACCACCCCGTCGCCCCCTTCCCCTCCCCATCACCCCACTCACTTGCTCCGCCCAGCTCGCCGCCCCCGTTGTCTCGGAACACTGTGTTTGTGAACTTGGTGAGTCCGCCTCCGTACTGGTATAACCCCGCGCCTCCCTTCGCCTGCACGGGACAAGGGAGGGAGAGAGGTGTGGTGTGGAGAGGTGTGGCGGGAGATGAGGAAAAGAGGTGAAGAGGGACGATGAAGGTGGCCAGTCCGCCTCCGTACTAGTAGAACCCCGCGCCTCCCTTCGCCTGCACAGGAAAAGAGGGAGATGGGGAGAGGGGATATGAAAGGGACGACAAAGGAGTATAGAAGCGGAGAAGAGGTGGGTTGAGGTGGGAAGCAGGGCAGAGAGAAGGAAATGGCAAGGTGGAACGGAGATATGGAGCAAGCAGGAGGGAGGTGTGCACACACGATGGGAGATACGAGAGCAAGACGTAGAGGGAGAGAGAGAGTGAGGCAGGGAGGGTGGGTAAAAGAAAGGTAGGAGGGCGGGAGAAAGGGAAGAGGGATGGGAGGGAGGGAGGGAGGGAGGGAGGGAGGGAGGGAGGGAGGAGGGAGGGAGGGAGGGAGGGAGGGAGGGAGGGAGGGAGGGAGGGAGGGAGGAGAGGGAGGGAGGAGGGAGGGAGGGAGGAGGGAGGGAGGAGGGAGGGAGGGAGGAGGGAGGGAGGGAGGAGGGAGGGAGGGGATAAGACATTGCCATCATGCCCGTCGCCCGACATACACACTCGCTCCTCTCCCCCTCAACATCCATCATCAGCAATGGCGCCCTATTGTAGCCCAGCTAAGGAAAGGGAACCGGGTCATAGACAGGGGCGCACCTGATTTCCAGAGAAGGTGCAGGAGATGAACTCCTGTGCGGTTACTGCCGAGTTTCCTGCCCCACATACACTGCGCCGCCATACCCATCCATGGTCAACGCATACCCCACGCTAGACCGTTCAGAGAGGGGATAGAGGGAGAGAGGAGAGAGTGAGGACGCACCAGGTTACCAGAGAAGGTGCAGGAGATGAATTCCTGTGTGGTTACCACCGCCTCGCCATCCTGCCCCACGTACACTCCCGCGCCATATCCATCCACGGTCGCTGCATCCCCCATCATGATCCCCACGTTATCCTCGAACACGGTCCGCTCCACGCGCGCTGACGTGGCGCTCAGCGATAGGCCGGCGCCCGAGGGCGCGCTGGAGACGTAGTCCATGACGTTGCGGGCGAAGGTGGAGTCGGAGATTAAGAGGACGCCCCCCGTGGCGGATATGCCGCCTCCTAGGTATGTTGCATAGCCGTCAGAGAAGATACACTTGGTTAGAGTCGCCTGGTTAAGAGACAACAGAAGGGATGGGTGGATGGGAGATGAGGGTTTGACAAGGAGAGAGCAGACAGGAACAGGGGGTCGTCCTGGTTGGAGACTCCTGCATTGTTCAAGACGTCCTGAGAAAGCTTGATTGCAACCCAGATCACGAGGACGAAAATAGCAGGACGAGGATTGGGGCGTGGAGAGTATAAAAGTGTCCGGGCACGGAGGCATGATGGCGATTCCGTGGAGCAATTCGGAGCTAGGGAAGTTTGACTCATCCGCCTCATCACCATCACAGGCCGGTTTTCCAAATTCCCTAACACTGAATTGCTTCACGGAATCGCCATCATGCCTCCGTGTCTCGACACTCTCACAATCTCCACGCCCCAAGCCTTGTCCTCCTTTTCTCGTCCTCATAACAATGCAGCCACAAGCCTCTTTCTCATAACAGCCACTTAAAACAGAAGTCAGCCACACATACCTGAGGGATTGTGAACACCCATGCGCCTCCTGACTCATATCCGTGACACTCTTGGTGGCATGGCACTTGCGAATGTCCTCCCATGGTGCTTAAGCAAGAACACAGGTGCATACCTGAGTGACTGTGTACACCCACGCGCCTCCTCCCTCGTAATCCGTGACACACTTGGTGGCATTAACGGATGCGACTGTAACCGTCTGCGTGGCGTTCAGCGCCATACACCCCCGAAGCCGTAGCCTGCCGCGTACACGCCAGCTGGCAGCGTGCCATTGGAGGAGCAGGCGGTGAGCGAGGAGGAGGAGAGGGCATAGGTGGATGATCCCTCGTCCGCGATGGCCCCTCCAAGCACAGCCTGGGGAGAGGTGAGTGAGAGAGAGAGAAGGGGGGGAGAGCGCGAGAGAGAGAGAGAGAGAGAGAGAGAGAGAGAGAGAGAGAGAGAGAGAGAGAGAGAGAGAGAGAGAGAGAGAGAGAGAGAGAGAGAGAGAGAGAGAGAAAGAGAGGGAGGTGAGAGATGCCAGCAGGCAGGGTATTCTCCTACCGCCCTCTCACCAGAAGCAAGCATCTCTGCTCACCAGTTCATCACTGACAGTCACCCCTTCGACCGCCAGCCACATTCAAACATATCGTCGTCGCTCCAACCAACCCCCTCCCCAACACTCAACAACAAGCCCCACATAGTAGTGGTGGTGACACACAGCAGCAACCCTCACCACCACCACCACCACTACCACAGAATCACCGTGACACCAATAATCCGCGTATCACCAGTCCATTGCTGACAGTCATCCCATCAATGGACACACTCGAGTACATGGTCGTAATCGCCCCACCACCCTCCCCTCCCCACTCATCTACCCCACTCAACAACCCCGTCCCAGCACCACCTGGCAGTCACCATGACACCAGAAATGCGCATCTCGCTCACCAGTCCATTGCTGACAATCACTCCATCAATCGACACACTCGAGTACATGGTCGCAATCGCCCCGCCGAAATACGCCTGGCACCCGGTCATCTCCCCTCCGTCCACCTCCACTCTCACATTCCTAAACAGCAGCGCCCCTCCCGCCCCGTTCTCCATCCCACACAACCACTGTCTCACCAGAAAATCCGCATCTCACTGACTCACCAGTCCATTGCTGACAGTGACCCCATCGATCGACACACTTGAGTACATGGTCGCAATCGCCCCGCCAAAATACGCCTGGCACCCGGTCATCTCCCCTCCGTCCACCTCCACCCTCACATTCCTAAACAGCAGCGCCCCTCCCGCCCCGTTCTCCATCCCACACAACCACTGTCTCACCAGAAAATCCGCATCTCACTGACTCACCAGTCCATTGCTGACAGTGACCCCATCGATCGACACACTTGAGTACATGGTCGCAATCGCCCCGCCGAAATACGCCTGGCACCCGGTCATCTCCCCTCCGTCCACCTCCACTCTCACATTCCTAAACAGCAGCGCCCCTCCCGCCCCGTTCTCCGAACTGCATCCTTTCGCCGTCACCCCCGACAGCTTCGCGCGCACACCTCCCCCAGCCGCGCCTCCCCCAGGTGCAACCGCCCCCCCCTCGGGCCCAGTGACGCTGATGGCGCCGCCCCCCGAGTTGTACATGTAGGTGAGGTCTGAGCCCGGCGCGGAGCAGGCGGAGAAGGAGGCGGAGGAGACTGTGAGCGTCGCGCCCGCGCCCTGCACTGACACTGCGCCGCCCACGTTGGTTGCCGTGCAGCGGGAGAACGCCACGTTGCTGCATTGAGGGGGAGGCAGAGGGAGGGAGGAAAGGGGGGGAGTTGGGGAGGGGGGAGAGCGGGGGGGAGCGGGGGAAAGAGCCGGAGGAAAAGGGGAACAGGTGGGGCGATGGAGGGAGGGAAAATCAGCTATCCGCGCGGCAGGTGTCATGATCTTGGGCGTCTTCGGCCCATTGACGCTGCGAACATCCCCTCGCGTGTTGTATTCACTTGACAACCAGGGCTTGGGGGAATACTCACTTGATAACCAGGCCCTGCCCTCGCACGTCCACGCATCCTCCCGAATCGGCCGACACGCCATTGGTCAGCGTGAACAGCGCTAACGTCAGCACCACCTTACTCCCCGCGCCGCAACCCGCGCCAGCACACGTGGCGTTCAGGCACGGGCCGCCGCCGCAATCGAGTGTGATTGCAGCGGGGGACGCGGGAGTGGACGCGGGAGGGGCGCCGGTGATGGTAAGAGATTTCCCGCCCAGCTGAACGGCGGATTTGGTCGGTGAAGATTTGATTGCGGATGGGGGAGAGCCGGCGGGGGGCGGGAGGAGGGTGATGGTGGCGGAAGGTGCCGCCCTGGTGACTGCTGCTTGCAGGGTGGCTGCGGGGGGAACGAGAGAACGGAAGTGTGCGGGGGAAGCGTGGGGGAAGGGAGGGACGGGGAAACGGGGGGGCGGTCGGAACGGGAGGGACAAGGGAGGGGGGGGGGAAGGAGTTGCATAAGAAGGGAATCGATAAGAAATTGAGGGATGAGGTGGGGAGTGCGGCGGAGTTAATGCGAGAGAGGGGCGGGGGGGAAGGGGGAGGGGGGGAAGGAGAAACGATGTTCCGGTAGATGGAGCAGGGGAAAGGGAGCACTAGCCACGAGGAAAAAACCGACAAGTACAGATAGGACAAGCGAGAAGAAGACAAGGTACGGATAGCACAAGGCCAAGAACACGAACAAGCAGCCAAGGCAGCGCAGCGTACCACAGGGAGCGGTGGTGGAGTCGCAACAGCCGGTGTCGATGCCTGTGCTGGCGACATAGAGCTTCGCGAGAGAAGTGCACGACGGTGGGATCTGCTGCGACGACGCTGCTGGCGACAGGGAGAGCAATGGAGGGAAAGGATGAAAAAGGAAAATCATGAGGGGGAGATGGAGGGAGAGAGAGAGAGGAGGGGGAGGGGCAGGAGGAGGAGAACGGGGAAGGAGGTGAGAGGTGCAAACTACTCAACGGAGTGCAACAGCGAAAGACAATTCTATGGAAGGGAACAAGCCAAGGTTCCCGTTGAGTCGACTTAAGAGTCACATCGTATTGACTCAAGACAAGACAAGCTACAAAAAGGAATGACTAGCAGAGCGAGCCGTAATGAGGGTAAACGAACGCCGCAGTGCAACGAATAGAGCCGAGGTTCCTTATGAGCAGAACCAAAAGTCATCTTGTTATGAGACGACTCAAAACTAGCGCTTTGCAAAATGACGAGCAGTACGAGCCGTAACGAGAGTGAACTACGCGGATAGCGGTACCCGACCCGTCGCGAAAGCGAACGAATGCGGTTGCAGAGCGAACAAAACGAAGGTTCCTGATGGAGGCACGGTAACATTCATATCTAAAAGTATGTGAGCGCATTCCTCTTCATGTGGCGGCGTAGGCATGACGTTACGAAGCACCATAGGGTTAAAAAGCATCTCAAACATTCACTCTAAAAAGCGTCGTAAGTATGCCTTTAAGACAACGAGGATCGTGAACGAGCATACGCACTTATAAAGATCTGGCGAAGACTACATGGCAAGTAAGCAAGTGAACAACTTTAGAGACGCCTCAGAAGGAGCGTGAGCGAGAATACGCACTTCTGGAGATGCTGGTGAAGACTAGAATGGCAAGTAAGCACGATAACCGTCTCGTCGCCATTGTCGCTCGCCTCGACGAGGCGGTCGAAGCTACGCTGAAGCTAGTCGTAAGCTCACAACATTTGAAGCAACGGCCGGAACAATGCGGGAGACGGCGGTTATCCTACTCCAGAAAAAAATAATTCATACTTGCGCGATAATTTACAATAAATAGCATGGAAGCAAACATAGGGTCCTCTGAAGCAAATGACGCGGACGGCCTGGGAAAACGTAATGCTTCTCACGACTTCTATACAGATTCCACCCGTGAGCTACGCCGTATCATGTACAACCGTCATAGGTTCTCAGTCTATGACGGGTTTGCGGGTAGGACAGAATTCAAGCAGCCGCTACCCAAAGCAGACTCCCTGGCACGGTAGGTGGTCTGTCTGCACTTTCGACTCAGTGGGGTAATCTTGAGAAATGCAATCCCTGTGCTGGTTTCCAAGGACTTCACAATAGTGCCCGTTCTTGCACTGGTTGAGCACTGCGAGCCTTTCGCGAATTACAAGGTTGCGTTGCGTTGGACAGAAGACCGAGACCGTGTTGTCAGTCGTCGTCGTGACAATCGGGAAGTTTGCCCTTAGGGTTAGTGGCCCACTGGTGTCGAAACAGCCAATAGTGTAAATCGAACCTTGTCTGTACAATAGCGAAGCAGGACTGATAACGAGTATCATTGACAAACCGACACATGAGTTGAGCCTCTGATTTGTCTTGTTGCACCTACCTGAAACTGTTCGTACTTTTCACGCGGCGAGATTGCTCCACTGCACACTCCGCGTGTAGGGCCGAAATCGAGGAAATGACGGACCGCCCCGGTTTCGAGTTTCCGATTCCTTTGGGCAGTGGCTTTGACACCGCCTCGCTTTTCCGCTCGCTTCCAATTCCTTGGGGCAGCTGATTTCGACATTTAAAGTTTTTGGTGACCAGGAAAATTATGAAGTTACCTGGTATTAGTCTAGTGGCCAGTGAAAAAAATAAACCCCTTTCGGAGGGCTGGCCATTAGGGAGGCATCAACCCTAAACACCTTGCCTCATGGTGTTTAGGGTTGATGCCTCCCAAACGGCATCCCCCCCATGAGGGGTTTATATTTTTTGTCCCAATAAATAAATCAAAGTTGTAGTTTCTGAACTCCAAATGGGGAAATAGCGTAATTTACTGACCGAAGGTATCGGACGCGAGCGCAAAGCAAGGCGGTGTCAAAACCACTGCCTGAAGGAATCGGAAACTTGAAACCAGGGCGCTCCGTCATTCCCTCGCCGAAACCCTCGTTCACTGATCCGTTATTGCACTCCAGGCAATGACAGCTTTGAGGTGTACATGGGCACCCTTTTTGCACCACCTGAACAGTTCACAAACTAAGCTATGTGGTTTGAAGATATGTGCATCTCTAGCTTGGGTATTTGTGTGGGTTGTGTCTGCACACTTTTAATGGACCAGCTGTTTTGAAGAATACCATCGGTTCATATTGCAATATGTACGTATGTCCATTGAGTCCATTATTCAATAGCTTGAGATACTCTCAACGCATTTGCTATGTGAATATCAAGCAAGAAGCATATCTCGTCACCCTGCAAGACAATGGAGTGCCAGTACATTAGAAAAAGTGTGGGTAACACTACACACTGCATAGATCACGAGACGGCTTTTACTCACCCCGGTTGTTGCAAACTCAAACGAGTGCAGCTCGTCTTGTAACGTCATGCTGAAGAATATTCTATCGGGCTTTCCTGCATACTCCGCAAGCTCCCTCAGCTCTGCCTGGTGGATGACCGACCGAATCTCTGCATCCAAAAAATGCAGCTGCCAACCGACCCAATCGAGTGCAGGGAAGGAACAACATACCAGGTGTCATATGCCGCATAGGTGACTTTCTAGGTAGGAGAATTAGGAGACATACATTTATTCTGACAGCAACATAATAATGTTAAAGCGTAAGGAGGAACAAGGTAGCATGGCTCCACAGAGTACAGTCAGCTCACCCCGTTGTGGTTAACTCCAACGATGACATGCTTGGGGAAGTAGTTGGCCGTGTCCTCCTCTGTGCGCAGCTCAAAGAAGACCGACCCGCCCTGAGGGATCTCCAGCAGGATCCGCACAAACTCCCTCATCGTGGCCTTGTGGTCTAGCGACCACTGCACATGGACGGGGTATTGAGAAGCACACGTGCGCAGGGACAAAAGGTGACTTTAAAGTGAATTTCGAAGGACATAAGGACCTATCTCCAGCACGAACTAGACAAGTTTCCCTCATCATGGCCTCGTGGTCTAGCGACCACTGCACATGGACGGGGAATTGAGAAGCACACGTGCAAAGGGACAAATGGTGGCTTCTGAGTCGATCTCAAAGGACATAAGGACCTATCTCCAGCAGAGACTAGACAAGCTTCCCCATTGTGGCCTCGTGGTCTAGCGACCAGTGCACAGGCAAGGGAAGCATGTGCACGTGGGGGGCACACACTGAATCTTGAGCCTGTTTTGAGCACAGTGGTCATTTACCAGGGTTCTGTAGGGTTCGAGGATGAGGTTCATCCACTCGTCCTTGGAGTGCAGACGTGAGACTATCTTTGGGATTGACCTCTTCATCTGAATGCTCCACTCCCTGCCATGTATGGGCGCGCATGCAAGGACAAAGCGTGGACAACCAGGTAAGGCATGCGAGGAGGAACACACGGAACGACAGCACACAACAAGTGCACACGTGAGACAATCTTTTGAATGGGCCTCTTCATCAAAATGCTCCACTCCCTGCCATGCATGCATACAAGGACAAAGGGCGCACAACCAGGTAAGGCATGCGAGGAGGAACGCAGGGCAGGGTAAGAACGGCGCACAACAAGCGCAGGCGCGAGGCCATCTTCAAACTGACTTTTGAGTCGACTCAAAAGACCGGCACACAACAAGCGCAGGCGCGAGACCATCTTCAAACTGACTTTTGAGTCGACTCAAAAGACCGGCACACAACAAGCGCAGGCGCGAGACGATCTTCAAACTGACTTTTGAGTCGACTCAAAAGACCGGCACACAACAAGCGCAGGCGTGAGACCATCTTCAAACTGACTTTTGAGTCGACTCAAAAGACCGGCACACAACAAGCGCAGGCGCGAGACAATCTTCAAACTGACTTTTGAGTCGACTCAAAAGACCGGCACACAACAAGCGCAGGCGCGAGACTATCTTCAAACTGACTTTTGAGTCGACTCAAAAGACCGGCACACAACAAGCGCAGGCGCGAGACAATCTTCAAACTGACTTTTGAGTCGACTCAAAAGACCGGCACACAACAAGCGCAGGCGCGAGACCATCTTCAAACTGACTATTGAGTCGACTCAAAAGACAGGCACACAACAAGCGCAGGCGCGAGACAATCTTCAAACTGACTTTTGAGTCGACTCAAAAGACCGGCAACCAACAAGCGCAGGCGCGAGGCCATCTTCAAACTGACTTTTGAGTCGACTCAAAAGACCGGCACACAGCAAGCGCAGGCGCGAGACCATCTTCAAACTGACTTTTGAGTCGACTCAAAAGACCGGCACACAACAAGCGCAGGCGCGAGACCATCTTCAAACTGACTTTTGAGTCGACTCAAAAGACCGGCACACAACAAGCGCAGGCGCGAGACAATCTTCACACGGACTTTTGAGTCGACTCAAAAGACCGGCACACAACAAGCGCAGGCGCGAGACCTTTTTCAAACTGACTTTTGAGTCGACTCAAAAGACCGGCACACAACAAGCGCAGGCGCGAGACAATCTTCAAACTGACTTTTGAGTCGACTCAAAGACCGGCACACAACAAGCGCAGGCGCAGACCATCTTCAAACTGACTTTTGAGTAGACTCAAAAGACCGGCACACAACAAGCGCAGGCGCGAGACAATATTCACACTGACTTTTGAGTCGACTCAAAAGACCGGCACACAACAAGCGCAGGCGCGAGACCATCTTCAAACTGACTTTTGAGTCGACTCAAAAGACCGGCACACAACAAGCGCAGGCGCGAGACAATCTTCAAACTGACTTTTGAGTCGACTCAAAGACCGGCACACAACAAGCGCAGGCGCAGCGCAGGCGCGAGACGATCTTCAAACTGACTTTTGAGTCGATTCAAAAGACCGGCACACAACAAGCGCAGGCGCGAGACTATCTTCAAACTGACTTTTGAGTCGACTCAAAAGACCGGCACACAACAAGCGCAGGCGCGAGACGATCTTCAAGCTGACTTTTGAGTCGACTCAAAAGACCGGCACACAACAAGCGCAGGCGTGAGACGATCTTCAAACTGACTTTTGAGTCGACTCAAAAGACCGGCACACAACAAGCGTAGGCGCAAGACGATCGTCAAACTGGACCTCTTCATCTGAATGCTCCTCTCCCCACCCGTACGGGCGTGCATATACAAGGGGTGAAGGCATGCAAGGAGGAAACACAGGGTATTGAAGAATGCAACCAGGGAAGGCCTACGAGGAGGACGATTCAGGACCGACACAATTGCACATGATAACAGAGTACTTGGATTGTCTGTACAAGGCTGACTGAAAGTATAACTTGGTCTTGAACCTTTGGTGTGTCAGGTTATAGGTTTGGGTTGCCATATGCTTACAGGGCTGTTTCAGGGTTCGCAACGACCCCGATCTCGGCGGCTATTTGCAGCGCCGCTAGCACCACTGCTCCCTCCACTGTCACCAGATAGTGGTTCGTGAGATAGTCGTACCGGAGCTGTTAGGGATGGATAGGAGGGTGGAAAGGGTTTGGGGTTTGGTGGGGAGTCAGGCATGCAGCGCCTATCAGAGCCACCAGCACAACTGCTGCCTCCACTGTCACCAGCTAATGGTTTGGCGAGATAGTCGTACTGAAGCTGTTAGGGGTGGGAGGGTGGAAGGGAGAGTAAGAGGAGCGTTATGTGAAGCAGCACAAAGCCACTATCTCCTCCACTGTCACCAGATAATATGATGTTGTGGTTTATGAGGAAGTGGGGCATATGATGCTTTTTCCAGGCGCTGAGTATCCCACACCCAACTGCAAATAGCTCAGGACCCCACACACCACACACGCCCACCCACCTGAGCGTAGCAGAGGCGCACGTGGTGCAGGTCGGCCACGAGTGCATCGTCCGTCTTGAAGAATCGCTTCTTCAGCAGCAGCTTGCACGCCACCAGGCTGCCCCGCGCTGCCTTCACATACTCCGCCATCACGTCTGAGACATATGCCTCGGGGTCCAGCGGCACGTGGTCTGATGCAACACACGGAGGAGTGATGGGATGGATGGCATGGGGTGGAATGAGAGAGCATGGAAGTCATGCCGACAAAGCAACAACTCGCATGCCACCAGGCTGCCCCGCACCGCCTTCACATTCTCCGCCATCACGTCTGACACATACGCCTCCGGGTCTAATGGCACGTGGTCTGGTGGGTGGAGAAAGAAGTGGATGGGTTGGGAGAGCGTGAGGGCATGGTGGGAGGAGTGCAGCAGCTTGCACGCCACCAGGCTGCTCTTCGCCGCCTTCACATACTCCGCCATCACGTCTGAGACGTAGGCTTCCGGGTCTAATGGCACGTAGTCTGATGCATGGAGTGGGGAAGATGGGTGCAAGAACGTGGGAGTATGATGTGGTTACATGGCAATACCGCCTTCGCGTACCCTGCCATCACATCGGATATGTATGCCTTGGGGTCTAATGGCACATCCGATGGGGTCTGATGTTAGGATGGGATGAAGGAGCATGGGATGAAGGAGCATGGGATGAAGGAGCATGGGATGAAGGAGCATGGGATGAAGGAGCATGGGATGGGATGGAGGAGCATGGGATGAAGGAGCATGGGATGGGATGAAGGAGCATGGGATAAAGGAGCATGGGATGAAGGAGCATGGGACGAAGGAGCATGGGATGAAGGAGCATGGGATGAAGGAGCATGGGATGAAGGAGCATGGGACGAAGGAGCATGGGATGAAGGAGCATGGGATGAAGGAGCATGGGACGAAGGAGCATGGGATGAAGGAGCATGGGATGAAGGAGCATGGGACGAAGGAGCATGGGATGAAGGAGCATGGGATGAAGGAGCATGGGACGAAGGAGCATGGGATGAAGGAGCATGGGATGAAGGAGCATGGGATGAAGGAGCATGGGATGAAGGAGCATGGGACGAAGGAGCATGGGACGAAGGAGCATGGGACGAAGGAGCATGGGACGAAGGAGCATGGGATGAAGGAGCATGGGATGAAGGAGCATGGGACGAGAGTGTATGAGAGAGTTGGTTATGCTGGTGGCACCTTCACATACTCCGCCATCACGTCTGATACACAGGCCTCGGGGTCTAGTGGCACGTGGTCTGATGCGCAGGGTGGGGCGGGCGGGTGGGATGCAAGAGCAGGAGAGCACGTCAAGTGATGAAAGTTGGGCTGTGAGACGTCTCAAAACCGGCTTGTTTCGCAGGGTGGGGCGGGTGGGATGCAAGAGAAGAGCAGGAGAGCGCATTGCGTGTGTGCACGGCAGAGGCGACACATTCTCGTCTCGTATAATGCCATGTGCGCGGCAATGAGAGGGATGAAATGTGAGCGTTCCGCCTTGTCTCGTCTCGTATAATGCTCCCTTCACGTCTAAGACAGAGGCCTTGGGGTTTATGACAACTTGGTCCGGTGGGTGTAATGAGAGGGGCGGCTTTGAGAGCATGGCATGGACGGGACAGGGTGACAAAGAAGCAGCAGACTCAGAAGCAGTAGACTCAGCAGCAGCAGTGATACGAAACGTTAATCGGCATGGCATGGGATGGGATGGAACGGAATGGGATGGGATGGGATGCGATGGGATGGGTTGGGATGGGATGGGATGGGATGGGATGGGATGGGATGGGATGGGATGGCATGGGATGGCATGGGATGGCATGGGATGGCATGGCATGAAATGGCATGGGTGGGAGTCACACTAACCGATGGTGGGATCGCTGTGAGTTGCGCCCATGGACTTGTAGATCCTACAGGTGAAGAGGGCAAACGAGGTGGTGTCTGTCACTTGTAACCTTTGCAGCAGCAACTGAAAGGGCCAGAATTTGGAAGAGGGAGAGTGCGGGATGCAAAGGGATGGGCATCAGAGGGTTAGGTAGGAGCATCAGAAGGTCGGGTAGGAGCATCAGAAGGTTGGGTAGGAGCATCAGAAGGTTGGGTAGGAGCATCAGAAGGTTGGGTAGGAGCATCAGAAGGTTGGGTAGGAGCATCAGAAGGTTGGGTAGGAGCATCAGAAGGTTGGGTAGGAGCATCAGAAGGTCGGGTAGGAGCATCAGAAGGTTGGGTAGGAGCATCAGAAGGTTGGGTAGGAGCGTCAGAAGGTTGGGTAGGAGCATCAGAAGGTTGGGTAGGAGCATCAGAAGGTTGGGTAGGAGCGTCAGAAGGTTGGGTAGGAGCATCAGAAGGTTGGGTAGGAGCATCAGAAGGTTGGGTAGGAGCATCAGAAGGTTGGGTAGGAGCGTCAGAAGGTTGGGTAGGAGCGTCAGAAGGTTGGGTAGGAGCATCAGAAGGTTGGGTAGGAGCATCAGAAGGTTGGGTAGGAGCATCAGAAGGTTGGGCAGGAGCGTCAGAAGGTTGGGCAGGAGCGTCAGAAGGTTGGGTAGGAGCATCAGAAGGTTGGGTAGGAGCATAAGGTTGGGTAGGAGCATCAGAAGGTTGGGTAGGAGCGTCAGAAGGTCGGGTAGGAGCATCAGAAGGTTGGGTAGGAGCATCAGAAGGTTGGGTAGGAGCATCAGAAGGTTGGGTAGGAGCATCAGAAGGTTGGGTAGGAGCACAGGGCGAAGGAGGTGGTGGTTTGTCACTTGCAGCCTCTGCAGCAGCAACTGAGTAGGCCAGAAAAGGGAAGAGGGACGAGGTGGAAAGGGACAGGCATGAGAGAGTTGAATGAACTGGGGAAGGCCGCAAGCAGCACGTGCAAAAACCTTTCCTCTTCACCAACAGCCGCTCACCTGCATGGCCTCCCCGATGGTGGTGACGGGGCTGCTGGGAATGTTTTCCAGAGTGTCGTCACATAGATACACCGGCACCAGCAGAGGCGTGTGCGTCAGCAGCGAGAGCACCTGACAGGCACACACGCGGAGAGGGTGGCATGGGACGGGGAGGGATGAGGACCACTCAGAGAAGAGCACGAAAGGTGAGTGTCGCAGCACTTTTGCTTCCCAATACACCAACCTGTACCCACCTCATCTGGCCTGCATTACTTGTGATGAGTCGAGTCGACTCAAAAATCGACGCATCACTTTTGCTTCCCAGCACACCTCATCTGTACCCACCTTGTTTGGCCTGCATCACTTCCCACCTCACGCCTAGCTCTTCCCTCACTACATATCAACCCCTCACTCACCTCATCTCGCCCAGGAACACATCTCCTGGGGCTGTGCTTCAATTCATCATCCAAGCCCTTCCACGCTGCCAGCACCGCCTCTCGAATGGCCTCGTCCCCCACCTGGAGCCATATCTACCTGCAATCATCATCCCTCCACCCACCTCATCTCGTCCTCCCCCTCTTCCCTCACCTTATCTTGCCCCGGCACGCATCTCCTTGGGCCGTGCTTCAGCCCGTGATCCAGCGCCATCCGCGCCGTCAGCTCCGCCTCTCGGATGGCCTCGTCCCCCGCCTCGTCGGAGACGAGCCCTACCCACGGATTCTCACAACCTCACCCTCTCCTCTGCTCTCACCTCGTCCTGCCCAGGCACGCATCTCCTGGGCCCGTGCTTCAGCCCGTGGTCCAGCGCCTTCCACGCCGCCAGCACCGCCTCTCGAATGGCCTCGTCCCCCGCCTCGTCCGATACGAGCGAGGAGAAGTACTCTGAAAGAGGTCCCGCGATGGTGGTGGTGGGGGGGAACACGCCCGCACACAGCCGCATCAGCTCCCACGCTTTGAGACACGACGCCCTGGGGGGAGGAGAGGAGGGGAAGAGAGGGGGCAGCAGGGGACGAGGGTTGTGGTGATGCAGACAGCCCTTCCCCGAACCGCCAGAGGCATCATCACCTCCCTGCAAGCAATGACGGCCTCGTCCCCCGCCTCGTCGGAGACGAGCGAGAAGTAATCTGATAGACGGTGATGGTGGGGGGTACACGCCCGCACACAGCCGCATCAGCTTCCACGCTTTGAGACACGAGGCTCTGGGAGAGGCAGGGGGAGTGGGAGAGGGTGGGGAAGATGACGTTTGGGCTTTTATGACAACCCATGGCAGCTTTTCACTAAACCACTTGCATTACCTTCCCCAGGTCCAGAAACACGCGCGCCACCAGCGCCACCAGCGCCACCCTCTAGGCTACCGCCACCCACCACCCACCACTCACTAATTCACTCACTTGTACTCGTTCCCCCGCGTTTGCTTCCACAGCTGCATGAACATCTCGTCTCGCAGCGGCGGCTCCTTCCCTAGGTCCAGAAACACGCGCGCCACCAGCGCGACCTCCTCCGCGCGCGAGAGCATCTTGCCCTCGTGCACGCCCATGAAGCGCAGCACGTCGCTGAATAGGCGCGTCGCGGGCTCGTGCAGGACGCCGCTTAACCGCAGCATGGCAGTGGGGATGGCGTCCTGTGGGGTGGGGGAGTGGAGGGGGGTTCAGGCGAGGGAGAGGGGAGGAGGGGACGGGACACGCGGGAGGATTGTCAGGAACAGCAGCGCGACCAAGATCGCCTTAATTTGCATCAGCGCGACCTCCTCCGCGCGCGAGAGCATCTTGCCCCCGTGCACGCCCATGAAGCGCAGCACTTCGCTGAACAGCCGCGTCGAGGGCTCGTGTAAGACGCCGCTTAGCCGCAGCACGGCCGTCGGAATGGCGTCCTAGGAGGGGAGGGTGGATGGTGGTCATGGTGGGGTGGGTAGGGTGGGGTTAGAGGGGATGGGGGGGAGTACCCGCAGGGGATATAGGGGCGGGGGGGAGGGGGTCAAGTGGAGTCCACGGGGAGTAGGGCGCCGGGAATCATGGGCAAGATTGACTGAAAAAGCAGCAGGACCAGGAAATCGCTTAATTAGGGCCAGCATCGGGACTTTTTCAGCTGAGATGAGCATCTGGCTGAAATGCATGAAATAGTAAATGCATGAACTCACTCGCACCTGCTGAAACGAGAACATGTATCGGACCCGACTAGTACTGTTCCGCCATAGTGATAATCATGGGGCATGGCTTTGCGGCGCCTATCGTTCGGGCGTCGAGTTTCCTTACCTGTTGAAACGAGAACATGTCTCGAACCGTGTACTGCTCGGCCTTGGTGGTCCCGGGGCCGACGACTCCCAGCAGTCGTCGCCGGGCGACAGCGGTCGCACGAATGTCCAGCATCGCTGCGACGAATGCCTCCACGTGGCAGATGTCGTAGAGCTCCTGCACCGCCTCGAGAGTTCCGCCGGGAACCAACCTGCTTCGTAAAAATACATTGACAGGATTTGAGGGGAGCCTTTGAGGCGCCTCCACGTGGCAGATTTCGTAGAGTTCCTGCACCACCTCGAGAGTACCGCCGGCAACCAGCCTGGTCCGAACGAAGACATTGGCAGGTATTGACAATGATGATAACAACTCTGGTGATTAAATTTCCGTAGAAAATTAAGGGTTGGGTGGGTGACTATGGGGAGGCGTAGACGACTACGGACCTCGACAGTCCGGATACTGACGGTTGGGTGATGGAAAATCCAGCCTGGACGAGAGTAAGCGGTTTTGCTAGCAGCTATCTTGACGCCAGAAGGGATAACGATTAAATCCTAGCGAAATGGAGCAACTAGAGGCTGCTATGAAGGTTGCTGCTCCTTGACCTGCGTGAATTCCGCAGGAACTATCTGTACAGAGAGCACTTTTGACGTCCATCCTCCCAGGAAATTCCTGCCGGAGAGTACGTCCACTCGAAGAACGAGTACCCGTCTCAGAATGTGTTATGGTTACTCACATGACGTCTAGAAACGCCTCTTTGTAGTTCATTTCTGGCGCGTCTTTTAGAGATATGGAGCTCTCCATCATGGCTGCTCTTGTCGTCGCCACCACCATTCTAGTTTTACACTTTACAGGCTAATAACGCTAAGAGCACGCGCTCAGTACGAGACGGGTCTTTGGTCGTAATTTGTTGAACTTGAATCCAATGACTACTGGTTTCCTGTTCTACAATCACTTGTGCACTGCTGCTATTTTTTTCTTTCCTCGACAACGACGTATTCTGATATTTGCGTCTCGGCGTGAGGTGCGCACAGAACGCCACGTTCTAAATCTTTCGAAGCCTTTGTGCACCAATCTCTTCGCAGGTTGATCCAAACAACTCAGGCGCTCCAAGACTTCTCTAGAATGCTTCTGTGCAAAATTCGCGATGGAAGAAGTGGGGAGGAGAAGCTGAGAGGGAAGGAGAAGTTTGGTGGGCGGTAATCCCGAGGCCGACATACTCCACCAAGCTGAGCCAAACCCAGCCAAGACAACGTTGCCAAATTCCAAGCTCCAAGCCCAAGGTGTGTCCGGTGACGCTGATTCGGCGACTCGGCTCGGCTCGCCCAGAGAATGACGAACAGATGAACGAGTCCGCGTGCAGCCTCTGTACCGTTCTATTTACCTAACCACCACACTGTAACCTCAGTCGCATCACAAAAGCTCTCACCACCAAGACAGTGCCTAGCGCGTTCCGTTCTGTGACCGAGGAGAACACGGGCAGTCTCAAGCCAAGTCGCCAGATGCTAGGCGAGCTAGCCAATCGGAAGGCTCGACTGACTGCAGTTCAGCAACCAGCAGACCGCCCTCCCTCACAGGGGCTTTCTGGAATCACTTTCTTGCACCTCGAAATGTTTTCCCGCCACAAGTGTCTCCGTGGCCGAAGCGCTTCAGCTGTTTCCTGTACGTCGCTGCTTTCGTTTGAGATGCCGTGACGAAACAGTCAATGCATTTGAAAGAATTACTACATGAAGCAATTCTGTGACTTTTAAACTTATTCTTACAAGCACCCTTAGGCAAACAACAGACACAAACAAATGGCCCTTGTGAGCTACGCCTTACTAGCAAAGGCAAACTAACTGATGTAATTTCAAGAGAACCTCGGAGTTTCAAATATCTCCAAGGTCTGTTATCTTCAATACCACTTCATCCCCTTGACCTTCCCATCTCAGCCATAAGGAGGGGGTCATTCTCAGAACGAGTGTTATCCTGCAGAAGGTGAGGACACAGAACAAAGAAACATGGAGGGAGTTGAATGAAAACAGTGCAATGTGATAGGACAGCTAAGCAGTTTCGAAGAAAATATGTACACTGAGCTATGGCAGGACGCTTAGACTCACAGTTTCACGGTCACTGTCATTGGCCTTCTCAAAACTTAAGCCACCCGAGGGAGGAGCTGAAATCTATGTTCGGGGCAAATGATACAGGCCAATGAAACAAAGCATGACACATGAGGTTCAGAACTGAAAACAAAAGCATTAACTTCAACATGATTGAATAACAACCTTGAACATCTGCAAAGCACAGATGCAGCACCCCCTAAACAGCCCAATCAGAACCAGCCAAACCTGAAATACAGGCACCAAACCCACCAAAACCACCTGAACCACCTGGAAGCGCACCTGAGCATCTCTGGACTTGGCCTCTTGGATCTGCACGTAGGAGTAGAGAACCATGCCGACCAGCGCAACCAGAATGCCGCCCGCATTGCGCCAGCTGAAGGGGTTGTTGAGCAGCAGGTAGCCCATACCTAGCACCAGACACGTCTTGAGGTGGCCTAGCACCTGAGAGAGGGGGGGGTGGGGGGGAGGAGGATACAGGCATGCACATATGGTGGGATTAGGGTTGAATCCACTGTCCAGCTGAAAGGGTTGTTGAGCAGCAGGTAGCCCATACCCAGCACCAGACATGTCTTGAGGTGGCCTAGCACCTGTGGGGGACAAGTGTGTGTGTGGGAGTCAAACAAGAAACACAGGAGTTTGTGGGGAGAATTGGATTCAATGCAGCATATGATGTGAGTTAACTCAAAGGGAAATGTGCACTTTAGAGGTAAACCGCGCAATCACTCACAGCCCACCTACTTGGTGTAATGAGGGGGTTTTGGCGGCAGCTATAAAAGAGAATTTCGAAAGCCGACCGAACTCAAATAAAAAGAAAGAAAGAAAGGAAGAAGAAAGGTCCACTTTAAAAGTGAAACTGAAAACTCCTTAGAGCCCACACACCTGGTAGGTGACTGGCGACGTCTTGCCGATGACTAGGAAGGAGCTGAAGTTGACCGCCACGGCAATGAAGCATGACAGCAGGATGAACGACTGGTTGTAGTGGGGGATGGAGGGGTAGGGGGGGCAGGAATGGGAGGAAAAAGGGGTGAGAGCTTGAAAAGGGAGAGGAACCAGGTGAAGTGGGGGAAATGGCAAAGCGAGTAGGTTCAAAAAGGAGCCGCAGTTGACTGCCTGCCACTGCGATGAGTCAGGAGAGCAGGATGAAAGACTGGTTGTAGAGGGGGATAAAGGGGTTTGGGGAGGGAGGAGGGGATGGGGGCAGGAATGGGAGGAAAAAGGAGGGTTGACTCAACATCGATGGTGCATGACATCAGGATGGAGCCAAAAATGTTGTGGGCTATGAGGCAGGCACCGACAAAGGGGATATGGACGGCCCAACTTAACCCACTACCAGCACTCTCATTCATGCACTCCGCTCCCAGCACTCTGGTGCAATCCACTCACCAACAGTGGCCAAAGAGTACTCTGAGGCGTCAGAACTCTGAAAAGCAGGAAAGTAGATGCACACGCACTACTCACAATGATGTTGAAGGTGTAGTCGAAGGCAAAGAGGTTGTGGCCCGTGAGGTAGGCGTCCACGAAGGGTCCAAAGCACTCACACAGCATAACACGTAATCAAGACGTAGCACTCGTACAACACCTTGTGCTACACGAGCAGATGCACATGTACCCACAATGACGTTGAAGGTGTAGTCAAGGCAAAGACATTGTGGCCCACAAAAGGAGCATCTGGACTGGAGGCTCAGCACACTTACCAGCAGTCTGCTGGAAGTGTAATCCATTCAAAGCCAAAGCTAATCAGAGGGCTCACAAGCTCCTAGGTATTGCACTCACAATGACGTTGAAGTTGTAGTCGAAGGCAAAGACGTTGTGGCCAGTTAGGTAGGCGTCGACGAAGGGCCCCGAGAGGATGAGAATGAGCGCCTGGAAGGGCGACGACTGGTACAGCAGCTGCGTGCTGCTCACCTTGTACCCCTTCTGAATCGTGTTGGTCATCTGAGGACGGGGAGGGGACAGGGATAAGATAGGGGAAGGGACAGGGGAGGAGGGAGGGAAGATAGACAGGGGAGGAGGAGAAGGAAAGTGAAGGGGACAGGGAGGGGGGTGGGGATGGGGATGGGGATGGGGATGGGGATGGGGATGGGGATGGGGATGGGGATGGGGATGAGGAAGGATGAGAAAGGGAAGGGGATTTTTAAAAGCAATGCAAACTACCCAGGCTTGTCAGCTGGTGAAGCCAGCAAGCTATCTGATGACACCACCACTTACAATCTGAGCAACGCAGGTGCTGACGATGGCGAGCGCCGCCAGCACGGTGCCAACGAAATTGAGCTCCAAGTCCGTGACTGTGGCGATGCCCACGCCCAGCAGCAGCACCAGTAGGGATGCCTGCACCTGAAGACTGAATGACAACGACAGGGGGGGGAGGGGTGGTGGAAAGCTTATGAATGAGATGCCTGATGCCCACGCCCAGCAGTAGCACCACTAGGGGCACCTGCACCTGCAAGCTGACTCACAAAGGGAGAAGGGGGGGTGTGGGGGGGGGAGTGGAGTGGTGGTGGGCCTCTGATAGGCCCAAGCCTAGAGCAGGAGCACCGGCAGGGACGAATGCATCTGAAGCCTGAATCACCAAGAGGGGGAGACGGGCGTGGAGGGGTGGTGGGCGGGGGGACGGACATTTATATTCTAAGGGGCTCAGGTGACATGAGGCTTGCGCAACGCGCAGAGGCTTGCATCGCAGCGGTGCCCTGAACATGTAACCCGAAGGCAATACAATTTAGGAACACGGAATTCGGATGATGTATGACGCATCCACGCACCTGAATCTCATCTTCAGGAAGAGGATTTGCAGACAGACCGTGCACGGGATGATGGCGAGCTTGGCCATCTGCAATGGGAGCAATGGGAATAGCCACGTGAAAAAATAGTGCTTAAGGGACGTCTCAAAGACCGTGCACTGCAAAGGATGATGGCGAGCTTGGCCATCTGCAATGGGAGCAATGGGAACGGTAACGGCAACGCACCGAAACCGAAACAGACACGTCAATATGTCAGGCGATGACGTGGTGCCCGGATGACTAAGCGAGTGCTAAGTGTGAAATGCTTTTATCGGAGGAAAGCCTGCACATGCGAGGTTTCTCGTGATGTGGCATAAGTCGTATAGCGAAACCGGAAGACATTCATGAATATACTCGGCAGAGGATATCTCGCTGTAACACTTTGTTCCCCCCACTTTTGACAAAGACGATAATTTGCTTGTTCATACGCATGTATTTGACTGTGTGAGCGTGTGTGATTGCAAATGAGAAGCGAGATGAAGGTTTACATGGGAAGTGGACTGTAAGAAAATATATGCGAGGTTATAGTCAATGCGGTAGAATCAGTAAAAAAAAAATGAAGCCCCTTATTGATCATCACTAAGGGAAAGACGTTACCTGGTTAGAAGCCCGCGGAATTGGATCGAAGCACGCAAAATGGTCAGGCACTTAGCAATGCCGAATACGACCAGCCCTTCGAGATTACCACGGAAGGAAGAAAGACGTTACCTGGTAAAATCCAACAGAATTGAACCCTAGTGTCAGGTTCAGGAGGCCGATGGACGCGCCATTGAGCAAGCCGAACCCGATGACGACCTTAGAGTCGAACGCCTTGTGCTCAAAGAACCCGATCGTCCGCGCGACGTGCAGCGATAGGAATGTGATCACCAGATGCCAGCTGGATAGCGTCGTCGCTGATCGGTCGCGAGGAGGATTAGGGGATGGAAACAATGAAGATCAGGAAAACGAGATTAGGTATGACTCGTCGTCGTAGCTGACGCTTGACTGACGCCGAATACAGACGATACCGTCGGGAGATTGCGAATAAGATGCGATAGAAGAAGAGAGCAGCGAAGAGGGGGGGATGAAACCGATGAGACTTATCCAGGCTTACCGAAGTTGAAGTGAAACTGGGAAAGCAACGCTTTATTGCAGATAACAATCGACACTGATGAGACCACTGACAGGGTCAGGGCCCCGATCGTCCCGATATTCGACATCGCTGTGCTCCCTGCTCGTCAAACTCTCCTCAATGCAGGTTCGAAAAAAAAAAGGTTCCTTAAATATCCCAGTTTTTGCGGAGCTAAGTTATGCCCGTCTCAACTCCTTGATCAAATGACTTCTTCGTTTCTTCCCTCCGCTGTCTCGCATCAACGGATTTTAGCAGCACGAGCTTCGTCGCCAGGGAATGATCCTTCTCCTCAGGGATGAAGTCAGCAGATCAGCGACCTTGAAACCTCCTGTGCTACTAATTTTCACACCCAGATTGAAATCACTGGAAACTAGAGTCAAATAGGAAGGATATGTAAAAACTAGGAAATGCACTCACAGGAAGGATGTGCCATGCGTTTCTCTACCCTGGTTCAGTGCGTTTCAGTAAGTTAAAGCTCAAGGCCCAAATTGCGCAAGGTTAGTAATCTTGCGCAAGGGTTTGGGCTGGTCAAGAATGTGCTGGGAGGGTGGGGTTGACTTATTTCGCACGAGCTCTCGCAACAATTGCTGAGTCAGCAAACACCAAGGTTAACATTCTGTTTGGGTCCGAGAGTCCCAAATTGTGTAATACTGAAAGTTGAAGTTTCTGCAGGGAGATCAATCAGATCCATTCGCACCTACCGTAACCCAACATTCGCCAAACCACAGCACCAAAACAACAGCTGTGCAAGATTAGTAATCTTGCTCAGCGCGGCCCGCAATTTGGGCCTTGAGCTTTAACAGACGGTATAGACTGCACACTACTTCTTATCAAACGCGACCGCAAAGCACCTAGCGAAACCGAGGTATGTGACGTGATTTGCAACGATACGCAAGGCTTTCAACAACCTCTAATCAACAGTTGCCGTCCCTCGACTGTGCGAAGTGCGGCGATACCTACCGATGACTTCTACACGAGAGTTACCACTAGAGCGGAGGTTCCAAAACCGACAGGGATGTCGTGAATGTGTGACATCAACGAAGTTGCAATGGGGACACAAACGCAGGAGGACCAAACCAGAGTGACCCAACCCAAACCGCCGTTGCCGAGCGTGCCCAATCGGCTTTGTGTGTGGTTCAGATTCACCGAATCGGGGCCGTTGAAGCGAAATGTCACCTGAACCCCGCGCACACGAGTCGCAGGATGAATCTCACACAACTGTGAGACGACACTGCAATCGAACCAGGGAGGGTTTAGACGATACCTCGTTTAGTCCGTTTCAACATATCACACAGCTGCGGTTACACTAGTTAGATCCAGGCTTGACCAATCAGTTCCATAAGGGCGGGGGCAGCGCGTTAATTTTCTTGGCTTAGCCCGAAACAGTTACCAGATTCAGCGGTTTGTAACCCTGATTTAGAGTAACGAGTGGACACGATGGAGTATACAGTGGATGAACGGTGGCTGTTTTCCGTGCCGTCAACCGAACAGAACACGTTCCCACGACGGCCGCGAACAACACGCGCATCATTCGAGAATGCCTGTGTGCAGGTCAGCGAAACCGCACCACGAGTTCGTCAAGCGCGTACGACCCTCGCAAATTCATGGGTTCACAAATACAGCTTCGTACTGCGCCCCGTCACCAGATCCACTAGCACAGGGTTACCTCATTGGGTGGGCGGTTGGGCAAAAGTGTGGCGGGACCTGTGCCTAATTCTGGACGCGCGTGTCCCACCTGGGACACAAACTAAGCGCGGTGCAAAAATGCTACAGTATTTTCCTGATTCGACGGGCGTCAAAATTTTGGAAAAGTGGAGAAAATGAACGCGCTGCCCACGCCCTAAACAGCTGATTCTCCTGAACTCTTCGTTTTACTAATTAGATACCAGTAAGACGCTGTGGCCTCGTGCCCATTTCAGCTCTCAACAAGCTCGCCCGAATCAGCAGTGCGCGTGTGTCTCGTTGGAAGTCATTGCCCGCTGCAAGGGCTCGTTGAAACGTTGCATTGCGCTGGTCAGCATGACGAGCATATAGAATGCCTTTGTGTGAGTCGATGCGTGCCTGGCGTGGAAACAACGAACAAAAAAAAAAAAAAAAACGAAATGGGAGCAGGAATTGAAGGAACAATAAATACACACAGACAAGAGGGAATTGGCGCGCAGCTCAAAGCACATCAGCTCTAATAAGCCACCCCCACTATAGACCCATCCACCCACCCGCACATGGTTATCCATTACAAGAACCACTGGAAGCTCCTTTTCCAGTGATTTACATGCCTAGAAATAGCCACTCACCTGCACTTGGTTATCCATTATAAGCGCAGCAAGCTCCTTCTCAAGAGCCGCCACATTCGTGTTAAACGCCGAGGCCATCGTGCGGAGATCGACGGATATGAAGGGTGTGGTGTACTGAATGAGAGCGCGCTGGCGGATCTGCTGGTAGAGCGCTGCCACATGGTCATGCAGATGCAGATCCAGCTCTAGCACTGGCCGGAGCTTGTCCAGATATTTCAGGCACGAGGCATATCGGCTGGAGGGAAGGATAAAAACGGAGAGAGGAGGAAGAGAGGAAGAGTCTGAGTGGCCGTGCAGACGCAGGTCCAGCCCTAGCACTGGCCTGAGCTTGTCCAGATACTTGAGGCACGATGCGTAGCGACTGTTTGGGGGAAAAACTATAGAGTGATCGAGAGGCAAGGGAGAGGTAGGAGGATGAGAGTTAGTGGTCGTGCAAATGCAGATGCAGCTCCAGCACTGGGCGGAGCTTGTCCAGGTATTTAAGACATGATGTGTAGCGGTTGTTGGGGAGAAAACAAGGGGTGTTTGAGAGGCAAAGGTGAGAGGAGGGGGGGACTGAGTGGTCGTGCAGACGCAGGCCCAGGTCTAGTACTGGGCGGAGGTTTTCCAGGTACTTGAGGCATGATGCAAAGTGGCTGATTTGGGGATACAACAAGGAGTGACACAGGGGCAAGGTTGATTGAAAAGAAGAGAATTGAATGGTCGTGCAGATGCAGGCCCAGCTCTAACACTGGCCAGAGACGTCCAGATATTTCAGGCGCAATGTATGGTGGCTAAAATAAAGGATGGCGGGTGTAGAGGATGGTGAGAGGAGAGGAGGAGAACGAGTGGTCGTGCAGTGCAGATGCAGGCCCAGCTCTAGCACTAGGGAGTGGTAATCAAGATCTCCACGTGAGGCCAAAGCCAGTACAAGTCGTAACCGCACCCACCTTGCATGCATAGGAGGAGCCGTATATGAAATGAGCTCCCTGACCCCTGGCACGAACTCAAGGATGTCTGAACGTCTTACAGGAAATGTGTTGATCAGACACGGAGCAGACACAAGACACAGACAGACTGACCAGGCAGACAAGTCGTTAAAAAAATTGTTGGTAGTCACAACAGGCCAGTGAGAGAAAGAGTGCGCGCAGTCTATGGACTCACCTGGCGTAGAAGTTGCTAATGAGCTCCTTGACCCCTGCCACGAGCTCTAGGAAGGGTGAGAGGCCTACAGGAGATAGAGAGGTCCAGAAGTGGGAGCAAGCACAAGCGCCCTTCACTCACCTGGCGTAGAAGTCGTATATGAGCTCCCTGACTTCCGGCACGAGCTCGAGAAAGTTGCGGAAGTTGACAGAGTCTATCAGCTTGTTCTGCATGCACGCACATGCACAGTGAGGGAGAGGGTGGGGGGAAAGGAGGGTGGACTAAGAATGTTGGAAGATCGAGGAAGTTGCGGAGGTTGACAGAGCCAATCAGCTTGCTCTGCACATACAAGAGGCAGTTAGCATGATGCGTTGGAGAAAACAGGTACCTTAAGTTCCGCACGGTCAAACGAAGCGAGAGCACAGAGCCCACCATACACCGCCACGTCCTGGGGTGCAATCACCTCGGAGTAGCTGTTGCCCATGTCGAAGCTGGCACTCACAAACTGGGGCAGAGAGCAGCGTGGGGGGTGACATGGGAGAAAAGGAACATGAATTTAAGAGAATTAACTTCAAGGTGCTAGCTCCTTGGAGTAGCTGTTGCCCATGTCGAAGCTGGCACTCACAAACTGCCCGTGAACAGGAAGTAATGGGAAAGAGGAAGGATTGACAGGAGAGGGAAAAGGGAATAGGGAAAAGGGAAGGGAAGGGGAGTGAGCAAAGGAAGAGGAAATGACAAAAAGGAATGGTAATCGAGAAAAATGAAAGGGATACGGTTCAAGGCATTATCATCTAAGAGCAGCTGCTGCCCACGTCAAAGCGCAACGCACCCCACCGCACCCTACCGCACCCCACCGCACCGTACCGCACCCCACCGCACCCTACCGCACTCTACCTTACTGTTCACCACCCACATTCCTGGCAGCAGCCTTGTATTTCCGCCCCTCCAGACTAGCGAGGCCAGCAGCGCTCCTCAGTTTCGCCAGAACCAATGGGTCCGTCATGCCGCGCTCGGCCTTCTGCACGTAGTTGCTCACGTTCACAAAGTGTCCCAGCTCCACACTCGCCCTTCCCTCTCCCCACCTCCACGCACCCCGTTCCCTCTCCCTGCCTTCCTGTCTCCAACCCAGCTTCCTGTTTCCAGCCCACATTCCCATCACGGCCACAGCACAAACCCACCTTCCTGGCAGCGGCCTTGTACTTGCGCCCCTCCAAACTCGCAAGCCCAGCGGCGCTCCTCAGTTTCGCCAGCACCAGCGGGTCTGTCATGCCGCGCTCGGCCTTCTGCACGTAGTTGCTCACGTTCACAAAGTGTCCCAGCTCCACACTCGCGACGATTACGTTGAGGCACATGGCAATGGTGTGCTTGGACGTGATGCAGTAGTCGCGCGTGCGCACGTAGCACCGGAACGCCTGCTGGAGATCCCCCCGCGAGTAGAAGAAGTCGCCGAGATCGTTGTACCCCATGCGAATGGATTCTTTTATCAGGTTCGTCTGTAGCGGGGATGAGGGGGAGGGGGGAGGGCAGGGGAGGGCAGGGGAGGGCAGGGGAGGGCAGGGGAGGGCAGGGCAGGGCAGAATGACGTTGAGGCACACGGCAATGGTGTGCTTTGAGGTGATGCAGTAGTCGCGCGTGCGCACGTAGCACCGGAACGCCTGCTGCAGGTCGCCCCGCGAGTAAAAAAAATCCCCCAGGTCGTTGTACCCCATGCGAATGGACTCCTTTATCAGGTTCGTCTGTAGCGGGGATGAGGGGTGGAGGGGAGGAGGAGAGGGCAGAGGAGGGGGGAAAGAAGAGGAAGGAAGGGGGAGGGGAAGGGGAGGAGAGGGGAGGGAAGGGTGGGATACAGGGAAGAAGGATTCCTTAGTGTTTGAAAGGCTGTTGGGTGTGTGATTGGGTTGGAGGAGAGGCACATGGGTGTGGTGTGTTCTTCTGTAGCACGGATGAAGGGAAGGGAGGTGTTAACTGGTACGACTTACCTGTTCCGTCCGGGACAAATCGAGTCAGCATTCCACCTAACCTGGCGCATTAGGTCAACAGTTCTGAATTTCACAATAATCTAAATAATAACAGTTCCAAGCTATCCCCTCCATACCTTGCACCTGTAAGCCATACCTACCTAGTACCTGTTGTACCTGTAAGCCATACCTTGTACCCGTTTAACTCCATCTCAAGCTTCTCCTGTTTCTGCACCGCGCGGCGCTCTACAGAATCCACCCACTCCTGGTCCAGCTCGTACTTAGGCCCGAGGCGCCCCGCGATCTTCGCCACGACCTCCTTATACGCCGCGCTGTTCTCGCCGCGCTTCAGCTCATCCGCCGCCATCCGCAGCGCCTCGAGCTCCATCGCCGTCTGCCCCATCGCGGCGCATCGCTCCGCGATGAATCGCAGCCGTACGATGCGCGTGTGGCCGGAATAATTCGCGGCGTACGACTCCAGATCCAGTATCTGCTCCTCGCCCGCAGCGCCCGCCGCTGAAGCCGGCGAGGCAGACACCCCGCCGCCAGATGCGCCAGCGGAAGGGGCGGTGTTAACTGGAGGAGTGTCGGAGCCAGGCGCGCCGACAGGCGGGTTCTGATTCGGAGGCGGCGTGGCTGGAGTTCCCGATTCCGACGCCATGAGGATCCTGGAAACAAGGCCCGGCAATATTATTATTATTTTTTTTTTTTTTAGTGAAAGTGTTGTGAACCGAATAATGGAACAATCTAGATGGGAAGTTTGCTGCAGGAGTATGACGAATGGCGACGAGCGGATCGAGGAACCCAAGACGCGAGGGTGTTGCGCAACGCTCACATCCACAGAAGCTAACGAGGCATGGATAGATGGAGGTTGTGCGTGCGCCTAGCCAGTTCTTGCATCGTGGCTCAGGACGGTTCAACACGGTGGGAAGCGGTTCTGAAGAATTACAGCTCTGCACCTTGACGAAACGAAGTTGACCGCAGTGAGTGCACAGAAGTTGTAGAACCTGACACTGCCCTAGAAGGGAGCACATGTAAAATTGTAACACAAACATACGTTAATGATATTTGCAATGCACGTAAGGACACCAAGAAGATGCCAAATAATTAAGGCATATATAAGATGCCTGTGTGTGTATATATGCAAGTATTTGATAACTCTGGGCTCACGTAGTAAACTTCTACAAGGTTATCAGAAAGTACTTGGTTATTTACGAATAATCTGCGTATGAGTTGCTACGAAAGTGCCTGTGGCGGGGATGATTCGCCTTCAGCAGCTGCCGAACCCGGGGACTGCATCGCCAGCCATCCTCCTCGAGATCATCGAACCAATTCTTATGGCACAACGGTCACTGACTGATAGTGGCTTGTGTTTTGGGGTTACACTTCTGCTCGCCTGCGGTAGCGTGACAGGTCCCTGGAAGTAATTCCCCATTCTGACATGCATAGGGACGCGGCTCGCTGCAGGAACATGCTGGTCGAGTAACATCGATCCAACGTGAAACTTTGGCCCATTACACTAGGAGTTTTCTTGCACTAGACGCGGAACCGCGGGAAAGGAGAACGCAATTCAGCTAATACTGAATTGGAACCTGCAGGGAGCGGGTCAAGGGTTGGAGAAGGGAGGGTGAGAAATAATACGTTCGGGGAGGGGGAGGGTCCGAGAGGTGTTTTTCAGAGATGGACGCCGCACATGCCGCCGAGACTCACGAGGTCGGTGGATCTGGTAGAGCGTTGAGTTAAATTCGCCATGAGCACATTTTGTTTCTTCCTGCGTCGCGTGAATGATGTAGTGACGATCCACTCCGTCGTTGCAGCGCTTCGACTTGACATGCCATTGTGAGCGGAGGCTCTTTTTTACCTGATACCCTCGTCCTGTCGCATCTTGACCGTACAATGGTCCCGCTGAGCCATCATAGCCGTCCGTTCCCTTTGCTTGTGTGGATATCACCAGGTTCTGGCACATTTCCACGTGGACGAGAACACAGGTCTCACCGATGCTCAGGTGGAACACAATCGAAGCATCTACGGACGGAACGGTGAGTCCCACTCTTTCTGTCCTCGTTATAAGCCCACTTTTTACCGTCTCGCCACAAAAGTTTCCCCTGTCCCCTTGCTGATTGCATTCTCAGTCCTGTTTATTGATCACTTTTGTTCTGCTGTGTTGTGGTATGCCCTTGGTGGTGGGACACTGGGAACACTGCTGCCCTCGATTCGCCCCTGCAGAGGCCCCCAAGGAAGAAGGTGAGAACCCCTTTCTTGCCCTCACCTGTCAAGTTCCTTTCCCCTTGGTTTGGTTTCCCTGTTTCAAGGTTGATAGACAGTGGTTGAAGATTCGTCCTCCATTATGTACCCCACAACAGTCATAGTCCATGGGATTTGTTCATCAGAAGCCATGACATCACCTGTCACCACTTGTCACCGCCTGTCACCACCTGTCACCACCTGTCCACCTGCCACCACTTACACCACCTATCACCACCATTTGCCACCGTCTGGCACCACACCAGGCACGCCCATCTGGAAGCTGGTGCTGAAGCAGTTCGACAACCTGTGAAGACCCCCCTGGTCTCCGGTGCTGTTTTCTCTGTGCCAAATCGTTGTCACCATCACCACAAATTTCCACCTATTTCCACCTGTCGCCACTTGTCACCACACCACCTATCACCGCCTTCCACCACCTGTCACCGCACCAGGCACGCCCTTCTGGAAGCTGGTGCTGAAGCAGTTTGACGACCTGCTGGTGAAAATCCTCCTGGTCTCTGCAGTCGTCTCCTTCCTCCTCGCCCTCGCCAACGGGGAGAGCGGCTGGCACGCCTTTGTCGAGCCTGCTGTAAGCTCAACGTTGCCCTCATGGCGTAAGCTGTTGCTGTAAGCTGGTACGCCCTCATGTTGAAGCTGTTGTAAGCTCAGAACACTGCTGTTACCACAAGATTCATTCTACAACTTAAGCACTTCCTTTCATGTGCTGCTACTTCCCACCCCCCCTCCCCCAACCCCTTCCCGTTTCTCTTATCGCAGGTCATCCTTCTCATTCTCATTGCCAACGCCACAGTTGGGGTCATCACAGAAACTAACGCAGAGAAGGCCCTGGAGGTGCGCGGCTGCCTTGCTGGTATGGCTTCTGGTGTTATACGCGTACAATGAGTGAGTCGCTGACTGCTTATGTGTCTCTCGAGTGCCTGCAACCTGTAATGGAACACCTGCTTTTTTATCTGTTGTGTTTTTTTTTGTGCCTTATAGTTTGAGACTTTTCAACATACATGCTAAAGCTGCCTCCTTTGGTTCACAAGACCATCGCTTCCCGTCCATCTTGCAGCCACCGTTCCCAAAGCTCCTTTTTACCTTTCTAACATCCCCTGTGACTCACTCACACCCTCTCACCAGGAGCTGAAGGCTTATCAAGCCGATGTTGCTACAGTACTGCGCAATGGTGAGTAAAAGGTAGAGAACGTAATCCATACCCCCAAGGTGATGTGAGTGAGTGAGTGAGTGAATGAGTGAGAGTGACTGTGGGAATAAGGGTGTTGGGTACGTGTGTGAATGTGAGCTTGACAGTGAATGAGCTCAAGTGACCTGGAGCATCACCGGTTTGTTCCCCTTTCTTCCCGTTTCCCTGTTTTTTCCATCGCCACACACATGCAGGCAGGCTGGCCATCATCCCAGCTGCAGAGCTGGTCCCTGGCGACATTGTTGAGGTGTCAGGTGCGTGCAGGCTCAGAAACCATTGAAAAGTAGGTTTCTGAGTCGACTCAAGCATGCAGGCAGGCTGGCAATCGTCCCAGCTGCAGAGCTGGTTCCTGGTGACATTGTTGAGGTGTCAGGTGAGGACTAGACGTTCTAAAGAAGTAAAGCGCAGCTGGGAGGTGTTAGGTGATTTCTCAGCCTCTGGGTGATCATCTTTCCCAACCTGCCTTGGCTGAATCGCCTGAACGCTCTGTCTGTATCTACCGCCTTATCTGTTCTGTGTGGGTGGCAGTCGGCGGCAAGGTGCCAGCGGACCTCAGGGTGCTCTCCCTGCTCAGCACTCAGCTCAGAGCAGACCAATCCATCCTCACAGGTAGGTACTGGTTGAAGTGAAGGTGCCAGGTGGGTGCCTTTCTGTTGTTCACTCGACACAAAGAATGGAAGGTGCCAGCGGATCTCAGAGTGCTCACCCTTCTGAGCACTCAGCTCAGAGCGGGCCAATCCATCCTCACAGGTAAGAAGTTGCATTGCATTGTTAAGTCGACTAGAACTACCAGCCTCCGGGTCTCGGAATGGAAGGGTGCCAGCGGATCTCAGAGTGCTCTCCCTGCTGAGCACTCAGCTCAGAGCAGGCCAATCCATCCTCACAGGTAGGTACTTGGTGATGTAAATTGTTGTGGCAGGTGAGAGTGCATCACCAAGTAATCCATCCCGAGTAAATGCCTGTTCTTGTTCCTTGCCTGCATGCACCATGGGTGGCAGGGGAGAGTGGGTCGGTGTCAAAGACAAAACGAGCCACACGGTCAGCAGCGGCAGTATATCAAGACAAGACCTGCATCCTCTTTTCCGTACGTTCTCTCAACCTTCACCTCTTCGAGTAATGCGGCGAATTTTGAGTCGCCGCAAAACTTGTCTCATCACATTCACAACCAGAGCTGCACACACGGTCAGCGGCGGCAGTCTATCAAGACAAGACCTGCATCCTCTTTTCCTTACGTTCTCTCTCGTGTGATCTACCTCCCGCTATCTCATCACCCAGTTTTCTTTCCCATCTTTCTTCGTAAATGCGGGTGCCCACCCGCTCAGGCAAGAATTTTGAGACGGTCTCAAAACTTGATTCTATCTACTGTCTTCCTCTCCACTCCCATGCTATCAGGGAACCGTGGTGACAGTGGGGAGGGTGCGGGCCATTGTTATCGCCACAGGAGGGAGGACTGCCATTGGGAAAATCCGTGATGCCATATCGGAGTCAGCAGATGTGAGTCTATTGCTGGGTCAGCAGGTGTGAGTCTATTGCTGGGTCAGCAGATGTGAGTCTATTGCTGGGTCAGCAGGTGTGAGTCTATTGCTGGGTCAGCAGATGTGAGTCTATTGCTGGGTCAGCAGGTGTGAGTCTATTGCTGAGTCAGCAGATGTGAGTCTATTGCTGGGTCAGCAGGTGTGAGTCTATTGCTGAGTCAGCAGATGTGTGTCTATTGCTGAGTCAGCAGATGTGAGCCGTTATATCGAGTCAGCAGAAGTGAGCCGTTATATTGAGTCAGCAAATGTGAGCCTTTCTATCGAGTCAGCAAATGTGAGCCTTTATATCTAGTCGGCAGATGAATGTCTTCTTTGAGTTGGTTTGTTTGAATGCATACCTCTACTACCCAATCTACTTTGCACACCTGCCTTCACCTGCCTTTGAGTCACGTACGCATCTACCTTCCACACATCCCTCTCCCCACGCCCCGTCCCCCTATTCGCGTACCCCCCCCGTTTTGCCAATCCTCCTCTTCGCCCTGGTACTCCTGCCCTCATGCACCCCTCCCGTGATCCAGGAAATGACTCCTCTAAAACGCAAGCTGGACGAGTTTGGCACCTTCCTCTCCAAGGTACGTGCTGCACCTGTACTTTCTAATTTGCTCATTTGAGTCAAACTATACGTTCGAGTCAAATCAAAATGTGACATTAAGCTAACCTGAAAGCGTCTCGTGCTTTCTGCCTTGCCTCTCATCCTCGCTGTTTCCCTTCCATCACCCTGTGTGCCCCCGTCGCAGGCCATAGCTGTGGCCTGTATTCTTGTGTGGGTAATCAACATCAGAAACTTCCAGGATCCTGCGCACGGCGGTGTTATTCGAGGGGCTATCTACTATTTCAAGGTCATCACCTATAAGCCCCATATTCTTGCCCAACCTGGTTCTTTTCTTACCCATACTTGACAAGTGTTCTAGCTGTTTCTCCCCCACTTTGTCCCGATTTTATGTTGCTGCGTTTCTCATTGTTTCTGCCTGCTGGCGGCACGCCATAGATGCAGACGAATTGCCAGCTGTATATGAACAGTAACCTTCCCTTACTGTGGTTTCCAAACATATCTTCTTCTATCTTTCTCTTAGCTTCGTCGTCCTCTTACCCTGCCCCTTCCTGCCTCCCTCTTTTCCTCTGCAACAGATTGTGGTTGCTCTAGAGGTGGTCAGGGATATCCAACTTCTTGAAGCACCTCTTCCCTGAAGGTCCAACCCTTCCCTCTACTGTCTCCCCATTCGGTGCAACAGATCGCGGTTGCTCTAGCTGTGGCCGCCATTCCTGAAGGCCTTCCAGCAGTCGTCACCACGTGAGTACACTGCCATCTCCATGCGTCCCTGATACTGCAGGGTGTTTTTGAGAATTCTCAAAAACACCCTGCACCACGTGAGTACCCTTCCATCTCCTTGCGTCCCGTTTCTTTAAATATTTGACCTGAGAAAAGTTTTGGCTTCTCACTAGCTCAGCCTCTCACAGTACAATCATCCCTTTTCGATGCATTTCCTCTATGCCGCAAAGAAGATGGCACGGCTGAATGTCAATGTGCGAATTCTGAAGTGCCTCGAACGTCTTGTAATGGTTTGATTTGAGACACCTCAGCCCCCTTCCTCCTCCTTTTCTCCCCCCCCCCCCCTCCTCTTCAGCTGCCTAGCTCTGGGCACGAAGAAGATGGCGCGGCTGAACGCTATAGTGCGCTTGCTGCCGTCCGTGGAGACCCTTGGGTGCACCACACGACCACACCACTTGATCATCTCTTATCATCCTGTGTGCCTCCCATCCTTCTTCGATTCACACCCCACACAGCTGTCTGGCTCTAGGCACGAAGAAGATGGCGCGGCTAAACGCCATAGTGCGCTCGCTGCCCTCCGTGGAGACTCTTGGGTGCACCACTGTCATCTGCAGTGACAAGACAGGCACTCTCACCACCAACATGATGTCTGTTAACAAGGTGTGTGTTTGCGCGCACATATGTCCACCTGTGATTGTCTGGAACCACCTGCGCAAGTTGTGAGACGCCAACACACTCCCCTTCCTTCCTCGGACTCCAATGCGTTTACTCTACTCCTGTTAGATCTGTGTGCGCAGCTCAGCAGCAGGTCCCTTGTCTGCGATGGACGTGTCTCGAAGCACATATGCAAGTTTTGAGACGTCAGCAGTGTCATTCATTTCGCAACAAACGAACCTTTTGGTCTCCCATGCGCCCTACTCCACCCTTGACAGATCTGTGTGTGCAGCACAGCAGCAGGCCCCTTGTGTGAGCTGGACGTGTCTGGAACCACATATTGAAGTTGCGAGACGTCAATTCTCTCTTTCCTTCCTTCCTTCCTTCCTTAATTTCCCATGCGCCCTACTCTACTAAACTCCTGTCAGATCTGTGTGTGCAGCACAGCAGCAGGCCCCTTGTGTGAGCTGGACGTGTCTGGAACCACATACGCGCCTGAAGGCTCCATCTCTCTCGGCCGCTCGGTGGTGAGTGCTGTGCTGTGCTGTACGGTGCCGTGCTGTGATGTGCTGTGCTGTGCTGTGCTGTGCCGTGCTGTGCTGTGCTGTGCTGTGCTGTGCTGTGCTATGCTGTGCTCTGCTGACTTGTGGTTCAGCTTTCATGTAGCCGACACGCGTTGGAACCACATACGCGCCATACGCGCCTGAAGGCTCCATCTCTCTCGGCTGCTCGGTGGTGAGTGCTGTGCTGTGCTGTGCTGTGCTGTGCTGTGCTGTGCGGTGCTGTGCTGTGCTGTGCTGTGCCGTGCTGTGCTGTGCTGTGCTGTGCGGTGCTGTGCTGTGCTGTGCGGTGCTGTGCTGTGCTGTGCTGTGCTGTGCTATGCTGTGCTCTGCTGACTTGTGGTTCAGCTTTCATGTAGCCTACACGCGTTGGAACCACGTACGCGCCTGAAGGCTCCATCTCTCTCGGCCGCTCGGTGGTGAGTGCTGTGCTGTGCTGTGCTGTGCTGTGCTGTGGGGCTCTTGAGGTAACGTGTGAGTCACCTCTAAATCCTGGATAGTAAACATCCATGTAACATTTACCTGGACATGTGTAGATCGATGTGCATTACAAAATGTCTCCATTGCCCGTGGGCAGTCAGTCAGTGGTGTGAGTCAATGTTTGCCAAGTCAGCCAGCTCATTGGGTGACCTCACGATCAGTGGTGTGGGTCACCTCATGACTGAATGTGTTCTCCTCTGCACAGTTACCAGGCGGAGTGGCCAACAAACATGGCCAGTGACAGTGCAGCACGTGGCCATGTGTGCATCCATGTGGCCAACAAACATGGCCAACAAACGACTCCACTTTCCAATACAACTCAACCTTGAGTTTTTTTCAGAGATAATTACTTCTTCTCCCTTGCCCTCTCTCTCCTCCTCCTCTTCGCGTTCCTCCCCTCCGCTATTCAGGTGGAGCGGCCAGCAGACATGCCATCGGTGCAGCACGTGGCCATGTGCGCCTCCATGTGCAACGACTCCACCCTCCAGTACAACGCCACCACTGACACCTACGACCGCATTGGAGAGGCCACTGAAGTGGCCCTTCGGGTTCTCACAGAGAAGGTGAGAGGTTGTAGCAGAGGAGGTGAGAGGTTGTAGCAGAGGAGGTGAGAGGTTGTAGCAGAGGAGGTGAGAGACTGTAGCAGAGAAGCAGGTTGAGACCATAACGTGGATAGGCAGAGGGGCAAAATTACGTTGCTTGTGGATTTTGTGTTTAGTGTGCTTCATGGCTTCCTGTGTTTATGGATGCTGTTTCTGTCTGCACATATGCACATTTTCGTATTGTGTGTGTGTGAGCGTACGTGTGCGCATGGTGTGCATGTGTGTGTATTCATGTATGTCTGCTGTGCGTGCGTGCACGCGTGCGTGTGTATGTGTGTATTCATGCATGTCTGTACACGTGCAACATTGTGCGTGCATGTGCATGACATGACTGTGCGTGCATCTGGTCACCAGCACAGGTCGGCATACCCGGTTATTCCGACATGCCCACATCCCTTGGGCTCCTCAGCAAGGCAGAGAGAGCCGCCTTCTGCAACAACCACTGGCATGACACCTTCCACAAGGTACCTGCTTTTTTCACACCAGCCCTTAGTCTCACATATGGTCACACACCACTGGTCACACACCACTGGTCACACACCACTGGTCACACACCACTGGTCACACACCACTGGTCACACACCACTGGTCACACACCACTGGTCACACACCACTGGTCACACACCACTGGTCACACCTAGAGGCTAGATTAGTGAGGTACACAGCAAGGCAGAGAGAGAGCCGCCTTCTGCAACAACCACTGGCACGACACCTTCCACGAGGTACCTGCTTTTTAGCACTAGAAATTCACCTCTGATATCCCCTTCAATATTGCCTTCGAGATCGCCTCTAACAACTGGCATGGCACCTTCCGTAAGCTACCTACTCTACTCCTTCATACCAGGCCTTTCGTCATCTCCCTCTGTCCTTCATCTCTCCCCTCTGACCTTCTCGCTCAACCCAGGCGTGTCTATCACATCATATGCTGCCCCCCTTGCTTCATCCTGCTGAGAATCAGTGGTGGTGATAACCTGGTTATCTCATACCCTTGGTTTTCCTTCCCATCCCTTCCCACCCTACATCTCTCCCAACCTATCCCCACCGCATCCAACCTGCAGCTTGCAAGTCTGGAGTTCTCAAGGGACCGCAAGCTGATGAGTGTGCTGTGCACGAGAGGCGAGGAGGAGGTGAGTGAGCGTGTGGAGGACGAGGAAAGGGACAAGAGGGGCTGATAAAGAGGGTATGTTGCAAGAAGATGATTGCAAGAAGATGATTGCAAGAAGATGATTGCAAGAAGATGATTGCAAGAAGATGATTGCAAGAAGATGATTGCAAGAAGATGATTGCAAGAAGATGATTGCAAGAAGATGATTGCAAGAAGATGATTGCAAGAAGATGATTGCAAGAAGATGATTGCAAGAAGATGATTGCAAGAAGATGATTGCAAGAAGATGATTGCAAGAAGATGATTGCAAGAAGATGATTGCAAGAAGATGATTGCAAGAAGATGATTGCAAGAAGATGATTGCAAGAAGATGATTGCAAGAAGATGATTGCAAGAAGATGATTGCAAGAAGATGATTGCAAGAAGATGATTGCAAGAAGATGATTGCAAGAAGATGATTGCAAGAAGATGATTGCAAGAAGATGATTGCAAGAAGATGATTGCAAGAAGATGATTGCAAGAAGATGATTGCAAGAAGATGATTGCAAGAAGATGATTGCAAGAAGATGATTGCACCGTGCTGTTAACTGAGGCAATCCCTCCTTCCTTGTTCCTCCCTATGGCAGCCCGTTGTCGCTCACTCCTGCCCACCTCCCCACCAACACGCTGGTCCCGGGTTCTACGGTGCTTCTAGACGCTGTTTCTTCCCCCCCACCTCCCCACCCACCACGCCACACTAGATTCTCTTCTGCAAGGGAGCGCCAGAGGCTGTGCTGTCTCGCTGCAGCAAAGTACTGACGAATGACGATGGGGCAGTGGCTGCCATGACGCCTGAGCTGAAGGCAGCGATCGAAGAGCGAGTGTGCAGGTGAGTGCTGGCTGTTCTGTCCTTGAGGCGACACACAATGGCACTCTGTTGGGGAAGTGTCGCAGCAGCAAAGTACTGACCAACGACGATGGGGCAGTGGCGGCCATGACACCTGAGCTGAAGGCAGCGATCGAAGAGAGAGTGTGCAGGTGAGAGTGTGTGTATCTTACGGCAGCAGAATGGTGTTCAATATGCTGTGATCATTCTGTCCTCTTTCCCAGACCCCTCCTCCCATCCCTTGATTTGCAGCGGGCTGTTTATCATTCTCAAAAACACCTTACAACCCCCTCTATCTCACATCACACCCCTCCTCCCCGTCACATGCCCCACACTATATCCCACCAGCTATGGCCGGCACCAGATGCTGCGCTGCCTGGCTCTTGCCGTGTGGCCTCCGCTTCAGATTTCAGGTCAAAACAGAAAGAAAAAAAGAAAAAGAAATAAGAAGTTCCTTGCTCTTCTCCTCTTCCTCAATCCCCTTCCACATCCCACCAGCTACGGCCGGCACCAGATGCTGCGATGCCTGGCGCTTGCCATGCGGCCTCTGCCCGGAGGGCATCAGACCATCACTCCTGAAGATGAATCCGACCTCACCTTCCTCGGACTGGTAACCGCGCACTTGTAACCTCGTGTCAGGGTATTCAGTGCGATGGAGCATCAGAGGCCATCACTTTTCTAGATGACAGGATCTGTCTATCACATTGACAGGATCCTGTCGCCCAGGACCTAGGGGCCTTCTCTTTTCTGGATTGACAGGATCTACCACATTTTTCCGACAGGGTAGTTCCTATCTACCATTCCTGATCCGTCACCCCACCACCATTGTTGCCTTTGCATGGTCATCAAGGTTGCCCCATGGCCTCTGTTTCTGTCCACGCCACACTCACTGTCTTCTCCCCGTCATATGGGATTTGGCATTGCACAAACGACCTTGCATGGCATGGCGTGGCGTGGCGTGGCGTGGATGACATGGCGTGGTATGGCATGGGATGGCATGGGATGGCATGGGATGGCATGGCATGTGTGTGTGGCAGGTGGGAATGCTGGACCCACCTCGGGAGGAGGTGAGAGCAGCAGTGGAGACATGCCGGTCGGCTGGCATTCGCATCATAGTTGTCACAGGCGACAACAAGGTATGCTGTGCTGCCACCGAAGGCGACAACAAGGTATGCTGTCTGTGCTGCCACCGAGTTTAATTGTGCTATGATGAGAGAAGCTGTAGAGACATGCCGGTCGGCTGGCATTCGCATAATTGTTGTCACAGGCGACAACAAGGTATGCTGCCATACTTTTAATTCGACTACCCACGAACCCATCCGTGCCTTGTATCAGCACATGTTTTCCCTCTCACCCCCCCTCTCACTCCACTTGCCCACTCCCCCTCTCACCACCCATCCAGGCTACAGCAGAGTCGGTGTGTCGTCGCATTGGGATGCTCAGCGGATGCCCTCATCACCATCGACTCCTCCTGCCCCGCCTCCCCCTACTCTCCTCAAAGCATGTGCCAATGCAGCGTCGCTCAAACTATTCCATGTGCACAACTCTCGTTCTCTCCCCTCTTCCCTCTTACTCCCCTTCTTGCTGCCCCTCTCCACACCCATGCAGGCCACAGCAGAGTCGGTGTGTCGTCGCATCGGGCTGCTCAGCCCTCTCTCCGCAGATGCCCTTATCACCATCGACCCCTCCCCCCCCGCCTCCCCCCCCTCTCCTCTGCTCAAATTTTGCACCAACACTTTAATTTTCCCCTTTTCCCTCTCACTCCCCCTGCCCACGCCCATGCAGGCCACAGCAGAGTCGGTGTGTCGTCGCATCGGGCTGCTCAGCCCTCTCTCTGCAGATGCCCTTATCATCATCGACCCCACTTCCCCCAACACCCCCGCCTCCCCCGCGTCGCCTCTGCTCAAAGGAAGCGCCAGTGGGGGAGCGGGAGGGGGAGAGGAGGGGGGTTATGCGTCGCTGACAGCAGCCGAGTTTGAGCTGCTGTCGCCGTCGCAGCAGGCTGCTGCTGTTCAGCAGCTCGTCCTCTTCTGCAGGTAGCTTGGGTAACGTGATTAGAGCGTGTGATTCATAGGACACCTGGGGGAGGGGCTGCGGGAGGAGAGGGGGTAAGGGGAGGGGGGCTATGCGTCGCTGACAGCAGCTGAGTTTGAGCTGCTCGCAGCAAGCTGCTGTTGTTCAACAGCTCGTCCTCTTCTGCAGGTGACTGGCTAGATGCGTGTGTAATGGGCAGGGCTTTTTGTGTTTGAGGTGTGTGTCTGCCACTACACATATGTGCACCTGACTGATCTGGGGTTCGAGCGTTTTCCGTTAGACATGCACTTGCTCTCTTGCACTCACTTCCCTGCTCTTTTAGGCGATGGCTATTGGAGAAAGCGGCGAAGATGTTCCGAAAGGCAGCCAGTTCCTGCTGCTGCGTAACTCACTCACCCAACCCTACACATATCCGAAGCGCACTCACTCAATTCCGCACACACAATCAATCTTGATGCCCTGTCCCTCGTCGTTTCCCTCGGGCAGAGTGGGGCCCAGCCTCAAGTCCATGCTCATGGACTATCTCAAATGCCAAAACGAAGTGGATTTTTTATTGCACGATCTTGATGTTTTTTTCCCTCGTTGCTTCCCCTCGGGCAGAGTGGAGCCCAGCCACAAGTCCATGCTAGTAGATTTGCTCAAACGCCAAAATGAAGTGGTGAGCTACCTAAGTGTGCTATGTTCAGTAAGAGCATACTAAACTCGTGCATCGACCTTCTGGTTTCTTCTCAAGCACGATGTGCAGCCGTGCCGTGCATATGGTCGGTCGTGCATACGCACTACCTGAAAGAAAGAAAATATCATGCTGGCAGACTCGGCTCGGATCTCTCTCACATGCCCTGCTGGTCTTTTCTTCCCTCTTCCTTTCACTTTTCCTCAGTTTTTTTATCACGCCATTAACCAGGCTGTCTGTTTTGTTCTCATCAGGTGGCGATGACCGGTGATGGGGTGAACGATGCACCGGCACTCAAGAAAGCAGACATTGGAATTGCCATGGGGTCTGGCACTGCGGTGGCCAAGGTGTGATGAGATGCATGCACTGCTATCTGCATCTCAATTACGTTCCTTCCATCAGACACACATGCACTTCTTGTTCTCTCCACTCTCCGATTACATTTGCATTCCTCTCACTCATATCCGCTCTCGTTTTCTGAGATTTTTCAGAAGCCAACTTCTCTCCCGTCCCGTTTGCCTTCCTGTCACTCTCATCTACTTCCGTCTTCGTTTGCCCCCCCTGCCCTGCCCTGCTCTGGAGGAAGCGTTGAACATGGTGCTGGCAGATGGCAATTCCTCTCTGCTCCTCCTTCCCACATTCCTTCCTTGTCCCTGCTTCTCACTCGTGCTGTTGCATTCTCTGAATTTTTTTTTTTCCCTTTCCCCACTCCTGCACTGCAGGGAGCATCAGACATGGTGCTGGCAGATGACAATTTCTCCACCATTGTTGCGGTACGTCCGCCTCATTGCTCCTCCTCTGCCATTGCTCTTCCATTCCTCTTGTACTGTGCTGTTGAACATAAGTTCTCCTCGGGTGCTGTGATGTGGACTGATACATGGATGAATGGCTCCCTCCCTCCCTCCCTCCCTCCCTCCCTCCCTCCCTCCCTCCCTCCCTCCCTCCCTCCCTCCCTCGCTTCCTCGCTCCTTCCTCCCTTCCATTACTTACATGCCCTCCCGCTGCCTCCCCCATCAGGCGGTGGGCGAGGGGAGGGCAATCTACAACAACATGAAGGCGTTCATTCGCTACATGGTGTCCTCCAACATCGGGGAGGTCGTTGCCATCTTCCTCGCCGCAGCAGTGGGCATGCCAGAGACGCTCATCCCCGTGCAGCTGCTGTGGGTGAACCTTGTCACTGACGGCTTGCCTGCTACCGCCCTGGGATTCAACAAGCAAGACCGCGACGTCATGAGCATTAAGCCTCGAAAGGTACATATGTTTACTTCAACAACACAAAAATTTGGTTCCTTGACAGCATATGGGGCAGCAGTGGGCATGCCAGAGAGACGCTCATTCCCGTGCAGCTGCTGTGGGTGAACCTTGTGACGGGTGGGCTGCTTGCTACCGCCCTCGGTTTTAACAAGCAAGACCGAGACGTGATGAGCATTAAACCCAGAAAGGTATGTAACAGTTGGCAGCAGCAGAACCCCGCATTCCTGGAGGCAGACGGAGCAGCAGTGGGCATGCCAGAGACGCTCATTCCCGTGCAGCTGCTGTGGGTTAACCTCGTCACGGACAGGCTGCCTGCCACTGCGTTGGGATTCAACAAGCAGGACTGAGATGTAATGAGCATTAAACCCAGAAAGGTGTGTAACACATGTGTAAACAACACACAGCGCTGCTGTTTTGACAGCGCACAGCGCTGCTGTTTTGACAGCGCACAGCACTGCTGTTATGACAGCACACAGCGCTGCAGCAGTGGGCATGCCAGAGACGCTCATCCCCGTGCAGCTGCTCTGGGTCAACCTTGTGACTGACTGGCTTCCTGCTGCTGCACTGGGGTTCAACAAGCAGGACAGGGACGTGATGGGCATAAAGCCTCGAAAGGTACATATGCATAGTGCTGACAGCACGCAGTGTTGGGTTCTTTGACAGCATGTGGGGCAGCTGCAGGCATGTCAGAGAGACGCTCATCCCGTGTAGCTGCTGTGACTCAGTGCTGTGGGTCAATCTGGTCACTGATGGGCTACCTGCCACTGCACTGGGTTTCAACAAGCAGGACTGAGACGTCATGGGCTTTGTACCCAGAAAGGTACGTGTGTGACAAAAGCAGGTGTGACAGTGGCAGGTGTGCCTGAAGCGGATGCTGCAGATGCATCACAGCTAGTTGATCTTCATATAAGCCTTTATTGAGTCTCTCTGTACAAGTTATTGTAGGATTTCAAATCAGCGCGTCCGTGCATGTGTGCTTGTGTGTGTGTGCGCATGTGAAACATGTGTGTGCCTGTGTGCATGCGTGCGTGCGTGCGTGCGTGCGTGCGTGTGTGTGTGTGTGTGTGTGTGTGTGTGTGCGCGCGCACGCATACGTGAGAGCAGATGGAGGATGCAATCGTCAATGGATGGCTCTTCTTCCGTTATCTAGTCATCGGGAGTGAGTGCCTTCCTTGTTCACTCAAACATGCTGCTCCTTTCTTCTTGTTCTGGTTTTCTTCTCATTGGTTGAACCATCTAGCAGCATCAATCCATATTCTGGCTCCTTTTGTTCCATCAATTTATTTTGCATAGGCCCTTCTGCCTGTGTGTCACACACACGCACGCAGTCTACCAAAACCTCAAAACGGACTTGCTTGACTCTCCTCTGTTCTTTCAAATGCTATTATCTCTCGCATTCTCCACCACACTCTTCTTTCCCCCAGTCTACGTGGGGTTGGTGACAGTGGCTGCCTTTGTGTGGTGGTATATGTGGTTCGCCGATGGCCCCAAGATCTCCTGGACTCAACTGGTGCGTCTCTTCTCTCTGTTTTTTTCGTTCAAGCGCTGGTCCCAACTGAGGGGCCCCAGATTTCTGCAGTCACCGAGCAGGAAACGTTCTTCTCCATCAAGAAAAGGGGGACGGGCAATAGAAAAGGGGTAGGAGGCATTGTGGTTGGGTGGGTGCTGGAGCGTGGGTGGGAGAGTGAGATAGGCTGAGGCAAGGAAGAGGGAGAGAGAGGAAATTTTCTAGCAACTGCAAGTTCAAGTTGACAATTTGCAGAGCCATTTGGAAGGCACGAACACAGGCTGGAGTTGCTGACGCATGTCGAGCAGCTATGTTGCACTATACGCTTTTGAAATTTTACGTTTCACGTATATGCGTGCACGTATAAACGTGAAAACGTGAAACGGGGACAAATACGCGATACGGAAATCCGGGCAGGCCCAAAAAAAAAAAACAAAAAAAAAACAAAAGTTCGGTATTTCGGGTCGCGTTTTTCCAACCAGGGGACGTGTAAAACCGAATCGCCACGTTCACCCCACGAACATCAACATTGCGCCCAATCACCCCCAACACCTCGTGACCAACCACGGCACGTCCCCCACCCCCCAACCAATTCGTGGTAAGTATTTCATGTCGTTTTCAAGCATTTCAAGGTTCCCATCCGTCCCGACACAGTGGGGACTGTCCGCGTTTGCAAGTATTGCGCCATCGAGTTCAAGGGTGGTGCGTTTCGATGCGCTCAGCATCTCGCGAAATGGAAGGGACAGCGCTCTCGCGACGTCCGCTTGTGCGCTAAGGTTCCGCCCAATGTGCGAGCGGCGGTGCGCGCGCATTACGAGAAGAAGGCGTCCAATCGCGACGAAAAACGGCGGGCCGAGGATGCTGCGCTCAATGCTGTCGTGGGAGGTGCGAAGAGAGGACGCATCACCGACTTCATTGGCGACGAGGCGCGATGCACGAAGGGCGAGGCCGACTACGCCGTCAGTTTGTTCTTCGCCGGCTGTCGCATTCCCGAACACCACGCCGACAACCCGTTGTGGCGCAACATGGTCAGCGCCATTAACAACGCACCCCACGGTTACGTCGCGCTGGGACGGAAGTACGTGAGAGGAGCTGGGCTGAAGCAATGCCGCACGAGCATCGAGAAGGGGCTTCAGCCAATCGCCGCGAGTTGGAAAAGGGATGGCGTCACCGTCTCCTCCGACTTGATGACCGATCGGTGCGGGAGGCCGCAGGCGAACGTCATGCTGGTCAACGATTCGGGAGCTGTGTTGGTCGAGGCTATCGACTGCAACATGGAGTCCAAAACCGGCGGCTATATCGCGTCCCTCCTCCGCCCCATCATCGAGAAAGTGGGGCCCGAAAACGTAGTCGCTCTTTGCATGGACGGAGGCTCCAACTACGGGGCCGCCTGCAAGGAGCTGATGGCGGATTGGCCCCACATCGAGTACGTGCCGTGCGCTACGCACGTGCTCGACCTCCTGATGGAGGACGTGGGCAAGATCACGTGGTGCAAAGACATTGTGGATCTGTGCGGAGACATGATCACCTACGTCCGCAACCACCATTTCACCCGCAACTACCTGAGGAGTAAGAAGGTGAAGGGAGGAAAGGGGAAGCAGCTTGTGAAGCCGGCGGGGACCAGGTTCGGCACCAACTACATCGCCCTCTCCAGGCTCGTCGAGCTGCGGTCCACATTGTCGCAGATGGTGCTGAGCGAGGAGTTCGCCAACTGGTCGGCGGGGGCTAGGAAGCAGACGGCGGATACGTTCCGCGGCCAAGTCATGGATGATGCATGGTGGAAGAACGCTACCTACCTGGCGGAGCTCTTGGCGATTCCATTCAAGGTGATGCGGGCCACGGACAGCAGCGCCAAAGGGATGATGGGGACTATTTACGACCTAATGCTCCAGCTGACCGAGGACGTGAACGACAAGCTGGAAGCGGGGGAGAAGATTCTGCCGCGGGCGGTTGCGACAGACATTGGGAAGATTGTTAGGCGTCGTTGGGACGAGAGCCTTGCATGCGCTCTTCACGTCGTGGGGCGGATCCTCAACCCGGCAAATCAGGAAGAGGGTATTTTCCGCAACGACATGGAATGTACCCGCATCTTCAAGGCCTTCATCGCACGTCACTACGACGGTAAGACGTTCACCAACAAGGACGGTGAGGAGAGGCGTGCCTCTCTTGTTTTGCAGGAGGGGCTCACGGCCTTCCTCACCCTTGAAGGTTCCTTCGGCCTTCCTGAGGCAATTGCCGACAGGGAGGCTGTGAAGGCAGGCAAGCAGTCTATGGTGACGTGGTGGGGATGGCACGGGACTGACCACCCCCACCTGGCCAGCCTTGCGTGCCGTGCCCTGACACAGCCGGTGTCGGCGTCGCCGTGTGAGCGCGGGTGGGCATCGTTCGAATCGGTGCACACTGCCCGCCGCAACAGGCTAGGCTCGGAGAAGCTCCGAGACCTAGTTTTTGTGACCCACAACTGGCGTGTGGTCCACAAGTACCACAAGATGGGTGAGTCACTGGCGGTGCTTCCGGGCAACATACCTGAACCTGCTCTGCCGGAGGGATACAACAAGGAGGAGGAAGGGGAGGAGGAGGAGGAGGGGGAGGGGGATGAAGCCGTGCTGGCCGATGAGTACGTGGAGTAAGAAAGGCAGCAGCAGCAGTGTAAGTGGTTGAGGAGCTTAGAAGCAAGAGGAGTAGAGGAGGAGAAGCAGATGAAGGTTTGGGGAGTAGGGGAGTAGGGGAGTAGGGGAGGTAGGGGATGTATCGTCAAGTATAGGCAACGTGACTCACCCCCCCATACCTTTTTACCCTGCCCGGGAACTATTTTCACCTGCCCGGACGACCGTATTTCGAGCGTATCGTGGGGCTGAAATCGTCCGTCTCACGTACGTACGTGAGCGTATAGTACGTACGCGACTGGTATGTGAGTCGCGTATTTTCCAACATAGTCGAGCAGTTCGCCCTTCAGCCTGCTTTTCATGCCTTTCAAATGACTCTACAGATTGTTAACTTGGACTTGCAGTTGCTGAACAATCTCCTTTCTCTCCTTCTCCCTCTCTCTCTCCCTCTCCTTCTCTTTATCCCTCTCATTCTCTCCCTCTCAACCAACCTTGCCTTTCGTTTTGCCCCCCCCCCTTCCACACACCCTCCATGCAGGTCACCTTTGACACGTGTGTGGATTCATCTGGCCGCCCCTGTGCTGTGTTCCTAGACCCCCGCCCACGTACTGTGGCCATGTCAGTGCTGGTGGTGGTGGAGATGTTCAACGCCCTCAACAACCTCTCCGAGAACCAGAGCCTGCTGTGAGTCCGTCAAGCAAGGAATGCAATTGCCTACGCTTGCTCATACCCCTGCCCGTACCTGTGATGGCACCCCTTGCTCTCTCGTCCACGTACTGTGGCCATGTCAGTGCTTGTGGTGGTGGAGATTTTCAAAGCCCTCAACAACCTCTCCGAGAACCAGAGCTTGCTGTGAGTTGCACCCTCAGCAACATATGCTGCTGGTTACCCCTGCACATATCACTGCACGTACTCCTGCCTGTACTCGCGCGTGGTGGCCACGTCAGTGCTAGTGGTGGTCGAGATGTTCGATGCCCTTAACAACCTCTCCGAGAACCAGAGCCTCCTGTGAGTCCTCCACCCCAAGTTCCCACATCTGCCCATGCTCCATCTCTTATTGCAGTTTCTCTCCCTTCCACACCCCATGCTCTGACCCCCCACTTCGTCCACAACCCTTTTCTCTCCCTTGCCCCACCCCTTTTCAACTCTCCGCCCTGCAGCACCCTCCCGCCCTGGTCCAGCCTTTGGCTGCACCCTCCCGTCAATCTCTCGTTGCTGCTTCCTCCATTGCTGCTCGTGACACCATCCTCACTCCCGTCATTTTTCTTTTTGCTTCGTTTTCTCTTCTCCCTTCACTTCCCTCCACCTGCAGCATCCTGCCGCCCTGGTCCAACCTCTGGCTGCTAGCAGCCATCGCCCTCCCCATGATCCTCCACTAATGCTCACCACTCATTACTCTCCCTTTGCTCACTACTCTCCCTTTGCTCACTACTCTCCCTTTGCTCACTACTCTCCCTTTGCTCACTACTCTCCCTTTGCTCACGATTCTCTCCTCTTCCTTCCTCCTCTTCCCCCTCCTCTGCAGCGTCCTGCCGCCCTGGTCCAACCTCTGGCTGCTAGCAGCCATCGCCTTCTCAATGATCCTCCACTTCCTCATCCTCTACGTGCCAGCCCTCGCTGTCCTCTTCTCTGTGAGTGCTTCCAGGACCCCCCCCCCCAGCACGTGCCCTCGTTGTGCTCTTTTCTTTCACCATTCTCGTCGCCCCGGGTTGTGTCCCTCTTTCTCCTTCCATCTTTTTTTCTAAGTCCCACGGGTCACTGGTCATGAAGAAGAGCTGCAGCGTGAAGGATCGCTTTAGCAAAGAACGATAGTCACTTGTTGAAAAATAGTAACCCTGTAAAACATTAGAGTAGGAACCGAAAGCACAGCTCTTTCTCCTTCCATCTTTTTTTCTCTCTCCCTGTGATTCAGTTTCCCCATATACTCCCCACCCTTACTTTTCACGTAACCTCTGTGTCAACCTCCGTCTAGACAATATTTAAAGCCTACCTGTTGAATCAGCCTGCCCTGCCTCCCTCTTGCTGTTCAACATTCTGCTCTTCGCTCCTCTCTTCCTTCTCCGTCCTCTATCCACCATGGCAGGTGGGCCCTCTCTCCTGGCCAGAATGGCGTGCAGTGCTGCTCTTCTCTTTCCCTGTATGCCATGCTCTCAACTCTAGCCCCACTCCACTTTTCACACTTTCCATGCTCCACTTCTCTTCCTTCCTGTTGTAAGTGTTCTTTTTTCCAAGCACTGCCCCCACGCCCTGCCCCCACGCCCTGCCCCCTCGCCCTGCCCCCTCGCCCTGCCCCCACGCCCTGCCCCCATGCCCTCTCCTCAAGCCCTTCCCTGTTTCACGCCCTGTTCCTTACTCTGTGCAGTGCATTGTTTCTTACCCTCTCCCCATGCTCTGCCCTTCCCCTTGTTCTCTCCCTTACCTTGTCCTCATACCCTGGCCCCCTCCATGCTCTGTCCCCTAGTTGGTTTCACACAATGTCCTCTCCCCATGCTCTGCCCTCCCCTGTGTTCTGTCCCCTGCCCTGTCCTCGTGCCAGGTCATCATTGTGGACGAGATTCTTAAAGTCTTCTCAAGAAACATGTCAGGTGTGGTGTCAGGTGTCGGTCAGGTATCAGGTGTGATGTCAGGTATCGAGTAAAAGAGCGTTCCGCTGTGTAGAGCAATCTTCAGGCATGAGTTTAGGGTAAGGGACATTGGTTTCACACTATGTCCCCTAGTTGCTTCAACACACTCATGCAGCATTTACACATTTGCAAGTCTCTAGAATTCAATCGCAGGACGCAGCGCTTTCGCTTCTACTCACCACTGCTTGCATCCCACGTGAAATCAGATGCCTTGAAGTGCGTATTCAAGAGTTGCCTTCTCTTTCCTCCCTGCCCCTTGCTCTAACCAGCACGTCCTCCCAAGGCCAAGTCATCGCGGCCAAGTCGGCCGCAGTGGTCCCTGCTGCCGTTCAGGCGGCCAAAGGAAGAGTCAGGGGAGAACCACACAGCCTGATGCAATGCAGGCTCGTGCACACCTGCTGTCTTGCAATCTGCGAGATTTAATTTAGTTGAGGCGTCTTCCGAGTACTGTACTTCTATGTTTTGAACCTCCCGAGAGTGTTTATCTCAGGACTCCGTTGGAGACTGGTAACTCTCAGCCTAGGAGGAGGGCGGGAACCATTAGACATTTATTGTTGGCCAATGTGTGATCATGTGCGTGCTCTCTTTTTTAACGTATGGCATCTGCATGACATTGATTCAGGTGGCCATTGTTCATGGCATGTTCTTGAGGCGAGGGTGGTTTGAGTGAAGCCTGGATCTGGTGGGGGAAGTGCGAGTGTTGTCTGCAAGGTCATCTGCCCTACTCTGGTAGTTTTTGTCCGCAACCTGCCATGCAGTAAAACCACAGGAGGCAGTTCTATCCTGTTCTTTCATCTCTCATATATGCAGCCTTGCTCTTTCATCACAGCTGCACTTCAAGGTCTTGCAAGCTGCAAACATTGTAACTTGCACGCTTCGTCTCTCCACATTCCTAGTCCAAAAGAACTTGATCATAAAATCATAAGCATGCCTGGTTGGCATAATAACACCCTCAAAACAATTATACTGAGAGATTGACTGAGCTGTCACAGCAACCTGTTGGAATTCATGTACTGTTGTAGTTAAAATCCCCCCTCTCCCTTCCGCTCCCCGATCCCCTCCCCAGTCTACCCAATGGAAGCATCAGCCAGAGCAGCAGAGGAGCACACGCCGCCAGCAACAGCCAGAGGCACGCCCTTGTAGCACGCCACCCTCTCCCCGTTGGTGCGCAGATCCACCTGAACTGCTTCCCATACCTTCTTCTTCGGGTTCAGCTGTGCGTCTGGTTGCCCGGGGTAATCAGGGCAGGTGACTCGATCACCAGGTGCTGCCCCTTCGGGCGGGTTAATGAGCTCGACCTGTTAGGGCAAGAAGGGTGGGAGACAAAAAGAAGAGGGAAGGGGAGGAGAGTCACTTCTCACACCTCCTTCTCGTCGGGTTCTTAAGGTTAATCGGGGCATGTGATTCGATCACCGGGAGCTGCCCCTTGGGGAGGGTTAATGAGCTCCACCTGATGGGGAGAAGAGGAGGGTGCGTGAGAGAAGAGGAGGATGAGTGAGAGAAGTGGAGGGTGAGTGAGAGAAGAGGTAAGAGGAGCGTTAGGCCTCGTGTCTACATTCTCCGGGTTTTTTGGGCGTCGGGATTCGCAAGATAATAGAGGTATGTAACTCGATCGCCATGTGATCCTGGGTGGGTTAATGACATCAATCTTGGGAGAAGGGTGAGAGAGAGAGAGAAAAGGGACGAGGGGGAGAGAGGGTGATGGTAAAGGGAGAGGGGAGTGAGGGAAGGTGGTTGCTGTTGACCAGACGGCACAGAACTGGACAAAACAGCGCACAGTTGACCCGCATAGACCAAGTGTAAAAAGTGAATTTCTGAGGCGTCTAAAAAATTCGCTTTCTACAGATTCGCTCACAGTAGACCTGCATAGACCCACTCAACTCATCTGCACGGCACAACTCATCTGCACGGCACAACTTTTGAGGCGCCTCGAAAGTTTGCACAAGAGTTGCATCTACTACCCACCTGAGTGTGGTCAGCATTAGAGGCAGCAAGCACCATAGCATGGCTCTTGATTCCCCTCATCGCTGCTGGCTTGAGGTTACACAGTACACACACCAGCCGATCCTGCATACATGCGTGGAAGGACACACAGGGAGGGAGAGGGGCCAGGTAAAGACAGAATGTTGCTTGTGAAGGGGGGAAACGATTGGCTCGATAATCTACAGGCTATGAATGAAGAGAATGGTTTTCCACCGCACACAGCCCCCTCTGTCGCACCTGCATCTGTTCGATCGGCACGAACTTCACGAGTCCGCTGACAACGGTGCGCGGCCCCTCTGCTTCACCCAGGTCGATCTGCTCCACATAGAGCGAGTCCGCATCTGGGTGCTTGTCTACCTTCACTATCCGCCCCACTCTCAGATCCAACCGAGACACATCCACTGGCGCGCTCTCCGCTGCTGCTGCTGCTCCGCCTCCTGCTTTCCCTCCTCCCGATTTCCCCTTCTCCCCTTTCTCCGCTTTCTCGCCCTTCTCTCCCTTCTCTGCCTTCTCTCCCTTCTCACCCTTGCCCTTTTTCTCTTTCTTATCAGCTGCACCATCTGCTGCCCCATCTCCCTTCTCTCCCTTCTCCTTGCCCTCCCCTTTCTGCTTCGCCACACCATCAGCAGCACCACCACTGCCACCTTTCCCCTTCCCTTTTCCACCACCACCACCAGCCGCAGCTGCAGCTCCTGCCTTCGACCCACCAGCACCACCACCAGCAGCAGCAGCGGCGGCTGCGGCAGCAGCAGTGCGATCCGCCTGGCTGCCAGCGAATCTGTTTCTGAAAGCGTCCACCTCGTCGTCCTTCATTTCTCGGAAGATGGGTTCAACAGGGCCGATGGCATGGCCTGCTGCCACCACCCCCCACGGCTGGAAGGCTGCTGCTGCTGCGGCGTCTGTGAGAGAGAGAGACGAGGCGGGCAGATTCAATTGCGCCAACACCTGTGGGTGTATTTACAAGAGGAGGAGGAGATTGTTTTTGAGTCGACTCAAAAACAGAATAAAAAACAAGAGGAGGAGGAGATTTGGGGAAAAAAGGAGGGGAGAACGGCAGGGGAGTGTGTACGGGAAAACAAGCACTAAGGGGAGCAGCAGCGTCGGCACGACAGCAATGTCTGCACCACTGCTCACCACTTTTGACCATGGTTCAAAGACAAAAATCACCTGATGCAACATTTGAGCCTCTCAATCAGCAGCATGCAAAACTCACCTCGACAATACCTTTTCACCCTGTCTCATGTTTTGAGACGTCTCAAAACAAACAAAACTCACCTCGACAATACCTTCTCACCCTGAATCTTACAACCCTCGCCTTATCACAGGCCCCACCTTTTCTGAGAAGGAGGGCATGAAGGGTTGCAGCGGCGTGGCCAGCAGGTGCACCACCCCCACCACCGACCGCATCACCACAGCGCAGCGCGGCTTATCCTCCTTATAAAGCTTCCAGAACTTGGACTCCTGCAGGGACAGGTTGCCTGTGTCTCACCTTTTCTGAGAAGGAGGGCATGAAGGGGTGCAGCAGAGTTGCCAGCAGGTGCACCACTCCCACCGCCGACCGCATCACCACAGCGCAGCGCGGCTTATCCTCCTTATAGAGCTTCCAGAACTTGGACTCCTGCAGGTAAAGATTCCCCGCGCTGCTGACCGCCATGGCCGTTTTAAGCGCCGCTTTCAGCTTCACCTTCTCCATGTTGTCAATGTATTCCTTCACCAACTCCCCCACGGTTTGCCCGAACTTGGCTGTCAACTCGTCCTGCTCTGCTCCAGGTGCTTCTGGGACCACCGACCCAAAGCCCTCGCCTGGAGAGAGGGGGAGTGGATGCGCAAAAGGGAGTCTCCCAGGTTTAGCTTCACCTTCTCCATGTTGTCAATGTATTCCTTCACTAACTCCCCCACTGTTTGTCCGAATTTGGCGGTCAGCTCGTCCTGCTCTGCACCCGGTGCCCCCGGGACGATGGATGCAAAGCCCTCGCCTGGAGAGGATTTAGAGAGGATGGGGGAATCAGGGAGGAAGGAGAGGGCGCGGCTTGTGATTGTCCTCCTTATAGAGTTTCCAGAACTTGGACTCCTGCAGGTACAGGTTGCCTGCGCTGCTGACCGCCATGGCCGTTTTAAGCGCCGCCTTCAGCTTCACCTTCTCCATGTTGTCAATGTATTCCTTCACCAACTCCCCCACAGTTTGCCCGAACTTGGCGGTCAGCTCGTCCTGCTCTGCGCCCGGTGCTTCTGGTACGATGGATGCAAAGCCCTCGCCTGGACAGAGGGGGGGTTGGAGTGTGTACAAAGAATGAAAGAGGGAGACAACTAACAATGTTCCCATGTTCAGCTTCACCTTCTCCATGTTGTCAATGTATTCCTTCACCAACTCCCCCACGGTTTGCCCGAACTTGGCGGTCAGCTCGTCCTGCTCTGCTCCAGGTGCCTCTGGGACCACCGAACCAAAGCCCTCGAACAGTTTGTTGTTCTGCTTCCATTCTTACATCAACTCAATGTTAGTCACCCACCTTCTGGCTTGGCAAGCAAGGCCAGGAACCAATTGAAATAGTTCCCAAGGTTCTTGAGCAACCTGTTGTTCTGCTTCGATCGCTGAGTCAATTCAAAGCTA